CTCAACAACCCACCAATTTCAGTAGGATATCGAATTGATTGTGAGCTCGCTCGTGAAACCAATGGCAGGTCAAGATCCTTCCGGCCATGGTCAGACTTTTTGCCGCCACCGTGCATTGGTAGCATACTTTAGCCAACTGGTCATGGTTGGAGGGCTGCAGACTGATCTCCCAAAAAGGCACTCTCTGCAAATCATGGGTCGTCCAGCAGACATCATGGTGTCACCTTGCATGATATGCAAAACAAGCTGTTGATTCCAAGGTAATTCCATGCATGATTCGTAGGAACAAGGTTCCTCTGTGGGCCTCTGGGGTGACGGCGCTTGCGAACTGGACGAATGGCCGAGCGATTGGTGAACTCCCCTGCATTTGAGAGCACAGCCAGCGCCTGGAGAAGGTTTTGTTTTGCAAAACAATTTGTCACCGTAACTCCTCACAGCCTTTTTGACCCAGCAGTTAGGGAAGAGCAAGATTTCTTCAGCGGTTTCGCACCCTTGTGGCATGTCCCCCGAGGGCCTGAAGAATCTCGATGTCGACCTCAGGTCTGGCGTGGACTTTGTTGTGCAGACCGGACTAACTAGTTAGTTAAGCGGACTTCTCTGCCGGCGAGCAAGCTTAGTTATTCAGCCAATCGGCACCCGTCCAACCACGAAGCCGGTGAATCATAATTCCGGCCGTTGAGCGGAATGTCCGAGAGAAACTTTGATATCAACATCGAAAAGCCAATGGGATTGGGGTTGTCGGGCGGTAAAAATTTCCAACGTTTGCTTACAAAGTACATCGAATGGATAATGATTAGTTAACTAACTACTATGAGGTATTATGTACTATACAGGGAGCATTGTGGGGTTGTCAGTCATCCCAGCCTCGACACCCCCCACACTCTTCTCAATTCTTCAGCTGTGCACTGACCCTGTCACAGAGACCTGGTCAGCGGCTTCGTCGCCTACAAGTCCCTCAGCCATGGCGATCGCGCCCGCCATATCGCCTTTGTTGTACAAAAACAGACCCTGCAGGGCGGCAGTACTCGTCGCCCTGAAGAGATCGGGTTTTCTTCCGTTTTCATCCTCGAGGATTCCAAGCTTCTCGAGCTTCTCGAGGAACTGCTGCTTGTATGCCTCGGAGTGTTCAAATTCACCATAGAACCTATCCCATAGCTGGGCGGCTTGGTACCTGGTGGCTTCGCCAAGCCTAACCGTCATGTCCACGCGACCAGGGCGAACCAAAGCTTCATCAAGCCTCTCAACATGATTCGTCGTCAGGAAGATAATCCGTTCTTCAGCACTGGCCACCCCGTCCAGGGCGTTCAGCAACCCGGAGAAAGTCACATTGGCCCCCCGATATCCATCTGCATCGGCTTGTACGCGCCGGGTAGAAAATGCAGCATCCACATCTTCCAATAGGACCAACGTCCGGGACGGGATGATAGAAAGGAGATGGTTGAGCCGATCGTCCGTTAAACCCCGCTCGCTGAGGTTGAGTATGGCGATGTCGTAATCCAGCTCGCCAGCTAGAGCCTGGATGAAAGAGCTCTTTCCCGTGCCGGGTGGGCCGTGTAGGAGGTACCCACGTCGATAGGGAATGCCCCGATCGTGATACCAAGAGGCACTGCCGATGAAGTCCTTTACATCCGCCACTATTCGTTCCTTGACACCAGCCTCTAAAATCACGGAGTCCAGAGGGCGTTTACGGCGAGGTTGTCCAAAGGGCCGCCATTCCGTCCCCCAGGAGTTGTAAATGACCGTTTTCCCCTCATGCGACTTGGCGGCGTACTCGTGAGCTTCCCTGAACAAATCCTCAAATATGTGCCTTTGCGAATATAGAGTCGTTAGAGTGACCGTCTCCCAAGGGCGGCCAGTCTGTAGGTCCCTTGATTTGGCTTCCCGAACCCGATTCACGAATATGAAAGCGTTCTTGTATCGCAGCACGTGTCTTCCCGGACCCGGTATCAGCGAGAAATGAGTTTGGAGAGCTCCGTTCGCCAGTTCGACCTTCTCAGTCTGGATGGACAGGTGGCGCATGCCTGGCGTAATTTTTCGAAGGAACGATTCGAAGAACCCAGCCTTCTGACTCACGTTGGCAAGCTGCGAGCGCTGATACAGGGTCATCCAGTGTAGAAACCAAGGGTAAGAATCATCCTTTATACTGATCTCGACGTCCACAAGCATTCGTCTGCGGAGAAGGGCGGCTCCATAGCGAATTCCTCTCTGGGCGAGGGTGAGACCTGCTCCAAGGCCTGCTAAACCAAAGCCCTAGAACGTTCGTTAGATCGTCAGCGGAATGCATATCAATATCAGTTCACTCCAATGCAACATACGGCTGTAAAAAATGGGTTGCTTGAGAGCTGAGCTAACAATCCCTGGTCAGACTTAGCAAGCGAAATTTCAGGTGCTTGTCTTCTTTGAAGGATCAAGTCAGCCGCTTTATTGGATGGCTGGTCCACCACAGTTGCAGCAGGCTCCATTGATCGTGGGAGACCTGCTGCTCCATCCTCGTTGGGCATTTGACTGGAGATGGACTGGCCACGAAGACCTTCGGCATTCGGGCGAACTCGTTCATCGCAGCTGCAAACCTCGTTGATATTTCCCCGATCAGTTCCATCAGCGCGCTAGTCTGTAATAGGACTAGCTCGTTAAATCAACCAATCAGACAACTGTATAACGCCGATAGCTCCACGCTTAACTCCGCCGACTTAAAAACGGTGCTGCCTTCCAGCCGCCAAGCAGCAGGAGTGCAGGGCTGGCGTTCAACCTCTCATGATGCATGTCATCTTGCCAACAGATCACTTTTCTTGGGGGGGTGATCTTGTCGTCGCCAGCAGAGCTGTATATATATATTTTTAACTTACTCCGTACAGACCAAAGAATTTCTCTGCACAGTAGCTATTTGTAGTTACAATTGTTCTTTAAAAAGCGTATATTCTTATCTTCAACGGTTCCTATCGACGGGGCAGAGTTCCTTCATTGCGCACCTATGGCAGCTTCGACCGCAGCAGCCGTTCTTCATGCAGCGACTCTGTCTATTCCATCACAATCACCCGTCCCTGAAGATGCGGAGGCAAAGGCTCACCATGTGAAGTCAGGAGGGTTCCGGAATCCGTGGGCGTGAGTTGCAATGGTCGCCCACCCGCGGTTTCGATCAAGCCTAACAGAGTCGCAGGTCCTGGCACATGATCCCAGCTTTCACAATAGTCAGAAAAATGATAGCGTAAGTCGAAGTTAGGGAAATGTGATGCTTTGCTGCTTGACCTCAATCCTGACGGGGACTCGTAGCCGGCGGTTTTCTGGCGAGGCGAATGTCCCTGATACCACTCCGCCTACTGTCCCGGTGCGGAAGCCCGAGTTCCTCCCCAGCCGGCAAACGCCAAAGCTGAGGGCCACTTGGTTAGGGCATGCGTGCTACTATGTGGAGTTCCCAAGCGGATTGAGAGTGCTGTTCGATCCTGTTTTTGAAGACAGGTGCTCTCCTTTTAGTTGGTTAGGTCCAAAGCGTTATACAGAGATGCCCTGCAAGATGGAAGATATACCTTTCATCGATGCTGTTGTAATTTCCCATAACCACTATGACCACCTTTCCTACCCGACCATTAAGGATATCCATCGGCGTCATCCGAATTGCCACTTCTTTGCTCCGCTTGGAAACAAGCAATGGTTCACTTCGAGTGGCATTCACAACGTAACTGAGCTGGACTGGTGGGAAGAACGCGACATTGCTTTATCACCATTGGCTAAGTCAGCCGAGGTGACGTCCATTGGAGACGTTTCAGATAAGGCGTCGAATATCCTTGCTCGTATTGGTTGCCTTCCATGCCAACACATCAGTGCTCGGACGTTGTGGGATAGATCGCAGACTCTCTGGGGTTCTTGGAGTGTGGAATCGGGTGGTTCCAAAGTGTATTTTGCCGGGTAGGTTTCAGCAGCCTTCTTCGTCCATTCCGGAGGGAACTTGATATTCTAACGACCCATAGCGACACCGGATACCGATCGGTCCCTGAACTCCCCAAAGAGGTCGACGACTACGGCCCTGGACATAATTATCCACACTGTCCAGCATTTGCCCAAGTGGGCCAATACCGTGGTCCTTTCACGCTTGGGCTGATACCAATTGGCGCGTATGATCCCCGATTCATCATGAGTCCGATGCACGCAGATCCTCATGATGCAGTCAATATATTCAAAGATACTAAATGCCAAAACGCTCTTGGGATGCACTGGGGAACATGGGTTCTAACGGAAGAGGATGTCTTGGAGCCACCTAGAAAGCTCAAGAAAGCTCTAAGACAGAATGGCATCGCGGAGACCGGTGTGTTTGATGTCTGTGATATCGGCGAGAGTCGTGAATTCTGAAGGCAGTTGCCCTGTCCTTCTGTTTGGCTGTCCTTTTACTTATGTTACAGAGCTCTTTTTCTTGGTATACCCCCTAATGTTTTGTTGTTTTAGTAACTCTTGACCTATATGTGATAGCAAACACCCGGTGTCGTCTCGGAGTCTTATACCCTACGTCCTATGATTCCTAGAATTTTATTATGTTCTATCTATACATTCACAACGATTGGATTCTTATAATCAAAGCTCACTGTTCATCACTCTCAGTTCTGGAAATTCCACTGCGAATATTTGGATATAGCACTCACCAGGAGTCTAACCACATGATAATCACACGTGTTCCGGAACATTCACTTTGACCTCACTTTCAGAAACACAACTGCACCATGCGCTTCAATCCCAACCTCCTCTAGACTTAAGATCAGATCGATCAAGGTATTCAGCTGTTCCGCTCATAGTCCTGGACGTAGAGAATAGAAACCCCCTATAGGCACATAAGTAGCATACGATATCAGACTGATATATGCATTGTTGTATATAAGATTTGAGGTTTAGAAACCAAGTACCAGAAGAAGATGGTCATTTTAAAGGGTTAAAGGGCCTTTCTTTTACTCTTCTGGTCCCTTTTTCGGAGAACGAAGGATTTTACGGGGCTATGGAGAGGCATGTACTCCTAGTATCAATCTTTGCGAGCTTGACCGCAAACCGTATTGATAGGAATACATGATAGAGACCGCCCAACAGCCCTTTCCACACAGACCTATGGGTAGGAAATAGATCAAGAATACTGCGTAAGTCAAGGGAACTGGAATGGGATCGAGCATTCCAAAGAAGCATGGAGTATCTCGTTGCCAGTATGGCAGAAAGAGAAACAGGTGAAAGATAGGTATCTCAACGGCTGAGCATAGAGGAATGTACCGGTAAATGGAGCACAGGCAGGAGAGTAGTGGAAATTTTCCGAAACATATAGAATGTCCCTTCTTGGTTGCCAGGGGTTGCAGGGTGAATGAGAAGCCCTTTTGTGCAAAAAAGGACGCTAAGCAGAAAAGGGAAGGGGAGCTATCCTTCAGAACAAACATGAGGGAGCTTCTGTTGTTACTCTCACTTTCTTCAACATTAGCCCAATCTCATTGTTCCTTTGGTAGTTTTAAACCCTTTTAGTGCTCTTCACGCTTGCCACTGGTGGAAATTAGCAGCATCAACGCCTGAAAGGGCAAAACGACTGCCACAGTCAACGGTATAGTCCCAGCTTCTGAGCTATAGTGACGCGTGGTTAATGAGATAACAGGCGATGCCCGATCAAAGGGGTGGTAGGGGCCGAGGCATAGGATTGACCCGCAATAACAGCATGGACGTTGTGGGATCTCCCAAGCCAGAAAGAGAGAGAGCCCATGTTGGAGAATTCCAATCTACCATCAACGGTGCACGTGCAAGCCAAGCCGAAGATGGCACCGGGCGAGCCGCACACAACCCGCAAACTCGTTCGGAAGAAACCCCCGATGGCGAGTCAAGCAACAGGCGTCAGATTGCCCACCAACTAAGGGTCGTCCAAGAGACCTTCGGTCTTCATGATAATAATCTTGGAGACATTGCGACCACAGGATTGCCCAGGGGCCCACTACGCGTTATGAACCCAGATCCAACACCAGACCCAAGTGAAAGTGATGGATCAGACAATGGGAACAGCAGAGCAGCTAATGGTCCCAGCGCAACCGAGAGTCGGCAGCCAATTTCAGGAAGCGATGACTCGCCAAGCACAAGAGCGATAGCAGATCGTCGTCGGTACATCCAAGGCGCTTTGTACGCGATGGAGGATCCTATAACTCCGAACATCCAAGTCACTCATCCCGCGGAGTATCGGCAGCTTCAGAACGCTACCGCCTATAGATCCCCGGTGCCTCATCGTAGTCGGTATCGAAGAAAGCCTGCTGACTCTCAATATCGGCAGCCGCAGGCCTCTCCGCCCTACCCCACACTAGTTCACCCGCCATATGCACCACGACATTACAGCTCGGGTGGTTCTCAACAAGCCCCGGTATCATACTCCGAATATCCGCGCGGCCATGAGGTTGGACCTAGTCGCCAAGGACCGCCCTACTCGCGGTACTATGCAAACCTTCCTGGATTCACCGGATATAGATACTCTCAGTATGAAGATCTCTATCCAGACCTTTCGTCCACATTCAGAAGAATTTGGCGCTGGCTCGACTCTGTCGAAGACGGATCCCCCAAGTATGTAGCCTTAATTGCTTTCTAGATGGGTTGATAAAGAGCCGACCGCTGACCTCAAGCCTATAGATGAATTCAACCATGGCTGGCTCTCTGCGACTGCTGTTGTTTGCCAACAGGCGGCAGTTACAGGAACAACGAAGAATGCACAGGCCACTTTGTCAACAACATGTAGCAGCAAAGACGCAAGCTTTCACGGTTCTGTTTTCTTTTCACAATTGGTATCATGGTTAATATGGAGGAATTCGGTGACCAGGGCTTTTGATTTCTTTCCTGGGAGATGAGTAGAGACAGGAATGAGGTTGGGGGTTGAGGGATGCCGGTGGTTGGGCTGGTGATGCACTAGGATAGTTTCGGTTTAGGTTGAAATGGTTCCGCCCACATGGAAAAAGCGATCCGAAAGCTCAACAGCTTCACCTTCGATGTAGGGAGAAGCCTCAATTCCATGCTCTGATAGTAGTCACTGGTTTGAACCAACTACTAATCTGCACTTTGCCTTCTTTTTGCAATTTGTGCGCGTTCACCTTTTTCTTTTTCTGCTTCGATTCACCAGCATTCATTGCCCTCTGTGGGTAAGGATAGCACCCCGCCAAAATGCAGGCTCCGGTGGTGGTAATGAGTATGGCATACCTCTCTACAATGATTCTAGCACCAAACTTACCGTTAATCTACTAGACACCCAAAGTGGGGATAGACAGGTCGGCAGGAAGGCTCAATTATCCAATATCACAGCTGCAAAGACGTAAGCAACGGTCTCGAACAAGCAACCGAGTTTCCAATACAAGCTGACAACCTGCAGTGTCGCAGATATTATTCGATCATGTCTCGGCCCGAAAGCCATGCTGAAGATGCTTCTCGATCCCATGGGTGGTATTGTTCTAACCAACGACGGCCACGCAATTCTCAGAGAAATCGAAGTTGCCCACCCCGCGGCCAAAAGTATGATCGAGCTGAGCCGGACACAAGATGAAGAAGTTGGCGATGGAACAACTACCGTCATTATTTTAGGTATGAGTTGCGAGCGTCGAGCTGTTGAGAGATCGTAAAATGCTAATTTATTATTAGCGGGTGAGATTTTGGCATACGCACTTCCACAACTCGAACGAAATATTCATCCCGTTGTCATCATCTCCGCGTTTAAACGAGCTCTCAGCGATGCCCTTGCCATAGTGGAGCAGATCTCCATACCCGTCGACATCGACGATGACAAGGCAATGTACAGCTTAATACAATCGTCGATTGGCACGAAATTTGTTTCCCGGTGGTCCGAGCTCATGTGCGGCCTGGCATTGAAAGCTGTGCGCACTGTTTCCCTCGATGCTGGTGGTGGAAAGAGGGAGGTCGATATTAAGCGATATGCTCGTGTTGAGAAGATCCCTGGTGGTCAGATTGAGGACAGTGAAGTGATTGACGGAGTCATGATTAACAAGGACATTACGCATCCAAAGATGAGGCGGAGAATTGAGAACCCGAGGATCATTCTCCTTGACTGTCCTTTGGAATACAAGAAGGGAGAGTCACAGACGAACATCGAGATCTCGAAGGAAGAGGACTGGAATAAGATCTTGCAGATCGAGGAAGAACAGATCAAGCATATGTGTGATGCTATTTTGGCCCTCAAGCCTGATCTTGTTATCACTGAGAAGGGCGTATCTGGTATGATATTCAACCGTAACAAATGCAGTGGATCTGGTATGCTAACACTGACCCAGATTTGGCTCAACATTTCTTGGTTAAAAACAATGTCACTGCACTACGTAGAGTTCGGAAGACGGACAATAACCGCATTGCCCGTGCAACGGGTGCCACCATCGTTAATCGTGTCGATGACTTGCAAGAATCGGATGTGGGAACTCAGTGCGGTCTTTTCGAGATTGAGAAAATTGGCGATGAATATTTTGCATTTATGCGCAAATGCAAGCAGCCGAAAGCCTGCACAATTTTGCTTAGAGGACCATCAAAAGATATTTTGAACGAAATCGAGCGGAACTTGCAAGATGCTATGGCGGTTGCCCGAAATGTCATTTTTCATCCTCGCCTATCACCCGGTGGAGGTGCGACTGAAATGGCCGTCTCCGTGAGACTCGGTCAGTTGGCCAAAACAGTTGAGGGTGTCCAGCAATGGCCATACAAGGCTGTTGCCGAAGCGATGGAAGTGATTCCACGGACATTGGCTCAGAACGCAGGACAGAACCCTGTTCGAGTTTTGACTGGCCTGAGAGCCAAGCAAGTTGAAGGTCATAGCAGTTATGGCATCGACGGAGACACTGGCGCTATCGTGGACATGAGAGAATACGGTGTGTGGGAACCAGAGGCGGTTAAGCTACAAAGCATCAAAACTGCCGTTGAGGTAAGAAGACTTCTCCGTGCTCGGAATTCACTGAGTTTGGCTAACATCCTTCTCATTAGTCTGCTTGCTTATTGCTCCGTGTCGATGACATTTGCAGCGCCAAGTCCTTGAAGCAAGCTGCCAATGTCGGTGGCGGCGAGGAGTAGGCTGCTCGTCTCCCTATTGCGGATAGATAAAATAGCATAGACTCAAAGGAAGTAATTGCAATAAGACAACATTAATGCTGTCCTGGGTATCTTATTCGTACAGTACATCATTCATAATCTACACGTATCATGGTCCTTGCTTTTCTCCTTTTACTTTTCTCGACTATTTTGCATATAGGAGGATCGAGTTTAGTCTTCGTCATGGATAATAACACCCGGGACTTCGGTATGATCTTCGCATGGCTCCGATTGAGCAGGGCCTTCGTGTCCATTTTCACGCAGCACCGGTCCATTCAAGACACCAACCCCAGTTCTACCGTCCGCCTTTCCCGTGGCGTTCCCAGCTTCACCGGTGCCTTTCTTCGCCTTCGCTGCCTTCCGCTTCTCTCGTTTCTTCCGATTCTTTTCGGTCTTCTCTTCATCCTTGCGCTTCATTTCTTCTCTCTTCTTTTCAAACTCCTCGTTGGCCTTTTCCCGGTTCAATTCGTCCTCCATGAGTCTCACGCGCTCATATTCGCGTCTCCGACTAGCCTTGTAGACATGGAATTCACCGGAGCCCGCACCGGCAGATGAGCCTTGCACATTGGCGACAATTTCGGGCGGTGGGGCGAGAGATGCGGCGGTGCGTGGTTTGGAGGTGGCGGGAATGTGGATTTCCTTGCTAGGATCTTTGAAGAGGGTGTCGAGCTGCTTAGCCTGTTCGGAGACAGGCGTGAGTGCGCGGCGCTTCAAGGGACGTTTACTACGAGGGTCCTGACTCGTAGGAATGGATTCTGGGATGGGTTCGGACATGGTTGGAGAAGTAATGTATTTTTGCACAGTCGACGATAACTTTGGAGGAAGATATTCGAAGTCGGTTATGCTCTAGGACACACGAGATGTAAAGCTGCATCCAGCTGATTTTCAGCTGTAGAGGCTATACGGAGCAAGTTAGGATATAGGATATCTTTTGTCCTTTCAGTTAGAGGCTTTTCCGCCGTGTGGCCGTCAAGTCCACTCTCTTGAGAGATTCTGCCTGTGACGACATCGGAGGAGCGTCACGTGCCTTTCAGCCGGAACATCGTTGTCCCGCTTCCTCCGCGCTCACCTGACCTCAACCTTGGCTGCCCGGAAGCCCGACCGCGAAACAAACTTGAGCTTCAGTTGATATAGTAATAATATGGCTGCGGTGAAACCGGCATTTGGTCCAGCCATGGTGTCCGCAATCACCCTGCGCCAGCTGAGATGCCTTTGCGTGCTGTGGATCTGCGATTTCTCGTGTCTGATTCTCGTGCACATCAAGCTGGGCAATCAATGCGCCCACGTGGGCGGGAGGGCCGGGCTGCGTTGCGGTCGACCTCCACAGCGTTGCTCTCAGAAACAATTCTCGGCTCGGGATTTACTGTCAGAAGAGGTTCTTCTGGGTCGACACTGAAATGCAAAATTATGGCTGTGAAACATTCACTTCTAGCAATGTGTTGTCGTGGACATCTCCATCGAGCTGCTTCGCTTTACATACTGCGAATCCCACTTCCTATCTATCCTCCGGATAATTAGGTCTTCTATCCAATCAGGTGTAGTCTATTGTAATAGGGCATTGCCCAAGCAATTTTTCCCAAGCCAGACGCGGTTTTCAATTTCAACGATATCCGCCTATTGCGGAGTCCTCGAAAGCCTGCCACAAGGAACCTCTTGTGGATCCCAGCTCGGGCGCGGGTGTTTTGCCGCATCTCAAAAGCGCCTCTGCCACATGCCATTGCGTTTGGATATCATTCGCTCCAGACACGGGCTGCGGACTGGGGACCATAGGATCCCAGAAGGCTTGGTGCGGAAGGGAATTCGTTCGGGAAAAAGCGCATACCCAGTGTATCGGAACAGGCCTGCATGAGCAAATACCTCTTCCTGGGGAAGATATAATAAGCCCCAGAGGCCCAGCATTGCCCATGATGCTGCCGTGTTCATTCCTGCAACACGCCACCGACCGCTTCATTTGCAGCTTGGACCATGCGATACTCGTTGGGCCTGCTGGCCCTGTCGGCGGCCACCGCTTCTGCATCCTTTGCAGGGAATCTCAACTATCGCAGCCCCTCAGCCAACCATCCTAGCTTGGGGGTCTCTGTTCCCAAAGTTGAAAAGAGGTCTGAGCCTGGATCTGCCTTTGATCCGGCGCAATTGAACTTCACCCATGGTGTGGCATCGGGAGACCCATATGCTACCTCCGTCATCCTATGGACGCGCTGCTCCCCGATGTTTGATGACGTGAACGATAATAGCACCGTCTCCGGTCTAGTGCCGATGTACAACCCCGTTCCCATCTATAAGGATACGGATGAGCATCGGCCTATATCAAATGCGCCCGTATGCCTCCGCTTCAAGGTTGCTACCGACGATAAGCTGAAACGCGTTGCGGATGAAGGGACGGTTTATACCAGCTCTGATGTCGATTACACCGTAAAGGCGAGTACTGTCATCCCAATGAACCAACATCGTCGCCCCCTAACGCCCCCTAATTCTCGTAAGAGATGTGTATTGACTCGGGGTTTAATGTAGGTGGAAGCAACGAAACTGAAGCCTTTCACCACTTATTACTACCAATTCTCTGTCTGTGGATCCAACAAGAAAAGCCCCATCGGGCGCACCAAAACAGCCCCAAAGGCATCTCGTTCGGTCGACCGCATCAACCTGGCGGTGTTTTCCTGCAGCAACTATCGTATGGCAGTTCCTCTCGGTTCCTAAACGGCTAGCAGCTAATAGAGTCTAATAGCATTCGGTTTCTTCAATGCCTATGGTAACGTGGCACGGAAGGACTCTGTGGATTACGTCCTTCACCTTGGGTAAGAGATTTACGTCCCGTTTCCCGAAACCGTGTGGGAAATTGACACGCTCACTACCTGATTTCTGCCACAGAGATTACATCTATGAGTATGCTGACGGCGAATAGTAAGTTCAACCACAAACACCACCATTGATTAAAGGTACTAAACCCAAATGCAGCGGCTCCGGCAAGGATATTGGACGATTGTCTCTACCAGATCGCACCATATACACTCTCTATGATTACAGAAAGCGACTTGCAACTTATAGGACCGATCTTGATCTCCAAGCCAATCATCAAAACTTTGCCTGGATCCCGGTGTGGGATGACCACGGTATGTTAGCCTTATCTGTTGCTGTTGTCTTTGCTCTCTAACTCCAAATAGAAGTTGCAGACAACTCCTATCGCGATGGCTCATCCGAATTGAATAATACGGAGGCATCGTTTATTAGCAGCGGCGGCATCTCGGTGGATCAACGGAAAATGAACGCAGTTCGTGCGTATTTTGAATGGATGCCAATCAGGTTCGCCTTTTTTATACTACATCATATGGCGACTCTTGCTAACTCCTTCCAAAAGACAGGTTGATATGGACGACAACCTTCGTATTTGGAGGAATTTCCAGCTTGGCTCTCTTGTGGACGTTATTATGCTCGATACCAGGAACTATGATCGATCGATTACCAACCTGTATTGGAATAAAGACTATGTCGACCAATTGCAGAACGAACCCAATCGCAGCTTGATGGGCTCCAAGCAAGAGAACTGGCTCTACCGCAATCTAATCCAATCCGCTAAACGAGGAGCTAAATGGCGTATTATTGGAAGCCAAATAGGTATCGTTCCTCCCATTAAACTTTTATGTTTATCTTTTTTTTTTTTTTTTAAATATATTTACCCTCAGCGATTTTGGCACTGATAAGTTCATAAGTCTTCTCATCTATCGATGAATCTGCTGCATTCGGCGATAATCGGGCCTTCAATCTGGATGCTTGGAACGGCTACCAGGCCAATCGAAACCGCACCTTCAAGACTCTATTTGATAACAAAATCGACAATAACATTTTAATTGCAGGAGACAGCCACGCGAACTGGGTGAGCGACTTGGTCTGGCTGGGTCAGAAGGAATACGACCCTGCCACTGGAGCCGGGGCAATTGGCGTCGAATTTGGAGGAAGCGCAGTGACATCCTCATCCCCAGCGGGACGCAATATCGACATCAAGGATTCCATCAACGCCTCGAAAGCACTTGTGACAACTAACCCAGTTCTCCAGTGGTCGGAGCTATATTATCGTGGATACTTCGAACTTCATATCACTCCAAAGGAGGTTGATGCTCGCTTTTTTGGTACTCCTAAGCTGCGAGTTCGTAACCCTGGTGAGATTTCTCTGGCCAATTTCACGGTTAAGAGTGGTGCGAACCGTCTAGATCGTGGTCCTGTGGGAGTTCCTGCTGGAGGTATTGTGGAGAATGGCTGGCTCAAGGGTGGGAAGGTCGTCCAGACGAATGTCACCAATAGCACTGACACAGGTCGGTGGTATATTAGCAATTAGAAAGTCTTGTAAGTATCCAACTGTTGTATATATACGTGATTGCGAATAGGGAGTACCTGTTATGGCTACATTACGATTTGTCCCTTCTTTTTTTTTTTTTTTTTCCCTGGAGAAAATGGTAATAAACTGGCTTACAGCGAGGCAAGAGTCGCAACGCCAGAATTTAATACCGAAGCCAATACTAAATATAAGCAATGTGGTCATGAAATATCTGGGTTCTGATAGATTAAAGTGTGCTGGCGTTGATGTAGCAGTCTCGTTGTCGCGGTTGGCGAGTTTAACTAGTTAGTGCCACAGCTCAGGCGTTGAACTTCGTTGACGAGTCTCTTGACGACTCCAACACGCCAATCTCCCTCTCTCACCATCAATTTACTGTCCCTTCATTCAGCAGCCATCAGATTATCAATATCAAATAGTTTGATTAGCGGTCGCCGTCTATTCTACATTAGATGTAAAGGGTGTTGTTTCAACCTGAGATTTTCAACGGCATTCGTGCCACTTCGACGTGATGCCAACATACCGTGTTGGTAAGGATGAAATCCAGCTCATTACCATCCTCTTGCCCTTTGACCTGTATTCCCTTGATGAAAGGGTTTGTTGTATGCGATGCTGCAAAACATTACTTTCACATTATTCTTTACATCCGTGCTGTTCGCTGTATGAGTGATTTCATCCAGTTCTCCTATTCAAAGGATACTTACAGATGTCTCTGTGCCACTGGATTTTGGATAGTGCGCTGTTTTTCAATATCTAATGGAATTTCTGCTATACAGAAGAGGCCAGCACTGGCCGCGCTGGCTGTAAGAACACAGAATGCCAGCAGAAAAAAGAAAAAATTCTCAAGGGTGAATTGCGACTTGGCTCATGGGTTGATACGGAGCAATTCCAGAGCTGGTCCTGGAAACACTGGTATATACCACCATTTTATATCCTTTGAGTATCCCTTCTTACCCTATAAATTTATACTTTGCATTCAATTTTCTGATATCGCAAAACGCAGGGGCTGTGTAACTCCCAGGCAGGTGGCGAGTCTGCAGGAGATCGTTGGAGACGATAAGGACTTCTCTCTCCTCGATGGATATGATGAACTTTCTGCTGAGAACCAGGATAAGATCCGTGAAGCAGTTGAGAAAGGCCATGTCTCTGATTCTGACTGGAGGGGCGTAAGTTGGGAATCGGCTTTACATGGTTGTTTGGGCTTACGTTTCCATGTTCTAACTGTGAACGATGTAGGATGTTGAAGTGAACCGCCCAGGTAAAACTGGTTTCCGTGTTCGAGTTTCCAAAAAGAAGGCAGCCGCGGGTGCGGATGGGGAAGCAGATGTCAGTGTTCTATGACTCCTCACTCCTAAAGCTATATGCTCACGTTACGATAGGCAAAGAAAGCGAAGGCCGATACTCCCAAGAAAACTAAACGGTCTCGAGGCAAGAAGGGGGATGCGGGGTCCGATGTAGAGGCAGATGGTGAGCCAACTCCCAAAAAGGCGAAAACTGCAGCTCCCAAGAAGAAGTCAGGAAAGGCAGAGCAAGCATCCGATGCGGGAACTGAACAAGCGGAAACGCCAAAGGCTCGCCGCAAGTCCACTGGTGGACCAAAGAAACCAGAAGCGGAACCCAAGGCTTCTAAGGTTACCGAGTCCAAGCGACCCCGGAAGTCTGCTGAGAAAGGTGGTCCAACAACGACTCGAGTAACACGCTCTAGGGCCAGAGCGGGATGAACTTGCTTTACGGCGGTGTCGTCGTTTTTAAATTCCGGTTTCTAGCCATTGTCCGAAAAGAAATTGTGTAACCATGTCTTTAAATGCCGGGGCGTCGGAAGGATTTTAAACTGTATCTCATGCGGTTCTTTCAAATATCCTGAGAAGAATGTTCAGTTTACTCTGTAGTTTCAGTGATCTCGTGCTCTCCTTCAGAATTCCATTCGGTTGACTCTCAAGTCGTGGCTATTGTTGTGTCATTCTGCTGACTGCGCCGAGTTGCAACTGGGAGCGAGAACCATATTGCAGCTCAAGTCGTCATGGGCCAGGTCTCATCTAGCGGTTGGTGTCCTGTAGCTGCATGCAATTCCGTGTGGAATCAACTGTATCGTCTTGACTCCATCGTATAACTAGGCTTCTGGAAGCTTTGATTGTTGCCCAGGCAACGCGGATTTTTTGGTGCGAGGCAACATCACGTCGTCCAAAATCCAACCCAAGCCAGAGGTGACGACAAGTCGATTAGCCTGCATTAAGACGATTCTGTGCTTTTTAGACCTAGCGTGCTTCTGGATTTAATCATTCTTGTGAAATAATTTCAACAGAACTGCTTTTCACTGGCATGGAATCCTCGCAGAGTCCCTTTCAGGGACAAACGTCGCTCTTCCAGGTCTACCTTCGTTTGCGCCCACCGATCGGTCAGAATGCTGACTTACAGAATCAAAAATCCGACTACTTAATAGTTGAACCACCAGAGGAAGCCGGTAGCAGCGATGACACTGACGGAGCAAGATTATGGTCAAAATATATTACGGTCCAGCCCCCGAATGATTCGAGAAAACGGGCCGTTGAGAAGTTCGCATTTACGAAAGTCTTTGAGGAGCGAGCGTCTCAATTGGAAGTATTTGAGGAGACTGGAATGGTTCCATTAATAAAAGGAGTTTTAGTCGAAGGTCGAGACGGGCTAGTTGCGACGCTGGGAGTCACTGGGAGCGGGAAGGTCTGAGGCTTCATATTGGCCGACCGAGAGAGTGTGCATATAGAGACTGACAAACTGCCATTTGCTCTAGTCCCATACGATTCTCGGTTCGAAGTCGCAGCGTGGAATAACCCAAATGTCTCTCGATGTCCTTTTTAAGTCCCTTGCTCCCGCCATCCAGAGCTCGGATAATGCGATGCTCATGCAGTCCTTAGCAGCTTCAGATCCTTCCGAAGCCCAACTTTATTCCGCAAGATCGTTTATTGAGAGTGTTTATGGAGATCCATGTGCGGATCGCGGACGCGGATCCAGAGCCCAAACGCCCAATGTTTCATCCAGAGCTCAGACGCCATTGGTATGCAGTCCATCTCAGTTCCTACCCCCAAACCCGTCCAAGAAACAGAGTCCCAGCCTTGGGCTTTATTCTTCAGTTCCCAGGCCGATTATTGGATATTCCGATACCCAAAGAGGCTGTTATGCTTCCACAATTCGGCTTCTGAATTCAACAGATTCTGATGGCGGCCATGTGCCTATATGGCCGGCGCCCAAGAAGCTCACTCTCCCTTCCCAATTGCCCTTCTGGAGAACTCATAGAATTAAAAGAAGTGAAACTAAATCTCAGTCTGCCGTTAAGGAAACCCCGGTTACAGCAACGTTCCCTCGCCGTCATATGGCTCCTAGACCCAGCGCGTTCCCGCAGACTCCTGATGTCAGTGACTTTGTACTATCTATACCCGAACACGATGAATATGCCGTATTGGTGTCGATGTATGAAGTATATAACGACCGAATTTTCGACTTACTTTCTCCAAGTAACGGATCCTCCAACCGCTCAGCGAACAACAACCAAAAGGATAGCCGTCGCCCGCTAATGTTCAAACCAACCGAAGGTTCAATGGACAGAAAAGTTGTTGCCGGTCTACGAAAGGTCGTCTGTAGCACTTGCGAAGAAGCACTGACAGTTTTAGAGACCGGGTTAACTGAGCGAAAAGTCACCGGGACTGGAAGTAACAGTGTTAGTTCGAGAAGTCACGGCTTCTTTTGCGTTGAAGTCAAGAAGAAGATCCGAGATCAAAGGTTGGGATATGAATCATGGGTTGGGAATACGCTGACCATTGTTGATCTTGCTGGTATGTCGTACCGCAAATTGATGGTGGATTGTACTAAATTTGCGAAATAGGCTCTGAGCGCGCTAGGAATGCGAAGACCGCCGGTGCGACTCTTGCAGAAGGTGGTAAAATTAACGAAAGTTTGATGTATCTCGGCCAGTGCTTGCAGATGCAGACGAACTTGCAGTCTGGTAGCAAGGTGATTGACATTCGTCGAGACGGCTTCACTGATGTATATACTAATCGTTGGCAACTAGGCACTTGTTCCTTTCAGACAGTGCAAACTTACAGAGTTGCTATTCTCGAATTCCTTCCCTTCTTCAAGTCAAACCGCACATTCATCTCACCGGATTCCTCAGAAGGCCAACATGATAGTCACAGCAGACCCACTAGGCGATTTCAATGCGACTTCACAGATCCTACGCTACTCTGCTCTGGCTAGGGAGGTTACCGTCCCCAGAATCCCGTCGGTTTCGAGCACGATTCTAGCTATTCCAGCCAAGCCTCCTCATAGTGGGAAATCAGCGTTCCTATCAGCTTCAGCGGAGGAATTGGAGCGTGCTGCCTTGGAAATTGCCAAATTGACAGATGACTACGAAGCTCTAGAAATGAGATTGGCCGAAGAAGAGATGGCTCGGGAAGAAGCTGAGATCAGATGGAAGGCAGCAGAAGAGAAATGCTTACTTCTTGATCAAGAAATTAGAGAGGAATGTTTTGCGGAGATGGAAGAGCGCATTGAGGACGAAAGAAGGAGATGGCAGCAAGCTTGGGATGAGCAGACGCGTCGTCATGAAAGCCATCTCGATAGAAAGCTGGATCTTCTTTCAAGGGGTGTGGAAAGTATGTTTTTGGGCTTTGAACGGTCTCTTTTTGCTCACACTAAATACGGCTGAAGCTGACTACATTGAATCAGTCCACGAAGACCCTGAACCCTCGACTGAAGAGCGTGTTGACGAGCTCGAACGGGAAAATGATATGCTCCGAACTCGAATTGCTGCATTAGAGCGCGAATTACTCAACCGTTCGCCCACCAAGAAAAACACCACTACGTCAAAGAAGAATACTATCCCTGGTCGCTTTGACTCACTAGATTATAGCTTTCTTAAAGCAGACAGTGACACGGAGAACAGCTCACTAACAATTTCCAAGAAATTGGGGAGACTTCGGTTAGGCGAAAATTTGCCATCGAGTCCCCTTAGTCAAAGAGAAAGAAAATAAGAACATGAACAAGAAATGAGGGTTTGCCGTTCTACTAGCTACCTGATATTAATTACGACGGCGTTTTTGGAGTTTCTCAAGCGTTGGCTGGTGCTTTTCATGATATCCCTGGAAGGTATATACAGGCTTGCTTTTGTTAACGCTCTAGGTCAATTTCTAATTGTTATTATCTTCAACGGGCTAAAGATATGATAAATAAGCCTTTTAAAATTCGCATTTCAATATAGTTAGTTACGTGTTTGGCCGAAGAGACCCCTTTGGAAACGATTCGAATAAGACCTGGGGCACAAACTTCCACACCAGGCAGTATACCTCGAGCTCCTTAAATAAACTCCATAATTCGAATTCCCAGACTGCCTCTATTTCACCGAATAACGTGCACAAATGCCTTAGGGAACGCAGAGTCCCGGCTCGTATAATCAAGTCTCAGATGATGGTTTATCAAGTTCCTTCCATATCCACATCTGAGTGATCGGACTTTCGAGCATCATCAGTGCGTCCGGGCTTCTTATCTACCACTCCGGGCTCGGATTTATTGTCCGGTACGGAAATGGTTTGAGCTGATTCTCCATCATTATCATCTCCCTCTCCATCCCCCTCCTCTTCAGCCTCTCCTTCAGCATCACCCTCTCCCTCTCCCTCGCCTTCACCTTCACCGTCACCGTCACCTTCACTGTTGCTGTCACCCTCGCCGTCACCCTCGCCGTCAGGGCCCCCATCTACATCCACATCTCCACCCGTTTCTCTACCGTCGTGGCTAATGTTCGAAGACAACTCAGACATGGGATTCGGAGACGCTAATCGCTTAACAAGCAAATTAGGAAACATGGGCAGACTTGGTTTTGAAGGGTCTGACATTTTTGAATCGTCGAGTTCACTTAATTCGCTTTCGTCTTCTCCACTATCGTGAATACTTGGAAGCGCGCTACTAGGGACAATGGCTGGCCCCGTCGCTTCTCCGGCTTCTGGAGTTTGTTGTGAAACCGGTTTTGAGACTTCTTCTTGAGCCTCGGCTTTGTTGGCCGTTCCTTCTGTCGCAGCCTGCTCGACAACAACAGGCTTCGAGTCTTCATCGGCTGGACGTATGGGTTTTGGGCGCGATGCGGCCGCTTTGGTGGCGATAGCATCTGCTTTTCGCTGTACTTCTCTTCTTGTAACACCTTTGGCTCTGGCTTTAGGTCCTGGTGCTTTTTCCGGGGGCTTATCTGGAGATTTATCAAGCCCTGGGGGTGGCGTGTGATTATCGTTGACGGAGTCGCCAGCTGATAGGAGATGATCGACTTTCATTCGTTCGCGGTTCTCCTCTTTGGCAATCCTTTCCAAGATACCGGGAACTGTCTTTTCATATATAAGTGCATAAACGTCTCCAACCAAGTCTTCGAATATACCGGGCTTTATCAGCCCCCCGTTGAGCTTCTTCAACTCGACAGCTTCTCTGACAAGATCTATCAGTGCTGGCTCCGCCGTTTCGGAATGTGTCCAAGAGTCTAAACGAGTGGCATTCGCAACAAATTCCTCATGGCCTAAGGGTTTGAATATCGCCTCTTCGTGACTTGCGGGGACATGGCCCAACCGGCGGAAAAGCTGCAACTGCTGGTTAAACCATGGATTATAATAGCAACAGTATCAAAATTCGGACAACATACTTTTATATAGGTAAGACATATATCTTCCCAGAGCTTTGTATAATTGACGTAGTCGTTGGGTTTTCTCCGTACACGACGAAGTAGAAGATCTAAGCCCGTCCTATCGTTGAGCTGGTCCATGATGTGTACAAAAAAATATACGTAACGAGATGTGTACACGAAGTGCCTTCCCGGTCGTTCATTTTCAGGCCTCCACACTTGGAGTGTCATTGTTTTCGTGAATATGTGCTGAGAAAGCTCGTGTTTCGCTGCCGCGGCAGCCTCAACATCCCTTGTGTCGTCGTATATAACATGGGCAGCCTATTAAAGATGAGTCCCTGCACAGAATCTAAGATGCAAGAATACTTACCCTTGCCACAATGCGATGGTGCCAGTTTGACTTGTCAGCGGTGCCGAGGTTTTTCAGGACGTTCAATATGAATGGCTTCCACCCAGCCAAATCTTCAACTGGAGAAAGTTTCCTCCCCCAAGGAGTAGCAATAAGCCTCTCACTTGCATTGCATGGCTAACTATAGTCAGATACTTGAGCTTCCAATGAGAAGATTGGTTGCGGGTACTAACATCTAAATCTCCACGCTTTACCAGTTTATGAATTATTGACGCCAGCTTAAAATGAGGTTCCAGAATTGGGTCAGATCTGGAATCTCTTTTCTTAGGCAATGCTTCGATAGCTGCATCCAAAGAATCAAGGATATCTTCCACTTCGATTGGCTTGTAGCGTTCCTTCAGAGGATCTTGGGAGGTAAACATCTTCCAAAGGCACTTGCTGAACATGTAATGGTTTCTATATGAGCTGTTAGCACCCAAATAATTGCATGATATTATCTGTAAATTCACTTACATCCAGTTCATTGGTCGATCAACCATGGCTTTTTGAAATAGATAACTAGCAAAGTACCAAGTGGAGTAGAGCTTCATATCCCTAAACGGCTTCCCTGTATACATTTGCTGGCTCTTATCACTGCTAAAATGTCTCGTAAAATCATCCAGGCTAAATGCGGCCATTGAAAAAGGCTCCCTTGAAGAAGCATAGATCCGGAAGCCAAATTGTGTATAGAGATCTGATATGGTCTTTTTTGTTTCCGCAGACGAATCTGCCGTTCTAATAGCAAGAGCTATTGCCATCGAGTACGAATGGATAGCTCTTCTCTCTAACAAAGTCAAATCCGCACGATGATGATTTAGTTTTTCGGCAGACCAAGTGATGTCTTCTTCGAGCTTCGCATCATAAACCTGTCCGAGGCGGTACCAAGTTTCCCATCGGTCAACTCCATGTTCTAGCTCGCGGCGGAAAAAGGTGGCAGCTAGATCGAGATCATCTGTGGCCGTAGGACCAAGGCGTTTTTGAGTTTTGAATTTTGTGAATGCTGCAAGTCCAAGTAGGAAGTACCATCCGTTTTCCGCCAACCTGTAGCTCTCAGTGTGGACAGGGACGACCGATACGTCACTTACTCCCTGGACTGCTCTGTACAGAATGGCCGGATTTATAGGAGACTTCAGGAACGCTGATATAATCCTCTTGTTTTGGGTGATAGCAGGATATATCCTACCAGACCAGCCTATAGACATCTGTATAGTGTCTATTGTAGACTTTAAGTCTGACTTTAAAAAGTCTTTGATGTTCATCCGCTTAGCCTGCAGCATGGCAAAATCTACCATCATTAATGCCGTAGGCCTGTCCAACTTCTCGACGGGGCAGCCGTGATCGAGGGAAATATCGAGTTCTGGGGAGAACTTGAGACCGTAATAATCGAACAGCACCTGCGCCACGTCTGACTCATAGCTATCTTCTGCATCGAGGGTTAGAAGCTCTTGCTTCATCACCTTCAAGAGAACTTTATTTGCGTATCTGCAATATGAACGTATTCCGAGCGCGTTATGGACTGAGCGCAGATAATTGATACAGTCATCAGAGGGCATATCAAACAGTTCTTTATTCTGCGCAATACCCTCTTTTATTAGAGTGTATTGTAAAGTCCACGACCTGACCAGCATGGAACGGAGTTTCTCCTTATAATGGTCGTATGCTTTCGCGGCTGCTGCGGGCCGAATCTCTGGAGGACTGGTCTGGCCAATCCGTACAGAGTCTTCGTAGAGGACGAATGAATGTAGCAGTCTTGAAAGTCGCGCGATGGCAGACATAGATGATTGAAGGTGGCTCATGTCAATGCATTCAAACGAGCTCTTAGGGTCATCTAATATCTTTCCTATCACATTAAGCATCAAATAGTCCGCGCGATTAAGCCATCTCAGCAAGGTTTCCTGGCGCTGGTTACTTGGTAACTCGAGGTATGTAGGAGCTACAAGCTCTCCAACGATGATTTCGATGCTCCTGAGTGAGCATGAAATGACTTTGGTTGGGTATTGAATGGACTCATAAGCTTTCTGGAGCCGCCGCCAAAGGAATAGCTTCAACGTTACATCACCACGATCGAGGAAGAAAGCCAAATCTTGAGCTCGTTGAATTTCTGCTGGGACGTTAAGCAAGTTCGTAACCTGATCTTCGGCGAGTTCGGGTGGGTGATGTTCGATAGCTGACGGGTCTAGAATTGGCTCAATGTTCTCGATTAGACTCACAGGATCTTCTTTTCCCGGGCCAAACACCTTCATGAAAAACTCCATAGAGCTGATTCTTGCTATTTCTTGCTCAACTGCCGAAATAGATAACTCCGGCATAGTGGCATTGTTTACCAAGGTCAGCACGGGTTCACCGAATGATGTAAAGACGCTTTTCAGATCATTGAGGCATGCTAGCACATATTCGCGATCGGCTCCAGCTGTCAAATTGAAGCTCATTATAGTTGCCCAAAGATGTCGGAAGATATTTCCGGTTTGGAAGTCGCTCTTATCACCTATCTTTACCTGGTGATTTATCAGTCTTCGCGCAAGTGACTCCCAACGACGGAGTCGGTCTCGTTGCAGTGCCTTGTAGGATTCATCAGAATCGCTATTTGGCGAACACATGGATGCAAATATATCAAGGTGAAGCTCATAGAGGCTTTGGGCCATTTCTGCCGACGGCCCATTCCCAGCTGGGGAAGTTTGGGTGAAATCGCAGGCACTGGAAAGAAAGTGTTTGTAGGTAAACTCGTCGTTTCTGACAATCAAATCCTTTATAAGGGATTTCTTTCTGTCGGACCAGTGTTGAGTCGCGTAGGCTGAGCTTGGCTGGAGGTTGGATGAAGTGGTGGTGTTTAAAGAGGATGAAAGATCGGAAGTAAAATGGCACTCAAGCCACTTGAATGCCACTTTCTGGGGGTGGAAATTTTCTGAATTAACAGATTCCACAAATTGTGATAGCCCTTCATCATCAAAATAGCTTTCTTTTTGACTAAGAGCTGGTTGAGCCTGTCGAGAGCGTTCGAGAAAAATATTCAGGCCGGATTGCTTAACTCCTGCTAGACCATCGTGCGATGTAAAAATATCATCTTTTAAATTCTGTGCCCCGGACCAATTCTCAATCGCCTCACGGAGATCCCGCATACTCACTGATTCCAGGCTAGGCTCGTGGAACGAACCACGGGGGGAGGTATGTCCATCAGTTTGGTCGATGGCATGCCTCATTTCATCAATCGTACCAAGCTCCTCAACGCCTAGTTTTGAAAGGAGTGCACCGCTAGTACTGAACATCCATTGGTCGGCATGAGCAAAATGTTCTAAGCGGTCCTCGAAGTATTTGGTTTGGTCGAAGACGATTTCATCTTGATGGGCTTGCGCTTCGGCGATGGATTCACGCGCCCTTATGCGTCGACTCTTTGCTCTTCCACCGTCTGTGGGCTCTTCGTTGCCGACCGATGTAGAGGATCTCTTCCGAGATTGAGGTCCATGGACCTTGACATTTGCGTCAGCTGCAGGTGGAGTAAGGGGTCCGTCACCGTCCTGTTCTGCACTCTTCTCGTTTGCTTGCTCGGCCTTGTCCGTATTATCCTTAGCATTTTCATCTGTGTTTTTCTCCGTGCTTTGTTCGTCGTCCAAATCCGATTCGCGTTTGGGGCTTTTAGAGCTCGGCTTCTCTGCCGTAGTTACCGGCTCTCCGTTCTCTCTATCTGGGAGTTCTATGTCGTCATCATCATCCAATCGAACCTCTGTGAAGTCGCCTATTTTATTCTGTTGAATGATCGGAAGCTCAACGAAGCAGCTATTTCTAGGAAGCTGAATCCGTAGGGTCACGGGTGACCAGATCGAATCGTCGGTCTGTGACTCCTCTGCTAATGCTCGAAGAATGGCGCTCCCAACATCTGTCCACGTATTACTCGCAGAGGTAGCGAGACGGTGGCGGGTTTTGTTTCCATCGGACTGGTGGGGCGCCGAACAGCTGCGGGTTTCTTTCGAGTGACGGGGAAGGAATGGATATAGGTCCGCCTGCTTTGCCAAAAGACGAGAAATACCCTTTCTAGGCTGCCTAAGTGGAAGTTGTGCGGAGGAAACTTTATCCTGAAGGGTTCTGAGGATTTCATGCAGGTCTCTAGCAGCAAAAACCTGCTCTAGCCCTGGTTGTCCAAGACGATCCTCTACCCCATAACCATCTCCTTCGAGCACACTTTCCAAACAAAATCTTGCAATCCGATGACTTTTTAGAGCATTTCCTACTCGGCTGCTCTTCCTCCATAACTCCATATCGGTTTCGTCCCGTTCAAGAGCTTCTGCGAAATGCTCTAGAGCTTCCTTTATTTGGTTTGATACATGAATGTCGTCTTGCTTTTCTCGTTTATCCAGCAACACTTTCAGGTGATCTAAGAGGAACTGTGCATGATTTTTGTACGATAGAAATATTGTCTGGGGTAAAGCACTGGAGGTTGTATTGATGGCGTCCGGCGCCGAGTCGCCTTCAGCTATCTCGTCAGGAAAGTAAAAGTCGTCATCATCCAAGCCTAGAATTTGATCTCTCTTGTATTCAGAAGTAGCCTCTGGGTATTTGAATATTTCGGATTCAAAGAGGGCGTTGTAGGCCTCCTGGGCTTGGTCGTAGTATTCAGGCCCCTGGGAATGGAGCTTCAGGGCATTTTGGTATAATTTGAGGGCCTCCTCTATCTGGATTTCTTTGGTATCATCAACATCCTCGATATCTTCAGCGGGCTCGACATTCAATGCAACAAATGTCGACATGATGAAAGCTCGCCAGGGTCCCGGGCAGATCAACTTCCTTGCAGCACGTCACAGCTATTGCATATGCACAGCAAAAGAGAACCAAAAAAAAGAAAAAAAAAGCCCCAAAAAAAGGCCAGCCAATGCAAGCGACACACAGCAACTGTGCAGCTATAAGATTTTCTGAGAAAGTTCAAGCAGGAATCCCAGATGTTCAAATAGACTGAGTGGTGCAGTTGGGTGATGGAGGAGCATTGGACGAGAACATGTAGAGCTTCCTAATCCAGCATAGCGCGATCTGGCACGCTGTCGTAATGCGGATGGCAGCGCCGATAAGCAGCACCAGAAGATAAACCAGGAGCTAATTCCCACTGTAACATCTGTTAGTTCTCCTTGGATGCCTGCTGGGCTCATTCGCTTGCCTACACGATTGTTCATGTCTATGAGGATTGTTCAAAGAGATTCACTTCACGCGCGTTCGCCTCCCAACACGTTCGCTCCTTAACAGCCACCTGTTCGATCCCGACCCTGTTGCATCATGATTGCGCCAGCTGTCCCAGAGTAAGATCGGAATTGGGCCATTTGTTTCCAACGAATGTCTATTGACTATTATTCTCCTTAGATTGATAGAGGATGAGGATATCTATGCCTCAATTGAGGCCCGAACAGAATCTCTTCAGAGCTTAAGGGAACTCGGGCCCCCAGATCTCGTCCATGTCGTGAAGCAGTCAAAGGCCAACGCCAACCATCAGGTTAGAAAACATGCGGCTATTTTTACTGCTTTCACACATCTTGACTTTCAATTGTCATGCTTGGTATTGTGATGGAATGCTAACCATCCCCTATGTTATAGACAGGAGTCTACCACCATGTGACGGGAATCGACGCTTCCTCCTCCGCCAGCCTGGCTGCATATGTTACCACTCTTACTTATTCTCCGCTCGATAAGCACAACAAGGTTATTTCAGGGATATACTGGTGAGATCAACAAGCCTACTTTTCAAAGGACGAATCATTGATGGCATGAAGCTGCTACAATGCCTTCTCCCACTTAGACATGCGAGTCGAGGTCAAAATTCCCGGCACCCTCGAAAGCTATTGCATTGACGAGCGCGGAGATAAACGTGTTCCGACAGAGCAGTTATGGCTCGAGACTTTCGTCTGTGGGGTTTTGAGAGCCTATGCGTATGCAGATGATGGGAATGGCGATGCTATCAAGAAGATCGTCGCTGTTCGGAGATTCAATCCCGTAACCAATACGGAAATGGAACATAAATTCCTTGATGCAGCGGAAAAGCTATTCTTTAATGGTCTGGGATTCCCTACCTGGGAGGATTGGCGTTACGGGGGCTAACAGGAACCCTAGGAAGACAACTTAGTTCCGATCCAGAGACTCAGGTTCCCAACACAGTGAGCAACCACCTGGCGTCCGGTCTGCTAAAATACATCCATACCACCGGGCGTTATGCATCGGGTATTAACTTGTTCGAAAAACTTCGAACAAAAGACGTTGAGGTATCGTCGTTACTTGCCCGAGTCCTGATATCGGCAAGCGAAGAGGTCCAAGCAGTAAGGCTACTGCATGATGCACTGCAAGATGTTCCTATGGACTACGCTCTTTTGGATTGTCAAGCAGTCTTTTGCCAGAGCAAAGGCGAATATGAAATGGCGCTCGAATGTGCTAAACGGAGTGTCACAGCTGCTCCAAGCGAGTTTAGCTCCTGGATACGATTGGCGGAAGTATACGTGCACTTGGAACAGTGGGATTTGGCCTTATTGACACTGAATTCATGTCCTATGTTCACGTATCAAGATAAAGATTCCCCAAGACTTCCACAACCGTCTCGGATCATCCTTCCCATCCTCCCCGAAAGCATGTTAGATGAGCTTGACGAGGGGCAGCCGAAACCCGGAGATCCCGTTGATATGGTCAACCCGATTTTAAAAAAACTTCACGCCGCTACCTATCAAGGCACATTTTTGAAAGCATACAGCCTACTCACGAAGATTGCAGCAGCTATCGGCTGGGACCAGCTTTTGAGGATCCGAAGTGAAGTATTTGTCATGGAAGAAGAATACAGAGTCGAGCGCCAGGCGAGTTCAGCGCGCCCCGTCACAAGCAACAACGCTAGTACGGTAGCGCTTCACGAGGCTTCTAGCGCAGCTTCAGACGTAAACGGAAACGGAGTCCACGACTCAGATGACGTGGAAGAAAATGGCGATCGAAACAGCACCCATGGTGAAACACCAAAGGAAAACGGCGACCTGGATCAGCCTGAAAGCCATTCCATTGAATCAAGAATCGAAAAGCCCGAGCAAAGTATGGCATCAGAGGTTGTAAAGTCGGGCGGTGAAGATGTAAGATGAGTTTCTCTCCTCTTATATTTTGTATATCTGCTTACCGTTAACGCATAGCACGAGTCTCCGAACGCTTATACGCATTTTAACAACAAACGATTATGCGAGCGTTGGCTTGACAATTTATTTATGGTTTTATACGAGGATTTGCGCGTCTACACCATTTGGCGCAGTGAAACGGCGCAATCTCGTGCACAGTCGATAGAATATAAGAAATCTGCAACCGAATGGGAAATCCTTGGAGAACTGGCAGAGCGACTGCATCATTTCAATGAGGCTATAGAGGCGTACCAGCATTGTTTGCAAATTCGCTTCTCACCCAAAGCGATGAAGGGCATTCTCAAAATGTATGAGCGGCAAAACGACACGAGGGGTATGCTTAACGCACTGATTAGGCTTATTGCCTGGCAATATCGTTGGTATTCGGAGGTATGTTGCTTGAAGATATGGGAATTGTCGATTGTCTCGTTTCATAGTGCTGATGGTATCTGCTATATCTAGTTCTCTCCCGAGCTCCTGTTTACGATCCGCAGGTTGATTGAGGAAGAAGGAGCGGTTAAAGTTCGCAGCATAGTCCAGGCAACAAATTTACCCCAACCTGTGTTAGACCTTACCCACCATTATTGCCAACTCTGCGCTACATTTAGAAGCACTGGTAGCGATGGCTAGGCTGAAAGAGAGGTTTGACTATAAAGATCATGGCTTTCTTTGTGGATACATAGTATTAGTTAATATTCCTTGCCGAAACTTCCAGCGCATGGAGCAGATATGCCGAAGAAATTTAATAGTTCTTAACTCATAAAACCTATTCTCGTCCCGTCCGCCATTAGGGATCCTGCCTGTTATCAGACTCGGGTGCTGCAATCTCTGAGAACTTTGCTTCTAATGCAAACATATTTTCATTGGCTAAGACAATTTTGTTTTTCTTCATATCTTTTGAAGTGGGGCGACATCATTTTGTGTTGCAGGCTGAACTTCTCTAAAAATCCCAGAGATTCATGACAGAGAAATCACCATTCGCCTATTGAGTTCCGTCCATATTCGAGAAGCAGTTCTAATACAAAGCCATACTAATGATATACGAATACACGGACCAGAGTAACTGTCCCTTTTCTATACCCGGTGAATTCATTCTTCCTCATCGTCAAGTTCCACCTGCGCAGTGGGCTTGGCAGCAACATCAGCAGCCCCTTTCTCAGTAGCGTGGCGCACATCTCTCTTGATTAGAGGTGTATCGTCGTCTTCCTCTTCCTCTTCGTCACCTCCCTCTTGTTTGCCTTGGCCATTTGCTTCAAGTGGCGCTCCGCCTTCCACTTCTTCCTCTTCTTCCTCTTCCTCTGGCAGTTCTGCTTCCTCCTCTTCTTCCGCTGGAAGCTCTAATTCTTCCTCTTCCTCTCCTTCTGCCTCTAACTCTTCCTCTACTTCCTCCTCCTCTTCTTTCTCTCTAGGGGCAGGGCCTGTTTTGCGTCTCTTGTGTCGCGCTATTGGGAGAAAGACTCATCAGCCACAAGCTCCCAAATTATGCAACACTGATGAATGAACGGAAACTTGGGAGGGGCAATATGAGAATATACACTATTTTCGCAACGCAGTGATGAGCAAGGATAGGATGAATTCGATCAACTTACGCTCAGCTTCTTCTTCTTCTTCTTCAGGCTCAACCTGCTCTTCCTCTTCCTCTTCTACTTCGGATCCGCCTTCTGCTTCAAACTCTGATTCTTCAAATCTATTTGAAGTGATAAGGTCAGAAAATACTGGAGTGCTTATTTGATGCAGAGCAGTAGCTGACATTCAAAGGCAAAAACAGGTACAAAGATATATGTCAAGCGTGCATTGGGGCTATCAAAACATAAACATGTTCCATCTTCATCAGGAGCTAATTCAGTGCTTTCATCTGATGAATGAGGCTATAGACATATCCTAAAAGGATGCACACAATGGACGCACGCAAAACAGCGGAGAGTAGGTCTCCCTGGTGTCCCAAAGGGAAGAAACGCTAGGGTAAAGGGCAGCTCAGCAACTGAGATAGGGATTGGACATACTCTTCTTCCTCTTCGCTCACGTCGCTCGGCAGAGCCTGCAGCTCCTCTTCCTCCTCAGCTTCCTGTCTTCTCTTCCGGGTAGACATAGCTAGTTGCGAGATGTGCGAAACCCGGAGTTGTGGAGAGAATGCGCTGCTTAATAATGCGCCTAGGCGCGAAATAATCGTGATGCTATGTGATGGTGGATAAAAAGGACGGTTTTTGATGAAGAAAGGAGGCCAATTGATGGGGAGATGGCTTGGAGGAGCGAGATATGGAGGTGCGAGGAAGGGAGAGAAGCGAGGGAGAAGCAGGTGAGGTCTGGGGGGCGGACAAGTGAGCGGCTGGCGTGAGGGGGGAAGTGTGGGCGAGCTTGATAGCAACAGGCTCAACGGGGGTACGTCAGGGGGTTCCAGCCACGGCGGTCTTACAAAGATACGGTAAGGTTGCCAGCTGGCTGGCTGGCGTGTACGGCGTATGTACTGTACTGTATAGTACGCACGTACCCGTCGGTTTGAATGTGCGTGTCATAAGCCTGTACCAAGGTTGGCTAGTACAAGGGTACCTCCACGTCGATGCAGCTCACATCTTTGGATCCTGGTTCTCCGGACCCAAGCTTCTTTTGACCTCTCAACGGCTCGTGAGATCACCTTAATGCGTACCGAATTTCCATCATCGTTATACCCTCGTCATTCTACCTCCAGGATACCACCAGCGGTGTTTGTAGTCTTGGAAAGGTCCTATCGCACCGACCTCGGGAGTAGGTGGCTAGCGCGGTCCATATACGGTAACTAACGATACGCTTAACTGTACGAATGATCGTTTACGCCAAGTTCCCACACCTCTGTAATATTACAGCCGCAGACGACAACAATGCAGGGGAAGATCACAGGTAGGAAAGCTGTGTCCAACCCTGAACCTTGTCAGAAGCGAGCAAACATTTGGTTCTCTCTGAATACCTTCAAGAGCGCGCTGATGGCCCGAGCGAGGATTCGTGTTCAACCGATTCGGCCATGACAAGATTTCGCTCGATGCGAATCACCCACCACTTGATTACGTGATCATCATTTCCAACCATTTAGCACCGTCACGTGAGCACGTGTCGCGATTTGCAGTGACAGGGATGTTTGCTTTGTTTGTTTTTATGGAGTGCAACCCCGGAAACGACGGGCAAGTAGCGGGAGAGGGAGAGGGAGAAGCGGAACCACTCTCGTCGACAAGGCACTGGAGGCAGAAATATATATCTAATACTTTAGTAATCCTGCTTTTGGTTTGAGTACGGGCTCATTGGTGTTCCCGTCACCGAGCAGGCATGGCCGACAACTCATGCGCAAACCCTCTCCTCCTAAGATGGATCAAAGAATGGCTGGATGAGGCTCGAGAACGAAGCTCAAAGGGGTTCACTGTGTTAGTCTCCCATGATCTGGAGATTATAATCACGGCTAACTCGCTTTGCAGCTATAAGAAGGCCTATGATTCTATGAAGGCATGCCCGCTAACCTTCAACCACCCTTTAGAAGCGCAGCAGTTGAATGGCCTTGGGCCGAAACTATGCGAGCGCCTAACAGTCAAGCTACAAGATTACTGCCGGGATAATGGGCTTCCTATGCCCGAGGTTCCACATACCGGTGTGTCCTATCTATCTCGGCCTTGCCGCCTTTTTCCCTTTCATCCCGAGCACTAAATGCGGCGTCACTAGTAGAGAAGGCGAAGGGCAAGAGAAAGACTCCTGAGGTCGGTGGATGCCCAGAAGTTCTACCAACGAAGCGGGCAAGGAAGCCCAGGACTTATATCCCTACACTCCGCTCTGGTCCCTACGCGTTATTGCTGGCGCTCGCGACTCTCGAAGAGAAGTCATCCATCGGCGCGACAAAGGCGCAGCTAATAGAAGCGGCTCAGCCGCACTGCGACACATCTTTCACCGCTCCGTCCGATCCGACAAAGTTTTATACCGCGTGGAATTCTATGAAAACTCTCGTGACAAAGGACCTTGTTTACGAGCACGGTCGGCCATTGAAAAGATATCTTCTAACGGACCAAGGCAGGGAAACTGCAAGATTAATTCAGAATACTCAGAAATCAGAAAATATCGGCCCAGGGCCTAGTAATTCCGTCGCCAGTAGCCGCCGATTCGGCCAGGAAATCGTCAACGCAACTCAAGACTCGCTCCGAGAACCACAGCATGGAATGCCCATGTATTCATCGAAATCTCGTGAAAACGCGCCGTATTCCCAGCGCTCAAACATAATTGACCTGGATAATTTTAATGATATCCCAGACGTATCTAGTGCTGGACAATACAAGCGGACTACGGCTGGTGCCGGGCTGAGCGGTTCCAATAGACCGCAACATATACCATCCTTTACTTCTACTTCGCCAATTCCCCTTTCGTCGCAAAATTTTACCGTTGAGCTGGTCCTTGATGTTCGAGAAATTCGTACCCCCAGGGACAGAGATTACATTTCCAATGAGCTGATTAGAAGAGGCGTGGAACCTATTGTCCGCTCCCTGGAATTGGGAGACGCCTTGTGGGTCGCCAAGTTCAAAGATCCAAACTTCTTAGCACAATATGGCGAAGAAGGCGACGAGATCATGCTAGACTGGATTGTCGAGAGAAAGCGCCTCGATGACCTTGTTAGCAGTATCAGGGATGGCCGATTTCACGAGCAGAAGTTTCGCTTGCGTCGATCAGGGGTCAAGAACGTGATATACCTAGTCGAGGAATTTGTCGTGGGTGACCCTTCAAACGCGAGCGCGGCCAGTGTCCATGAAGCAGTCACATCAGCCATAGCTTCGACGCAGGTTGTGAATGGATATTTCGTCAAAAAGACACGTAACCTAGACGACACGATCAGATACCTTGCGCGAATGACGTCGCTGCTGAGAAAAATATTCAGCGATCCATGTGACACCAGCAATTCTTCAGGCTTTACACATTCTTCCATTTCCCTCATTCCGACGCATGGTATAACTACAGCCTCATCTTATCTCGAAACGCTTGGCCGCCTACGCGCAAAGGAAGATGAAGCTGGACGTGTCAGCGTAGGTGGAAACACGTCGACGATATATGGCCTTACCTTTCCAACCTTTTCCGCTCTCTCTTCTAAATCCGATATGTTGACTCTCCGTGACCTATTTCTCAAAATGCTTATGTGCACCCGCGGTGTGACCGGCGAGAAAGCGTTGGAGATTCAACGGCGGTGGCCAACTCCACGGCAGTTTGTTGAAGCGTTTGAGGCTGTGGATACCGGCGATGCGGAAGGTAAGAAGAGAGTGGAGGAAATGCTATTTTCAAAGATGGGAAACCTGGTTGGGAGGAAGAAAGTGGGAAAGGCTTTGAGTAAGAGGATCTCGGAGGTTTGGGCGCGACAGAAGTAACCAGGTTATTTAGCTACGGCTTCAAGGTTCCAAGCATACATGGGCGTTAGGTGCATGTGATGAGACGCTTGTTATGCATACAGATATCCTATCCGGGGTTAGCTGTCTTCATTCTAGATTATGATCCATTATTGTATACGCTTGATATAAATCATTTTGCGGTCATTGGTTCCAGGGATAGATGGTTGAAGAATTGTGGCATTAAATGATATCAACAATAAATATCACTCTGGCTAATCCATTACAATTGATAATCAACTGATCCTAATTAGGAGATATCTCCAAAAAATGAATGAGAAGCAGAAATTCCGAAAACAGTTACAATCATTTGTGTGCAGAATCATAAGGCTTAATAAATAAAAGTCTAACATTGGAGCAGTCGTAGGTCAGGTATTGTGCTACCAAAAAAGTTACTCCTGGAAGATCAATTGGTAAAGATTTCCAAATGACCCTCATATCAAATTCTCTCGTCGCCCCGGCGCTTTAATATTTTGATGGCCCAGCCTTTAATACTCCTCCACTCTAATCTCAACGCCAGACTGCTCATCACAACTGACAAGCTGCTCAAAGCCATCGCCAGAGCCGCCCACACGGGATCCAGCCGCCAGTGGGTATTCACGATCCGTCCGTGCGAATCAGTTTTATGCCCGCTAACGATAGGATAAAAGACGCCCGCCGCAACGGGGATAAGGCAGACATTGTACACCGCAGCCCATAAGAAGTTCCATTTCACGCGTCGAAAGACCCGTCGACTGAGGGTGCAGAGCTCGAGGATGGTCCGCAGGTCGGAATTAAGGAGGATGAAGCCGGCGGAGCTGACGGCGACGTCGGAACCAGAGGCCATCGCGATACTGACGTCTGCAGCTGCAAGGGCTGGAGAGTCGTTTGTGCCATCGCCGACGAAGCCGACGATGGGTTTCTTATTGGGGGATTTGCCAGTATGCGTGGATAGTTCGTTGTTTTTGATCTTGCGAATGTATTCTGCCTTTTGGGTAGGTAGAACGTTTGACATGACGTTTGTGCTTGGGATGCCAATGGTGGAAGCCACAGCATGAGCGGTGACAGTGTTATCGCCGGTGCACATGTAAATGTCGATGTTGTTGGCTCGGAGTTGGCGAATTACGTCGACGGCTTCAGCGCGAATAGGGTCAGCAGTGGCGAAGACGATGGCAGGGACGAACTTTCCAGGGCCAGAGACTCTGCGGATAGAGAGGATGGCAGTGGAGCGTCCTGCCGATTGGTACTTGGATAGAAGATTGTCCAGGTAGTAAGTATCGCTGTCTGCCGCCATGAGTGAGCTCAGGAGACGCTGGTTCCCGATAGCAGCCTCGTATTCCACGGGAGTGTCTTCGGCTTCCTTTGCAGGTACTGTGAACGTTCCCTTCATTCCTTGACCGCCAATTTCAGTGATCGAAGACGAAGTAACTGAAACTGAAGACCGATCATTGCAAAAGTCGGCAATCGCTCTGGCTATCGGGTGAGTGCTACTCTCCTCCAGTGCTTTGGCTGCGGCCCACGCAACTTGCTCCAATTCCCCGTTGTCAATAAGTACCTCATGATCGGAGACCTTTAGAGTGCCTCCTTCGGTCAAAGTACCGGTCTTGTCAAATACAATAGCATCGAGACGGCTGGCCTCCTGGAAAGCTTCACCACCACCTCGAACCAAAATGCCACTTTTCGCAGCTAACCCACCGCCGACAAACAGGGCGGTAGGGGCAGCCAAGGCCAAACCGCAGGGACAAGCAACGACGAATACAGCAATCGCGAATTGGAGGGACCAGAATGTCCATCCTCCCTGAGAACTATCGAGATATTCTGGGGGAAGAGCACCAGATTCACCCAGGCCAACCCAGATGACGAAAGTGAGAATCGCGATAAGGGTAATAATAGGGACGAAGTAGCCCGTCATGACGTCCGCCACTCTCTCGACGGGTGCTCTCTTTGCTTGTCCTTCGCGAACCACCGCCACGATCTGATCTAGCATCGATGCGCTGCCCAGATCAGTAATTCGGATCGACACAGGTTGCCCGACATTCACAGAGCCGGAGTAGACCTTGTCACCGGCGACCTTGCGTACAGGCATGGATTCTCCAGTCAATGAGCTTTCGTCAAACTTGTATGTATCAGTCCCGGTAACTACGCCATCCGCAGGTGGAGAGGCTCCGTGTGGAACGCTGACAATATCGTTAATCTCAAGAAGGTCGACAGGCACGCGTTGGATGCTTGACTTGGGGCCCTCTTGCTCAGCAGATGGGGACTCCACAACGAGCAGTGCTTCAGACGGGCGCAATTTGCCCAGCATCGAAACGGCATCCCCGGTCTTTGCCTTGCTGTATCCCTCTAGAGCTCTGCCTGCCAGGATGAACAAGGTCAAGAAGACCACCGTATCGAAATAGCTGGATGTGTGTCCTGCCTCGTGCTTGTCGCTTTTTGCATTGATAATCAGGACTGCCACAGAAGCAAAATATGCCACTGACGTTCCAGCGGAGATCAGCATGTTCATGCTCCCGAAGCGGTAGAACCTTCGAAGGAAAGGAACACGGCTGCCAGGCCTCCATAGGGCACGGATCTCCTTCAAAGCACGGGCATGGAAGACATCGGTGCCGTATACCATCACAGGGGTAGTCATGATAAGGAGGGCCCATTCCAAGCGCGATGCGGATCCTGCCCACATCGGCTCTTCGAGGTATTGTCGAACTGAGTTTGACTTGGGGACGACGGCCATCCAGACAATGCCGATGAGGAAAGTAGGTATCGCGACGATGAATGTAAACAGGAGACGAAGCAGGAGACGACGCTGCTCTTGCTTCTGCATCGCGCGAGAACGGTCTTCTATCGACGGCGGATGGTAAACGCTCGCTTTGAAGGCATTATTGGACGCGTCAATGGCACTGAGGATGTTTCGAATGGTCATTTTGGGTGGATCAGGAGTGTAGGTAATCGTGACGATGGGTTTCTGAGTAGTTATTTGCTCTTCAACTTGGATTTTACCGGCTTCGAGGTTCCCCAAAGCCTCCATGACTGTCCCAGGACAATGGTGGCAGAACATCCCATCTACTTTAATTCCAATGGTTCGAGCTTTGGGACCACTCTCTGCATCTTCAATGCGATCAATCGGCTTGCAGTCGATCACAGTGGCATCATAGCCGAGATCGTCGATCGCATCGAGGATCTGTTTAAGATTCCCTTCGCCCTCGAACTCAATCCTTCCTGAGTGGCTGAGGAGGTCGACAACCGCATCTGCCACAAAGGACAGGCCCTTGACGTCACGAGTGATCGAACCGACACAAGAGCCACATGTCATTCCAGATATGCTGAGGTTCGCGACGTAGAGATCCCGAGGTCGCGAGTTGAGAACCACCACTTCTTCAGCGCTTGCGTCATAGCCGAGATCCTCGATCCGCTCCGTGATCTTGTCGATATTCTCCCTTGGCCCACGGAAGGTAAGCGCGGCGCTATGGGTAACGAGGTTGACAACGATTGATTTGACAAAATCAAGTTCTTGGATGTGCTCCGTTATGGTATTGGAGCAGGATGCGCAGGTCATCCCGCTAATGCTGATCTGAGCAGTATACTCATCTTCGCCCTTACTTTCGACAGGCTCATGAGGAACGGGTGAAGGGTGCTTCCCACTCGACAGCGAAGATGACTCTATGCTTAAGATTGAACCCTGGGACATTAAAATCTGGTGAGCACGTATTTTCTTTTTTGTTTTTTTTATTTATTTATTTATTTATTTTTTTTAGAGCCAATTAGAGGCTCCGAATCAAGTTGGATTTCTTACCTTTGGGGTTTGGGTGTTCTCCTGTTGTGTATCCTTGTCTGGTATGGCGTACTTCTCTTGTTCTCGTTGACAAGCATCACAGTTGGCTATGTGCCTCCTATTTCTCTCCCTTGTGCGGGTATCCATTGTGGACACTGAAAGACGGGACGACGGGCGGAGCCAGGAGCCTGTATTCCAGGAAGAGGTGTCGATGTCGATATCGTTTATGGGGATGCCAAATTCATTTTGCGTTGTTGCGTGGAAGACCTCGAAGGCGGCGTCGGTGAGGGCATCCACAAGCTCTGATGCCAGGAGCTTGGGGGAGTGCGAGATGCGGACTTCATGCTTGAGGATTGAAATATCGACCTGCGCAATGTGTGGTAAATGGCTGACGACCTCTTTTGCATATGTCACACAAGATGCGCAGTGGATATTATTGACCAGGAGAATAGTTGTGAGCAATCTCTGTCGGCTGTAGGAGGGCGAAGGGGCCGAAGGGCGAGTGAAATGTGGAGGAGGTGATATCGCAGCGGTTCTCTCCGCCATGGTTCTCGTAAACCCCTTTGTGCACGGAGCTTGTTAGATTGGTGATCCGAGTGCCCGGATCGCCAGCAAGTCAGGGGGCGCGCGCGCGATTGCAGAATCCGGCGGTGGTCAAGGGGCGAAAGCACGGATGAGACAAGGTGATGGTGCAGCGGATGCTTCTTTTTCCGCCCGATGGAGACGGCTGAGTAGGTATGGATGGAGATGGGATCAAAAAAAAAGAAACAAAGAAGTCTGCAGTATGTACAAGGATATACTACTCAAACAGCGGTTGTATATCAATATATATAAATATATATATATATACGTTGTACAGAGTACGTCGTGCTACCAGCCACATGCACGAGGTAATGAATGTATGATGCAGGACGTAGGACAGAAAATACCAACGAAGAGCTTGGATAACTCCTCGTCCCCAGCGTGGGCAGACACGATATTTAAGCTGATCTTGATCTGATCATAGCGTCTGAAAAGGAGCAAAAAGGAAAAAAAAAAAAAAAGGCGATAGGGGTGGCAAGTTGCGAGAGTTGTGCGGATTTGCGGTCAAATTGCGCTACGTTGACGCACAAATGCCGCAGGGCTCTATGGCACAAACCCAAAAGCTCGCGAGCCCATGGCAGCAGAGCCTATCGAGAAGGAAAAAAGAAAGAAAAAGAAACAAGATGGGGTTTATAATCCGGTTCCAGAATCACAAATGCCCCGACGGTTGTGGCTTGTTCACTGGACGGGGAGACGGGACGGGAGTGCCATGTGGGCGGCTATCCCCAGAGCCAGAGAGAGTGACGTCCAAAAGCGCATGCCACGGAGGCGGCCGCTGTGACGGCCAATAAAGCATAAAGCAGAGTAACCAACTCCATCTTGTCAACCAAACACAGGAGCTGTCGCCTGTCTGCTCCTTCAGTCTGTGTGTTGCTCCAGCTAACACTCACCCGGGGTGATGGACCGCTTGGTGTAGCAGCGTCTCTGCGTTGGTCAAACCCTAGTTAACTACTCCGTACCCCTCGAGATTTGAAATCAAAAAGCAGCGAAGCCAAGTCGATCTCCGCGAAAATGGCTCGTACAGCTGACCAGCCAGCTGATGAATTATCCGGGCTAGATTTCTTTTTTTCATATATATTCTTTTTTTTATAAAAATAAAAAATAAAAAATAAAATAAAATAAAATAAAATAAAATAATAATTATTAGGCGGAGTACTGTAAAAGAAGGTTTGGCAGCCATGCGGTTCGAACCCGGCGACTAACCCCGCAACCCGATCGGGCCTAGCGCGAGAGCCCGCAGATTTTCGCCTTTCGACTTGACTTCCATTCACGCACGCTGACCGTTGCACCACCGCCGCCAGCCAGTCAGCCCGCCCGGCGCCCGACGAGAGCCCGACAACCACCGCCGCCATCCTCGCCTATCGATAATATAGCTCGATACATTCCATAGTTACATCGTGTGATAGCTCTCTGTTTATGCGCCAGTGGCCGTTTTATTCCTACTGTTCTATCATTCAAGGGGAGCGGAGCTGAATGGGAGGCCTTGTCCTTTCAACACTCCATTGTCAGTAAAAACCCCCCCTGTCCCTGTGTTCTAATGGCAACGCTTTTTTTTTTTCTCTTCCCCTCCCTTCCCTTCACTTTGATACGTTCACAGTCATCCTCCCAAGCTAATACGTCGTGCCCGCCAGATACCAGGTGCTGTTCTTGATTACCATCCCCCCCCCCCCCCCACCACCATGGCCAGCGTACGGCCAACCCGTCTTCCACCCCCCTCCAGGGCCGGCGTCCGACCCGTCGAGCGCCTCGCCAGTCTGAAAAATCCAACCCCAACTCCTATCCGACGCCCGCAGACCAAGCCCACCACCTATCCAAAGACCACCACCTGCCCGAACCCCGGCTGTCCAGCTCCGAACATCGTCGAGGATGACGGCCAGAAGGTGTGCTCCGGCTGCGGTACCGTCATCAGCGAAGCAAATATAGTTTCCGAAATCACTTTCGGAGAGTCCTCGTCCGGTGCCGCCGTGGTCCAGGGTACATTCATAGGGGCGGACCAGAGTCATGGCCGCAGTACAGGCCCTGGATTCCAGCGTGGTGGAGGAGTAGAGTCTCGAGAGATCACAGAGCAAAATGGTATGTCGCTTCCATCCATCCATCCTTCCCAACCTAACGCTAGGCCACAGGAAATCGATACATCGCACAGCTGTCTCGAGCTTTAAACATCCCCGAAAGTGCTTCCAAGGCGGCAGGACAGGTGTTCAAGCTCGCAGTTGGCCTAAACTTCATCCAGGGCCGACGAACCAAGACCGTGGCCGCGATCTGTCTGTATGTGGCATGCAGGCGGCAGGACGGAAACACTATTATGCTGATTGATTTCGCCGACGTTTTGATGGTATGCCGTTCACTTTATTTTGAACTTGACGTCCGGAATTTTCGTATAAATGCTAAAAAGCTGAACTCAGATCAATGTCTTCAAACTCGGCCGAACCTACAAGGCCCTCCTTGACGAATTGCGTCTGGGTGGAAATATCTTCATCATGAACCCCATAGATCCCGAAAGCCTGATTTATCGATTCGCAAAGCAACTTGAATTCGGCTCTTCGATGATGCAGGTCGCGAGCGAGGCCGTTCGCATCGTTCAGAGAATGAATCGCGACTGGATGATAACAGGGCGACGGCCCGCCGGTATCTGCGGAGCTGCTTTAATTCTCGCCGCGCGCATGAACAACTTTCGACGCACCGTCCGCGAAGTCGTCTACGTCGTCAAGGTCACCGAGTTGACCATCCACCAGCGTTTGAATGAATTCAAGGCTACCGAAAGTGGAGACCTTACAGTAGATCAATTCCGCTCCGTGGACTTGGAAACCTCTCACGATCCACCGTCCTTCAGCCACTCAAAGGACCCTCGAAGGCTCAACAACAAGGGAAAGAAGCGAAAGGCACCAGAAACTGCTGCCGAAATCGAAGATGGGGAGGAGCCGGATCAGTCACCACCGGCTTCAAAACGGCCTCGTCGCGTTGATGCCGATGGCTTCGCCGTTCCCGATATTCCTATCGACCCGGCGATCTTAGGGCTGGAAATGCAAGATCCTCTCTCATCTACAGACGGCAACGCCACTGCGGAGAGCAACTCTGGCGTCGCTGGAGTAGTAGAGAAGTCCACCAATCAGCGCAAAGGCAGCAAAAGGGCACGACTCCCCGAACCCACTGAAGCTGAACTGGCCTCGGAATCCGCTCTTGAAGACGAGATGACCGCCCTCCTTTCTTCTGGTTCTTCGTTAGTTGCGAGTGCAGAGGCACCCCGGACTGCCTCTGCCTCCTCCTCTAAAGGACAAATCGTTCCCGACAAGCGACCCAATAAACCAGTTCCTGATAGCGAAGAAATCGACCCCACCGAGTTCGACTCGGACCCGGAGGTTCGATATTGCCTGCTTTCACCGGCAGAAGTAGAGATCAAAGAACGCATCTGGGTGCATGAAAATAAAGACTATCTCCGTGCACAGCAGGCCAAGGCCCTCAAACGTGCTTTGACGGCTGCAGACCCGTCGGCTTCAGGCGCTGGCCACAAACCGCGAAAACGCCGAAAGGGTCGCATGGGCGATGTCACGTATCTGACCGGGGAAGGCGGCGATGGTGACAGAGCGTCATCACGCGCGTCCACCCCGGCAGAGGCAACCAGGCTGATGCTCGAGAGAAGAGGGTTCAGCAAGAAGATCAACTATTCGTTGCTGGAAAAGATGTACGAAGACGACGACATCGAAGTGAAGCGCCGAGACAGCGAGGCCGAGAGTGCTCGAAGTCGGAGCCGCAGCCAGAGCGTCGCTCGAAGCGTGCGGAGTTCCAGCGTTGCGTCGGACCGTGGGTTCGGTGGCTTGGGCAGCATCAGGCCTTCGGCGCGAAGGAGGATGCTTAAGGGTAAACACGCTGCCGGCGTCGCCGCGAGAGCGAGTGCTACTCCCGAGCCGAGCAGGAGACCAGTGCCCACGCTGTCGGCGACGAGGATCACACCTGCTCCTCCCAGCCAGACAGAACCAGAACCAGAACCGGAGCCTGAGCCTGAGCCCGCGCAGCCAGCGAATCCTAACGAGGAGATTCTGGGCTACATTCCCGAAGCGGAACCCAGGGCGCATCCCGTGCCGGGCGATGAGGATGATTATGATGAGGATGAGGATGAGGATGAAGACGAGGATGACGATGACGATCGCATCGAAGCTGCATTTGCAGGCAACTATTACGATGAGGGAAGTGATGGAGGATATGATGACGACTATTAGGAGATCGCATGTGAGATACGGATTACTCGTGTTTGTTTTTTTGGGGCATGCCGGTGATTTCCGTGGATTCGAAGCTCATCGCCTGTTTTCACATTTGACATTTATCATATGTGGTGCTGTATTTGAATGCGAGTTTAGCGAAATATGTGGATTCTTGATTCTTCGATGGTGTATTTCCATAATTATGTACGGAGTACTAAATTTTTAAATAAAGCATCATTAATATCCCTTCAAGGATAGGCTTTTTTTTTTTTTTTGTTGGCTGTTTCGTTTGTTTTGTGAATTCACCATGCCAACCAGTCGCAGACATCAACTATGTAGTTAGTTAACTAACTAAACCCAAGGGGGGGCCACCCAAATGCTAAATCGTAACAATCACCGGTTCCCTTCTCTCTTCATCAAGCAGGCCTCCCACGATCGAAGCATTCACAAAACTCGTCCTTCTCACATTCTCACATCGCCATCCCATCCTCACCCACACCTTCAACAACTCACCCAGCATCTTTATCAGTCCCCAAACTCGATTCCCCCGCCCCATCACCACCCCTTCATACACCCTCTGCAACCCGTCAAACACCCCAACTTCCACCCCGTACCCCTCATGCACATGCCCAAACACATGCAATCCAGGCCTGCACCTCAGCCGCCACAGCTCGCGCAGTAAACTCTCGCACCCATACCCCAAATCAAGGTGGCCCCGCGGCGGCGCATGCGTGACCAAAACATCCGTCTCCTCGGGAATACTTTCAAGCCAGAAGTCACCGCGGCGCGGGTACTGAAACGCCCAGTTCCCGTGACTGGGAGAAAAGGGGCTCCCGTAGACCGAGATCTCGCGCTTGTTTTCTCCGAAGAATGTGAGCTTGACGCTGGAGCTTTGGAGGTAGATCACATCTCCCCAGACGAGCTTGCGCGGGAGCTGGACCGGGTCGTGCTCCTTGAGCGTGTATGTGGCGGGGTCTAGGGAGATGTCGTGGTTGCCGGCGATGACGATTTTGTACTTGTGCGGTAGCCGATTGAGCCAGGAGATCGCCTCTTGGAGTTCTGCGCGGGAGCCCGATTGTGTGAGGTCTCCGGCGTGGATTAATATGTCGCCATCTGGAATGTGCGGTTGACAGTTGTGCGTGTCTGATATACACACGACGGTTACCGGGGAATTGAAGCTTCCCGTTGTAGTCGTAGAAGCGGTATTGCCTTTTGGAATAGGGCGCAGGTTGTATATCAGCTGTGCGATGTAGGTGATCGGGTTTGAGGCGAAATGCTGCCATCGAGTGGGTCTTCGTGGCCGGTGGAGAAGAGCTTCAAGCCCTGATGGCCCTGTGCTAAACATTTTTTTAATTCGGCTCAAAAACGGCAAAATAGGTACCTATCTAGCGCCTCTCCCAGCCAGCTATGACATTTGCACTTCCCCGTTACGATTTCGGAAGCGCATCGGCGAGCATCGTCAAACAGATGCTAGATCATCGCCATAAGCCGCATGGAAACCGTTTCCAGGCAACCATTATTTGGCAGCGAAACGCCGGGTCTTTTCAACGGATTCAATCCATGATGAAACCCGTAACTACTCCGTATATTTCGAGGATTTCGGCTGACTAGTAGGAGGCTCTGTTGTTTTTGGATCTCGGGCGGAATTTGCTCTTGGCATCGCGCGCCCGGCCCGTTCCGACGGACCAACAGACGCGTCCGCCTCCGACGAGCGAGTTGACGAAGCCCCTTCAGCGTCAGACTGGAAATAAATAAATGTATATATATTATATAGCTTTAAACAATAAATCCATTTACACGTCGACAGCGAAAAGCGACAACAGCCGAAAAGTAAGCGACACGGAGACAATCAAGGCCGTTCCAAGGTGATCAAACTTTACAGTAATAATATTGCCAATGGTAATGTTTTTCAGATAATATGTGATAAATAACATCTAGAAAATAACTGAAATGGCAAGCAAAGAGGAAAGAAAAAAGAAAAGAGAAACGAAAAGGAAGTTAAAAGAGAAACGCAAACCTGAAAAGCAAGATTAGAAACTGAAATAAAAAGCAGCGAGCAAAGACACAGACGCGACGGTAGTTTTGTTTTTTTTGGGCTTTTTCTTTTGCTTTTCTTGCTGCATGGATTAATAATACGGCGGATACGCTCTATGTCGTCGCTTTCGTCGGTGCTGAGATTTATCGATCGATTTCCATGGCCATTTCCATTCCCTCGTTCCCCATCTTGATTCCGTTTCCATTCATGTAAATGGTTCCGTTCAGTATTCCCTGGTCTCCAAGCAGTCGCTCTGGTGTCCGTTCTGCCGCTCTCATGACTTCTGAGCCCGCCTCAAAGGCGATGGGAGTGGATTGCAAGTTGTGGAGGCAGGACTCCCAGTTCTTGCCGACAAGTTGGCCCTCGGTGAGGTCTTCCGTGAAAAGGTAGAAGCAGGGTTGGTTGGCGCTGCTGCTGAATCCGTTCATAGGCATGTCGCAGATTGCCATGCCGTAGTTGTTGACTGGGTTGGCAGTGACAAGATACGCGTTGAGGCCTCGGTGTTTAAGCAAGATCTGAGCGTTCTGGAGGAAGGGCGCGAAGTGGTTGTTGATGTACCTCTCCCAACCACGAACTGCTGCCGCCATGTCTTTGTCTTCGGTGCTCACCCGCTGCCAGCTTATTCCAAGGAGGCGAGTTGCATCATCAACTAGGGGTGTTTGTGGACCAGAGGTCGATGTGGAGGTGGAGCCGGCGCTGCTGATATTTCGGTAGGTGTCGTTGTGGGATGAAGATTGGAGTTTGCGATGGATAGAAGCAGCAGCGATATCATCCCAGCCAGAGGCGGAAGAGTCGAGGCGTTGGGATTTGCGGCTGGGGAGGCCCGGTTGACCCGAGCCAGACGCGACGGCAACAGGGGGAGCGGCGGAGGCTTCGGCTTCAGCTTTTTCTTCAAACCAGGTGCCGGTCTGACTCTCAGCCGACAGAGCAAGGCCGGTACGGGGATTCAAAAGGACCATGCCTTCTCCATAGATCGGCTCTTCTGGAGTTTGGCTGCGAAAAGGCGGCTGCTGGGCTGTAGAGGGTTTGCTGGCGTCATCGTCGTTGGACGCGTTGAATTCGTCGTGGGATCGTTTTCGTGATGGGTTGGCAGACAGAGGCGTCGAAGATGAGCCCGACATTGAGAGACCGGAGCGACTGATGGAAGACCGGGGAGGTCCTGATTGGATGCCATTCACAGAAGTAGAGACGGAACCAGGATTGGGGAACTGGGGACGGCTAGGCGGGACGCTGGTAGGGTTGTTGGCGAGGATGTTGTCGGCATTGTGCAGGTATGGTGGAGATAGTACCATTGCTGGCCCGTCGGAATAAGTACTGAAGAGCAATCGGCACATGTTGAGCTATACCGGAGAGGATAGTGCCGACAGCGAGGTGTGAAGCCGTGGTATCTGGAATGTTAAAGGGTGTCTTCAAAAGATCAGTTAGAAAAAACAATATCGGATAACCTGTAAGAAATAAGAAACAATAATAATAAGCAATTGAGAGACGACGAGACGGCGGTCGTGTTGGCAAGGGCGCGAGAGAGGGCGTGGATAGGGCCGAGACGGGTTGGTTGAGAGCTTGCTCCGGGAGAGAAGAGCAAGTATAGACGATGGGGGGACAGGGCGTGGATGAAAGAGATTGACGGTCGAGTTGGACTTGGGGGAGGTTTGACAAAGGAGACAAAAGGCCCGGCAGGGGCGGAGGGAAAAGTAAAAGGAGAGGGTTGGGTGAGGAAGAAAAATGCTCAAGAGAGAAGAAGAAGAAGAGAGAGAGAGAGAGGAAGAAGAGGAAGAAAGACGGAAGAAGGCTGAACTAAAAGATGGGGAAAAGGCGCTGATGATCGGAGCTAAGCCGGATGTGGCAAGCCGCCGGCGAACAGGGCGGTACAAAAAGAGTACCTGACGTACCACGCAATCTCTGAGCAAAGAGCCGTACACTGAGAGTATAGGGGCTCCACCGGCAATCCAGCCAATGACCAACCGTGAATTGCGCCCTGTATTGCCGGAGTAACCAATCGCCAGCCTTGCGCCAGGCCAATCAGATCCCTGTCTTTGTTCCTAAACAAGCTTCTCGGCACTAAATGCGCCAATTAGTGAGCTGCATTTACTCCATCCTTGTCTCTGGTAGGTCTTGGCACAAGCTGACCTCTTCCAAATGCGGCTAGCGCCAGGCTGCTCAGACGGAATGGGAAGCCCCTGCCTTTTTTTCTTTGGAAGGTGCGAAGAACGGGTCACCGGGTATATGAAGCTCCGTTCCGTTAGTGCATCGGAATTTCATCGGGCCGAGTAGCGTCCAAGCCCCCTTTCCTGGAAAAGTTAGGGTGGTACGACAGGGGCGCGGAATTTCGTCGTCACCAGCTGCTCAGACGCAGACTCCAGCGGCCACGTCGGACAGTCGAACAAGAATGCGAGACCGAAACGTCAAAGGGCTCTCTTGACTTCATTTGAAAAAAAAAAAAAGAGTACATAATACTCCGTAATGCTGTCTCTATTCTTGGAATAGGCGCGACTCTGAAAACCCGCCTTCCTTAATGTCAATAAAAGCACCTCTGTGTGCAGGAAATACATCAAACAAATGACATCTAACGGAAACCTTTGCTCCCTAGGACATGTGGCAAGAGTTAATACATGAGAGAGAAAATAGGAATGAAGCGCGAGCAGTGGATAAGCGTCATTAAAGAAGTATTAAAATGACTTGAGAAAAAGGGAAAAAGAAGAATCAAAGTCAAGGACGTCAGCACCCCGACGTCTCCACGCGCCGTCGAAATGTTCATCGTATGGCTAATTCGAAAATCATTTTCTATATTTCATAATTTTTGTTTTCTTTTTTTTTTCTTTCGAGAAAGCAATCACTGGAATAGCTGTTTACTATCGCGAAGTGAGGAAGGAATTAAAGTAGTTGAGATCGAGCAACGATGCCTCTCTGTTTTTTTTTGGAGCTGCGTGTTACCGATAACGTAAATCCTTCAACGTAGGGGATTCAAGGGGGAAATCAATCGGAGTCCGCGATCAAATCACAGGTGGTCCCAACGGCGCTTAAATTATGCGTGGTTTGCAACTGTGCTGCCTGGGATCATGCCTTTCAGGCTATTTGGGTCGTAAGGGCCTCCCAGCTGGACCAAGACACAAATGATCAGGAAAGCGGACACCCCGAAAATAATAACGCGGCGTCTGATTGGATTGGTGGCGCCGTACTCTGCCCAGGACCTGTTGGCTTGGCCGGCATACTCCTTGATCTTCTCTGTGCCCAGCTTATAATGAAGCAGACCGCCGATGGCGATGGCGTATCCGAAAAGCTGGAGCGCGGTCACCGGCGTCTTGTGCCACACAGCGGAAATGGCAACCAGTAAGATATCTTTCAGAACACCACACAGAGTCAGCACGAGTGAGGAGGTTTTTCCGATCTATCAAAAACACTTGTTAGCCAATTTTCCCACAAATGTCCGAAAAAGGAGATAGGGACAAACCTACCAAGAACACAACCGCGACGTTTAGAAGAAATGCAACCATGGCGTTGGCGAGGAGGGTGAACAAGCCAGTCCTCTGGAAATGTTCCATGGTCACATATGGTGCTTCAAAGGCCAGTGCGACGACGAAGTTCATCAACGCGCAGACGGGAGCAAAGTAGTAGAGGGAGACAAGCGGATCCATTTTGTATTCGGCTGAGCTCAGAAGGCGCTGTACCATGACGAGTCGGGTGGCTTCGAAGACAATACCGCCGATCTGGAAGAGGAACCCGACCAGGACGAAATGGATCTCGCCGAAGGAAGCAATGATGACTCCGATCACGATAAAGGAGACATTAAACAGGACTCGCATGTTGGGAGGAGCCATGCCCAGGAACCAGGTGCAGAGAAGAACGGCGACAGGAGTGGTGGCCTTGGGAAGAGGCATGTTAGAATAGCAAATCAGAGCATTCCAGGGGGGAAGAGAGCGAGAGAGCGAGAGAGGGAGAGAGGGAGAGAGGGAGTGAGGGAGAGAAGGAGAGAGGGGAAGAGAGAGAGTGTGTGTGTACGGTACCTTGAGCATCTGGATGAAGGCCACGCTCAAGTAGAGATAGGCCTTGTTTCCGCCGATCAGGCTCAGACTGAAAAAGAAGCCAATTGGGACGATCGCCCGTAGATAGACACGGCCTGTCATCTTAACCTTCTTCCGGCCATCGAGCAGGGTCGTCGTCCGAGCCAGGACCTGGGTCATGAAAGCGGCAAAGGCGAGATGCCATGTTGTGAGGATGATGGCTGCAGGGGGGAGGGTCAGAGAAAGAAGAATGGTGAAAGTAACAGGGTGGCACGCACGAAATGCTAGTCAACAACATCTGTCAGTTAGCTCAGCGCAATGGCATTGAAAAAAGAGACAAGTAAATCCATTCGCGGCAAGGACTCACGGAATCTATCCCGATCTTTGTCAAGCAATTCCTTGTTGAAGAGGATCACGCTGGAGCTGAAGAAGATCCACGAACTGCGGGCCACACGAAGTCTCAGTGAATCAAGCGACACACACACACACACACACCACCACCACCAGGGGGAGAGAATAGAGTAACCCGTCTCACATGACATAGAAAGCAGGATGGAGCGTGGGCTTGGGAGGCTCTGTCTTTGTCGCCGCTGGGTTCACGGTCGGGAGAACGGGGGCATCGGCGGAAGTAGGGGTGGAGGAGGGAGAGGAGGAGGAGGAAGAAGAGGAAGCGGGTTTGTCTTCTCCGGACACCCGGGACTTCTCCTGCTCTGCGATCATCGAGACGGTCGTAGAAAAGGAACGAGCTTGATCAGCAATGAACCGTTGAAAGTCGAACGGCCGCGATCGAAGCAGGTTACTTTGACCGAATGCGCTGGAAGCCAGGGGGAAGATGGTCACAAGGGGATACGAAGGGGGAAAAAAACGAGAGTAAAGAAAAGTGAATATTATTGATGGGAGGGAAATTGAAGCGAGGGAAGGGAGTGCGTGAGGACGAGTTTCAAGGCAAAAAATACCGGGAGGGATGGTTGAAGTTCAGAAAGCGACTAATAATCTTCCGTGGGCGGTCTGGGCGGCCTGGGGTTGCGTGTTGGCAGCAGCAAAGCGTGCCTGGTGGGAGGACTCTCAGCGCCAAAATGTGCTCCAACGCATCCATTAAAGGCACCCCGTACGGAGTATTCACTGTTGTTTAATCTTTTCTTTTCTCTTTTCTTTTCTTTCTTTTTTTTTTTTTTTTTTTTAATTAGATACTCCGTACATAAGAGTGCTACAAGCAATGCTGGAGAACGATCTGAGATTACAGCCAACCCCTAGCCCCCTCCAGCGGGCGCTGCGAACCCTATCTATCAGACGTGCTTGAACTTCGTCCCTGAACCCACTCCCATCCACGGGCAGGCCTGTGTGTGTCACGGCGGTGGGAAATACATCCATAGAACCTTTCATCGGGTGAGTCGCGTCAAGGCGCACGGTGGCCTGGGGATCGGCTCTCCAGAGGCTGCTCCACCACCCCACGGCTTCAGTGACCAGAGCTTACGCAAGTCCACTCTCTCACCCTCTCACCCTCACCCTCACCCTCACGCATCGCCAACATTTAAGTTACAGATGTATGATGCGTGTACTCCGTACGGAGTACAGTACGAATGTATCTCTTCGGCGTACCACGCACACCTTTTCCGCTCCACCGCGACAGATGAGGCAATCCTCTCCTCCAACAGCACCCGGCCAGTTCAACCCGTTATCGGCATGGTGCCCATACTACAATACAGCAATCAGCCAGGAAAGAAACGGTGGAGAGTGGACCTCGTCGACGACTCCGTTCCAAAAGGGCAGATCCGTTGCCATCCAGGGTCGATCTGGCAAGCCGCACTCCCACTAGCCCGCAAAGGGAAATCATGCCGGCCGGCGTGGGCTTCTGAGTGGCTGATAATGAGCCACTGTGGATCCCTGTTCCCCCTTTTAGTGTTCTCGGTCAAAGAGGAAAGTCCCACATGTCATGCAGTGTAAGAACGCAGGTTAACGTATATGTATGTATGTATGTATGTATGGACAGTACAGCGCCAGGCAAAATTAGCATAGAAATTAGCGTGTACAGTAGCGTATTTAATACTGGAATTCTATTGGAGGCTGGTGTATTTGGCGGTAATCTGTAATTTATTCCCTCTAAGCCTATTTTGGTTATATTAGAATTCTATCCATAGAATGGAACTCTTCCCAGCAACACCCCTTGAGGCAGAGAGCTACTATACAAACTGAGCAACCACACAGTGATCTAGAGATCTGGTCTTTCTTTATTTGACTCTGTTGCTTTTTATACTGACACCAGGCACAAACTGCCATAGCTGACAATATAGTTCATGAATGAATAAGATCTGTATTTGATTGTTGTGTGTACTCCGTAGCGGTGTTATGAATGTAGACCAACCAAGCACCAAATGAATGTAGGCCAGCCCAGCATCAGATGACATCAGATGTTCAGGGGAACTCATGTGACCCCCAACTCTGAATGTATAAGGATCACATGATTTGCATGGATTGTGGAAACCTCAGTATTCAGTCTTCTAGTTAGTGAACCTATATGTTCTATACATGACTCCCTCCCATCAGTTGTGGGCATTGTGAGGACCGCGACCCTCCTGATGGAGCCGGCGGACCAGGATAAGGTTGTTCCAGGGCGAAGCCCTAAACCCTAGGCAGAGAACTTGCTAAAGGGATAAATGTTTATCCAGCATGGAAGCTTATTGTGTGTATATAGTGAGCCCTCACCCCAAGCCTCCTTTCTACAGAGTACTTTAATGCTATTAAAGAGGTAAAATCATCATATTGAAATAAATTTCTTGAAAATGCTTGAAATTTTTAAAGCATATAAATATACTATAGAGAAAAGAGTGAAAAAAACTCCAATTCTAGAATTCTCAGACTCTGAAAATGAAATAGAAAATAAAGCTATTCCATTTAAAGAGAAATGCAATACCTCTTTTCAGAGAACCACCAAGTTACCCACCAATAGATTGAAATGAATATGAAAATCCAGATTGAGAATGGCCTAGTCTTCGAGAAATAGAGATTAAGAACTCTATTTTTTCAGGCTCTATAATCAGTACACCTGGCCCAGATGGTATATCTTTTCTTATACCACAAAAGATCTATCCAGTACTTAAAGATAAGTTATTCAAGCTATACTCTATACTATTTGAAAAGGGATACCATCCTGAAATCTGGAGAGAAGCTACTGGAGTTATTCTAAAGAAACCAAATAGAAAAGCTTCAATACCAAAATCATACAGAATCATCTCTCTTAACGGAAACTGATCTGGGACTTGCTCAGCAACAAATGCTAAGCGCCCACCCGACAAGTACTTCATGAGCCTTGGAGCCTACTCGCTTCCTTTGAACATACAACCTAAGCAGGCCACAACTCTCTCCGTTCCCGTAATTCTTGGTATTATAAACAACCCGAGACGATTCATAACAAGATGCCCATTAAACAGTAAATTCAACCGTCAGCGACTCTGAACGCAACGCAAACAGAGATGGACTTCCTCGACTCCTCCTTCTTCACCAAAGCAGGCCATAAGAGCTTGCCAACCGCTGCAGAGGTTGGCTCCCTCTCAGAACAGTTCAACAAACATCCACGGCCCGCACCGGTTAAATTTGAGCATCTAAATCTTCTCGTCAAGTTTGGGCCGTCTGTGGCGGTTGAAGAAGCCCTAACTCTCCGCATGCTTCGAACATCTTTCGCTGAGAAGATACCTGTCCCCGAGGTGTATGGTTGGAGAGTTTATCAAAATTCTGTGTTCATTTATATGGAGCTTATTCAGGGAGACACGCTACATGATCGATGGGATTCTCTCAATGAGCCGGATAGAAACTTTATTTGCGGCCAGTTACGGGAGATTATTTCTTCCCTTCGGCAAATTGAGCTAGATCCTTGCGACTCATTTATCGGTATGCACGTATCCCGCAATGTCTATCAGCGGAGTCGCTTACTGAGGTGTAGGATCCATCAACCGCGCACGTTTGCACGATTATGTCTTCCCAACCATCCCTCAATCAGGACCTTTTAAAAATGTGAAAGCATTCAACGACTGGTTTTCTTCTCTGCCTCAAAGCTGGCTTCCTGATTCGAAGAGATATCGGGATCCTTATCGAGACTACCTACCAGACGATGGGGCCATCAGGTTGACTCATGGAGACTTGCATCGGGGTAATATTCTAATTTCACCAGCTGGTCGCCCACGTGTCCTTGCTGTAGTTGATTGGGCTCATGCTGGCTGGTACCCAGAATACTGGGAGTATTGCAAGGCCTTATACACATCAGAATATAAGGGGGAATGGCGCAATGTTTGGATTCCCAAATTCTTAACTGCGTACCAGCCTGAGTTCGCTGCTTTCGGTGAATATGTGCTGCAGATTGGAGCAGTATAAGTATTGATTTTGTACTTAGCCTTCTAAATTACATTTGTCATGATCATTTACCGAGCTTTTCTTTCCAATATCCTTCATAAGCTATGTACTCGAGTGTGCTTCACCCCGTACTGATGATTGACCAGAGAAACAATTGCTAAATGCCAGAAACCAAAATGAAAAATGGGATTTACTAATAAGGGCCTCGTTGACCAGTTGAAACTCCGCAGTCATATCAGAAAACAAAAATAAGCAACATGATTCAAATCCAAATAGGGCTAGCCCAGTATCACAATCAACAGTAACAAATATGGCATTTCACATCCGATTTATGCGCAAATTCCGAGTTCACTGACCCCTGCCTCAACCACACCCGCCGCCAACCAGGTTCAAGCCAACACCATGATTTGGAGAATCACATGCAGACTGAACAATCTGGATCACATTTTCATTGATATATTGATGGTGGACTAGACAGCATACATAATCCATTGTCCATTCTTGGCACCTTCTGTTGGTGGTCTAGATTTCTTTGGTGTAAGCAATCATGCCTACATAAACAAAATCCAAGAGCAACTTACATCATTGACAGGAGCCAGGAAGTTTTGACTAATTGCTGGTGGAGGAATCTGGGTCACTGCAACTTCAATTGTGCACTTGGGGGAGGAGTCTGTAACCAGCAGGCCTGAGAATCCAAATCTGGAATGATGTGTTGAGAGTTGCCTGATTGCAAGTCTGGTATAGAGCTGCAGGGTTAAGTTGATTGCATAGTTCTGCTTAAACTCCAGCCGGTAGCCAGCCATCAGGGCACCAACAATGTGGATCATAGTTCCACAATCCTGATCAGAGGCAGGAGGTACAAAAATCACAAAATGGGCACATTAGCTTGCCACGTTGCAGTACACAATAAGAGAAATGTTTCGAGGGGCCATCCCAAATAAAAACAAACTAGCAATTAGACAACTGGAGTTGTCGAGAAGGCGCGTGAGTAAAGGCAGTGGAGGTAGATATAGCAAAGGACAAAGCAGAGACTTGATGTTGAAGACTGTTCTTTCTTTCCATTCTCTCTCAAGAGAATCTGCAGCCTTAAATATTCCATTCAGGTCTTCTGAAAGGACATAACCACCTGTAACAGAGAATTAAAAATACCCAAGTACAGGTGCTTGCCAGAACAGGAGTCATCTGCCATCATAGTAGCACCAATGAAAATCCTAAACTTGATCTGGGCTGCGGCAGAAGTGATCAAGAGCAAATCAGCCATTATGGAATGTGATCCATTGAAATGTTCTAATGCAGCACAGCATCTCAATATTGGGTGATTGCTGGGAAGTCTTGGGATGTTGGTGAACAACTTGTGGAGTCTGAGCCAATAATGTGACCCTGTACAGAGTACAGAGTACAGAGTACAGAGTACAGAGTACTATGTTCAAAAATCCAACTTAAGCACCTTGTTGGTGAGTTCGCAGGGGTTGAGGCTCATTTGGAGAGACCTGATTGGAAATACTCTGTAAGGGATCCTGCCGCGAGCACACAGTGGAGGCAGTGGGGTGAGCTTTCAGTTGAAGCTGATCTTCCCAGCCCAACGCCGAAGACATTGTCAATACAGGTAGAGACACTACACATATGATCTGGAATGTCAGTTGGCAACAGTAAAAGTGGTAAAGAAAATAGAAGCCAGTCTGACAACCAGTTTCATCCAGAGGCCATGCACCCGTGCATTCTCCATGAGGGAGCAGCAAATGCATTCAATGAGAGTTGTGAGTGTAGTCTTTAAGGCATATATTGATTCTCTCATGTTGAAGCATCAAGTTCTGGATAAGAATCACTCACATCTGCTGTTCAACAACATTAGCAATTCACTTAAGCAAGAGAGAAGGGCCCCAAAATGCAAGGAGGAAGAGGTAAGTAGAGGAAGATCCAAGACAGGACCAGAGCTTCACAACCTTCCAGTTTGTAGAATAAGCCTAGCACATCAGAAAGATCCAATGACTGGCACAAGTTCTTAAAATTTTCATCAGAACCAAGATGTCTCAGCATACCAATTCATCTTATTATCTTATTTATTTAAAATTACAAGATCAATAGGGGATTCCAACTGATATTTGGGTATGAAGATCAGTTGCCTATACACTCCTGTGTACTAATGGGACCCTTCTAAATCGTTCCCTAGTTCTGTATGTTCGCTACAGAATTTGAGGTGCCGATGTAACCATGTATAAGTAACATGGCAGAAGCACTGTTTGGTACTCCCGCAGAAGTTAAAAGTGTACAGAGTAAGTACTCCGTAGTGGATCTACAGTTTACAAATCCTCCCCATTTCTGCTATGGCGAAGAGAAGCGATCACATGTTCCTTTTGGATAACCTCTGGCAGAAATCTTCATCCATCTCCATTGTCAGGTGATTCTCAATTAGGCGAACCGTCAACGCTATATATATATATATATATATATATAAGATTCTGAGGATTCAAAACAATGCTAGCAGAAGCACAAGATCATATGAATTTAAGTTTGGGCCAATTCAAAGTCACTGATATTAAATTTTCTGATACATTAATTATCAAACATCCAAGAGCATCCCAGCAGACCGAGAAGGAGGTTCAACAGGTGACCAGCTGAAGAGAGAAAGGAAGCTATGTGGGCCCATGCGAAAGGGCCCAATCAATGAAGCAGTGCTTCCTTGGAAGCGCCACTGTTCAGCTTATGGAGCGAGATAACCATCCTTATTACCCCTAACGTTGCAACTTGAAGCTACTCTTGTTAGTTACATCCACGAGAATGTTGCAGAGATCTTACTGTTGAAAACTGCGTCAATAGATCCTGCCTAACGTACGCTGCAATAGTGAGGGCTGTTGAGAGTACCGACAATATCGCTGATGTTACAGATGCCAGCCTTAGAACACGTCGAGTACGAGTAAGTTGGAAACTGCAAGGGTTCGTTTGCAGAGCGCGCGCAAGACACCCAAAGTCGGATATACCAAGCGCAGAGGAAAACAAGCTCGCCGGAGGTGAAAACCATACTCAAGGAATAGAGGATACGGCGGCTTCCTGGAGAAATACCGTTGACGAAGAATCTGTGTATGTCAGGCACGGTCGGCTGTCAAGGGAAACCAAAACTTACAGTAGCAGCACGAGGACCTTCAGAAGAATGACGCTTAGCGAAAAAATACCGCTCGATCGAGAATGTAGTGTGCTGAGACTCAGGTACTTGGAAGAGTTAGCCCTGCCCAAGACGGTCGCAGGCTTCAACGGTTGTTACCTCATTTGCTGTTTGCAGCACAAGAATAAAACCGACTACCAGTGGGAGAATTGGTCTCGAGTCATCTGCAGACCTTTGATCAGACTCGTCAAACCAAGTCGAGACTCTGCTGCTCATCCTTGTTGAAGACTGGCTCATAGACAGCGAGGACAAGCGACGCGACTGATCCAGCAAAGACGAGAAGTCCTACACCAGCCTGGCACAAGACAGCCGTCTGATTCAAGGAGGCAGGGCGCCATGTAACCCGGCGCGCGATCGAACTTAACCAAACTGCGTGACCACCACCTCCGCTGATAAGGCAAGCTGCCGCGGATGCAGTTAACTGGAATAGGCTATGCACTTCCATATCTTTTGCTCTTGATGCATACAGTTTGGGAGAGGAATCCGTCCATCATCTACATTATAGGATTACTCTTATATCTCTACTTCAGAAAGCCAGAGGCGTGATCGCCAGAGCTTCAAAGGCACAGCCTATTTCCAATCTCTGATATCTTGGTGAAATGTTCATGTTGGACAAGTAGTATCACACGCAGATGACCCCATGAGGAAAATGCACAACCCATTACTTTTTAACTACAAGTTCAAGTTGGCAAGACGCTCATTTCAGATCTCCACGATCGCCCTGAGCAGGCAAGTGAACTCGGACGCAATGGATATAAACCGCACCGAATCCATTCAACGCTCCAACCCAGACGGTCAAAAGTTGTTTTTATCTTGCTCGGTGATCTAGTTAACAATTTTGTGAGTTTACTGAGCGGACGTTAGCAAAATGGATCCTGAGCCTTGGCACACTCCTGCCACCAAGCACCGCAAACCTCGTCGAAAGATATTAACGAGTTTGGATCGCCGCAGGATCTGCTTATACCGCGAGAAGAATCCGCATGTGACGCAATCAGAGATTGGAGGTAAATTATTCCCAGACCATTCACTACTATGCTGAGCAACTTCATACTGATTACATTGCAGACGCGTTTGGAGTGGATCGAAGGTATCGCTGGGGCTTTCCTCAAACCCCTTGGTCTATATGTACCTGACATCTTCCCACAGCACAGTTTCCAAGATTTTAAGCCAAAAGGAGAAATATCTCCCGCTGGACGTGGAAACCCGGTCCGGGGGGGAGATGGTCCGGTATCTATCCGTGCAGCAGATCTGGGTTCCGCAGACTCAGAGCCCACATTCGAATCTCTCACTGATCGACCAACCGGCCCGTTGCTCCAAGCAAGCCACTCGTTGTTGAGACAACTGGAAGGAGAGCAAGGTAGTGAGAGCCATAAGCATACAGTTTCACTCAAGCACAGTCAGGGATGAATGCCTCTCCCGACAAGATCCGCGATGATCTTTTGGGCAGTCGCTGGTGTAATTGCCCTTTGGCGAATCTGTTATCGTTGGCTAACTCTTTGGGTCATAGAAGGGCTCTCCATAGGTAGCGGAAAGAGTATATATTTTCAACCGGATTTAGCATGCTACGACGGGCTTCGAAGCGGGCCTGGCGGCCCCAGGCCCATATCCACACTCGTGGACGCGGGCAACAACTCACATTTGTACTCGATGGAACACACAAACACGGTACTCAGCCAGGAAAGCAGAGACACGCCCATGATACTTTGTGCGCATGCGTCGGGCAACATTGACTGGCTGAAAGCGACGCATCCCGTTCCTGCCAACAATATTCAGAGCGAAGGTCCTGAAGCGCACCGAGTGTGGGAGTGGGGACCTACTATGGCACAGCAGGAGGGCATCGGCCCAAATGATGCTTTACAGTATTCATTCAACGGCGCACCCTTTTCGGAACCCCAGTCAGTATTAGAGGACGCTTTGGTCAACGTGTGTGGTAGGTCTCTTCTCTTTGTTGCTCGTGTTCTTCAACCTGTCAATACGCACCGGTCTTGCTGATATTCACTCTGTATTCCTGTAGATGACCTCACGTGTGAAGTTTCGCCGGGGCCATATCCTTTTTCCCCAGTTCCCCAAGGGACCAGTTCTCATTGTGTTATCTCTCCGCAGCTCAACAGATGTTCTATCCGAGCCAAGGTGTCACATTTCGAGGATTGATCATCAATGATCTTATGAGACGGGGGGATAAGTCGGAGGCACATCTTGGCCATCCCGAGACTCCTCCCCAATCCGGACTAGCCCAAGCATGTACTCAGTTGGTGCGTCGATACAATCTGGAAACGTGTACAGGTTTCATGCTCGAGATGTATTCGCGACTACTTGAGTTGGAGGGATTAAGGTCAATGGGAGATATAAATAGCTTAAACTTGGCGCTGTTATGGTAATCGACAACATGAAAGCGACGTAAAATTCTTAACTCTAGGATGAGCTAGACCCGATCACTGGATGCTTAATCACAATGGCTATCATAATCGCGGAGCTTCCGATGGCTGGAGCTATTCCTTTTATGGTTTAAGGGACTTGCTTTTTGTAAAGTCGAAGTTGGTTATCGTGCCAAATTTCAGATGTTCCTCTCTTCCTGCTTTGTCCACATACTACCCCGGCTTCTTTATCAGAGAACGATCGAGAAGTTATCACGCGGTATTCCTTGGAGGCTCTATTGATCACTTGCGAAAGTCACTTCAGGATGTCGAGTGAGTATATACTGCGGTCAGTTCCCTTGACGGCGCCGACGATTCATCTGAACAAGACTCTATCAACAACACTTTCTCAATGGATCCGTGCATCGATCAAACTATATAAGATTGGTCTTATATATCTTTTCCTGGTGGCCAAGAGTATCATCATTACCTATTTAAATGCAGAAGCGGCGCTGTATTCAGTGTAATTTTTTAAGCCTTGGGAGAAGTTCAACTTGGAGAGGTAATGTCGCACTTGGCCCATAGAGAACTTGTATAATCCATTACTTTATGGCAATAAGTTCAAAGTGGTGAGACAGCTCACACCTGAAAACTTGTAAGCCTGAGTAGATTTGCATTCCCGGCTTCCACACTGGCTCTGAACAGGCGATTGGACAGGGTCAAACATTTATTAGTGCATGAAATCCCTCCACAGGTCCAGGTGGTGTTTCCAGTGTGCGGCGTGAGTTTTGCTAGATATTTTGCCTGCCTACTTGAAGCACATATAATGGATATGGTTTCTATTTTGAACAATGACGACAACCCTTCCTTCCTCATCCGATGATCTTCAAACTCAGTCGGTCCCAACCCATACCACGAGGGTTTCGATGCGCAAGGCACCGCTATTCAAACCCATTAGGATCCCGGTACGGTGCGCCCAGAGACACATTACGGACCGAACCATGCCGTATATTTTCCATCTTCCTATGCACCATGCGGTCATCATGGCTCCATTCCGTCCGATAGCATACCACGCGTCAAGCCTCAAGAAGAACTGCTGTCTTCCAAGGACTTATTTGGCAGGATCGATGAGCGCCGAACAGCAGCCAAGAGCAGCAACAAAAGCAGGCAAAAGAAAAAATATCCATGTCCATATGCGGCAGAACACTCGTGCAAAGAAATGTTCTCCGCGCCTGGCCATGCTGCTAGGCATAGCAAAACCCACACTGGCGAAAAAAATGTGCGTTGTCCCATCTGCAACAAGGCATTCGCGCGACGCGACAATATGAGGCAACACCACCAGACGCACCGCGAAGAAGATGTTGGCGGCATTGCAAAGATGGCATTCCGGTCCTCCACTGCAGTTGGAGGGAATCTGGGTCAATCGATTATGTAAATAGCTCAACAGATTTTTGGCTCTGTTATGGTATATCTGCCTCGAAATGGAAGCCATATGGCAATGACAAGCGGTGGGGCGTCCTATTTATCTTGCTCTATTTTGATACTGAAATTTCCTGTTATGCACTTTTGCTTTGGTACCAATCTGTCCATTTTCTGTGTTTTCATTTTTTTTTTGTTTTTTTGCAGATAAAGGTTGCCATATATCAGGAACAGCGTGATTGCTTGGTAGTTCTTGGTAGCAAAGGTCCTTTTTGCGCTTCAACCTTAAAGGCGTCGACATCGTCTGGCTTGGTAGAGAACTTGGTCCGGGGTACAAATTGTACTGACACATTGGACAAAAATCGACGATAGGATGTCTCTATTTTCAACAAGCTGATAGAACTCTTCAACATGGAGCTCTTTCAATTGGAAAGGCACATGCTTAGCCAAAGGCAGCTCTGTTTCCGGGCCACTTCCCCAACAAGTCCGCCGGCACCTTCAATGCGGCGAACATCCTTTACTGAGAGGATCCAATTCGGCATTGTTGAAATTAAGCATCCTACCCCCAGAAGGGTCGCAGTGGATACTTGGTTCTATCCATGACAATAAAGTATGCGACCTCAATAGCTTAAAGGTTCTCCGGTATTACTTTGGTCCGGTCACGTGGACCTTCCTGCTAAACTGCAACGTGATCAACCATTCCCTGACCATTGCTAACGAAACGCGAACAAAAGACAGTTCGCCGGATCTCAGCTCAGCTCTTGGAGGTCGTAGGGCTCTGTCCTTTGATACAAACCCGTCTTTGATACTCATGATTAGCTGACTAGAGATGACAATCTCTCAACGTTGTACCTCCTCGGGGCCTCGAAAGTGTTCCCAGGCCGCAGTATCGACGGCATGTTCTATCAATGAAATCGTCAGACTGAATTGCCGAGAACAATTGATCCTTGAACCTCTCCGGTGGACCGGTCGTCATGTTGAGCTACTACAATGCAGATTTGAAAAGCCGTCACTGGCACCATCGGTGATGGATTCTACTAATAAAGGCCCTGGTGACCGATTCGTGCGAGCCCTTGTTGATGCTGAAGAGTATATTTGGCGGGAGTTTAGAACTCGACAGATCCTTTCGTCTCCCGGATGCCCATTTACGGCGCTGTTAGTTTGCAAATTCTGCCTCGCAGCTTTTGTCCTGTCTGATTTCTAATTCTGGATGTTACAGGAACAACCTTCCCTTCTACTTCGATCGACGCCATATCAGCGATCTTCCCTGTGTTGTCTTCTTTCCCAAAGGCGACCATGACCGCATGGCTAGGGGGCTTGTACCCGCTGTCGCTGCATATGTCGACCGTGCCCGCATCGATCACCTGCGCCTCGCTGAACTATACAGATACCAGGGTAGAAGACAGAGCGAACATGGCAGCACCCTTTTCAGACTCAAGTCAAAGGAGATCACCTCTCCCGAACACCTGCACGACCCATACATTTTAGCGTTGTTAATAGCCATGGCTCAGCTACAACGGGGTGCTCTGCGGCGACGAAACCCTGAGAAGCAGCTTGATATGTGCTCTACTTTTGCGGTATGAGCTTCTTTATTTATCATTCTCATGCCTCGAGCTAACAAGAATTATGTTAGTGCCGCGTATTATTGACTGATCTCAATGATAAGGCATGCACCCACCTCTTTACAGCTGATATCTCCTCCTCGTTTCTCCAGAAACTTGACCTCCCTGCGAGCCGTCCTTCCGCATCAGCATCACCCTTTGTCTCAATCCAGCATACAAAGATACCATATAAACCGTACAACACTTTCTGCGACCGTATTTCCTCGCTTCTGCTACGTGGATATCCGAAACGCGAGTCACGAGAGTGAAGAAATCCGACCGAGGTGCAAATAGCCGGCCGAAGTGTATGTTTTCAGATGCATGACGGCGCCCGCACTATTTCTTGGGTTGACATTGACAGGTGGCACAGCGCAGCGCAGAGGCAAAGCGAAACTATTCTCCTATATCCATATAGTCCTCTACATCTCCGGCGTCCTCTGAATCTTCTGAGTCCTCCAAGTTGATCGTAGCGCTGAATGCTGCATCCGCCCATGCTACCAAGGCGACTAGGTGACGCACAAAGTACTTGCGGCCGGCTACCTCACGCATATCAAACCAAGCCGTCGAGTCCACCATTAGATAGGTAGAGTGGTCAGAATTTGCGTCGGTTGGATGGAGTGTCTTGAAACAGCGAATGAAGTCATTCGTGATGTTAAAGTGGAAAAGTTTGATGTAGTACTTGACTGCCACGATGGATACGATACTGGAAGTGACATCAGCTCGGAATGGGCATATGGGGGTGTGGGGGAAGGGGGGCGACAGGAAGACAATGACTGAATGACCTACTTCTCTGCAGATACACGCATGGTCTTGGAGTCTTAACGCAAGTGCCTCACCGACTATTTGTGCCAATAACTCATCGGACACAGTTGGACGACTGTCAGCTATCGCTTGGAAACTGCGTTTAGCTTCCAATATTGCCACTTGCAGATTCTCTCCCAGATGCTGAAGCTGCACACCGCCATCATCGATAGCTTCAAACGGATGTCCCATACCAGCTTCCTCGCATGTGAAAGAAAGTCGTCGGTCGCGATAATGTATGATGGGCAATTCTTTGTTAACCAGCTGAACGTAGTTGAGCACACATCGGATAAGGCAGCTCATGAACCTGACAGTGAAGTCCTCCACAAGTGGTGCTGATGATCTTTCCATGTAGCCAACGCTCGAGGGCAACGATGACGCTGTGTTGGGCCTCTCCGGGGGGCTACTGCCGATCTGCAGGTCCTCTGATGGAATGTACTCGCTATGCTCTGGCTGGTTCCGCTTCCGCACTGGTCTTTCGGAGGTCATTGTTTGGCGAATGCTGCTATCTGGCCGTAGAAGAGGGGCTAGCGCAGCCCAAACATAGCCAAGACTTTCGAGTTCGTAGGCGCGAACGATTTGAAGCTCCGCCATCTGGCTCAGAGTTGTTGCCTCCTCCCTTGGACCTTGGATCAGGTTTTCAATGCAGGGATCGAACCGAATGTCGCATCCGGAACGGATCCTGTCTGCTAGGAGAGGAAGGATATCACTGGGCCTTTTGCAGATGACTCTGCAGGCGAACAGGTATTGGACCCCCCATCGACTCGTTGCACTTTCCCACAAGTTTGATTTTTGGAGAGCCGTGAAATCCAGTGTCTGCCTGGATGAAGCAGCTGCAAGAAAACCATTCTGGTTTTTGACTTTGTTGTAATATGTCATGCTGGAGAAGAGAATACGGGAAGGTGGGGGAATTAGTGGGAGCGGGGAGGAAACTGTGTAGAAGTATTAGCTAACGTACAGCTTGTCTTGGAACGGGTAGGAGCCAATTGTCCCGTTTTGTTAATTAAACCCTTATAATCTTACAAGACAAGAGGGTATGGGCATAAGACGTGAAACGGAAGGTTTTCCTGAAGGTGACATGCTGTGACAAATGATATTTCGTACTTTCGATGAAGTGGATGGTGGACAAGAGCTGCAGATCCCTGCAGAGTATGGTGTCCAAGCATAGCAGGCTGCCTTGGGCGGGAGCCCAGGGATTTTGAATATAAGAAGCCCTGGTAAAGATACGATCCCAAGCCCGCTGGCGACTTTGAAGTTGGTCATTTCTCGCGACACCTCCATCCGTCTCACCGTTAGGGAGCAGCCTGTCACGCTCTCCATATCTCCAGCTTGACGATGTGCGGCCAAACCAAGGTCACGCGCAAGTATAGGGACTGTCTTGAGGGCAAATGGTTAGTCGAACAGCCAAGCAAAGCGACCGATGTGGAAAGCCTTGTATCGAAGCCCAGAAGCAGGATAGCTAATGAGGAGATTTTGATGGGGTCCTCAGTAAAAGCAGCACGAAGTTCCGGGGTCACATGCACAAAAAGGGCTTAAAACAGCGTCAAAAATGGGTCGCTCTGACTGGCTGCAACCCCAACTCTACACCCCTCTTCCTCTCTCTCGGCCTCAATTGCCTGCTCGTTCCTGCTGCATCGCGCGTCTTCGTTGCGTTTGGCTTGTCGAGTCTCTGTGCTGTTGTTTCGCCCTTCCCCGTGTACGTTTCTTTTGCCTTGCGTCATCCTTTTCGACTCGATCCTTTGCCATACATCCAACCGAAAAAAATGGCCAGAGAAGACCTGTGCGTTGCTCTACCTCAGCCTTACAAAGTCAATTGTGCCATAGCTGACGTCTGCCGTGTGCAGCGCCGTTGACATTCTGGTCATCGGGGCTGGCCCCACCGGTCTCGGAGCTGCGAAGCGCCTGCACCAGATCGTGAGCGAACCCCCTCCTCCTCCCCTCTCTCTGGGAGAAAAAAAGAAAAAGGGGGTATGCGCGTCTGACAAATTTGCTGATCAAGTCATTTAGGACGGCCCGTCTTGGATGATTGTCGACGCGAATGAGACTCCCGGAGGGCTAGCTTCCACTGATGTGACTCCAGAGGGATTTGTACGTGCTGATATCCTTTTACGATTCGAGAGCATACACCTTTATGTGAACGGTCGTTCTGATAGCTGAAACCTTCAACTCACGTTGTAGCTTTACGATGTTGGTGGCCATGTTATTTTCTCGCACTACAAATATTTCGACGACTGCCTGGATGAGGCCCTCCCCGAAAAGGGCGACTGGTACACCCACCAACGCATTTCATACGTTCGTTGCAAGGAACAATGGGTTCCATATCCTTTCCAGAACAACATTTCCATGCTTCCCAAGGAGGAGCAGGTAAAGTGTATTGATGGCATGATTGACGCCGCCCTGGAGGCCCGCGTTTCCAACACAAAGCCAAAGACCTTTGATGAGTGGATCGTCCGCATGATGGGCACCGGCATTGCGGATTTATTCATGCGTCCGTATAACTTCAAGGTCTGGGCAGTGCCGACTACAAAGGTGAGATGCATCGACTCAATTGTCCAGCCGGCTATGCAGTCGCTAAGTAAGCCCCTACAGATGCAATGCGCCTGGCTGGGCGAGCGTGTGGCCGCACCGAACCTGAAAGCGGTGACTACGAACGTTATTCTGCAGAAGACCGCCGGTAACTGGGGTCCAAATGCCACCTTCCGCTTTCCCGCCCGTGGTGGCACCGGTGGTATCTGGATCGCTGTCGCAAATACCCTGCCCAAAGAAAAAACACGCTTCGGTAAACGCGGTGCGGTCACGCAGGTCGATGCTCGGAATAAGACCGTCACTTTGGGCGACGGCACTCGAGTTAGATACCAGCGTTTGGTTTCCACCATGGCCGTGGACTCGTTGGTTGAGCAGATAGGCGACCCGGAGTTGACTGATCTTAGCAAAGGCCTCTTCTATTCATCCACACATGTCATCGGGGTCGGTATTCGCGGAGAGCGACCAGAGAGAATTGGTGATAAATGTTGGGTACGTGAAATCTTCACTTCAATCTGTATTTTGCCTTGGAATCTGACATTTTATGAAAATAGCTTTATTTCCCCGAAGACAACTGCCCATTCTATCGTGCAACCATCTTCTCCAACTACTCTCCATATAACCAGCCAGATGCTTCGAAGCAGCTAGCTACGAAAGTACTGGCAGATGGCTCTAGGCCGAACAACACCGAGCTCCGATCAGGCCCATACTGGTCGATCATGCTTGAAGTTTCCGAGTCATCCCTCAAGCCAGTCAACAATGAGACTTTATTGGCTGAATGCATCCAGGGCTTAGTGAATACTTCAATGCTCAAGCCCACAGACGAAATCGTCTCCACTTATCATCGCCGCTTCGACCACGGTTATCCTACGCCTACGCTTGAACGCGAGGGTGTCCTCACGAAGCTTCTCCCGCGCCTACAGGATATGGGCATTTACTCACGTGGCCGTTTCGGCAGCTGGCGCTATGAAGTCGGCAATCAAGACCACTCCTTCATGCTTGGAGTCGAAGCAGTGGACAACATCATCAATGGTGCCACCGAATTAACCCTGAATTACCCAGACTTCGTCAATGGAAGAGCGAACAACGAACGAAGACTTGTCGATGGCGCCCAGGCGTTTGCTAAGGTTAAGGAGTTGGAGATCCGAAACTAAACATTGTGCAGCATCACTTTTACGACATTTGACGGGTTAGGTCAGTTTTCCAGTGCTTGCTGATGTCTTTCATGAATGAAGGTGAGGGGTAAAAACGGAATAAAAGATCTACATTCTTCATGCCTTTCTATCCAACGTCTACCAAACTTCCCCTTCGATTTTACTGTTTAGTCCTCCCCTGGTTCGGATAAGATCTGCCCTTTGAGTATAAAGTAACGATATTATAATTGTAATTAGAGCCTGTGCTTGAAGAGACAGCATCTAAATGGATTAGAAAGAGGGAAACCAAAAAAAAAAAAGAAAATACCATCGAGCTCCTTTTTTCCTTACGGTTTTTTATTTATTGCTTCCATTTGTTTGAGATGTTCTGAACAATTGTCCCCCACACACGTCCCTGAGCGCTCGGAACTCGCAAGTCCAAAGACTTTGGGTTTGTCTATTTTTTCCTACTCTCCTTCAATCCTCACTCTTTTCGGACACGTTCTGCCAGCCAGAAGCTTTCACCGCACCTGGCGTCCACGACTTAGCCATTCATGCTCTTGGGAACGCACATAGGGCTGAAAAGACGCCATGTTTATGCCCGCGTCCCGTACTGCCAAAGCCCTAGAATACTTTATATCCAAAATTGAAACACATGGGGGAAGATTGCTAATGGTAATTCTATGTATATACTCTCTCAGCCACTACCCGGGGGACCGGTGTCAAGGCGAAAAATATTCGAGAGTCAGTCTCAGAAACCACGACGATCCAGCAGCGAGATCGCCGTTACTCCTCCTCCTCCTCCTCTTTTTTTTTTCCCCCTCGGAGGTGATAGTGTGTTTTGATGTACCGGAACTTAACCAGCCTAGCCGTCTTCTGTATGTGGAACTCTGGCAGTACTTATCTTTGTATCAGAGATGCATACGGCGCCGACAACACTGATTTGCTTTCCTCGCGGTGGAAGGGATGTGATTCAAAGATATTCCTAGTTAATTATCATGATTCCGGATCGGTGATTTGTCAGTGCCACACCATATTGAATCTGTCATACCTCCTTTTTATTGAATATTGAAACCACCGTGCTTGTTTTCCGGATCTTTGTTCAGGCTACCCTATTCACTCCTCGGGTAGTTTGAACACCTGCCACATGCACAGATCAAAGCAAGCTGCACGGTAGTTTGAAGTCGAGTTTTGGTCTGGTTTTGTTGACAATGGGATTGCTCGGAGAACCGGAGGAAGGGCTTTGGAATGGGAGATGAAGGAGAGATAGCAGGCGAGGGGCGCCATGGAGAATACGTCGGAAACATGGCTATTGGCTTGCAATATTGCCCAGCCAGCCAGGATGAATAAAATAGAAGTCCCGTCTTAAAATTATCGGCTCTTTGTAATATAATAAGGCATAATCGGCCTTGCTTGCTGTATCTTTGTTCGCTTGCGTTACTTCGTTGGGCGTCACAGAAGCTTCAACATATTTCTCGCGGTTCTTAGATTCTCTTACCTCGCGCTGTTGACCGCTGATAATGGCTAATAATCAATCTCTTTGGGGCATTGATAGGGCAAGATATAGGAATGCTTCTATTTTCTTTTTTATTGGGGATTTGACCCTGCTCGCAGCCGACTATTGGTAGGAGTATCACCGCGGGAGTCAGCCTTCATGGAACTAGAAACATGAAGTATCGTCTGTTAAAATTTGAAAAAAATATGAGATACTGCTCTCAACTCAATAGAAAACCCACGACAGAGGCTCTTCTTGTGTTTGAAGCAATGGTAAGACCACTCTGGGATTATCAGTGATGGTTCTTTTATGGTGTGAGAGTTAATGTCTATTTCTCTGGCTTTCCTGATAGCCTTCGCTTTTGTTGTAGTGAGATGTTCTTTAGTAGTATTCGCTGCTTGTTGTAATATCTTCCTCACGATAGGTTCTCGAGCGACGGCATATATGGCCGCAAGGGAAATGCGATAACGCGCGGAAGCGCTTGTAACTGCTTAGCCAAGTGAGAATATTCTCCAGCAGCTAGTCAGAGGGTTAGGTAGAGCCGCTATAACGTAGGCGAACCTTCATTAATACTTTACTCTAATAAAACGGCATGAGATATTTGATTTGTATGCAGAGTTTGAACCCCATTTCTCCTGCAGAAGCTCCCCGAATTTGTCTGTCTGCAGGGGGGAGCAGCAGGAGGGCCGTCGATCATTCCCTACTGTTGCTAGCTATGAAGACCCCTAATAATGCCTTTGCTTCTCTTCGCTCGGGCCCAGGGGTTTTATCCGTGCTGTTGATATCCATGAATAGTATTGGATACATCCAAGTTAGTAGTGTATTTCGTTGGCATGGGAGTAACATATGTGCTGCATTTCTTGCATGCCCTGCTCATCATATTTTTGACGTTCTCGTGAGACAGCGGTTGGTTTTTGAAACTTGACTCGAGATAGAGTCCTTGTTCTGCCCTTGGGCTCGAAGAAGCGATGGAAAAGTGCTTCTACAAGACCTTTCTTCACAGCAGGCTCGCTATCGGGTATTTTTTTAATCAAAATAGCAGCAATAATACCAGTATTCAGATTTGAGACTTAGGAAATAGGGCCTTATATTGGTTCCGGCGGAATGAGGGCAATTTGGAAGATTATGTAGCATGCAATGAAAGAACCGCGATTTTCCTCCAACTCCAGGGTGATGTATTGCATTCACTTGTAGGATGCAATGTCACTGGGTAGGTGAATCTCAAAGTTTCACTTAACCCTCACCCTAAAATTAGCAAAATAGAAATGGCACTGACAACTCTCAAATGCTGAAAGTGATATATTGGAATTCGCTTGAAAAGCCTGTTCATATGTCAGGAGAGCTCAAGAATAGGAGGTCATACTTTGAGCGGGAAGAATTCCTGGAGATATCGAATTGCAGCTCCCTTGAAGGTGAGGTGGACATGGAAAATTGGTCTCTCACTAGCGGAAAGTTTTGGCGGCCTGCAAATAGGCTAATGTTCAAGGATGTGTAAAAGGGGGGTAAAATATGAAGAATAGATTGAACTAACAGAGATAACTAACTTGTATGTATGGAAGAGGGAAAAGTAAGAGCTATTAGAGGGATTGAACAAAGAGAGAAGTTAATACTACAAATGTTGTAGTAACAAAGTTGGGTGCAACATAAAAACCTTGATTTGTGGATGGTTTCAGTCAGATTTTCTCTGTGGGTGCATGTCTAAAGCTTCAGTTTCTAAACAGTCTCGGTTTTGGCTGCCTTGGAGATCCAAGGTAAAGAGTAAGATGCTTGGGATTCCAGAAAATCCCAGGATATGTAGGGTCAAGTGAATGTGACCTGATAGTTCTTCATCTTCCAGGAGGCATCAGTGCTAAGTGTCCTTCGAAACTGACACTTAAGTATGATAGTTAGACTTTTTTTTTTGAGTTGGGGGGTGGGAATGAGAAGAAAAAAGAATACTAAGGCCCTTGATAGGGCCCGGCGAATCCACTTCTTTCGTCCGATTAAGGCATTGGAAAATGGAGCCCGTTCCAGTTTACTCCACCACTGCAGGGAAGGTAATAATGCAGGAACCATGAAAAAGCTCTCTAAGAGCTCTGACCCGGAAATCCTGCACAGTATTTCCATGTCCCTCGGTCGATCCCTCATGTAATGTGTCGCTTTTCTCGGTGCGCGTCCTATAAACTCAACGAGCGCGGTGGGTAGGATGCGCAGAATCCGTAAAGGAACCCTGTCGCCTGAAGAGTCCTCATGATGATCCTCATGAGCTTTCAACACACAATCCAGAATGACGACGCGACGGGGTAGCTCCGGAGTGGGTTGAGCAAGGATGTAAGCCTCAGGTATCTTAATAAAATATTGAGAACATCAGTGAGAACACACGGAAATATGGCGACTAAAATCCAATGAAGAATCTTCTTATTTATTTCTGTCAAACGTCAGAAACTGGAAAAAGACGGAGAGAAGGGGTAGCGGACGGTGGTGTCGGACAACGAAAAAGCATGTCTCCGAGATCGATGGTCCGTGCTCTGTGGAACAGCAAAGAAGTGACTCAAAGACACCTAGCTCTATAAATAGCATCTGTCTTCATTGTCTTGAAATACTTTCGGTCTTGGGTGCAAACATAGTACTCGTTTCAACAGAGCCATCCCTGTGAAGATTCCAATTTTCAACCTGCTTCTATCATTCAGATAGATGGCTGTATGTCACAGACAATACCTGTGTGCAATCCACAGTCTCTTTGTTTGTCAATATAAGAGAATTATTTATCATGTTGATTCGACAACCATGAGAAATTGCTGTTGGAATGTTGACATTGATATGCTGAAAATATGGTTTATCGCCAGGATTTGTGTGAGTTGTTTGGCGTGGTACTCTGTACTGGTATCAGACGCCACACATGATCCTTACATCCAAGAACGTACCACAGACAGGAGTAAGCGGGATGCTGGAGCATATACTTCGTATATATTGCCGGCGTATAAATATGTATATCAATGGGAGGACTGGCTGGTGTCGAATGGCTTTTAGGTATGCAAGCCCAAAGGGGTAAGCCGTAAGCAGCAAGGTTCTTGGAGGCCATTGGGATATTAAATGTATTTCCGCTGCGTGAGAGAGCTTAGAACTGATCATGCTGTGGCACTGTACTGTTTGGCCAGGACGGAAACCCGCTGCACGAGAGCCATGCAAAAGATACGAGCATGTTTTCGCGAAGGTCCTCAGTAATAATCGGCATTCCTTGGCTCATAGCTGGGCTGGGTTCTGTTTCTCGGGGCCCAGGAATGAGAGATCGGATTAAGGCGATACAACGGTCTCGTCAAGCAAAACACGCTGAGGCTAGGTATTTTAACAAGGCGATGTCAACTTGACTTTCAGAACCAACTGACCCGGTCTCCAGGCACGATTGATAGCTTCCACGACAGGGCCGGAGAAACTCCTTGGAAATGCTCCATACGGCGCCCCAGAATGGCAAAATTGAACCAGACTTTCCAACAGGGGCTCGAAAGACATTGTTTCTTTTTGATAAACTTTCAGGCAACCTAAGACCAAGGAAGATTCAGAATGTTGTACAATACGGAGGATATACTTTGTGGAGGTAGGAGGCGCGGTTGGCCGCAGACGGATGGTGATTTAAATAGATGCCGCCAAGGGCTATGTAGTCGATCACTCGGTATCACCACTCTCTCGGTCCTCTGCCTGTCCGGCAAGCAGATGGCCAATGCAAGGATGGCAGAATGGCCGTTCTTCACTTCTCGACTTCTTCCGGCGAGACGTGACGATGTGGCTTGTCACGGCGGCTTGTTTTGTTGGTTGCAGGAGTGACTTTGACGTCTGGGTGGCTCATGCTGAGTAAGCAGTACCAGATACCGTACCGGTAAGGGTCGTACAGTCCGGCTACGGAAGTGACGTGGGAGTGAGGTGTGGATGATGCGGTGAATGACGGTGCAGGTCTGAAAGATACAGCGTTCATTACAGTACTGATACACCATGACAGCCCACCAGGCTTGACGCATTGGTACTTTCACCGGATGCAAACAGGAGAGCAATCCATCCTCCTCTGCCACCACCACCACCACCACCACCACAACAACCACCCACTATTACTACCACAATCACAGCGACGCCGGACGGTCATGAAGCCCAGTTCAGATCCTGCCTGACCGAGTGCCAATCGTGCTGGCTTCCTGTCCACCAGAGCAGGTTGTCCTCTGGGGGCGCTCGCCTTCGGAATTCACCATATCTACCTTCTAGTTCGTGGAGAGTCCTCCCTCCCGTCCCTAGATCGTTGACTGCGATCGCCTCACCCCCAACTCTCCGCCGCCGTCGTCGTCGTTGTCGTCGTCGCTCTCCTCTTCCTCTCCCTCACCACTCGCCTAGTCTCTGACTCGTGGCGTTCATCTTCACATCTTGCTCTTTTTGTTGCCTGCAACATCCCGGCCCAACCAATTTTGCCGATCAACATTCCCCGTGGGAAGAGCTCCTCCTTAGGGGCTCCGGGCTCGACCACCCTCCATCCGCTCCTTCGTGCTCGTCTCCGCCAGCCATGCCTCTTACTCGCCCTTGAGTTGACCAGTGTTCAAATTGTATCCTCAGACGCCTAGCTTCTCTTTCGCTTACCACTCACTTACTATCCCGACCTCCCTCCCGACTCAGCTACCTTTCCGTTTCAACATTTACTTTCACCAGAACCTACATCCTTCCTCTCATCCTATATTAATCCTTCGAGCTTGCCATGGACGGAGATCTCAGTCTTTCGCAGTCCTTTGGTGGCTTGCGCATCGCTAACCCCGATGATGTGCCCCCTGGAGGTCTAGATGAACGTTCAAGCTCCGCCCCTCTTCCACCGGCAGAGGCGAAACGGGAAAACGACGGTATGGTGATTGTGTTTCATAAATGTTCCCCTTCCTAATCTGTGATGACTCCAGCTGATAAGAACACCTCCGGAAAGTGAATGTTTCGAGCAATGTGGCGTCTTCGTCACCGTCGAACAGACCGTCGATGCCCATGCACCCCCAGCCCCAGGACCAGCAATATGCACTTTCACAAAAGCCACCCACTCCACATCAACTTCCAGACAATCCCCCTGCTACTTCTGTGAGGCCACTATCGACTTACTTACCACCGTCGACGAACGGTAATACAACGCCAATCAGCAGAGGTGACTCATACCGCATTCGCACGGAACCGTCTTCCCCTGCCCCGGATTTTCCCTCGAGAAGTGACTCCCGCAGCCGGTCAGCCATGTTGCAAGCTGGCGTTCCTATTCGAGACACAACCCATAGTGACAGATCGTACAAACAGCCCCAACATTATGGCGAGAATGCGGCATTACCACCCAGGAGGAGCTCACGTGCGGTGCACAACAATTCCAATCCTCATCGTTCAGGCTCTCAGTATAACCCGGAAAACGGGCCTACACACAGTTCTGGAGACTGGCAGGAGCGTGGCTCTGCCGTCGCTGTACGGCAAGAAATCGACGCGAACGGCAAACCCGTCTCAAAGACTGTTAGGAAGGGCGTCAGGGATTTCCAATTTGGCCGAACTCTCGGAGAAGGCTCTTACAGCACTGTTGTGGCTGGAACAGACCGCCAAACCCTGAAGGAGTACGCCATCAAGATACTTGATAAGCGTCACATCATCAAAGAAAAGAAAGTTAAATATGTCAATATTGAGAAGGACACCCTAAACAGACTTACCGAACATCCCGGAGTGGTTCGACTATACTACACTTTTCAGGATGAAAACTCCCTTTACTTTGTTCTCGATCTAGCCCTGGGTGGTGAACTCTTGAACTTCCTCAAACGAATAGGAACCTTTGACGAGGAGTGCACCAGATTCTATGGTGCGGAAATTCTAGATGCCATCGATTACATGCACAAGCGTGGAATAATTCATCGTGACTTGAAACCGGAAAACGTACTATTGGACAGCCAGATGCATGTCAAGATTACAGACTTTGGCACTGCTAAAATCTTGGACCCCCCGCAACGACCAGATGAGGGTTCCGGAGGCATCCTTGATTCAGATATGTCTGGCCGAGATAGAGCTAACTCATTTGTTGGAACGGCAGAATATGTCAGCCCAGAGCTCCTTACTGAGAAAAATGCCTGTAAAGCTAGCGACCTATGGGCATTTGGTTGCATCATATATCAGTTGTTGGCAGGAAGGCCACCATTCAAGGCAGTCAACGAATACCTGACATTCCAGAAGATCGTCAATCTCGACTACGAATTTCCGAAGGGTTTCCCGCCCGTCGCCCGAGATCTAGTGGAGAGACTTCTCGTTGCTGATCCCACTCGAAGACTCCCAATCGAGCACATCAAGAACCATGAATTCTTCAAAGGTATTACCTGGGGTCGAGGCCTTTGGAAACAGAAGCCGCCTCGTTTAAAGCCGTATGTGCCACCACCTCCCGAACCTATCAAGCTCAATGGAAATACGAATGACGACAGCTTCCCCCCAAATATCAATACCGCCCAGTCGCAAAACAATAGACCCTACCCGCGGGTTATCACCGAATTACCCCCTCCATCGCAACTTGATATCGAATGGTCTCCAGTGCTGACACGACCAAATGAGCGCATATTAAAGATGGGAAACCTGACCGTTTCGTCATCGCCTGCTCCTCATAGATCCCAGAATAGGCATGGAAACGGGGACAGCGACGCTCCCAAGAAGCTCTCTCGATTCTTCGGTGGTGCTACGACTAAAAAGCGCCAGCGTTTAGTTATAGCGACTTCCGCAGGGCGTGTGATAATTGTTCCTTCCGGAGGAGATGAAAAGAAAGCAAAACTAGAAGTATCTCTCCTGCAATCGGACACTCATTATCGAAGCTCGACAGATCTAAAGGGGCATTCGTCATGGATAATTGATACGGTATGAAAAGCCCTACACTCGACATTTTATTTATCTACTGGAGGTTTTACTGACGTGCTGGTTCTTTTTCCCTAGCGAGACAAACATCTCGTCTTTGAAGAAGTAAAGTCTTCTTCCACCGAAACGAACACGTCTGCTCTTTCCACGCAGGAATGGATGGAAACACTGGATCGATCGAGAGAGATGGGCGCGTTAAACCCCAGAACAGGATCTTATATGGGTGATGAAGGTTTTAGGGATTTGTCTTCAGGGGTTTCGAGCCACGCTAACACATTGGACCGGTCAGAAGAAATTTCCGGAGGAAGAGGGCAACTTACGAAAAACCAAGGCCCTACAGATTCCGATTCAGTCAAAGCTAAGAAGCGTTTCAGTCGCCGACATTCAAAGAACGGGCTCTCGGCTGTTTTCTAGAACGACACTGGGCCTTGACAACCACGATATGACCTTGGCCCCTAGGTCATGCACCGAGCTCTCTCTGGATATATTCTGCATTAACGGCGTTTGGGGGAAGCTCCCTTGATCTCTCGCATTGACCTCAAAACCTCTCACGTCACGGTCTTTACCTTTCTCACATCAAACGACATATTCATTTCCATTTGCTGTTAAGTCGACATTTCCGCCCTCGGGCTACGAGTGATGACCTACACTGGCTAATGCCGTCGAAGCGTTCTGCATGTGAAAAACCACTGGTTTGGCACAGTTTCTCTTTGCGATTTCCGTGATCCAGTTTCATTGCGCAGCTCTCTCGCCATTAGCATATGATTATATCATCCCCATTCCTCCAAATTTTCGCATTGTGCATATTGAGCCTGATATCTTATTTTTCCCTCCCCCAGGACTTAGTTTTATCATTTATATGTGTTTTTTGCATTCAGTTGTCTCCATTTTCCTCCTTCTTTTTCCTCCCCCTTTTCCAGTATAGTAGCTTTGCGGTATTCCTCCCCGCTATTCACACGCACCGCACCATGCTTTGACAGAATCCATGATCTAACGTTCTCCGGGCTTAAGACGGGCTGGCCGGTTTTTTAACACGGTGCGGGCCTGGTTTCTCCCCTCCCCCCCCTTTTTTCTTTGACGTCTAGTTGGGCAGATTATCGGGTTCAAGCAAGGCACACAGCATTTTTCTACATCCAGTTCGTCTTCGATACACACTATTTTAATCGCTTTGCGTCTGCGCAATTTACATTATTTCGTCTGAAGAAGGTTTGTTGATTAGAGCGACTGGTGTATATGCATGATGATTCCCCCCAAAACCAATCCTTCCTTTGTTCTATCCCCGATTTCCCTACTATCCTAGAGGTGGAATTGAAGCTGTTTTCTTCAAGATGTCTTCTCATTTTACTCTGGTGTTACCACATAAAATCCATCTATCCATAAGGGGCCTGATAATTATGGGGAAGCATTTACGGCCTATTGAGTGACTCAGTAATACTTAAATGACAAAAATATGACCTCGACGATTGGATAGATACTCCGTACGCCGCTCAAGATTTTCTCGCGGATCACCCCGGCCTCAACTCGGATCTCGAGTTACGCTTCACGCATTCGGTGATCCTGGGCTGGTCATTTGATGGTGCCTTACCGAGGATCAGAAAGAAATTAATGGAAGAAAACATTTATCCATGAAGAGCGTCGTCCCGATGAGGCTCTGCTCCACGGTTTACTCTAACGTCAAGCGGCGTCGTGTGCGGTCTGGACGGACACCATACGAGCGCTGTGCCGTCCGCTGAAGGAATTCTCTGTCTTTTTGCTGTGCCGCAGGTTTCCGCAAGGGCCTCTGACCGGGTGGCCTGCGTTGGGGTTTTTTCCCCGTATGCTCTGCAAAGCGAGCGAGCGAACGGCGATGCAGACTGTGGAACTCCTCCCCCTCTTTTTTTTTTTTTTTTTTTTTTTCCTTTTTTTTTTTAAAAAAAAATAGTGTAGATGTAAGGATGCATGTATAGTATAGTACATATTTGATCCATCATGGTCATTGAGCGCGCAGGTCCGGGCGGACGGGCGTGGGTGACACAAACCTCACAGCAGTTCGCCGGCCCAGTGTGAGTGTCAAGCATGATACATAGCTTGCAGGAGAAACGGGGCGGCAATGGCGCCAGTTGAGAGGACAGCACGTACGATGTGCAGCGAGGGTCGCCACACGCCCTCAGCTTCGCAGCACGGTGGCAAGGATTGCAGAGTGTATCCTTCGGCGTCGCTGCAGCGGTGATTGGCGAGCGAGCACGGCGACGGCGGTCTCTTCTTCGTCCATCTTGGCGCAAGGCTCAGCAGCCGGAGAGAAAGCGACGCCCAGGGCAGAACTTACGGCCATTGTGGGATTTGCACTTCTGCAAAAGTACTCACCCTTTCACGAGTCTTGTGTCGTTATATCTCGTGGGAAGCTTGGAGGATCCGCCCCCCCTTTTTTTTTTTTTTTTTTTTTTTTTTTTTCCCTCCGGCGAAGAGCCCGGTGTTTCATGTCTTGTTTTCCTTGAAGTTGTCTTTTTTCGGGTTGTTTTGAACTCGCTTCAGGCGCTCGACGACGTTCAAAGCATCCCCAACAGATCGACAAGACACACAGACACATAGACCACGCGCAGCCTGATCTCGTTTGCCCCTCCCCCTGTATGTAGGTGATTTATTATGCTCTGGACGACCTGAGCAACGCGTCAAGCCCGCTCAGCCCGACCTCTCGACTCTCTTCGCAGCCTCGCAAGCCAGCGCTTGATCCCACTCTTTCAGTCGCTTAGCGTGCAAGCTTGACCATGTTCCAATCCCCTCCGCAATAACATGACATCGCGTCCTCAGCAATCCACGGAACTCCCCGCGACCGCGCCCATGGTTTCCCACCCTGAGGCCGCGGGCCGTGCCAGAACCGTCCGCGCTGCCCCGTCCCTGACCTCCGCTCGCTATCCTCATCTCCAGCACCGTCGTCGCTTCAGTGGAGGCCGCTCGCACCACGGCGGCTCCTCCACCAACCAGCCTCCCAACGAGTTCCCCATCTTCTCCGTCACCGGCGACGTGGAGCTTGTCATCCGGGCGTCGAATCAGGAGAGGAAGTACCTGCTGCACAGGCTGATATTGGCGCAGAACTCCGGCTTCTTCGAGGCCGATACCAGCGAGGAATGGTCCGGGGTGCAGGCCCAGCGCGAAGCTGCCGTCTCTACGAGCTCAGTTGGACCTCTGCCGGGGCACGTCCCCGACGGGCTGGAGGCCATCCAGGAGAGTGATCAGGAGTCGCGTGCTTCGCCTCCTAGCGCCCCAAAGAAGAATCGCTGGAGGTATGAATTGGATTGGGAGAATAGGGAGCAGGATGAGATGCCAATTCTCGTGCAGAAGGTTGGTGGTGTTTTTTGCGATCAAGATCGCATGTCTCTTGATGGGGAATTCTATATTAACTGATCTGCTGAAAGCCTCCAACCGCGAGCAATGCTGTATTCGGCGAAACCAGACCGCAACAGCCGCCTCCGGCAAGAAATAAACCTCCACCGCCCCAGCAGGGCTTCTTTCGAACGATGGCGAATCTGACCGGCATCCAGTCCGCTCTCCATCTTCCAAGCACGTTGACCGTAGAGGAGCCTCCGGTCGACCCGACGATACGTGATTACGATAATCTGTTCCGCATCTTCTACAACCACTCTCCTCTTCTCAATTCTGTCAACATCGCGTCTGCTTATTCCGAATGTAAGTCGCTGCTTACCCTGGCGGACATGTACGACGCCCTTCCCGTGGTCGGCCCCCGTGTCGATCACCATCTGTTACGATTCTCCTCGCGGTTATATAAACAAATCGCGAAATACCCACCAAGCTACCTTAAGCTTGGCTACCTGGCGCGTAGCCGAGTCATCTTCGCAGAGGCCCTTATCCACGTCGTCGGTCAATGGCCGGCGGCGCTCCCGTACCTTGGCCCCAATTCCTATGCTCCACTTCCCGATCCAGTTTTAGATCTGATTGAGGATAAAGTCGACGACCTGGAGGACATGATTGCGCGAACAGAAGGCAAGCTCTTCCGCCTTACCCTGACCACATCCAGGGGTGAACGCGTTAGCCCCAACAACGCGTACTTGGATTGGCTGGCCGTCTCGTTGTTCCGCCAATTCCTGGTCGAAAACACCACTCCGCCACCTGCGTCGATATTGAAGAACTCGTCCTCTCAGCAAACCCGCAACATCCACAGCTCTGGCTCAACAGGCTCCAATCCTACCAGTCGCCAGAACAATTCCGCAACCAATACGCCTGCCGGTGGTGGCACTGCCAACCGCCCTGCACCGCCGCCATTCTCCATCGGCCGCACTTATCGCCTGCTCGGCTCATCTAACTCCCAGGCTTACCTCCCACATGACGAACTCAAACGCTTCCTTAAACTGCACCCGTCATCTGACTCTCTCTACTCGCGCGAGAATTTCAAGCGTTTTGAGCGGAAGATGGACGAGATTAAGCGGCTTGCCAGGGAGATAGTGAAACCCTTGATGCGGAACTTCCTCGAACTGGATTTGAGAGGTGGCAGCGATGACGATTCCTCTTCCCATGGCTCGCTTTTACCTTACTTGACGTGCACGAGAGTCGAACAAGCTGATTTCCCATGGGATTAAAGCCACAGCTCTCTCTTCTCTTCCCCCCCCCTTGGGATACCTTTTTTTTTTTCATGCCGCCACGCTGCCTCGATCGGTGGAAGGCTGCTTTTGATTAGAAACGCGATTCGGATTGACGAAAGACATGCTGGTATATATAACCTATGAATGCCTCCGCCATATTATAGGACATCATTTTTTGGTGTTTTTCCCCTCTATTCTGCTCCGTGAGGATGATGGTTTGGCCATTTTATGCGAAACATTCATGAATCTTATGACTTGAAATGACGACTACGTACTTGTTTTGTGATTTGTATTTGCTCTTCTTTGTTTCTCTTACTTCTCTGATATCCCCATTTGTACTTCTTTTCCTATTCTTTTGAATACCCTAAAAGTGAGTTCTTTAGGAGTGTTGAATCGCAATGCTCCCTGGCTTTTAGGAGTTGTTGATATGTGTCTGGTGATGATTGCATGCAACCCATGCTTATCTTGGACGCCTAGTGAGATGACTGCCTTTTTACCATTTAGCTTTATTTATTTAATAAGCCCTTTTCGTGTACTAATTCCTGTCATGATTTCTACCTAGTTGGCTGAAATAAGATATTCCGGATAATTTTTCAGGTTGTCTACCTTGCACCACGTTGTCAACTAGGGATTTTTCATCACCAAGAAGAACTTGGAAAAAATACAGTCATGCGGTCTCGAACAGAAAAGAGGTGTTTTCAACAAGGCATTGGAAAATCCTGAGATCAGGCTCTTTTGCTCTGCACCTTCAGCCTAACTTAGAGATCTAATTTGCTCGAGATAACATCGATTGAACTTTCAATCACTGTCACATTATATATCATTGTCGGTATTTATAGGCAATGTGAGTCCATACATAACTCTTCTATTCTATCCTACATATCTTACGATCCGCACGGCTTTCACGCATCTCACTCCACCATGCCTTCTCTTCCCCCAATCGTCTCAATGCCACCCATCCAGTTCCTCAGAACCTCGGGCACAATCACCACACCCCGCTTTTCATCCCACCCGTTCTCTAAAATAGCAGCCATGACCCTTGGCACCGCTACCGCCGTGCCGTTAACCGTAGAGGGAAACCTAGCCGCTGCACCCGTGCGCACGCGCGTTCCGAGCCGACGGCTCTGGTAGTCGGTGCATATGGAAGCAGAAGTTACTTCTCCCCAGCCATTCTGGTCAAAGGACTCAGCTTGGGATGGTTGTTGTGTAAGGGTGTGGTGCAGGCGGGATGGGAAGAGAGTTTCGATATCTTGTTTTCGGGCAGCGCTGGCGCCGAGGTCGGCGGTGGGCATTTCGAGGATGCGACAGGGCAGGTTTAACGATGAGAGGATCTCGGTTTGGATGGAGAGCATTTCGGAGAAGAGGGTGGAGGAGGAGGAGGAGGAGGAGGATGTGGTGGTAGTGGTAGTGGTTGTTGCGCTCTTGGAGTTGGCTTCTGGGATGTCGTCGGCCCAGCCGAAGAGTTCGACTTTGGTAAATTCATGCACCCGGTACAGGCCCTTTGTGTCAACGCCTCGGGCGCCTGCTTCGGCACGATAACATCGGCTTATGCCGATGAATTTTAGGGGGAGTTTGTCGGCCGGGATCTCCTGGCCGGCATACATTGCGGCTAGAGGGATCTCCGCCGTACCCGTCAGACACCTCTGTGGTTTGCTCTTATCCTTCTCATTCTGCTCAATTGACCAGATCTGCTGTTCATTGTTCACATCGCGCGGCTGGAAACCACATGCCTCGGCGATATACGAGTAGACCAGTGTGGGCGGAGAAACAGGTTTCCAGCCTCGACGCATGGCGACACTGAGCGCGTATTGAACCAAAGCCTGCTCGAGTAGTGCCCCTTCGTTCGTAAGATAGTACCACCCCCATCCCGTCGAGGTCGCGGAGCTGGTAAAGTCCAACAAGCCAAGAGAGGTGCCGATAGAAACGTGGTTCCGCGTTGGTTCAGGTGAGGAAACGAACCCGGGAGGAGATCGCGGGTCGTAATTGATATAATTAACTACGCGGGGAATATCTCCACGCGGAGTCTCTTTCGAGGTGAGGTTGGGCAGCGAGAGTGCAAGCTGTTGTACTTCCTCAAGGCATTTCTCCCTCCGGTCGGTCATCGACTGCGACGCATCTTTGAGCTGTTTCGCCTCCAGGTGCAACGCGTCCAACTCTTCATTTTTACCCGGAGCTTTGCCTTTTCCCTCAGTGGACGACGTAGCTAGCTTCGCAATGGCTCTTTGAACCTGTTTTATTTTTGATCGTGGAGCGTTGAGGGATCGTTGCAGCTGGGCGGCTTCGTCCGCGAGGGACTTGATTCGGGAGGGATACTCGGAGAGGGATCTGTAGTTTCGGTCAATGCAGTTTTGGGAGTAGAGCTCGGCGTTTTCGCGAATGTGCTTGACGTTGGGAACTGGTTTGGGCCCAGTTGGTGGACGGGTAATGGTGGAGGAATTGGAGTCATGAAGGATGCGAGGACTGGAAGAGAATGGACGGCGGAATTGCAAGGCTCGCAGACATGTTCGCCGGCAGTTTAGGCAGATATATGGTGCTGTCATGGATTTGATATTCGTTGCCACGCTTTTGCAGGGTTTAATGTGCTGTTTCGGCTTCTGAGATCGTGAAGGTTTTTTTGATTGCTCTTGTGCTCAGCCAAAAACGCATTTATGTATCTCCACAGCTCGATACAAAAAGCTGCTCTACAAAAACTGCTTTTCCCGCTCTCAGTCGATACACAGCAGAAATGGCATAAATGACTAGTTTTTTCTTAAAAACTTTTACTTCCAAAAATTACTTTTCCTGACAATTGATGGTAAATAGATACTTTCTGTATGTTTCACCTTTCCACTTATTACCACCGTCGCCCACACGGCCATTCTTCGGAGACACTGATAATATCGCGCTGAAAGGACCGAACTGGTCCGAAATGAAGAGAAACACAGAGTTCCGATCCACCATTGACTAGTCTGACCGTTCTCTTGGTCTCTGGCGCTTGAAAAGAGGCATCTTTTGCTTTTTGATTCGAGCGTAGATTCCCGCAATCACCAGGACTGATGCAAGCAACACGGCCCAAAGGCGGATGTGCAACACGGTCTTGTTATAGTCCGTCTGTGTCGCTGCCGCAATCGTGGCGAGCTCCATGACGAGGAGAGCATAGCCGAAGAGCCGGTGCCACTTGTACACCCGCTTCCCGTTGTCGATGCTTCCGAAGACCTGTGCGGGGAAGAAATACTGAGCTGCTCCGACAGCTGCTTGCAATACGATGAGGATGTACGTGATCAATCCCATGATCGCATGGACGGAAGTGAAGCGGGTTTCCGGGTGAGAGGCTTTATTGATCTCGATGATAGTGAAGGCAGCGACAAAGGTGAGATTGGAGGCAACGATTACGCCAAAGTGAGTCAATGTTCCCTGCCTTTTCTGCGAAGGAGTGTGTGTCGGCTGGAGGAGAAGGATTGCTTGTGTGGTGAGGAGCACTCCGGTGGAATTAAGAAGCTATCGATCGAGGGACGACAGGGTTAGTGGTGCTTCTGCCGGCGAACCATCATGACGAGACGTACCGGGTGAGGAGAGAAGAAGATGAGCTCGTTTGAGAATATAGCAGACCAAACAAGGGCAGCAACCTGCCATCAGCATACGTGAGCGGGAATCCCAGTGAGTTTCGGGTCCAGAGACGTACAATCAGTATCCCGGCCTGTGCAATCGGAGCAGTGCCTATGATAAGAGGACGTGAGAACAGCACGATTTTCGCCTTCCACCACGTCAAAAGGCGGATCCATACCTGTAACCAGGTTTATTAAAATGCTCTGATTCTCCTTCTGGGTCACGTCGCCCGGACGTCCAAGCAGCGGTTCTTCCTCTCCGTTCTCATGAATAGAGGCCGGCCGCGCTTCGGGAATTCCAGTAGCTGAAGCCATCTTTCATTGCAGTGTGGATGTGTTACCACGAGCTGATCGAAAAGTAGTGCAGTTCCTCCTAAAACAGCAAATGGACGAATTCAATATTCAAAAGGGGGGTGATGCAGAGCGTATGGGGGACATGCTTCGATGATGGGGACCTGGACTGGTGAAGTTCACTGGCTACCGGGCTGTAGCGAGTCGAATCTACGGAGCACGTAGTTATATGGTGCAATCGACAGGGCTTGTCTTCAAATTACAACGCTTGCTACCGTTGATATCATCACATCCGACCGAGCATCCCTGTAAAGGTTTTAACAATGCCTCCAATTCTGCATGGGCATCTGGCCAGCAATGAGGACGACGCGATTGCCAATCACCAGGTACTTGTGTGGCGGCGGTGACACGGAGGACGAATGATGTCACTCCTGATCGTCATCCAAATGAATAACCGCCTCTCCCGGTACAGGAGAAGATCGCTCCGGCCGATGGATCCCGGACGATATTGACTATTTGGTGTTTCTTCATAGTCCCCTCCTTTCTTTACATCTCACTTCATCAGTAGACCTAGAACGGCAATTTCGCAGTGTTTTATCAACCGACTTCGAGTCACACAGGACGCTACCTCATTAGTTTTAAGATCTCCCGAGAGTTTCATCGGCAGACTCCGAACGCCGTTCCAGCCCGCAATTAACTTTGCCATTGTTTAGTTCTGGCGGAATGGCTGACTATATATAGCTGCCGAAATCCTGATCAAGGCTTGTAAAGTAAACTATTCAGTCCAGCTCGATCCTCAGACAAAAGAGCGCTATATTCTTGTCTTTAGCTTTTCTCTGTAAGCTCGTAGTGACATCTAACTATGGAGACCATTACCAAAGCCAACATTATTCCCATCTCTCCTCAGCAAATAGACAAGCAATTTTCAAAGACGACCAATCTCGCTTCCTCCGCTCTGGAATCCAAAGTCCTTTCCTGCAGCGATGAATACTTCGCCGCTGCATCCAACCTTCTCACTCCTACTCCGCCAATCCACCGCCCAGGAGTCTTCGTGCATACCGGAGCCTGGTACGACGGCTGGGAAACCAGACGGCACAATCCCCAACCGTTCGACTGGGCAGTCATCCAGCTAGGCGTGGGAAGCGGCATCGTCGAAGGTGTGGAGATCGACACCGCGCACTTCGTAGGCAACTATGGTGAGAGCGTTCTCGTCGAGGGAACGTATATATCTCGTGAAACCGGCCAGGGCGACGAGCATCCCGTCACCAGCCCGGGGTACCAGGGCTGGAGTACGATTCTGCCCATCCAGCACTGTGGGCCATCGAGACGTCACGCCTGGGCGTTGAAGACACCCTCAGTTCCACTTACACATGTGCGTGTGCGGATGTATCCGGACGGTGGCTTCGCGAGACTCCGCCTATACGGCCATGCGGTTGCGCCGTCGTTGCCGCCCGCCCTCAGAAATACCTCGGACCGGAGCCTATTGCCCCTTGAAGAGCTCTCGTCAGCGCTTTTTGGTGCCGTAGTGACTTCAGTTAGTGACCAACACTTTACACCTGCTTCTAACCTCCTGCTACCCGGCAGGGGAGTCAATATGGGGGATGGATGGGAGACTGCACGCTCCAGAGATCCGGGACATGTCGATTGGGCTATCGTCAGACTTGGTCTTTCTGGCTCCGTGGAAAGGATCGTCGTGGACACGAAGGATTTTAGGGGCAATTTTCCTCGTGCGGTGCGAGTTCACGGCATGATGTATACCGCTGCTGATGGAGCGGACGAGGATCCTGCTCACAATCAACCAGGCTGGATCGAGATAATCGGCGGAGATCGTCCGTGCAAGGCTGACACGGAACATGTTTTTGAAGGAGAAGATCTTGCTCCCGTTATGAGAAACGTGGTTGGATTTACCCATCTAAAGCTGACCCTCATCCCCGATGGTGGAGTCAAGAGATTCCGAGCGTTTGGCCGGAGAAGCCTGCATTGACAAGGCATGCTGGATTTAGTGGATGGACATGGTTACACATTCATCCCGGGAGCTGTTGTGTTGATGAAAAATATAATACTATAGTTACATAATTTTCAGAAGAGAACAAACTGTTCATAGATACCAATTCATACCAGAAATTTCAAAAGGAAAAAAAGGTGACTGAAATAATAATGAAAAGCAAGGAACAGAACCAGTGACTGCAACTAATTGTGAAAGCAAAAGATCAGGACTCAACAGGTGGGATATATTAACCATTGCTTGCAGAATCAGTCATGTCTAAGGCCCAAAGGCTCATGCACAAAATGCAGCAAAAGAAAATTCATAGAAACCCGCAACCATGCATTTCTCATCGCATGTTGGGGGTATTCGCTGCATATATCAACGTTAAAAGTAGACGGAAGAAAGCAAACTGCCCACCCTGATGAGAGAACCAGACCTGCGCCAGTGAGTACACATTGCATGCCGTGTTTTCTCTTTTGCCATTTCCGTCACCCATGCCTCCCATCGTTTATACTAAACCACACAACACCTATTGAATGCACCAGAGACAGAGAATGAAAAAAGTGTCCAGGAATCAAGAGTAAAACAAACCAGAAAGACATAATAAGGTTGATGGATTGTAAAAGTGGAATTGAAATTGCCAGCGAACTGATCAGACTTTATCCCCTTCGACCTTCAAGCAGAATTCGGGTAGCCTGTGGTTCAAGGAGTGCCATCATCATTTGACCAAGTTCGTTGTGTTTAATGGGTTTTGTGACATAGTCATTGAATCCCGCACGCGCAGCATCATCAATTTGGTCTGTCATGGCATTTGCTGAAAGAGCCATGATAGGAATTTGAGGGAAATGATTTTTTGCCTCCCAAGACCGGATTTCGCGACAAGTTTCATAGCCATCCTTGACAGGCATCTGAATGTCGCACTACAGCATCAAACGCTTGTTAACAAAGGATTTCAAACGTGCAAACCTAGCTTGGGAATATTTGACTTACAATGATGAGTGAGTAATATCCTGGTTCTTTGGAGAATACCATATCGATGCACTCTTGGCCATTTCCAGCAACCTCAGATCTGAGTTTAACTTTTTCTAGATATTTCAACATAACCTAAAACGGACATTTTAGCACGAGTTTCCGTTAGCGGGTGGGGATGATGGCTTACAGCTCGATTCGTTTCATCATCTTCCACAAGCAAAACCCGATGGCCCTTGTTACCGATCACCTCCTTGACTAGCTTTGACATAGTCTTGAAGCTATCGTCCATCGCTCTAGCCGTGGCTTGATTCCTATCCTTGCTGAGCTCACGCTTGCTGAGAGGATCAAAAATTGCCGAGAATGTCGAAGGTTTCAGCGGTTTAGGCAGAATGAAACCTTTCCTCCCTGCAGATACAAACTCTGAGATAAAGTCGCTTAGCCCACGTTTCATGTATGCATCTGCGGCAATGACGACGGTAGGCGATCGAGCCGCTTCGAATTGGAGCACATTCCGCATAATTTCTTTTATGTCATCGACATCCGGTAAATTCAACACGAGGTGAGTAAAAATAGGACGTTCGTTATTGTTAATCAGCTCTTTCCAATCGTCTAGGTCAAGGATTGAAGTTATGTTAACTGGAACATCGAGAGGGACGACCTGTTCAATATGTTGCTTAATAGCCTCGCGCGCATAATCGAATGGACATATTATCAACACAGAATAGGTCGACGGGTGCGGAGGTCTTTCGGAGGTATCGCTCTTCTTCGCCTCAGTCGTTCCTGGCCTTGAAGCCGGCACCAATGGAGAACCTTGACTATTCATTTTTGCAGCGTATGCATCATGTACTGCAGAACTGAATTGTACTGGTTTGTGCCTGGTGGATAGACCGGATGTAGGCGTGCTAGCTGATCCAGAACGCGTAGAAAGGAAGCTACCCGAGTTCGCTGACTCGGGGCTGATTTCTGACTGCGCACTGGAAGAGATTTGACTAGCCGTCGAGCTTTCCACAGCGGCGTCTGCAGAAACCCGAGTAGATATTTTCTTTTCGATAGATTCTAACGTCTGAGGTGCTTGTGTAGGAGCGGCACTGACTTTGACATAGAAAGAGAACTTAGCGCCTCGGCCTTCCATACTTGTCGGCGTTAGACGACCGCCATGCATCTCGGCAATTTGTTTTGATAAGAAGAGGCCTAGGCCACTTCCTGCATGTTGTGGTGCGTCATCGTTTTCAATTTGGCTGAATCTCTGCATCAATTGCTGAGCATCCCTAGCACTAAAACCCTTGCCCGTGTCAATCACCTCGAAGTTGATCAGGAACTCCGACTTCTCAAGGTTGCTCTCTGGATCGTGGTGAATCGAACAGCGAATAAAAATTTCGCCTTGAGAGGTGAACTTGACAGCATTACCAATGAGATTGATAAGAATCTGGCGGATCCGGAACCTGTCCCCGAAAACCATTGAAGGTACATCAGGCTCGAAGACATAATTTAGCTCTAAGCCCTTATCAATAGCTCTCGACGCAATGGTGTCGATAGAATCTTCAAGCGTAGAGCGGACGTGGAACCACTGCCGAAGAATATTCATCTTTCCTGCTTCCACCTTCGACACGTCCAATATGTTATCCACAAGTTCGCGTAGGTTGGTCGAACTGTTTTGGATCGTCTCAAGCATGCGTCGCTGGTCAGAATCCAGATTCGTGTCAAGAATGAATGGTATTGTGCCCAGAATTCCATTCAGCGGTGTTCGGATCTCATGGGACATATTTGTAAAGAACTTAGTTTTTGACTCCATCTCACGATTCAACTTCTGCATTGCCATGTTTAACTCCTTTTCGAGTATCTTCCGATCATTTATGTCGGTGCATGTGCCGTACCATGACGCCTCCCCGTTTCCAAAATCGGTTGTTTCGACCTTGACAAGCCTTACGAGGTGCCAGCGGAAGTCTCCCTTCCTCGACCGGAATCGGATTTCAGTAGAATATGAATGGCGCCCATTTTCATCACATTGTATTGTAACAACACCTTTTTGAACTAGGTCTTGAAGTGCTTCAGTCACGCCCCGACTGAAGCGAGATCCTTCACTCGACAGATTACCACCGTGAACTTGGGCCCTAGGTGATGAAGTAGAATCTTCTGATGATCGCTCTGGCTTAGGCGGCTGAGACATATGAGCATCTGACAGAATTCGGCCAAATTCAGTGGCACTGGTAAACTCGGGAATAACTTGAGGTGGAGTAATAATGCCGCATTTTTTAAGATCATCCCGATGGATATACTTCGCAAAGCCCAAATTCTTAGCCTCTTCGAGAGTCTGGCCTGTGTACAGCTCCCACTGTTGATTGGCTGAGATAAGACCTCGATACTCAGCAGCTTCGAATACAACCTGGGGTATTGAATTGGCCAGAGCTCTGTATTTTGCATCAGTGGCAAACGTTTCTCTTTCTAGTGCAGTCTTCAGCTCGGCGATGTGCTGCTCATGAACGTCAAGGAATGAGCCGATCCAGTAGAGAAGTTCTCCGGTAGAGGATATTAAGGGGTTGGCCCTGAAGATGAACCAGCGATAAGATGTTTCGTCATTCAAGCGTCTTACTCGAACCCGTTCAGTGAATTGAGATCCCGTTCGCAGGGCTTTGGTCCATTCGGTTATCACATTGTTATATTCACTGCTGTGAACATTTTGAAACGGATCTTTTATTCGTGGCCCTTGAGGGTATCTTCTGTACGTATCGAACTTTGTATTTGTCCAAATCACCTCGCCGGTAGGGGACTTAGCAAGAAACAGGTGTAGGGGAACGGAGTTAAGTATCAGCTGCGCTATTGTATCCGAGAAAGGACGGGATTGGAGATCACGATGTAGCTGGGTGGCAATGGATGTAGAGGAAGAGTGGCGAGAAAATGGCATCCCGTACGCCTGTGAAGGATCTGAGATAGATGAAGTATCCCTCGGGGTGAGCTCGTCATATCCTGATCCCCCTTCTTGCTGTAGGGCAGGGCTGGATGGGCTCGATGGGGTTTCTCCGGGTTTCGAATCGCGTGAGCATTTAGAATGCTGATTCCGGATGAGACCGGGCCGCTTTGACTTGAAGTAGCTATCCGTCGATTCTACTCCGGTTTGTGTCAATGGTCTAGGACTCAAGAAAATGTCTTTTCGTAATCCACCACTCGGAAGATCCAAAGCAGATGTCGAAAAGTCAGAGGCAGATCGCAGCAAGTGTGATGCAACAGCAGGGCTTGAAATAGAAGAACGACCAGCAGAGGCGTTCTCTCCCTGCGGATTGACTTGGCCCGTCAACCCTGCAACGAGTTCCAGTTCACTTCCTTCATCGGAAAAGGTGCCGCCAAGCCCTAGAAGCTGACTATACCTTCCAACAGATGAGTTTGACAACTGCTTCTCCAACTGACTGTATTTCTGTGCTAGGCAAAACGAAGTGGTAAGGTGGGGCATAAGATATGCTAGAGAAACTCGTAGATTTGACGGGTAGGGAACGATGGGAGCTAGGAGGGAAATGATAGCAACAGGAAATCGCAACGTCGTCGGGTCGGGTGGTTTCGAAGGGGGGGAATACAGTAGTGGTATATGAATCACCGTTTTTGACGAGTCAACACCAATGGCCTGTAAAGGCTGGGTCTCGGAATAGTCGTGAGGCGGTGGACTCGAAGCGAAGGTATCTTCGTCTACTTCGGGATTGGTGAAGAACGGGTTCTCATCCGGTTTTGCCAGGGGGGCTGGAGATGGTGCAGGAGATTGCGACCATGGAGAAGGGGGAACTTGTTCATATTCCTCATATGCTTCTAAAGCAGAGACATATTCAGACTCGACCTCTTCGCCGAGAATTGATAAAGGCGCTCTCATCATCCCGGGACGGCTCTGGGAGTGACGCTGGCTTGAAACCATCTTCGAAGGATGCTCCTCACGGGGAGTTGTTTGGACCACGTCTTTATGACGATGTGCCGAAGTTATGGTTTGAGCTGAGGATGGGTCTTCGGCATATTGCCTCGTTAGAACGGCTGGCTTCGCTCGACCAAAAAGCTTCGCAATCCCAGTCCGCTTAATCAACGAGTTTGGCTCCAATTCCAGGGAGCGCGGTACTTGAAATACGGCCGCAACTGGGTTAGAAATATTAGTTTGGGCCGATTCATCACTGAAATCAACCCGATTGTTGCTAGACGTTGAGGAATCCTCCTCAAGTTTTGCCCGATTCAAAACTCCTCTTGTAGGCCTCTCCGATGTTCCAGACTCGCTCTTTCTCCGTGTTGCAGCACCAGGTCTTGGATTTGCAGTCCTGGATTCTGTTTCACACCGGGTGCCATCATTTCGAAGAGTTCCATGGCCAGCGAAAGAATGACGAGCTGTCAACTGTGGCCGTTTTGAGAGAAGATGTAAGTTTGGGTTCCCAATGGACTCGGACTTTTTAGTGCCGATGGGACTGGTGGTTTCATAACGTGGTTTTTCGGGGTTAACTTCCGACCAATCTCTTTTTCTGCCCATCGACCGCTTTGCGTATAAGCTGTATGTAGCCTTCTGCCCCCATGGCACATTTTCTAGGTCCGTGACATCACCAGGCACTGCAAGGCTAGCTCTTTCTGCGCCGTAGTGCCGACGTAGGATTTGGGACACATTTGACCACCAACCTTCCAGTCCTGCATCCCCGTTCAAATATAACGCGAGGTCATACAAATTCGGACTCGGATACGTTGGATCTTCCATAACATTGGCAGCATCGGATGGTAAAAATTCGCGTTTCGGTGGTGCATAATATGTTCTCTCCGGCGTGCTACGCGCATCAGGTTGTTTGCCAAGCTTTTTCTTGAGGGAACCACGAGTGGACCTCGGATTAAACATGCGATGATCTTCTCGAGATCTTGTGACGTGTTCCAGAGGTGTCTTTTGAGATATCGTCGATGGAAACGGATACGACGAGTCCATATCCTGAGAAGATGCCCTTTTATGCGAGTTGGTCGTAGATTTCACTTGAGGAGAGGTTGGGGGCCTCAACGGCGTGGAAGGAGTCGATCTCATTTCCCGCAAGACTTGACGGGAGTATCCAATATCAGGGCTTGTCAGCGACAATTCGCCAAGATATTCCTTAACCTGACTGTGCTGGTGGACGAATCTATCCTTCATCTTCTGCCGTAATTCCTCGAGGGTCTGCAGGTTCTGGCGTTTGCCTTGGGTGGCGTCGATCGACGCCCCATGTGTGTTCTGGGACGGTTGTTGGGAGGGATGGGCGGTTTCGGGGGGGTTGGCGCTTTCGCTCTGGGGCATCTCATCCTGGCTCATCGATAGGCATGAGGTCCCTGACTCACAAGTTAGAATGCATACTTCAAACCTCCATCAAAACGGAAATGGAAACGGACAAGCGAAGGGAGCGTGGAAGTGGAAGCGAAAGGGAAGACATACGCATTGTGGCATGCTTCGCAACGAGGGCCAAAATAACCACCACAACGCACTCAGGCCGATTTTATTGCTTGCAGGAAAATTGGACAGCGAAGGAAGAAAGGATGCCACTCATAGCTTTGGGCGGTGGAGGAGACGTTGAAGACTATGGTTCGGCGTCGCGCAGAGTGCTGTGAGGGTGGTCGGGGGGGTCGTGGTTCGGGGACAAGTGAGTGGGCGTGTCTTTTGCTGTTTTCGGCATTGAGAGAGGAAGAGACCCAGAGAAAGCAAAAGTGTCTCTTGGTCCCCCGTACGTTGAGTTAGTGTTCCTGGGGCTTGGCACTATGACGTCAACCTGCCACTTCACAACCGCTGAACCTTTCGCCCTCTCATTCTCTCTCTTCGCAGCCGTCGTGAGCCAGTGGCGGGTGCGGATGGGCTCTGCCTTCTGGCGCTTGTTCCGGGTGGATTCTGTTGCCGCCGCCGCCGCTGCTGTTCCTGATTTCTTTGTTGGAAGTGCCTACAGCAGCATCAACCCCAGAAACAAGGTGGGAGGGACGCTTTTTTTCTTCCCTCTGCTTCCCTTTTTCGATACGAATTAGGGGATGATCATCTCCCACAAATCCAACATGACAAGCATAATACGGTAACATAAGCACCCAATCTCGGCACATACGCAAGGCAGGCTGCTTAGCGCTCGTAAAATTGGAACGGATGAGGTCAGCAGGGCAGTTTGAGTGGCTGAGAGACGGCCGTTTTTGTGGGGTTGTTACGGTGTGGGCTGCGAGGAACATTACTGATTACGCGCTAGTCCGGCCCTAAAGGGCGAAATACTCCGTTTCCTAAACCCCGTCCTCCCGTAAAATTACCCATGCCACAACCCGTCTTGCATTCCCACCTCCGCAGCCGAATAAATGGCGACTGTGCAATGAAGAGGGAAATTCGCCTCGGAAAGCCCGATCACTCAGGTGGACTTTTCAAGTCCTGTCCAGGGCCGCCAGCTGCTGGTGCACTGCATCCTCCCATCTACAACCATGGTGACCCGTCCCAAACTCTGAATATAACTATCGACGTTGCACCCATCCTGCAACCTGATATTCTGGATCTGTACGCCACGTTACCCTGCCGTCGAAGAAGGAATGAGTCCCGCCAGCATCAGGATTTAAGCCGTCACCACTTGTCCAAAAGCTAGCGCGTGCTTTTTAGCCTGGGGGTCAGACAGCGACAAGCTTCCGGGAGAGCAACTCACGCTTAACGAACTTTCGTTGATGCTTGTCTCTCTTTGGCAAGAATCCTCCGCTTGGGGTTGCTAGCAAAATTCATCAAGGTCTTATCGAGGATTTACAAGAAGCTTCAGCGGGGAAACTCCGTATTTCTCCCGCAACGTCCTTTCTGTTTCCTTTTTTCTTTCTCTTTCTCTTTCCCTGTTTCCTTTTTTTTTTTTTTTTTTTTTTTTTTTTTTTTCCTTCCTCGTATCTAAGACTTTTGGTCACGAAGTTGGCGAAGCAGAGACAAAAGGTCCCTTTGTTTCTATTGTTAAACAAATTTCTTGTCACTCGTGACCTGCAAATCTGGAGATCGTTCAGTATCGTTATTGTTATGAAGACCTCCCGAGTTGCATTGTGTTCACTTGAGTGATTTTGGTTCCAGACAGGTATTGACTAGGCTCCGTTGTCACGGTACCGGAAGGGATTTTAGTGCCAGCACTGTGCAACGGTCAAACGAAGAGAGACAGCTGTCCACGACACCAGTCCGTCCCATTGCCCCTTCGCTAACAACCTGATTGGACATACCACCCAGCTAGTGCTGCTGGAATACCGCCAGCGAAGAATTCCATTCCTAATTTTGGCAAATACATAGTTTCGGCCCGGGGGAACCAGAGAGACTTCTCATTCGACTTTGATGTTGCCGCGATAGACGATCTGCGCGTTCCACTTATGAAAGTTGTGTGACGTACTCCGTACGTATGGAGGACATTCATCAGGCACGTCGGCCATTTGTTTAATTATCTTGGCGTTACCCAACGGGGGCAGGCTTGTTGGACTGTAAAGGCTCTAGGGGCATCTCACTTTGCAACAATCTAGGGATAGCTATTGTGTAAAAGAAGCATGATAGACGCGAATTTGTCAAGCATTCTCCTTCTCCATCAACGGCCGGTTGGGCGTCACACGTTGATAGGGAGTTAAAACTAAAGCGCGCTAAAATCCTTAGTTGAACCCAAGTCCATGGCAAAGCCTGAGTTGAAGGCAGAGCCGAAACTCTCTTTCCTGATAAACCACGTTTTGACGCCGGTGGCGTGATCGTGGCCAATTACATGTGGTAATTCTGAAATACAGCCGTCATTGTGTTTCGCGGTAATGTAAGTTACACAAACAGACTCCATACGGTGAGGCATGATGCGGTGTAAGGGACAATGAGAGACATCGTGGTTTCCCGCCTTGTCCCTCGTTAAGTGACGAAGGTCGAATTACAAGCAGGAATTTGTCGGCCCCTTTGACGATTCGTCTTCCCTTAATCCTCGAGACTTTGAATGGAAACACTGCGCCGCGGTGGATCTGTGTGCGGCGGGATTACGTGGTGACAGTCGGTCTGAGTCGTGTTGTTTGGACCCCAGAGAACCCCCTAAGTTTCACTCCTTCTCTGAGCTCCTATGGCACAGCAAGACGTCCACTCCACAGGTAATAATATCTTACTCCCGATTTTTTTGTTCCGGGATAGAAGCGAGCTCGGTTAACCCACGATTGAGCTCGCTCTCCCCCCATTGTGTAGAAACGCAAGCACATCAGCTACCTAGGCACCCTGAAGACAACACGGACGAACCTCTGATCTTATGATGTCATGTGGTACTCTGACAACGCAGGCAAAATAACGATGCGACATTGTCCCTCAAAGATCGTCCTGGTTCAAAATTTGGGAATGCAAAGAAAGAACAAGGTGGGGCGGAGAAACATCATCGGGAAGGACTATTGAGTGTATGCGTCCTAGTTCATGGAGTTCGGGTCATCAGCCGCCCACCAGTAGCTATCAAGTAACTCCGCGGCAACGAGAAGGAGAGCGCTATCGACGTTTTCCACGTCTTCTTCTCCATGTCTCTGGACTTGGATGATGCTGTCACTCTCCATATAATACACGTTGGTAGCCATTTCAACGCGACTTGAGGGCCTTGAGCTCGCTGGGTTTAACTTAGTGACCCGATCCATTGTGAAGATGTGGCTGACTTTCATTTGACATTGGGATACATTGGGTTCCGATTCTTGCCGGTGTCAGTATGCAGCAGCGAAACCGGCCTCGAACAGATCTGGGACCTCAGGAAACAAAGGCCAAGGCTTTGGATTTTTGGTTTTATGGCCATCGAGGATGCGAGAGCTGTGTGGACGGGATTAGCCGTCCTACCAGTGCATTCAGGACACGTCTTCTCGGCTCTCACGGCTTTAACGAAGAAAACTCGCTCAGACTGAGCGAAACCAACTTATCGGATGATATGTTGGTCGACCTTTTCCCCCCTGTGGCTCCGGATACCTCTTCCTCTGGTCATCTGTGTCATCCAAATACACTGTTTGCCTTCTTCGGAGGGGAGCAACTGTTCTCTAGCTTGGTATCCCAGTTACCACCCTTACTAGTGGAAGGAAACGGGCAGTAGAGTGAAAAGGTATACATAAAAGCAGTCAGAGACAAAATGTGAGTAACCTGGGGTAAAAGCAAAAAGTGGAAAGGACACAGACACGGGTCTTTGGAATCAGGACTGGAGGTATTTGTTGCAATGGAATGGCAACTGTACGGGTTACTGTACACGTGCAACACTCCAGCAGGTCAAGCACGGAGAACTTGGGGCCGTTTTCGTTCCATCGAAGGAAAAAGCTAATGAGTGGAAAGATAGGAAAGAGTGCAGCATCCTCATCGAGAAACATTTCCCCGTGATGGTGCTCCGGATAAAACGCGCCACCCCCTGTCGTCCGGTGGTGACATTGTACGAAGAGTTACTCCGTACATTAGCTGACAAAGCCCTTTGCATTCGGGATGCGCCGACATTGGAGGTTTGAACTTTGCAAAGACCGAACGACGCACCGTGTGTTAGGTAATCGCCTTGACCTGCCGGTTCCGCGTCACGAGCCGCACCTTCGAGCAGAGGCGGCAACTACAGCCGCAAGCGCGCCAAGGCCGAAGTTTTGCTTCTCGAACCAAGGCCCAGACCAATGGGAGGCGCATCCTTTTCTTGTCATCGTTGATGATCGCCCGCCAGCTCCGAGAGTTGCAATCCTCGAAAAGGCCGAAAACATTGGGATAGACCCCGTTGGATGGTGATGGAAAGCGCTTCATAGGGGAGCACTATGATTAGGGACTGGCACTTGTTCACCACGGTAATTAACCACCACCCTGTCACTTGTTTCGGAGGCGGCGTTTTGAGCTGGCCTCGGCTTATTTTGATCCTCTCTCTAGCCATCACCACTTCCCCCAGCAGACCATGGAGGAAAGTCGGATTCTAGGAGAGGATCTCCCTCTCACGACTGACCAGCTGTTTGAACGCCTCGGGCAGATACCCGGCTATACGTGGGATACAACTCTCCAACCCGTTCACTCCTCATACGATCATTGGCAGGTGACAGGCACCAAGCATTCCTCCGAACCAGACGTGTTTTCATCGACTCCGGCCTCCTCTTCCTCCTTCTCGAAGGACTCCAGCTTCGCGCACGACTCCCTCAGAAGCGAGCCGCGATCCTTTCCCCGCAATAATGGCCGCAGCAGCATCAGCGAAGGTAGTAGCGGGGTTGCCTCGCCTCGCGTTGACCCCGAAATTTCTGTGCCAGTCGTGGCGCGAATATCAAGCCATATCATTCGTTTGGAACGAGAATATCACTCGATGAAGACCATCATTGACATGTCAGATCCAGAATGCAAACACACAGTCCGCCCAATTGATATTATTCGCTTTACACCTCAGCCTGGCCATCGCGCTCCCTTGCTCGTGACAATATTCGAGTTCCCAGGCCCAAACTACCTTGGAGAGTTAGTCAGTTTCGGCCCGGCATTCTACCAAGCCAAAGGCCAATGTGACCCCGATAACCTTCCTCTCGTGGACGAAGTTCCCCTATCCGTCTTTTTGGATTTCGCGATCGGCGCCTGTGAATGCCTTGAGTTATTGCACTATGGTTTGAAAAATGTTCACGGCGAGATCCGAGCTGATGCCTTTCACTTTTCTCGGGAAACGGGCGCCGTAAAACTTTCGAACACCGGCAATGGTTCGAGAGCCTTTGATAACGCTCTCAGTGAGGGTTGGTCGACACTTTCCAAGGAGTCAGGGGCAAAGGATAAGTTGCGGTCTATTGCTCCGGAGCAGACCGGAAGGCTGCTCACCGAGCCTGACAGTCGGACTGATATTTACGCTTTGGGAGTCCTTTTTTGGTCGATGCTTGTTGGCAGACCCGCATTTGATGGGAACGATCCTGTTGAGGTGGTGCAAAATGTGTTGAGCAAAAGGTTAAGCCCAGTATCGAGCAAGCGCATGGACACTCCCGATGCAATATCTGCCGTGATCCAAAAGATGGTTCAGAAGCAGATCACCGACAGATATCATACTATTTCGTCCGTGAAGATGGACCTGCAGAAGATTATGAAACTTTTGGGTGATGGGGATTCCCAGGCTCTCAAGACATTTCAGATTGCCCAAAGAGATGTCACAGCTTTCTTCACTCTGCCGACTGCTCTATTTGGCCGAAAAGAGGAGTGCGAACGGATCCTCCAGGTCGTTCAAAGACGCTTGCAGGAGCCTTCGGTGCAGCCTAACACTAAAACCAGCGTTCACCCGAAATACTCTTTTAGTTCCGGTTCTTCTGTCTCTGGGGAACGCATTGATCCCATCGAATTTGGGGATGCTTCAAGCGACTCTGGATCCTACGGGCTAGCGAGTTTTAGAAATACTCCCACACCTGTCCCCAATCTTCTGCCGCAGCTTTCGTCCCACGCGTCGACTAATAGCGTTGAATCTTCAGCGTCAACCCAAAAGAATTTACATTTGAGCCGTGTGAAAAGCCCTATCGACTCTCGGCTTTCATGGGACAACAGCGATAAGGAAGCTGGTGCCGGTGGCCTCAGTACCCCACAAGAAAATTTCCCATGGTTGGGCAAGCTGATGGCCCAGTCCAAATATCGTCATGGTGGCAGATGTGAGGTAATCACAATATCAGGAGCTGGAGGATCGGGAAAATCGGATCTAATACAGAGAGTCCAACCGGAGATTCGGAAAGGCGGATATATGGCGATTTCACGACTCGACCGCTCCCGCAGGGTCCCTTTCGAACCGTTCATGAAAGTATTAGCAACGTTACTACAGCAGATATTCTCTGAGCGTGATATTACGACAGAATACCATAGTTCTATCCGTACAACACTGCGACCTGTCTGGCGGACCCTTCATCGTACTCTCGACCTTCCACAACAATTAATTTATCCATCGGCTGGGAATGGGAAGCATTTGGGCTCGAAGTCTACAGTTTTGCCACTACAAATAAAAGAGGCCCCTGAAGGAGAGGCCGGTCATGATAACCCTAATTTATCTGGCTCGTTTTCCCTCCAGACTCCGAAGAACATCTATCAGGAACAACCCGCTGCCAAAAATCTTCGATTTGCAGACATCTTCGTGGATGTTTTAAGAACGATGACAATGCAAAAATTAATCTGTATTTGCTTGGAAGACGTGCAATATGCCGATGATGAGACTTCCGGTCTACTCCTCGAAATAATGCGAACAAAGCTGCGCTGCGTTTTCATTGTTACTGGTCGGCCAGAGGAAATTGTCGTTCCTGAGGTCAAGACCCTTTTCCATTCCGAAGGTCCACAGATCACGAGGATAGAACTTGGCCCTCTGAGTGAAAATGACATTCTCAAATATGTGGCTGCAACTCTCCATCGGCCTGCTGACAATTCGTTAATACCTCTCGCCGCGATCATTCAAGAGAAGAGCCGAGGAATTCCCTTTTATATTAGGTTAATTTTAGAGACCTGCAGTCGCAAAAACTGTATATGGTATTCATGGAGGGATTCTACGTGGCAATTTGATATTGATCGAATTTTCACTGAGCTTGCTGCACCGGACTACGGTCAGGGATTAGAGATTGATTTTGTGGCTAAGAGGTTCGAGGAGCTCCCCTCTGAGGCAAGGTCAATTCTTCTTTGGGCGGCATTTTTAGGGAGCCCGTTTTGCTTCTCTGTGATTCAAAAACTGCTCAGCGAAGAATTTTCGGAAGATACGGACGATGAAGAGAGCGCACGATGCGAAAACCAAAAACGGACCAAACTCAGCCAGTCGAGCAGCAACGTTGTCGCTGGACTCCAGTATCTACTCCAATCCTACATCATACTTCCAGGAGATAGCGACGATGAATTTAGGTGCTCTTCTCCATTTTTCACTCACGGCTTTGACCACATTAGGCTAACATTACTTTTTCTAGGTTCTCTTTTGATCGATATGCGCAGGCTGCAACTTTAATGAAACGATGCCGTAATCAGGAGAAAATGCATTTTATCATTGCGCAAACCTTGATGAAATACTTTGCCTCCAGTGAAAATATGCTCTATGCACGCGCCCATCACATTTCCATTGCTGCAAAATTAATAAAGGAAAAGGTTTCCCACCGTATTAGATACCGAGAGGAATTATCTAAAGCAGCTATGACAGCACAAAAATCAAGCGCCAGTACTACTGCTTTGACTTTCTATCAAACATGCATTTTCCTATTACAGGACGACCCCTGGAATCCTACAAGGCCGGATGTTTTTTATGAAGAGACAAGAGAGTTATATCTTCTAACTGCAGAGATGTTTCTAGCCCAGGGTCGGGCGTCTGAGGCTACGGATCTTTTATCCGTAGTTTCCGCCAATGCGCACACACCCGCCTGCAAAGCTCGAGGTTGGGTCCTGCAGAGTCGGATTAGCTCCTCAAACGGCGAAATCACCGCTGCTCTAGACGCGTTGCTTTCGAACTTAAGTGATCTTGGAGTGAATATTAATAGGGAAGTGACTTGGCAAGAAATTGATGAGGCGTATGCAGAACTCAGCGCATACCTTTATACAGCTGACCTGGACGAATTATTCTCAAGGCCTTTGAGTGAGGATCGAACCCTACTAGCAATTGGAGCTGTGATGACGGAAGCATTGGGTTTGTGTGTCTGGATACAGCCCAAGCTATTTTGTCGCTACGCGATCGACCTGATGAACATTTACATAAGCCGAGGGGCCTTTCCTCAGATAGCCTATCTTTGCACACATTTGAACATGATTGTCACGAGCCGCTACAAAGACAGCGTATTAGGGCTCAAGCTTAGTGATGCTGCGCTTGGTCTTCTTGACAGATGCAAAGAACCCTCGTTTTCAACCCGGGGAGTCTTGATTGATAATGTTTTTGTGAATCATATGCGAGTACCAATGGCGTCGACACTGCCCCTGCTCGAAAGTTCGATGCAGATCGCACATGTGCTTGGAGAGCGTCACATCACACTGTTCACTATTGGCATCATGGTCGCTACCGGGTTCTCGTTGGGGCAAGATCTTATAGAGCTCGAACAACATTGCAATTGTGCGAGTGAGGAAGTAAGCGATTGGGCTACTGACGTAAGAGGGGGTTCAATCATCATGGCCGTGAGGTGAGTGTCCTACTGTCACGTTTTTGGTCAGTGGAGAATGTCATGCTTATACGAGATATTTCATGATATAGACAAGCAGCTCGAGCCCTCCAAGGAAAGACCTTCGTCAACATTGCAGAGAAAATCATGTCCGACCATTCGCACGACGAGCACCAATATTTAGAATGTCTTATTTCTAGTGGTTCGAATTTGCATTCATTGAACTCGTACCGCGCAATGATGTTAATTCCACTCTACCTGTATGGATATTACGACAGAGTTGTAGAAGTCGGGACGGAGATCGTTAACAATATTGAGTGTCTCTGGTCCTCTCGTTTTGCGACGCAAACATATTTCTATTTGTCACTGGGAATAATGTCTCGCCGCCTCGAAGACCCAGGTCGCCCAGGCTTGAAGGAAGACATTGAGTTGGTTAGGAAGTACAAGAAGGAAATCGACTTTATGGAGTCCGCCTGTCATACAAATTTCGGGATGTGGTCTCTGCTGGTGCAGGCTTTGCTTTCTGAGATAAGCAACGATTACTCAGCAACGATGCAGGGTTTGGAGGTAAGACAGTCATGTTTGATGATGTTGTTGTTGAAAGTAAACACTTCGATATTTACATTCTGTGTAGGCTGCGCTGGATCATACCCAGCTTCACAACTTCCCGCTTGAAGAGGCGATGGCCCTCGAGCTGCAAGGTGATTCTTCCATTCTTTCATATGTCTTGTTTCTTATGCACGCATTCTGATATACTTTCGTGGCCAGTTGATTTTCTTGTTCGCCGAGGTGCGAGGCGCGCTGCCCAGGCAATTTTGAGACACGCAATTCCAGCTTGGAACCGAATGAGTGCGACAGGAAAATCTAAGCAGTTAGCGGAGCGACACGAGTGGTTGCTCAGAATGGGATCCATTGCAAGGTCCCAAGATGTCGAGTGCCAAACCGTTGACGCGCTAGCCGTCTCTTCGAATTCAGTCTCAGAGTCAAGTGGCACCCAAGGTCAAGATGAACATAACAGAAACTGGCTAGAGCAGGATCAGGACTGGACAGAGGGGACTCTAGACGTCTCAAGAGTTGGTCTGGGTAAGCATTTGCCCAATCATCGGTTCGGTCTCAGGTGGGAACGCTAACGAGAGTAGACATTATCGATCTTTCGAGTATTCTCGAGTTCAGCCAAGTGATGTCGTCGGAACTCGAAGTAGATAAACTGCTGACAAAAATGGTCGGGATCATTTTGGAATCTTGTAGTGGATCCGAGATAGCTCTCGTTATCACTGAGTTCGAATCCCAAGGATGGTGTGTTGCAGCAGCTGGGGAAATTGACAAAGGAGAAGTTGCCTATGCAGACGGCCTGCCGTTCGCCGAGGTGGAGGACAAAATGGCCCAGCAGATTACTCACTATACACTGCGGAGTCGAGAGCCAGTACTGGTACATAACGTTCTCGAAGACGAGCGATTTTCGAATGTCTCCGATGTCTATGCTAGTCGAAACCCTGAAGGGAGATCTGTGATTGCGTTGCCGATCCTTCAAGCGAATAATTTCCTTGGAGTGATCCATATCGAAGGCAAACCTAACTCGTTCACGCATCGCAATCTCGTTGTTTTACGACTTGTGTGTAACCAAGTGGGCATTTCGCTTGCAAATGCATTCCTATTCCAAGAGGCGCGCAAAATCAGGTACGAGACCATTCCTAAGATTACGTAGTGCGTGAAGATATTAACGTGTATTTAGTGCTGCCAACGAGGCAATGATCGAGGCCCAAAAGCGATCACTAGCACAGGCGCGAGAAGCGGAGCAAAAGGCTAAAGAAGCCGAAGCTGAAGCCAGACATAACGTTAAGCTAAAGGAGGAGGCCGCCAAAGCGAAGTCTATCTTCTTAGCCAACATTTCTCATGATTTGCGGACACCGATGACAGGAGTGATTGGATTATCCGAACTACTTAAACAGACAAACCTAGATCGCCAGCAAGATGTTTACGTCGAGTCGATTCGTGTTTGTGCAGATACTCTTCTAACTCTCATCAACGATATTTTAGACTTTTCAAAACTAGAAGCAGGGAAGATGAAGGTGTCCACTGTTCCTCTTAATTTGAGACAAACCATCGCTGAGGTGGTCCGAGCACTTCGTTACACTCACCGAGACCGGGGACTAGAGACTATTGAAGACCTTGATGATATTGCACCAGATCTCCTGGTCCTGGGAGATCCAGTGCGCCTTCACCAGATATTTATGAACCTTCTCAGCAACAGTTACAAGTTTACTCCAAAAGGATCGGTCACGGTTCGAGCCAAGGTTGCCGAGGAGGACGAAACTACGATCAGGGTAACCTGCATCGTTGCCGACACTGGAATTGGCATATCAAATGAGCATCTGGCGCGTCTTTTCCGACCATTCTCTCAAGCCGACAGTTCGACAGCAAGGTCTTATGGTGGCAGTGGACTAGGCTTAAGCATATGCAAGGCCATCATCGAAGAAGTCCTTGGCGGGAAGATTTGGTTACGTTCTGAAGTGGGAGTTGGCACCACAGTCACCTTCACAGTGACATTCAAGAAGGCTCCGGAAGACGCGGTGGCCAGAACACCCTGGTCCCAGGAGCTATCCCAGGACAAGAAACAGCCGCCCCAAAAGCGAGTCGTGCGGGATCTTACATGCATTCCTCGCGATCAGATCCGGGTTTGCATCGCCGAAGACAATCCTATCAATCAAAAGATTGCTGTGAATTTCGTTCATAATCTGGGACTGACCAGCGAAGTGTTCAGTGATGGCCAACAGGCGGTCTGGGCATTGCAGCAGCGGTCGAAAGAAGGGAACCCATTCCATGTTGTCTTGATGGATGTCCAGATGCCAGTGCTCGACGGATATGATGCTACTCGGAAGATTCGCGAGAACGAGGATCCGAACGTCAACGAAGTCCTTGTCATCGCCATGACCGCCAGTGCCATCGAAGGGGATCGCGAAAAATGCATTGACGCCGGCATGAATAATTACCTCGCAAAACCAGTCCGATCTGACGTCCTGAGAAGCATGCTTGATCGGTATCTCGCGCCGCAGTCGAGACGGACAACAAGGCCAAAATTTGGCGGTAGCATCTCTCGACCAAACCAACTCGGTACCGAGAAGACGTCCGCTAGGGCTACATTACCGATCAGAAGTGTGTCAAATATGACGGTGGAAGAAGCCGCTGACAACGTAGAATCGAATGCATCAAATGGAGGTGCAAAAGCCGACGACACACAGGGGACTTGACGATAATTCGAGTTCGTGAGATCGTTCGTAACTATCGCCAGTCCATTTTGCACGGTTCCTGGTCGATGACTTCTTTGTAATACCTGCGCTTAGTGCCTCACATCCTCTTCCAGGTGTTCAAGCCCATCCTCTGACATCAGCGCGATGTGACAGAACCCGTTTGGCGCTTTTATTTTAACTGTTACCAGCCCTCGAACATTGCAACCGATGATACCAGCCTTGCGTCTTTCACATACAGGCACCATTTATGCATTTCCCGCGGGCATAGCATTTGCAATTTGGGTTCACGCTTTCTTTTCTTCATTTTCCAGTAACATGAACTGACGATAATGATGTGCCTGCCATGGCAAACATCTGCGTTTGAGATGATACGATACAACTTTTCTTGCGAATCATGGCGGGCGATAAGTATCACGTAATTCTAGACGTATTTTTATTCTTGTCTGGGTTTGATGGCAAAGGGAAAGCAATTGAAGTTTATGGGAAGCGGTTTAGCCAACTACATGCCTTCATGACTTACTTTGAATGACCCTCGGGAGCATATCAACGAGCGATGAACATGGGAGTTGGATTCGGAATTTTATTTAGTTAACCTTTTTCTTTTCCCTCTGTTTAACATCTTCTTTTCATCCTTTTATCAATTTTCCCTTTTTTTTTAAATTCTTTTTATTTTTTATTTTTTATTTTTTATTTTTTTTTTTTTGGCAGTTAGTTTTAATGCTCGCTCTTCTTGTACATACATACAGTGACTATACGATATCAGGCGTTGTAAATATAATTACCTTTGTGCAGCTCGAGAATGTCTAGGATGCAGCGGCGAGCCCAAGGTTCAAGACCGGCGGCGACACGGCGAGGAATGAGAGCGAAAATATTGGATGCACAGCCCACACACCCACACAGCCATAGCACACAAGTGGTTTGGGCCAACCCAGGGTTGGGATGACTTTGCTCTCCGTCGCTGCACCCGCGACGATGGATGAATGCCCAACCGTCGCATCGCTGCATACCGATTCGCCGGCTAGTAGAGCACCCAAGGCAGCGGCAGCAGGGTCGATAGGCTGGCAGGACTGGAGAGAACCGCCAGTATCCTGGTCTGGCCGTCTCACCGTCAAGTTGCGGTGACGCGCTTAGAGCCCAGTTGTGTTACACTCAGACCTTCAGATGGGCTTCTTGTTGCTCCCACACTCACATGCACACTGGAATGCAAACTGCAAGTCACGGCCTGCTTGACTATAAGAGCGGCACAGATAAGATGCAGGGATGATTCTTTTCTTTTCTTTTTTCTTTTCTTTTTTTTTTTTTTTTTTAAATTTCCTCAGCTGCGTCGTGGTCAACTACGCCGGTGGTGGAGGACTGAACGATTTGGATGCTTTGGACAGTTGTAGAGTAGCCCAGGCGGAAACTGGAGGATGAATGTGGCAGACAGACAAACTAGTTACTAGCATAGTTGACTCTGCTTGATAATTCCTGGGTTTGCTGGAAGAGTTTTGACGATTGACGAGATCTGTTTGCCAGAGAAGTGAGACAGACGCCGTGATGCAACAGCGCCCAGCGCTGTGCACCGAGGGAAGTTGTAGCAGATAACTACTCTAACTAGTTAACAGAGTAGCCGAACCAGCTGGACAGTCTGACAGACGACGGAGAAGCGTTGGAAACCCGGGCTGTTTCAACTTGCGTTTCATTTGACTACGGAGAAGAATAAACCTTTCCCTTCTCCCGCTGTCTCTCTCTCTCTCTTTCTCTCTCTTATCTCGCCGTCCGTGCAGCTCGACCCGCCGACAAACGTCCTCTCGCCCGGCGCCGCCCGCTGGATGTAACATGTAACTAACTAACTAGTTAACTCTTTTCAACTGTTTAACTGCCGCAACGTACCTGTCAGGCCGATTCTTATGTAAGGTACACGCCGCGTTGCCAAAGAGCTGCCACCCGAGATGTTCGGCTGCCCGTTGAATCTGTATTAACTATATCACCCCGTTCGACGCCCAACGACGATCCCGTACTCAGACGGCCTCGCAAGGCCCGCAAGCCCAACTCTCCCCCTTCCCTCCCTCTCTCTCTCCCGTTTCTTGCGCGCGCGCCCTCACTTTGCAGTTTCCACGCACCACTGGACAATGCTCAACCGGGGTCTGCGGCCGCCATCTCTTTGGCCAATCTTAGCCAGTAGAGGGGATTGTAAGTTGTAAACACGTAACAGAGTGCAGTCCTCCCTAGCGTCCCCTACTTTGGCTCTCGTCTCACAGAACCATGGAGTCCAAGGAAACCACTCGTCTTCCTTTCTCCTCCTCCCTTGCTTTTTGCCGCCCGCCTAGACTCCCAGAGGCCCGGTCAACGAAGAGCAGCGCCGCGCCATCCCTCATTCGGCCTCGCCTGGAGTGGACTCAGCGCCATTCACCCAGTGCCCAACTTTCGCTGTCGACGGATCAGGCGGGACCAATCCCCTAGGTACCCACCGGACTGGCGAATCCCCGTGCGGATGGCCGCCCCTGCACACGCCTCTTTTCCCGACGCTGAGCGGGGTCGCCTGCGAGGAACGAATCGGGGCTTGGGATGAGTGATGGAGGGACCCTCTCTGCAGGGGGGGGAGGGAAGAAACAAGGGATAAAGCGGGAAAAAGAAGTGGGAAGACTGGCAGAGAAGAAAAAAGAAAAATAAGTAAAAGGAAAAAATAATAAGAGGGCGGGCAATGGGAGTGAATCCCAACCAGTCATAACCCATCCCCATCCCACAGCTCAGAGTAAGACAGCAACGGAGCAGCGGACGAGGAGACCCCGGGGCGACTATCCGAATTGGGATGGGCTCTCCCGGGGATGGGTATAAAAGGGGCTTCCTCTTCCTCCTCGTCCTCGTCCTCCTCCTTCTTCCTTATTTTCCCCAGCTCCAGCTCCGACCTGACCTTCGCCTCATCATCAGAAGCTTCTTGGACTTATACCCAAATACTATTGACCATCCCTGGCCATCATCTATCCCCTTCTCATCCTTCACTTCCACCTTAGCCTGCACTGCGCGGTGTGACTGTCTAGCCCCAGCATCACTTTGCTGTCTCCCCTTGATACCCATCCCACCACATACCCACCCCCTCTGTCCTTCCTGGCAGACATCTGCTGCGTGATACGCGCTGCCATTGATCTGCCGCCGTTGCGCATCTTTGCACTTTTCGGAATCTTTTCAATTCTACCAGAAAGTCAAATTCATCATGGCTACCACTCTCCGCCCCCATGTTAGCCAGAACACTTCGTCTCTCCCCATCAATATGCCCTCCAAGGCGCCAACCAGCGCAAGCTACTTTCCCATTTCTCGCGTCTCTGGCTCCCCGCCGGAGATCTCCGACGTGAGCACCACCACCGGAAGTGCCAGCGATTTTGATGTTTCCTCCTCTGGCTATTCCGGCGTCGATGTCATTGACACTTTGAACGACCGCATGAGCAACGTCTTCGACTCTAGCAGATTGGACACGGGAATCGCAAAGCAGACTCAAATGTGAGCATTAGAAATTTGCAATGAAACGGCCACTCTGGACCGTAATTCTTTGAACCCCGATTCTAACGTACTCTCTACAGCTCCGGCCAGCTCAACGCCAAGCAGCGAGAACTCCTCGAACTACAGGCCCTGATGCAGCGCCGTGTCAAGGGCGCACGTGCAAACTTTGCTGAGGGAATCAAAGCTGCAAAGGAGACGAAATCTGACCTCGAATGGACCCATAAGCGGATCAGGTGGGTTATTTATCATTTTCTGCAACATTGCACTTTTCCTATATCTTGCCCCTCTCCGCTCCGCTCCGTGCACGGGCTTCCCGCTCCGCTGTCCTTGGCATCACGTAGAAATCCGAAAATCTCAGATTTCTCAAGGAAATCGCCCCTTTCATCTCGCCGTGTTCGCCGCTAACCACGATTTTGCAGCTCCATGAAGGCGAAGGCTGAACGCAGTCTTCCTAGCGAATATCGCTCGGCCCACACCAAATATGCGTTCGATGAAGACTGCTGAATCCTCAATATTGCACCTCGCGTCTCATCATATTTTTCTCTCCTTGACGACTTTAACGAGCTATGGCTTTTTCTGGATATTCTTACTGTTGACAAAACTGTTCAGGATCCTGTGGCGTAATATTCTCGGCTCGATCCTTCTTTTCACATATCTGTATTTTTTCTGGGAGGGTTTCTCATTTGCAAGTTTGGAAATTGGGAGGGTTGGCTTTCTGCGGTCAGTTTTTTTATCAGGTTTTTCATTTTTCGGCAACTTTACTGTTTTTAATTTTGCATATTTTGGCAATATACGAGCGTCATCCTTTTCAACCCCTCCGGGGTGTCTTTTTTCTCTTGGGGATATGTCCCCTCTAATCGAGCCTCTTAGGCCGTCCGCTTTTTACATCTGACCTCCGGAACCTAGGTATCCATGGACTCGTGGCTTTCCTCCGAATTAATGATGAGTAGCAGAGGCTGTTTTAGCCTGTCCTAGGCCCCGATATCAAGTCCTACACGACGTTCTGGATTTTCCGCTGGTTCAGACGCCGGTCCGCCCTGGATGCATCTTGACGACCTGCGATCTTTATTTGCGCATCGCAAGACCACTTTCTCAAGGCCGGAAAACCAAAACATTCAGAGATCGTTGAGGTCTCCGGCAAGACTACGCCTATTTTTCCGCTCCGCCGCGTCCGCTCCACCCCCTATGGTTCTGTTGGCTTAGCTTGCCGCTTTTAGCGGAGGCCCATTTCCTTCTAGCGCGGGCGCGCTTAGCACCCAGCCAGGGGCCACATTTTTAACCGCGGGAGCAGGCCGAGACACCGTTTCTATTGGCTCCAGCTGCTCAGGGGAAAACGGTGCTTGCCCCGCACTGTTGCGGGTCCCACAGTTCACGCACACCCCTGCAGATGGACGCTCCGGCCCAGCCCAGCCCGATGTGCTCGGGGGGGCGGGGGCGCGGGAGCGTGCGGCGGCGTCATACGTCTATTTCTCCGGGTTCTGGTGTAGCTCGTGTAGGCCCCATGATTACGCCATATGGTCATCCGGATCGACTTGTAGGGTCATGTGGGTTATTGCCACGGGTTGAAAAGGGTTATGGGCACTCTGTAGCCATAGTCTTAAGGGACGTAGACGTCGATGTAGCCGGCGGTCCCGTAGGTGAGGTTACTGGGACACCGGGGAGTGTACAGCACGTAGCTTTTCTATAGGGGAGGCCGTCCCTATACCCGTAGCGTAACAGGTGCCTAACGAGCCGGAATATAGGGCTTATATTAAGCGTCGATGCTCAGCATTCCACCGTTAAATCTACCGGGGGGAACTGCTTCTCTTTAACACCCATCCCCTATTTGGCCCCCCCCCAAAAAGCTCAAGGGATGAGTGTGTTGTTAGACAATTGAGCTTTAGCCCAAATGATGCAACTAAAGAGCTTTGCCGGGAGCCGATCCTTAATTCGTTACTAGCTCACTCGTTAGTATCACATCCCTGAATTGTTTTACTTCTTCACCAGTCACGTTCCCGATTGAGGGCATTTGCTCTTCCGCGAGTCTTGGTCGTTGTGCGGACAAGGGTAGGTCTACTGGCTCAAATCATTGATTTGAATTGTAGATATATCAAGATACTCCCGGGAATTGAGATGGAAATCTAAATGTCACAGCCCCAGATAGTTCTAGAGACCGTTCTATACCAAGTGTTTACAGAGTGACCATATCTATGATCACCTACTTCCTCTATTATTACTACCTTGCCGGAATGGGGTTGACCAATTGTAGTTTATCAGATTCATTCAATCACAGTTACATACGTAGCTTTCGATTCTCGTTGCCTAAGAAACTGTCTGCAATGGGCTTATTAAAAAAGAAACCCCCAATTCACCAGGACCAGCGCGCCCTTGCAAACGCACCAGCCCCATCCAAAGCACTCGATGACAGACCGCAAAGCTACCCAATGCAGGATCATAGCCCTTATAAACCATGTTCTTGAAATTGTGCGTGTCTCGCAATGTGTTCCATTTTGGTGTATATTACGTGTGACACGAGGGCGAGTTGAGGACACTTAACTGCTATCCACATAAGCGATAAGAAGCTGATGTTGTCCTCACTGTCGCTCTCTAGCGTCTGCCTCGGCGACTGGGCTTGGCTGCTATACCTCCCGAAGAGGCTTTTATCACGCAGCGGTGGTGTAGGCTAGAGATCCTGTTGCGTTTTTGGCCGTCCTGTCTGTGCTCGCCTTTTGAGACGGAGTTCTATCGGGTGTGCTCCGTTTGCGCTGCAGAATGGCTTGGACGCTTGAAATCGACGCGAGATGCGTCACCAATAGAGGTACAAGCTCCCAATATACAACCTGCGTAGGAAATAAGCACCTACCGTCTCGTCTAGCTTCCGCTTTGACACCACCGGTGCCTTAAGGTTCCATATCACAGCCCCTAGGGCCACTCGGTCCGAGCTGCGCCAGCCCCAGACTCGGGCAGCCCACGGTTGCATCCATTGACCTCCTAAAACGTACCGTTCCCATTTCGTAACATCATCTGGGTGCCATTGCGTCTCCGGGTGCTCTCCGCGCAAGGAAAGGTATTGGGCTCTTTGTTGTGGAGACATTCGCCATCGTTGCATCCTGTATTTCTGAGACTCCAGCACCGAGAGCCTTTCCACCGCGGTACGTTCATCCCAGAACATCTGATAGTCGGGCTGTCCATTCCACCGCCCTCTCCTCCGCCTTCATCATTTCGTCCTCTGTTCTCCTCCTTTCCCTTTCTTTCTTTTTCCCCCTGCAACTGCTCAGGCAGGGACCCATTTCTGGCCGAGAGAACCGCTAAAAGGTTAGTCCTCGGTTCGTCCTGTGCACACACGCATACACCACCACAACACAACTCTCGGTATTTCCAGTTTAGGAGATAGGTCGGGTTCGATGTCGTCTGCGGAATAGGGATTGGCAAGTTGAAAAAACTTCCAAGACAATAACCGTGGATGAATTGGTTTCATGGGAGTGTGTGGCATGCAAGCCCGTTGGCACTTTATATCTAAGCAGGTCTCCCCAAGACGCCGTCATCCTGGCAACACATCACACAGGCTATCGCCTGTACGTTGAGAAGAGAAAGCAGAGGCCAGTTGCCAGGCCTCAAATGAGCCATTGCAGAAAGAGGAAGATACTGAGCTAGAAAGAAAAAAAGAGTAGAAAAGGGGGGGGAGGAGAGATCCCTTTATATATAGAATAGTAACAGTATCACCAAAGTAGCACTCCCAAGGTAGCTGCCGGCAAAGTTAAATTCAGCAAAATCACTCAATAATTCTGCTGTGAATATATGAGCGGCATATTCTTCACTCTCCCAGGTTTCTCTATGGGTATCCAAAGGGTATTGCTTCACTAATGATGGAAATTTCCTCACGAGGCAAAAGCCCTTCGTGACAGATATCAACAATGAGCTTATATAGATAGGAATTCGAGGAATTCTTCCGAGGAACAACATCTTTCATAGTGAAAAGTCTTCAACATCAAAGGTACGAAAGAACCCAGAAAAGTGGCTAGTTAAGGGCTTCTTCTAAGAGCATCTGGCCAGGTGTGGTTGCGTGGTCCGAGATCGGTTAGTTAGTGACTCTACTACTAAAAGTTGTTAAGGTTACCTCTTAGTGTATGACACTGAAGAGTGAAACAGCATCCCACATAAAACAATGTGGAGGAAAACCAAACAGAAGTTGCAAGGTTGTCAAACAGGGCTTGAAGCTTAAATTTCGGATTAGTTAGTACCTAGAATCTAAAGTGAAAGATCCTAGACAATCTCCCGTTCATCCATTGCCCGAGCAATAACCGAAGCAAAACGCCTGGCCTTGTTCGTATCCTGCATAGCCGTTCCGATGCCAAGGAGGACTTTCTTAATCCCAACTCCGATAGTGCTGCTCTGCGTCATATCGCGAATTCCAGACAAGGCCACTTCTACCTCCTGGGGGGAGAACGATCCCGTTTCCTTCAGAATATATGCCAGCTCTTCATATGTGTTAACATTTGGCACGGCAATGTCAGAATCAAAGGAGTTGAAAACATTCAGTTGCTTTAGCACCGACCGTTCAGCGGTGGTGGCAAGAATGAGCAGCCGGCGACCCTTGGGAGGCTGTTTCCTTAGCAAAACCATGACCGTCTGGAGGATCGAGTTGCTGAATCGAAGTCCGACGGGGACCCAGTCGATAATTCGCTCGATATTATCCATTACCACAACACTGATAGGACTCTTATACGCATCGTTGAATACCTTGCTCATATGTTGAATCTTCGCCATCTCATTGAAGCCCACCATATCCTCCGGGCTGATAAGCTTAACGAACGGGAAGTCTGAGTCAATGGCCATCTTTGCAGCCAGTGCGGTTTTACCGCTTCCTGGGGGTCCGTGAAGTAATACCGAGAATAGCTGGGTCGTCGACTCGGGGTCTCGGACCTGGTTGACAAAGAGTTTTCCTTCTTCCAGAATGCTATCGATAGCCGGGGAGAAATGGATAATGCCGCCATTAATACAACCTTCAAACTCTTCTTTCGACACACCAAAGGCAGGTTTCACCTCTTCAAGAGCATTCTGGAAATCCTGGCGATTGACTTTCATATTAACGACATCGTCACTAATTCCAGCCATTGTACCGATTTTGACATGTCGATTAAAGGCGAACGAGGATGCAGACTTGACCAAACCACTGATCTCTGCTCCAGAAAAGTTTTTAGTCAGCTGAGCCAGCTCAGCTAGGTCCACATCGCTATCCATAAGGTTACCCTCCCGCATCTTTTTCGTATGAATCTTTAAGATCTGTACTCTCCCTTTTTCGTCGGGAAGAGAAATTTCCATGTGGACTTCCAATCGACCGGGACGCAAAAGGGCATCGTCGATCATATCCATTCGATTGGTCATACCAATCAACAGGATATTGTTCAGTTGGTCAACACCATCAAGTTTAGATAAAAGCTGGTTCACGATGCTATCACCGACACCAGTACCACCACCGGCTCCGCTACCTCTTTGTTTGCAAACAGCATCCAGTTCGTCGAAAATGATGATGTGAAGTCCGCTCTCCTCTCCTTTCTCCCTGTACTCCTTTTCGGCATCGGCGAAAAGTTTCCTAACATTCTCTTCGGATTGACCAACGTATTTGTTCAAAATTTCAGGACCATTAATAACTTTGGGTTCCTTTGCATTCAACATTTTCCCAATCTGTCTTGCGATCAAAGTTTTACCTGTTCCAGGGGGGCCGTAAAGTAAAATACCCTTGACGTGTTGAATTCCCAGCTTCTCGACGAGGCCGGGTGGGAAAATGCGAGACGCGAAGGCTCTGCGGAAGATGGTGCCAAATTCCGTATCTAAACCGCCAATTCCCATGTTTTCGAACTTGAAATCAGGCTGGATAATCGAATTCGCAGCAGGTCGTCGGTTGGATGCTTTCAAATTAATTCCTGTTCTTGCATCCTTAAAAAAGTTGATTAAGGTGTGTCTGGTGAGTATGCCCCTTGACGTAGGATCGGACGATATTGGGGCAGACGAAGATGGCTTCTCCGATAGATCACCCAGTTGAACAGTTTTAACGGTCAGCAAAAGCGGAATACTTCTGTCATCCATGAGCACTATCTGGCCAGGCGCAAGGATTTGATTTTCAAAGTTCTAACCCAGTTAGTGCTGGCTCATTATTTGTCTGTGCTTAGAGGGGATACATACCCTGATGAAAACATTGGCAAGCTGGTCTTGATCATACGGGATATCCGTTCGCTTTTTACCAGCAAATCCAACCTCCATATCCATAGAAGCAAGATAGGCTTGACTACCCTGACTGAAGACGTCGTATAGCTTGACTTCAACCATGTCTGTTAATGCCACTTGAGCCCATGTTCGTTGTGGATCCGACATGCTAATGTGTCCTTGAGGGAATCCTTCCAGAGGACGAGCTGAGAAAACATATAAGTTGTTCACTAGGACTAGTACATCTGATCCATCCCTCGAGGGAGGAATATCACGCGTGGAAACGGCTACTCTAATAGGGCACACAGTTACAGTTAAGGATAAAACTCGAGGTGGGTGGGGTGGCTGAAATGAACTTACAGGTTCCCATATGTGTAAGAATTGTCTGGGCTTTTTGCCGGCCGCAAAGTCCAAACCTGATCACCAGCTCCTCTGCTGGGTGGCATCATTCTTCCTCCGCCCGATGATGGGAGTGGCCCGGGAGCTCGGCCAGGAGGAGGCCCTCCATATCTTCTTGGTTCATTATATCCGTCAGTCATCACAATGTCATAATCACGCTGACGGAACGGTGCCGCATACCCTCCGCCCGTTCGAGGGTCTTGGCCATAGCCATCTGGCCGGCCCATTGGCTGGGAAGGCATGTTGTATCGATCGCGGGGCGGTCGAGCTCCATCGCCACCGGAAGAGCCGCTGGAAAAGGGATTCGGAACGGAAGGCAAATTACTGCGATTAAACATAATGTTGCTATATTGGTAACGGCTTCAGGAGTTCATGGGATTGTCAAGATAAGATGGTGTCTTCTTAACTCCGCGGGAAAGGCACGGGTCAACAAGACCAGTCAGTGTAGAGAACGGATCAAAACTAGCAGAGCAACAAAAAGCCTAGTCTATGGTTATTAGGTAAATCGTAACTGTATAAAAGTCTATACAAACGATGGCACGACAGAGATAAACGAGGACTGATTTGGTGAAGCGGTGCTGTCTGGCCTGAAGCTCTCCTGGCGAACGACGGCATTCCCGCCGCCCACCTCCGTCCACGCCACGCCACGGCTGCTTAGTCATCATCGGGGCCTGAAACCGCCGACGTCACAGCTCTGGGACGTGAAGCTTCGAGCAGGAAGACGCGATGTGCTCGAACCTGGTGGACGCTTCGAAACCATGCCTCTGTATGTAGTCCCCGCATTTAGAGGTTACGACTCTTGCTGACTAGTATAATAAGGCACTTACTCGGAAAGAAATCATGGAATGTCTACAACAGAGAAAATATCGCAAGGGTTCGGCGGGATGAGGCGCTGGCCAAAGATCGAGAGGAAGAGAATGAGAGGCGCGAGCAAGAAGTTGTTGCCGAAAGGCGAATTGATTTCCTGCGCAACCAGCGCCCGACCTCTCCTCTATCACAACAGGATTTTTCCCGAGATATCGCGGCCACAAAGGCACCTACCGAAGTTAGACACCGCAAGCGGCGGCGTCTAGCAGGAGAAGATGATACCGACCGAGACATTCGGCTCGCTAGGGAAGATGTGCTTCTGAGAGCTGGGTCGAGTCGCGAAATTACCTCGCGCAAGCCGATGAGTAACGCACCGCTCGTTGATTCTTCTGGACATATCAGTTTATTTCCGCGCAAAGCCGATGAGCGGCCTGGAAAGAACGACGAGGCCGAGGCAGAAGCAGCTAAGGCCAAGCGAGAGTACGAGGATCAGTATACAATGCGCTTTTCAAATGCTGCGGGATACAAGCAGGGGATGGAAGCCCCATGGTATTCTACCTCACAGCTGGACCTTGCCACGCGGACACAAGACATTCCTGCCAAGGATGTCTGGGGTAATGAGGACCCCGGCAGGCGGGAACGCGAGAAGATGAGAATAGACGCAAATGACCCTTTGGCAGCGATGAAAATGGGCGTCCGCCAGCTCCGTGATGTTGAGAAAGAACGAAAGGAATGGGAAGAGGAAAGAAAGAAGGAACTTAAAGCTTTGAAACGGGCGGATAAGGAATCGAGGCGACGTCGTCGCCGAAGATCTCGCTCGTATGACAGCCTGGAGGATTTTAAATTGGATGAGGATCCAGTTGATGAGCAGAAACATAAGAGAAAACGCCGCCCCCATAGGTCTCACAGGGAAACGGATCGTCCAAATCCAGGGCATGATTCAGATCATCGCAATGATAGGCGCTCAAGCCACCATGAGAAGGATAAGAGTAGAGTGAGACGGTGACATACTGACATTGGGAGCTACCCGCCCCCTATATGGATGTGTGAGCAACAAAATTGTGCAGTTGGTCAGTGATATGATCGAAAGGGATAACCCATACTTTTGTATTCTATAACAGCGATTTTGTATATCTATTTGACCATCACCTTTATGCTGAACATGTTGAATCATTTCCCATATCGCATCAAAAGCGAAAATTTCGAATGCTTGGGACCTGGCAAGCTCACTGCAATGCCCATTCCTGGTGAACCGGAGGCTCTTCATCAACTGCCCATTCGATGTCGATATCCAATAACCGCGACTGTTCTTCCTTCTTTTTGTATCCAATTTTTCCCTTAATCACTTGACCTTTTTTCAATGGACGCTCTTGGTGTTTTCCACGGTTTATCAAAAACACCCCTTGCTGCCAATGGGTTTCTTTTCCATCAGGGCCAGTTGTAAAGGCCACATAGCCCGACTTCTTCATCTCGCCTGGAGTGGCATTATCTGCAAGCTTGCTTTCACAAGAAGGCATGAAAAACATGTCAAACCAAACAAGCCAACCATCCAAGGTGTCGGCATCTTTTGTTATAGCAACTTTGAACTCTTTGACAAACGTGAGCTCTTCAACTGTAATAGTGTGCAAAGGGAGAGACAAAAATAAAGCAGAATCTGCAACCATTGCAGAAGGGCTGATTGTTTGGATGAGAACCTCATCATAGACGTTCTCAAGCATGCCTGACATCTTGAATCCATAAACTGAATTCCAGAATGATATATGCTCATCAATGAAATCGGAATCTGCAATGGGTGCTATCCGAAGTGTCGCATGTGAAGGCACCATTAGTCCTCCAGGTGCGAGATAGCGATCTCGGGCAAAGAGCACTGAGTCGAGCATCGCCTCAAATAGGAGACAGTATCCCATCCACTCCGAGACTATAACGTCAACTTGCTTTACAGGCAAGACTACTTCCTCAATTTTACCCCGGATACACCTACAATATTGAAGGGTTAAATCATAATAGTCTCGGAAGCGCTTTAGGGGTAACGTACTTGATCACGTCGCCGAATCCATTCTCATACACGATTTGGCGTGCTTTGTCGATGATATCTGAATTGTCAACGGCTATAACCATCTTTGCTCCGGCCTTTGCACAGAACATAGACAAGATCCCAGATCCGCAGCCCACATCCAGTACGACTTTATCCTTAAAGATACTTTTATTATCGTAAATGAAATCGCGGTAAGAATCAGTTCGAACAGTATCCTTTAACATCGATTCATGTATCGCTATGGAAAAGTAGTTTGTCAACAGCTTTTGGTAGATAATATTTAAGGAGACGGTATCCATACTGTTATAGGCATAAGAAGTGAAGTACCCAGCTTCTGCATCCTTATATCTCCTTGTCTCGGTAACGTGCTCGTTTTGATTCTGGTTCGGAGGGATCTGCGAGCCGTTTTCGACTTCGCTCCCAAGCTGTTTGCTGAGCGATCTCTGCACCATATTCTTGTATTCAACGAACTCTTCCCGAAGGCGACTGAGCTCTTCTTCAAGATCCCTTATTCTAGAGGTAGGATTCGCGGCCTGTTGACCAAGGTCTTCATCGCCATCCGATATATCCTCTAGAGTATACAGAAGCGCGTCATCTTCCAGCACTGGCTTAAGGTACTTGTCATCCTCAAATGGGGCACTGGACGATACATCCGGCTTGGTATTCCCCGATTGGACTTCCGACCGGATATAATTGACGAGCTTTATGGTCCCAAGGAAATCTAGGCCTGAAATTGTAGGATCTGCGTCAGCCATAGCCTTTCGCGACGATATTCCATTCCAACTATTGGAGCTACACACCAAGCTGCTTCTGCACCTTAACAAGGTCGAAGTTGAAATTTTCTTTGCAGTGTTGAAGCATTGACCGAGTGTCTGGAAAGACCTTGTCGCTAAAGAGGTCAACGACAGGATTGACTTCTTCATCAGGCTCAACATCCTCCCATCCATCGTCCTTTGTGAGATCTAGACATTCGCTGGGACTCGATTCACTGGAGCTATCTTCGACATCGTCGACGGCCTCGCGAGGCCGAGCAGGAAGTTCGGAGTCCGTCATAGTCAAAACAAGACAGATATTCGTCTATATTCCAGTCGCGTAAAGCTGAAAGATCGTTGGACTTGGGTGTTCAGGCTAGTCGGTCTCTCTTCTGAAAAATTTCTGCGGCTCGCGACCTTCTGCCTTTTTTTCCTTCACCGAACGGAGTGGTGGGGCAGAAGCGCAGGCTCTCGACCCCACCAAAAGGGGGATAACGTCCAGCCGCTCGCGCCTAGCCGCCCTTTGTTTAGCTGCTCCGTCAGCCCACCACCACGGGGGTTACGGTCGTGGACTCCATCCATCAATTGGACGTTAACTCTAAGAATGCCCTTTGCACGAGGCTGGCTTCCTGAAATCCATAGACCAAAGACATGCTACATGCCTCCGTTTTAGATATCCGACTTGAGCTCTATGTTGATCCCCGCTCCGGGCCTGCAACCGAAGTTCGTGCGCTTGTGCCAGTATACTCAACAGGTTGCAACCCTCCTCGATGGCGTTCCTATTCAGCCGTAACAAGTCTCGGCAACCCGCAGAGATTGCGAAGACATTGAAGGACCTGCTGGCACGCTTGTGGCAGGCACCCGGGTCCCCCAAGGTAAACTCGCGGACCAGATCAAAACCCCCTCAAGCACTCTAATTTGGCTATTAGATCGAGGAAGATTTAGCAAAACATTTGGCACAGATAAAGTTGATGGTCCAGGGAACACAGGGTAATGTGTTCTGTCTTGTGAGAAACAGATGCCAGAATGCTCGGTCACTAACAATTCGCTGGTTGCAGAAGTTGATAGCCTTCCAGATCAGGTGCATCAGCTAATACAGGCTTTCATCCTTGATGACCTCCTCTACGAGTTGGCCCGAAGTATCCAGCATCTTCCCTTTGAGGCCAGAAAAGATACCCAGACAATATTTTCCCACCTCCTTCGTTTCCGACCACCCAATATCACCTCAACAGATCCCCCCGTCATATCTTATATTGTCAATAAACGACCGGAAATTCTTATTCAGTTATGTCACGGCTACGAAAACAGTAGAAGTTCAACGCCTTGTGGGACTATCCTGAGGGAAGCCTTAAAGTTTGAAGTGGTGACGGGGATTGTCCTATATGACCAGTCCAAAGACGAGGAACCTGCGATCAGGCTGAACGAGGTTCAACCTGGGACAGTACAAACAGGGGCAGGAGTATTTTGGAATTTCTTTCACTGGATAAACGAGAGCAGTTTTGAAGTTAGCGCCGATGCGTTTACAACTTTTCGTGTATGTTGCTGGCTGAAAATCTCCTTTCGGTATGATGCTTTCGAGCAATTCTGCTAATCCGTCGATAATAGGAGATTTTGACGAGGCACAAAGCTTTAGTGGCTGGCTACCTTGCAACCAATTTCGATCTTTTCTTTTCTACATATAACAACGTTCTCGTCCTCTCAGATTCCTACGTGACCAAGCGTCAGAGCATCAAACTATTAGGCGAGCTTCTCCTCGACCGAGCGAACTACGGTGTTATGACGACATACGTAGACAGCGGTGAACACCTAAAACTATGCATGAATTTGCTCAAAGACGACCGCAAAATGGTCCAGTATGAAGGTTTCCACATATTCAAGGTAAGACTACACTTCCTACTAAGTGGGCCGTTGACCTCATCTGAACTGTTGCAGGTCTTTGTAGCAAATCCAAACAAGTCTGTTGCGGTGCAACGGATTCTGATCAACAACCGTGATCGGCTTCTTAAATTCCTCCCCAAATTCCTCGAGGACCGAACTGATGATGACCAATTTACGGACGAAAAGAGCTTTCTTGTCCGCCAGATTGAAATCCTTCCCCCGGAGCCAGTTGCGCCCCGATAGAGGTTTCAGATCACCAACCGCACCAGATGGTTGCATTACATCTATTCTCTCTTTGGCTTTCGTTCGTTCGTCTATGACTACGGGCCATAATTGAATATATTTTACTGGTTCGTGCGCTAATTGACTCAGTACCAGACTCGTTGTAAATATATAATGCGCCAGCGCAGGGGCATTTAGTAAACAATATCCAAAGCTCCCGTGCCGGCAAAGCCGATAGCCGGGAACCCACATAGTACTCAGGACACTTGAACCAACCCAGAAGAGTTTCAGAATAGACATAGTTCAAATAGTTCTGACATCTCACTTATCACCACAAGCAAGGGTTCAGCAGCTGAAATAAATAAACCCATAAACCACTCCGTAGCAGTATTCCACATATCATAGAATTACATGGCGCAACGTTCCTACATCTCCAGCGGAATTAGAATATAACCATCGAACTGAACAAGAGTGAATGCCTTTCCATCTTCTTTGCCTCTCATAGTTACCTCAGTTCACCGAACTTGAGAAGTGAGAACAGAGTGAGACTTCCGAACTCATGAACTGAAGCTCCTGAGGCAGCTTGCAACGGAATTTTAATAAGCCGAGCCGACCAAAGATAAATCTAACCATAAAAGGTTTAGCTCTCTTGGCGCTCTGCAACTTTAAATAGAGGGTTTTTCTCGCCTTTCCATCAACATTGCTTCTCTATCCATACGGGTAAAAGCTCTTTTTTGAAGATCATGCTTAGTATGAGGATGACCACCCACCATCCGCATCTGACATCTTCTGAGCAGATCCTCTCCTTTGCTCCGCAACCGGCCCTGGCTGGTAGCATCTTCATCCAGGTCGTCAGCCACCACGAGCCTTTTCAGAGCAGCAAAACCGTGCTAGAAAGTCTCTATAGTCCGCTTGACATATGAACTTGCTAATCTAAATGATACCTTAAACAGTATAAATCTACCTTAATACCAAGTCCATGTCAATGCACTGGCAAAACTCACAAAAGACATATCATGACTTCTTTTTTCAAGTTTTACTACAAAGGGAGAGCCTCAGGAAACAAGACAGTTGCAACTGTCACCTGCGGCCTCTTCCGCCTCAGGTTAAACCGTGGTTAGAAGATCCGCAGGATCATCCTCCCGGTGATGCAATTGGCCCCTCCGTGACCATCACCGGTGTGTGATTAGGCGGAAGCAGCGCTTAGAGTCGACAGAGATTGATCAGATACAAAAATGAAGGCCTGATGTCAATCTATGTTCTAGGATAAGTTGCATAGCTTGAAGTCACACATATCATTCCTCATTCGGTCATGTCAGTGTTAGCTATGAAAGACCAGCTGAAGCTGGTACATGTAACAAAATTTTTTTTCTCCTTTTCCCCCGCAGAATCCAAAGTATGCTGCGAGTCTCTTTTCTAATCATATTTTCTCTAAACCAGAGGGAGAATCCAAGGAAAATATGCTTCCGATACTCTGCATTTTTTGACCCCGACGGGGCTTATCTGATTGAAGGTCCCAATATTGACCGCCCATTCTCAATGCTTTTCATCTCGGCTCGTGACTCTCGAAGGTATTGGGCGACTTACAAGCTTTATTTCGAAAAAAGCTAGATGCTTCCCGGCTATGTATGGGATAAAAGGTTCCAAGGAACAAACATGTGCTGCCGCCCAGAGCGGTTACGAGTGATAAGAATCTTGCCCCTCTCCCCCAGAGAGCACACCATTGATCCACCATCCGGAAGATTGCTTGGCATCCATCAGGCTATTGGTATTATACCTTCGTCTCAGTGGAAAGAGCCCAGATACTTTGGGACACCGGTGGGGGGAACTGTGGATCTTACCCACGTTGTCCAGCTGGTTGATTTGATGGAGTCTCTACGGAGTACTCCGTACTGCATATGTTATATCGCTTGTTCGTCGACCGGTGCTACGTCCCACCAAGTTGATACAAACTATGTATGTATGTACATGCCTACGGAGCTACAAGCTTGAGTAGAGAGTTTCACGGACTACTTCCACTTCTCCCAGCCCCCCTGTAGCGTTGCAAGGCCGGCACATGCCTAGGCACGTCCCTGTAGTTGTTTTCAAAAGCCCAAAAAACAGTCGGGATCGTGAAGGTTCTCGGGGTCGGCATTTTGCTCGGATTTACATAATGCCGGCGGTACGGGCCAACCGCGACTAGCCGCGGCCACACAAGTCTTTTTTGGCGGGGCAGCTCCGGGCAAACGACTTGGAACAGGACAAGAGAGTTGCGTCTCCTGCGCAAAAAGAGCACGGCGGTTGAATGATATGTAGTAGAGCGGAAGGGCGCTCTCGTCGGTTGAAAGCATCGGAATGGGAGTGGGAAAAAAGGGAACCGCCCAATACGAAACCCCTCAAACCGTCACTCGGCATATGCCATTGGCCTGGAGACTCTCAGGGCCTGGAACACCTCCCGATCACCGAAACAAGCTTCGGCTCGGGCTACTGGACCCAAACAGACAACGCAGGACAGTGAGCGTGCGGGGTTCCAAACTGGCCGAGCGGCGGCAGATCGGGTGTTTTTAAAGCTCCTCGTGGTTTTGGGACAAGGACCCCCGGAGAATTTCTTTTCATCCTGACCAGAAATTCTTCCCCTTGCTTTTTTGATCTCTCTTCTGCTACTCGCCTCCACCTCTTTCTCTATTTCTCTCTATTTTCCTGCTTTTAAAACCTGAGAGCAAAGTACCTTATTAATCTGAAAGATCTGCGGTCATGACGAAAGAAAGCCAGATTCCCGTCGGGGAGTATCTATTCCGTCGTCTGCACCAGCTCGGTCTCCGCCACATCCTCGGTGTTCCCGGAGACTTCAATCTCAATCTCCTTGACCACATCTACAATGTCCCTGACATGCGATGGGTGGGCACCTGCAACGAACTCAACGCCGCCTATGCTGCCGACGGCTACGCACGCACACGGGGCATACCGGGAGCCGTCATAACAACCTATGGTGTTGGAGAGCTCAGCGCGATCAACGGTATCGCCGGAGCGTACAGCGAATATGTTCCTGTCATCCACATCGTTGGCAACACCTCCCGCGATATGCAGCGTAACCACGTCAAGATACATCATACTTTGTGGATGGATGGATGGGATCATACCACTTATCAGAAGATGAGTGAGCCCGTACGAAAGGACTCTGCATTCCTCATGGACCCGGCCACCGCCCCCGAGCAGATCGATCGCGTGATAGAGACCTGTGTCAAGACCCGCCTGCCTGTCTATCTCTTCGTCCCCATCGATGTTCCCGACCTCATGACCGATTCCTCCCGATTGTCCATTCCTCTTGACTTGGAAGTTCGCAACGACGGAAGGGAAGCACATGAAGATGAGGTTGTCTCTGAGATTGTCCGCGCGATCGACCAGGCTTCCAGCCCCGGTGTGCTCATAGATGTGTTGGTACAACGTCATGGGTTGGTCGGTGACGCCAAGGAGTTGATTGAACAGATTAATGCTCCGGTACGCTGGCTCCTATTGCCCTCGAACATTAATGTGGGGTGAAATTTTCTACTAACAAATTTGACTTTTTTTTTTTTTTGGTAGTTTTATATCACTCCTATGGGCAAGTCGATTGTAAATGAATCCGACCCTCGCTTCGCCGGATTGTATGGCGGTATAGTCTCCAATCCATCGAGTGCACAATCGCAGATAGAGGGACACGATATCATATTACACGTTGGACCTTTCCCCGTCTCGGCAAACACCGGCGGATTCTCCACTAATCTCCCAGGCGATAAAGTAATCAAACTACACCCAAGTTATTGCTCTGTTGGGAGCAAAGTGTGGGATGGCCTTGACTTTAGACCAGTGGTTAAGAAGCTGGTCCAGCGACTCAACAAACAGCCGTTGACGCGCAAGGCCAGCTCGGTCCCCAAAAGCCAGCCGTATAAAGAAGTATGCAGCCAACCCCCTTTTCCAGGATCTGCCAATGAGCATGCGGCATGCTAACCCTTGCCACAGACCGCACACGTTGATGATTCCTGCGTCGATGGCCTTGACCACAAGCGATTTTGGGATCGACTAAGCAGATATATCCAGCCCAATGACTTTGTGATTGCGGAAGTTGGAACGTCGCAGTTTGGATCTTTGGATTTGAAATTGCCAGATAACTGTCAGTATTTCAGCCAACTGTACTACAGCTGCATCGGTTTCACGGTTCCGGCTCTCCTCGGAGTGCTGCTGGCCCGGAAAGAAACGGGCGCCGAGGGACGTGTCATTCTGCTCGTGGGTGACGGCAGTCTGCAGATGACGGTGCAGGAGTTTGGAACAATCATACGGGAGGGGCTGAAGCCGACCATCTTTGTGGTCAACAACGCGGGATACTCGATCGAGCGTCTCATCCACGGTCCCATGCAGCAGTATAACGATATCTCGACGCAATGGGACTACCAGAAGATGCTGTCGTTCTTCGGAGCTCCGAATGCTCCCACCTACGTGGCCAAGACCTACGCAGAGCTTGGCAAGGTTTTGAACGACGAGGCGTTCAAGAAGGGCGACCGGATCCAACTGCTGGAGGTTTTCTTTGACATGCTTGACTCGCCCTGGAACCTGACTGCTTTGTTGGACCTGAAGGAGAAGAGATTGCGCGCAGCAGCTGCGGCTGCGGCTGCAGCAAACGGGAACTGAGAGCTGAAAAAGACATGTAACCATGTACCGTGCCGTAACTGTACACACCCACGGAGATGTGTATTTAGCTACATACATACATACATACACTAGAACCAATAGAGATAAACGAGCCCCAGCTGCAGACACTCCATACTCCAATACACACTCCGCCCTCTGCTCTCTGCTCTGCATCCGGCCGGCTGCCACGCGGCAAGCCACAGCAAAGTGCGGGTGTTTGCTGTGTTTGCTATGTTTGCACCACCTCCCCAGAGTCTGGGCCGCTAGTCCCGATGCGGCATGGGTTCCCGCTAGCGCTGGCTTGGGGTGGCTGGTGGAGCCGTCGGCGCTAAACTCGAACGGGCTGGAAAGCTTGTCGCCCCCTTTAAATTGCAGTTTTGGCTTGGAACGAGGAGACCATTTTGGTTGCAAGCGAACGCCGATCGGCACCATGGCATCTCTCTTTTTCCCCTTCGCCGTATGGCAGTTCTCTTGCCCTACCAGTATAATAAAGGAATGAGGATCTTAAATCTGTCAATTAACACAGCTCCTGCCGATGACTTAAGCAGAACGCAGCTCTCCGTCTCTCTCTTCCCCCCCCCCTCCTCTCTCTCTCTCTCTCAACGCTCGTCACTATCCCAGCCCGCAAAAAGGCCCATTGCCCACGTCGCCCCGTAAATTTTGGCCCCAGCAATTGTTTCAATTCCTAACGAGTTGCCACTCTGAAACTTGCCGTCCTCTTGACATCGCCCCGTTTTGCGCGTGTCTGTGACTTTAAATACCTGCGATGGCTGAAGCGGATCCCCCCGCACCGAGCCTGCGGAAGGGCAAGTCCGGTTCGAGCCTCAAGACTGTCACACAAGAACAGTCCGCTGCCGCTGAATCGCCCATTGCCAGAGCCGAAGTGCCCTCAATGCCTTCTAAAGAACCAATCTCCGATAACTCAAGTCACCCGGATCTCTCCCCGCAATCCCCAACGTTGACGGTCCGTCACGCCGAAACTGAGAAGCTGAGGCCGAAGACAGCCCTCCCACGGACAAGTTTTAGCAGGGCCAGGGCGTCGCTCGACGGTCGCTCCATAGCCAGCCTGAAATTCACCCCGCGAATTCCCAGCATAATGGTAAACGACGCCCCTCCCCGTCCTAGTTCGAGGATGTCAGAGCGCAGTGTGCGGTGGGGCGGTCGGAGGGCGCAGAAGAAACCTGAAGTCCCGACGGTGCCACCGCTTCCCGCTGTCGAGCCGTTCCATGGAATAAGGCTGGATATACCGTCTGGCTCGTTGGAAGACCTTACCACTGCCACTATGGAAGCTTTGCAGTCGTCAACTCCAGACCAAGTTCCCAACAAGCAGGCGCCGCCAGAACAGACTCCGGAAGGTTCCGCCAATACCACGGAGGCGAAACTCACCGTCAATGGCTCGACCCGTTCTTCAAGCACAAGGCGCATTAGATCGGCAAATTCCTTGCGTTGTAGGCCAAGTGTTACTTCGAGTCGGCCTATCTCCGCCGATGAGGAGATACTGTCTCACAAAGTTAGATTGATGTACGAAATGGGTGATGCAGATATTGATGATTCCGAAATTGGACAGCTGTTGAATGAGGATCAAGATGTTCTGTGGGAAGAGCCATCATCTCTGGATGACAACGGGGATCGAGTATCTGCTACCGATAATACTTTACTCACTGAACCGGTAAACGCTCCGAAGAGCGGATCCCGCCGGGGTAGTATGATCCAGCGAGAAGAGACTGAATTAGCGGGGGGCATAGAGGACTGGAATAACGTTAGGAATGAGGATGTAGACAGATATGGGTTTATCATCCCGCGCTGGGACACCGGAGACGGCTCGGAGCCGAATCCACCCCAGCCGCTTCAACGCGTGTCGACGAGTCTGATGCTTGCTTCTGCTTCCCCGCGTAGAAAGCGGACATTACGAAGGACTCCCACGGCGACTGCCAGCATCAGGTCGTTCTCCGGTCGCTCTCCTTCACGAAAGTCGACCGACCAACCCAACCGCCCAACCTCTTCTCAGAGTTCTTACCACCCAAATCTAACCAGGACTGCTTCCAGGTTTCGATATGCTACTAATAAACTGCCGCATAACAAGGATCGAAAGCTGATGGATGAAGCCAGCGATATGTTGACGCTTCCGGCATCAGTGGAGAGAGAGATGGCCCACGACGACACTCCCTATGCTCGCGCTATGAAGAAGAAAGAATGGGAACGGGAGGACAAGTGGAGGAAAATGGCCAAGCTCACGTCGAAGGACAGGGACGGTTCTGGGATGACCTTTGAATTCGATACCACCAGCCCCAAACTCATTGAACGGACCTGGAAGGGTATTCCCGATAGCTGGAGAGCGACAGCATGGCATGCATTCCTCACAGCTAGTGCCAAGAAGCGGAAAGACAGCCCGACGGATGAAGAACTCATTCGCCGCTTCAATGAGCTACAGGACGAGCCGTCGCCTGATGACCTCCAGATCGATATTGACGTCCCGCGCACGATAAGTAGCCACATCATGTTCCGTCGACGTTATAGGGGTGGCCAAAGGCTATTGTTCCGCGTTCTTCATGCTATGTCGCTCTATTTCCCTGAGACTGGCTATGTTCAGGGAATGGCGTCTCTGGTTGCCACCCTACTTGCATACTACGACGAGGAGAATGCATTCGTGATGCTAGTTAGGCTTTGGCAGCTTAGGGGTCTGGAACGTCTGTATCGTTCTGGATTTGCCGGGTTGATGGAAGCACTCGGAAATTTCGAAAAGGAGTGGCTGGACGGAGGGGAAGTTGCGGAAAAATTGGTGCGTTGACAGGTCTAGGCCGGATCCTTATGACCTATATGACTTTGACTTCTAACTTAATGACTTAGACCGAACTCGGCATCCCCCCTACGGCGTATGGAACTCGCTGGTATTTAACATTGTTTAATTACTCTATACCATTTCCCGCCCAGCTTCGCGTCTGGGATGTCTTCATGCTTCTTGGGGACTCTGGTGAAGAGGCCCTTTCAAGGCCAGCCACTAGTTCTCACTCTAAAGGCGGCTCGATCGGTAGCCAGCAACCACAGGCAGACATCGCAACCCCTTTCGGGCGCAGCCTCGACGTTTTGCATGCTACATCGGCGGCTCTAATTGACGGCATGCGGGATATCATTCTAGAGTCTGACTTTGAGAATGCGATGAAAGTCCTGACAAGTTGGATTCCAATTAAGGACGTCGAGCTGTTTATGCGCGTAGCAAAGGCAGAGTGGAAAGTGCACTATCGAAAGAAGGCTTAAGATGGGCTTTGCCGCCTCGTCCAGTACGGCATATAGCCTTGCAAATCGTTCTATCCAGAGAGATATCCGGCCTTACTTCGATCTTATGCCCGCTTTGGCGGTTTCGATTGTCAACCTCCTTGCACGCGAATTTCACCAAACCATTTTTTTTCTCCCGGACCCATTTACAATTTGTCGCCTGTTTCCCTTTTCTCTCAGATTATACATCTACGCTATACGCCTACGCGCTGTCTCCTTTTCGTTCTCGTCCTTGTGCTTTCCATAGAGCAGTTCGGTTCACTGGTTCATCACCAAGACATATGACCAAAAGCTTCTTTGTCTTCTCCTTTCAACGTCAGTCCCTGTATTTTGTCCGCGTTGCCATTTGTGTCCCCGGTTCCTATCTAGCCTTTGCTTCATTTCATCCCATCTATGATGTGGCATCAAGATACCCCCGTGACTAAGTCACGATCTAACTTGACACTTCTTTAGTCTGCTCTTTTCCTTTTTTTTCTTCTTTTTCTTTTTTTTCCTTTTTTTCTTTTTCCACCCTCCCCCTTTTTATTTGTTCTCTGTTTTCATAAGATACCTCGTTATCATGACTTTCATATTTTTGCTATCTTGGAACATCCTCTCTTGGGATTTTTCTTCAGTTTTCCCGAGCATGGAGGCGCAGTTTTTGTGCTGAAGAGGAAGCATCTGAAGACGAGCGACGCTTTGCAGTTTTCAAGTACCAAAATAGTTTTTTTGTATCTGCCTAGATTTTTATTTCATTTTCTTTTATTATTATTATTATTATTTAAGACATTTAATTTATAATCTATAATACATACGGAGTCCGGAGTATCCAATATTCATGCTCTCACATTCTGAGGTTTATTGTCGGCAGTTTCTTTCAGCTCGTTTCGCGAAGTGAGCATCTTAATACTTGATAACTATGGGGTTTAAACGATGGTAGGACGTCTAGCAGGGTGCAGTGCTTTGCGGAAAAAATTTACTTGGGAGAACAGCCGCCCGGTTTCGAGAGCTGCTCGATGCCAATGCTTGTGGTCATGGATCAGATAATTAGTTGATATTTGATACAACTTTCATTCGTCTACTTATGGTATTACTATTGGCGTTTAATTGGATAATACTGGCAGAGACGATCCTAGGAAGCAAACACTATTGGTAAGATACTTAATTCCAGTACTGGGTACGGAGTACGGAGGACAAAGCTATGTCTATTACGTGCATTTCTATTCTGTACTGCTTTAACTACCAGTACGGAGTAGAGTTTCCGGAATAACAGGACGCGGTAAATCTTGGCGCGTCGACGCACCTCCGTCCAACAGTTATAATGTCGGGAGGAACCGAGCCAGAGAGCTGTGAGAGACAGCAATATGGGCTACACTTTGTCCCCCAGAACAAGGTTCAAATCACCAGCATTCCCGGGAATTGGTTTTCTACAGGATGTTGAACTTAAACTTGTTGAGCATTACATTGCGGAGCAATATACCTCTTATTATTGCAGCATGTTTGGCTGTCCCTGTTCTTGTGGCTATTTCTCTTTGCAATGACCGTCCATATTTGAAAGCAATTCCTTAGCATTCAATAGCAATCAACTGCCAGAAGTCTCCTAATCCCCATATAACCAATGACGTTCAGAAAAAGGCTCTATCCCGTGGAGTCTGAGCATATTGCTCCATAAGTTTCTCCCTGATTTCACAAAGAATGGCTCATAGTTTTCGTGTTGTGTGAGGCATTCTGCTGGCCATAAAAGCCCTAATTGGCGTCGAAAATCTCCCATAACCATCATGCCATGTTCCGCAGCTTCAGGCCCTGAAATGGCAAGTGAAAACGGAACCAGATTCGCACCCGAACCGGGCCCCTGGTTTTTGCCAGTCATTTCATATCTCCAACTGCAGAGCGCGGAACTTGGCTTCCGACTGACCAAAAAAATATGACGACACGTAAAGCGATAGCCTGATAGCGGTATTCGTCAACATGATTCCGCTATATTGACTGGGATTTTTCACTTTGATCAAACAGTGTCCGCAACTATGATGCACTTGTCTAAAAGGGGGTTGTTCCTCTGCGTCTTTCTTCTCGCCCTGCAATAACTTTAAATTGCCTCGTAGTCCAAGAACAAAGGACCGGGATGTGATAAAATAATGGAGCTATAGAGGTTGGTTGTTAGTCGATAATTTTAATGACTCTGCTTGGGTTTTGGGATTCACGAGTATGCTCTCGTAGTGCAAGTCATTGTGCCAGAGAGATGGCCTTTTAGAAGAGCTAGATCTTCCAGGCAAAAAAAAAAAAAAAAAAAAAAAAAAAAAAAAGGAAAAGAAAAAATAAAGAAAGAAAGAAAATTAAAAATTAAAAAATTGTAAAATTTCAAGCCAACATCGCCGTCAACTTCCTTTTCGGGGTCAGGCTGGCAGAGCCTTGCGGTCCGTACGCAATTAACATCTGTCTATGAAAGTGTTTCAACGTTTTAATAGTTTGAATTTCGCGACAGTCAATCGCTCTCCTCTTTTCCAGAACAGTATTCTATTGAAAACGTATGTGTAAGCTACATACTAACAATGCTGACAAGATTGAACTTACACAGACCCTGATCACAGCTGATCTGGCCACGTTTATCTTCAAAGCACTCATATTTTGAAGCTTGCATAGTGAAGGCCTCCAAGCCGGGAAAACGAAACCAATAGCCATATCCGTCGATATTTGCAAACTTGTAGGAGGACTTTCAATTCGTCAGTCCGTTAACACCACCAGGCCTGGGCCAAAGGTGTTCTTTCAATTTTTCATGAGAATGAACTTGACTCTCACGTTGTTGCTGCCACCAGAGCCTTGCATTCCACGTGTAAACTTGCGGCGTTGGAGTTTGAAGAGCTGTTCGCATCTAAACGCCTTATTGTACTGTACAACCCATCCGCGCATTTTTCAACATCGACATAGTCCCTAGGGCCGACAGACATGCCGCTATCGCATCTGCCCGGCCTCATCGAAGACGAGTAGTCCTCAAGTGTAGTTGAAAAGGCTAGAATTGGAGCTCCAGTCTGCTTATTCTATGTCAGCTACCTGTTCTCACAGAGGCGGTTTCCACCGACCGGTGTGCGCAGGATCCCTTTTCAATCAGTCGAAGTTAGTTAAACGTTAGGGTAACCCTTAAGGCCCAAGATCGAAAGCACGTTGCGCACTGCATTCTTATCTTTGTAAGCCTTGGAGTCCAGGATTAGGGCCTTCAACCTGGGTTGCAACGCAGGTAGCACCCACATCATAGATTTGTTTTGTTCAGATCGTGGCCAAACATTTCGCGTTCAGTAAAAATCGGACCAAGTTCCCAGACAACCTGCTCAGTCTCCAGGGTCCTTGTACGGACTGGATCCCGATGCTTTTTATCACATAAGCCCTGCCAGAAGCGCGTAGCGGGTCGAGAAACGTTGACATGTGGAAAGTTAGCTTGGATCCAGTTGGGATTCTTTGCCATAGCTACCTTTCAATGTCGTCCGCTGCTTGACAAAAGAAGAACCACCCTGCCCGCTGTGGTGAAGAAAGGCACCTGGGGGTTTCCCGGGTGTGGTGATGATGCCATGTGACTGTGCGCAATATCTGAAATCAATCCTTTATACCACCAAGTTATTGAAACGCACAGAAGCATTGGATGCCTCAAAGACCTTACATTCAAATGGAGAAGCAAGTCACGAGCATTTTTGCAGAGATAGCGCATTTAAGCTGATTTATTCCTGCCATTGCCATGATAAAACTGTGAACTTCTGTGTGTGTCTCTAGCTTTGTACAAACCAAGATAATAGATCCAAAAGGGTGGTAAAAAAGGTCAAAAGGCGGGAATCCAACTACGAGAATGCACTGGGAGAGTGATCTGCAACGCCATACCCACAAAACAAATGAATGTAAGAAACTAAAAAGAAACTATAAGTGGTATCAAACTAGGAAATATATGCAAAATTCAAAATATGCTTGCAGGGGAAATGTGGATGATCACATTTTTGAGATGCTTAATTCTTTGCTCTTCCCATCTTTTGCGCTGTGCATGAGTGGAAAACGAAAACCATGCAAGTTAACAAAGGAGAGAGTGGATGCAAGGAAGCTTAAGTGCAGGCATTTAGTTTTGATGGACCATTGTTGGTTGAGGACCAGGTGGATGATTCACATCCATCACAGGGGCTGGAAGTGCACCGGCAGGGACTGAATCAACAGCAACCCCGTTGGAGACATCGTGATGGTATCCATTGCTATAGGATATATGGTTCGAACTGTGCCCTTTTTGAGGACCCGTGGCATTCTGCTTCGGAGCATTCTCCTCTATGCGGTGACTCGACGCCTCATTACCCACGCTGCCATTCGTTGCGATTGAATTTTCTCGCGAGTTTCTACTTGTCCGGTATCGCCCCAGAATGATGATTTGCCCATGCTGGTTGTGATCTGAACTAGAGGAGTTAGGTTCGTCTCGATGGCTAGACCGGCTAGTCGTCCTTTCATGATTGCTAACTAATGTGTTTACATTCATCTGCCCACCGGGTCTGCCCGGATCAGAGTGGTTTGTAGCTACCATGTCGTTGCTCTGAGATAAAGAAGAATTCCCGGGGCGTGAGTTGCCGGTGTTACGTCTTCCTGGTCGATTCGGCCCACTAGGCAAGGACTCGGTAGAACTCGATTCAGATAGGTGGGACGACGGTGGCGGAGCTGGTTGATGACTTCCCTGGGCCTTTCTTTTTCTCGGAGAATGTTGATATTCTGAACGAAGATGCGAGGCTGGATGTCCCGTATTAGGAGAGATGTTCGGGCTCTTGCCAGACGGCGTGTTGGGATTAGAAGGTGGCACCCAATGGTGGAAGTAGATAGAGGGGGAGGCCTGGGCGTGTTGTTGCGATTCCTGTTTGACGGATGCGTTCTGTTGAGGGTGAGAAGTCCGCGAGCTGGTTGGCAGTGGTGGCCTTCCACCAGGGTTCATTTGGGGTTGCTGAATGTGCATTTCAGCCGAGTTGATACGGGAGAGTATGGTCATTGGTTGGGCTGGTAGTGCCGCAGGGGTAGGGTTTGAATGACCAGGCTGAGAAACTCGGATATATGGGCTCTGGGCTGGGGATGGTGGAGTTTGCTGCACAGGTGGTCTCGCCGTCGCGGGAGGGACGGAGCGGTTGGCAGCGTAAGGGTTAGGTGGAATCATTCGATTATCTCGAGGAACGTCTAAAGCTGCCTGTTGCCCTTGAACTGGAGCATGATGCTGGATCGGCTGAGGTGGGGCCGTTTGGGATCCGTGTCGCGAATGTTGTGGCTGATGATATTCTTCTTGTTGCTGTTGAGGAGCAGGTTGCTGGTAGGCTTGCATTGGAATCTGGGGAGGCCGTGATGTCCCTGTGCTCATCTGAGATATATAGTGTTGCGCACACTGCAGATTTCCACCGCCTAAACCAGTGAAAATCAAGGGTATCATATATGGAGGAACACCCGCCTGTAATGAGTCCCTCAACATGGCCTGTTCAATTTTTCGCTGATCCAACTTAAGACTCTCTTGACGCGTTCGCTCTTCCTCCTGTTTCCTTCGATCCTCTTCAACCTTTACCGGAAGCCACAGTCGCAAGGACTCCTCTGAATGCTGCCACTGCGACGGATGTAGCTGGGCCGCGGAATTCGGCATCTGGTTTATCGTGGGGAGAGACATGGTCATGGGCGGAGGAAGGTTTCTGTGGGCAGTTTCTGAGGCGTGTTCGTGTGATGCGGGGGCCGGCGTCATTTGTTCGTATCTGGCAGTGTACTTGGACGAGATTTTAGAGGTTCTAGGAGTTGAGGCGGCCGATGGAGGGTTCTGATAGGGAGGAGAGGCAGGCCGAGGCACGGACTCATGGGAAATGCCGTTGAGGAGCGGTGGTTTCAAAGTGAGCAACATGAAGCAGGATGGGCCGGCGTGGAAGAGGCGGTGGGACGGACGAGTTGTGGGTGAAGTGACCTGCCGGCCAACTTCATAAGAGCCAGCGAACGAGGCAAGGAAGATTCGACAGTCATCAAACGAGAATTTGGTTAGGATTCACTGCAGCTAGCAAGGCCGTTTGAGGACGCGGGAGAGGAAAAGATGGAGATGAGTCTGTATGCTGGTCTGAAGCAGGAGGGCTGACGGTCAGAGAGAGAGAGAGAGAGAGAGGGAAAAAAAAAAAAAGAGAGAGAGAGAGAGATGGAGGTGAAGATGAGCGAGATTAGCACTCTTCCCATACGCGGTGCGTTGCAGGCTACTTCCCGCTTCGGGCCATCAACATTCCTTCCGGAAGCAGCACAAACACAGCAGCGCTGGACTCAACTCAGAGGTACCTTTGACGTCCAGACACATAATAAATTTCTCTGTGAGCCCATGTCCAGGTACAAACCCAGCAGCCCCCCCGGCCACTCCACCGCATCGACGTATGCGCTTACTTAATCGGTGGCTGTTTCCTGATTCGTCGTCGGGCTCAGCGCTCCCCCTTTCGGGAAAGCACAAGGGACCCGCCAGCCCGAACCGAGCCCGCGCTAGGCCGCTTCGGGGCCCGTTGCGTGGCGCGACCGGGGAGAGGCGATGGCTGGATCCGGTAGGGATCGACGGGCCTGCCTCCCCCACGAACCACAGTGCGGCCAATACCACCCTTGTAATTACAGTACCGGCTGCTGAGACTCAAAATCCGGCGGCCCTTGATGCCAGAGCCACACAGCTCCAACGGCAACTGTCTGAACGTTCCTCCTGTGCGAGAGATCATGACTCTCGGCAAGACTTGCACGCGGAATTAGTTCATGCGATTTTGTCGCCCGAATGCCACCTCTCTTCGTTCCAGTCCTCCTTGTCTCTCTTCAATTATTTTTTTTTTCAGATCCATCACACAAATCACCCGCCGGCCACTTTACCAAGATGCGGGCGACATGCATACACGCCAAAAAAAAAAAAACTTCCGTTCCACCAAAACCGCCATGCTCAATCTGGCAGCTGGTGTCCACATCCCCCCGGCTGATTGGGTGACGAGCGGGTGGGGCCTCGTAGTCCGGACCAACCACATTTCCGGTAACTTTAACCTTATCTTTCTACGTAAGCCTGTGCATCGTTTTTCATAAACAGTGCAGGTTTATGCGAGCTGCAGTGTAAATCGTCCGATCTTTCTTTGTGCTGAGCTGTCTGCCGGACGCTCCATCGAGCATCTGCTGCTCTGTACATGGATCTCAAAAATGTGGTACGGAGTAATATGTGTACAGATTCAAACTAGGCCTCCCGCCACGATATTATCAACCGCGGCCCGCGTTCAGCTTCTATCAAACCTCGCCAGAAACTCCGTGGGAACGGTCGGGATATACTTTCTTTCCCGGTCCCGGTTCGTCCCTCCAAACCCGGCTCCGTAGCTGATCAGCATGTCCGTGCTTGTCGGAAGAGAAAAGGGAAGGGTCATCGCTGGGTCAAGTAGTAGGGATGTGCGTTCTGACGCGGAGATCGCCGGTTGAGGGGATGCCTGCGATGGAGACTGTTGCTGTGGCTGTGAGGTCGAAGGTGGTTGCAGTTGCGGTGTCTGGGGCGTTGCCGGTTCGGCTGAGTCGCCATCTTTACCAGGCATAGTCGCCACAGTGGGCGTCGAAGGGGCGGCATTCGTCGCCTGTGATGTGGGAGTTGTTTCAGCCTTTGGTGATGTTGGCCGGTACAGCAGATATGGGTCGTCCTTCAAAGATGTGATATATTTCATCGCGCTCTTCGGAAGCCCCTTCTCGCCCACCTCTGGCCGATACAGTTTCACGGCGTGAAGGAGCTGTATTGGGGTCAGGCGTGGTAGTTGCTGTAGAGTTGCAATCAGGGAGTCTAAATCGTCACCCAGCGACGAGAAACACTGCAGCCACTGTAGTAACTCGACAACCGGCTCAAGATGTTTGCGGGCTGCCTCAACCGTGCTCTCGCCCGTGCAGGTGGTAGATCCGTTCTCGTAGTGTTCCGGCTGTCGGTTGTTCAACCGCGCCCAATCCTCAAGTGCAGATACGTTCATCCTTATCTGCATTGCTTTCGTGCGTGCAAGATATCTCCTCGTCGTCATAATCCGGTTGAAGAGCTCCGCACCCAGCCAGTAGAACAACTGAGAAAGTATTTGGGCAGTGATGACAGAGTGGACATCGTAAAGGTCCAGCACAAAAAGAGTCGAGGAGAGCAAAGAGGTAATATTTCGCGGAGAGATTTCTGCCCGTCGCTTCGGCGAAGGCGGTCTCAGTCTCTTCTCCAACGGTTCAGGCTTAACTTTCGATTTCGATCGGAAGAGTTTCCACTCATTTTGAAAATGAACGTCTTCGAATCCCGGAATTGTTTCATGTTCGAGCATCGCGTTATCGAAAACTTTGTCCATGCGCCGCTCTGCATCGCGGATAATCAGGATAAAGATATCATTGATGAGTTCTGCGAGATGGAGTTGAAACTCGACCGTTGCCGATACCAATTCCCCGTCCTTCTTCAGGTAGTGAAGTAATAACGTAGCATTAGATATCCAAAACGCCAAAATGGTCATATCCCACTGATGTTTTTCTACCACGGTATTGATCCGATCTGTTGCCGACAAGAGCAACGTGCTCAGGAGTTCTGGGCTGGCATGGTAATGGGCGTATCGAGCACATAGGAATAGGACGTTTGCGGGGATGGGCTTCTGAGACGGAGAACGCTGCGGTGTCATAGTGGTAATTATAATATCCAAGATCCTGTCCAGTTCGTGCTCCTGGAAAACAAACATTTGATCATGAAGACACCGGTCCCACACAAACTCCTGTTGGTCTTCCAATTCATCGTCCATAGCCTGCAGGATTATGTTAGAAGGTCACGATAGAGGGATATATGGGGTGCAAACAGCCTACGTCGAGTTTCTCGTCAAGGCCCAGGCTAGACAAGTCAACCTCTAAATTCATTGCGCTTTCTTCCATCATCATTCGTCTTTTTATCTCATTTTCAGCCATTTCCTCCTCAAATCTACCGTGACCGAAACCAGAGTCATAGAAGTCGTTGTCGATACCAGACGACCCAAAATTGTAGCCGTTCTCTTGCAGATAGTTCGAGATGTCCGTCCCAGGCTGCACGAAATCGAAAGCTGTACCTCCAGAAGAAGATCTGATCTCGGGAGATGCCCCATAGTCGAGCAGGACCTTTGCAATGGTCTTATGCCGATTCGTCATCGCCCACATCAGTGCGCTCCACCGATTGCGGTCCTGGTTGTCAACCTGCGCTCCCGCTTCAAGCAGTGCAGTGACAACCTCGTGGTGGCCCTACCCAGCGTTAGCCCTCGCTTTCGCTCAGTTCACCCAGGCAAAAGAGAAAATAGAACAGCGAAAGACATACGAAGCAGCTGGCATATATCAACGGCACCGTTCCTTCCTCATCCGGTAGATCAACGTCGACGTATCGGCTTGCTTCTCCGTTCAGCAGTTTCTTCACCCTCTCGACGTCGCCGTTGCTGGCGGCTGTGTTCAACGTCTTCTGCAGGATATCGCGCTTTTGCTCGTCCGTCAATTTCTTGTCGGCAGCAATGTCGTCTTCATCAGTTCCCGCGATGCCAACATCTCTGTGCGCGGCCTGAGCTGCTAGCATCTCCATTAGTCGCGCGTCACTGCCTTCCATGCGTCCATTCTCTGGGTAGGCGCTCGTTCGAAAGCCAAGGTCATCGTCATGCGTCTGGTCATTGAGGGTGAGGTTAAACGTTAATGGCTTCGTGGGAACAGGACTTGTCAGGAATTGAGATTGGCCTGTTTCAGACAAACACCGTCGACAAAAAGTTAGCAACCGGCTGGCCCTCGGTGCATCATGGAATTGCGAAATCAGGTTTGTCTCCTTCCAACCAAACCCGGCAGACAAAATAGATTCGCAGAACCGGGATGTGGAGGGGAAATTTGCACGCAACTCCAGGCGTACCCATGGAGAGAAGCCACTAGGAAAGAAGCAACTCACCTTGCCAACCGTCATACATCTCTGTCTCTGCGGTGTATGTGGGCACCGAGCGGCGATCGTCCAAAGACGTAGGGAGATCATCGGGTAGGGCTCGTGGTTTCGGCTTCTCAAGTTCGTTTGGCTCGTAGATATCAGCGTCCGATGACGCTTCATGGTAAGGGCCCGCTTGGTCCATAATCTGGGGCACGAGGGAACGGACAACTATCGGTGACTGTCAAATGGATCCATGAGGGCTTAACGGGAATGTCAGGGACTCGATGGCTGCACGGCTATTGGACGACCAGCTCCATTGAAGGCCTGCCGTGTAATTTTAGCCGAGAAAAGCGTATATATATATATATATATATATATGTGATCAGAATTGGTCCCGGACAGTAGTATTATCTGGGGACAAGTAGCCGGAGTTGGGACGTGAACTTAAGGTTCTGCCAACGTCAGTCTCAGGTGCAGGGACCACCACGGACGGGTTTAACCCCGCCAACTGTGCTCAGTAAAAAATATCCCGTATATACGAAGGAGCAGGCATGAAGTCCACGATCGGACGAGAGAGACTATAGGCAATAATCGGAATCAAAATTATTTTATCGCTAAGAATTGATTGCTCTGTGAACTTGAGCTGGCATTGCTATCCAATAATTTCTAGAACGGTCCCTCCCACGCTCCAAATAGCAACCTGTTCGAAGTTCCGCTGGGGTATCGAAAATGCAAAATGTAAAGCATAAAATAATCAAAAAATATGACGTTAAACAAAGAATAGGAAAGTTGGTGAGAAACGATGCGCTGGAAACATGTCATAATATACATGGAGATTTCGGAATTTATGAGAGAAATGCTTGGACGACAAGGCATCAATCCAACCCTGTTGGGCATTCTATTATGCCTGGTAACTTCGGGATCCAGACACACACACACACACCCCCCCCCCAAAGATTTATTCATTCGAGCTCCTTGCTGAGGGTGATAATTCTGTCGTCTGTCAAAGATGCAATCCAAAGACATCTTTCAACCAGACCGTATATAGGCTCGAAGTTGTACTTTGTACTCGAGTCTATTAGCCGAAGCAAGCTCTTAACGATCGACGCAGCTGTGCGATATCGCTCGAAATTCACTAGCGGCTCGCCGTCGCGAGTGCCTGCGATCTGAGCTGGTTTTTGGGCGTTGTAAGTGAGATCTTGAACATATAGGCCTATAATAAACCAAATATCAGTGATGGGTTATGCCACGACACGGTAATCCTACAGGGAGCCACTTACCGACAAACGGTATACAGCCTTCCTGTAGATTACAAGTCTCCATTTCAGACCGTAGATTGTGAAAGTTTCGGGTGGGCTGAATCAAGCGTTCCATCTCCTTGAGCAGCTGCTTCTCGCCATCGGGAACAAGCTCCCACGTCTTGACAAGCCTAGTGCAGTCGATCGAACACAATGCTATCGTCATCTGCAGCATCGTAGCGTAGTTGCGGATCCTCCGCGAATAAACAGCCACATGGATGAGTTTGGTGATTGTGCTTGCTCGCAAGGCCCGATTTGTTGTCATAACAATCTGCGACAACGCCCATTTCACCATGAGGTTGAACCGAGCAACAACCATATCGATGCCTTTGCGATCTTGGTCCGCCAGATAATTCACCCAGTTGAGCGTTGTTTGCGATGAATGACTCCATTTCATATCAACCAGGTCCTTCCAATCCACCTCGCTCAAAGCAGCCTGCTCCACGATAGCAAACTGTCGAGCGAGAAGTTCTGAATCATATGCTAGGATAAACGGCGTATGGCCAGGGCCCGTAAGTGCTCCAGTGGGCGAACCCTGAAGGTGTGTCTCTCCGTTACGTTGACTATTGTCTGGATGAGAGCGTATGTGTTTCACACCTCCAGAAGTTCTCCTCAAGGCCATACTGTTGGGAGACACCTCGGGAGTCAAAGGCTGCTGTTGCAGGCTTGTCGGGTATACATCAGATGTCCTGTTACCTTGATATCCCAAAGTTATCGGTGGCGATGGTGGATCAGCGAGCGGATGCGTAGGAACTCCGAGAGTTGCAAAGGCCATGATTGGAGAGGCACCATGGCCGTTTCTGTTGGATGGGCCGGCTGCTTCGGCACCATTAATGACATCTATCGAAATCTCCGATGACAGCTCGGAGGCATAGTCGTCAATTTCAAGTTCATTGCCGTAAGGGTGAGCAGAGGTACTACGGCTCTTCATATACCTCGAGTGATGCGGAAGTTGTTGCATGCTATCCGTCTTTTCTACCATTTCAATTGATAGAGAGGGCTCGGTTTCTGTTGATGGAAGTTGTTCCTGGCCACTGAGCTGCGGCTGCGAGTTGGTATTTGAATCAGCATCGTACAGCCGCGGGCTTTTCATTGAGTCATCGGCCAAGCCACGTTCAAGAAGTGGAACGGAGCAGTAGGAATCCTCAGATTCAACATACGAGCTGATTCGAACCCCGGATGTACTCGAAGCTCCATGTTCACTGGATCCAAGCGTAGACGCTCCTGGCGCTCTAAGCTTGCAACTCCCATCGACACGGGCGTTAGAATCACCCTGCTGTCCACAGATAGGTGACTGCGTTTCCCATTTGCCCTCTAGCTTCAGCAACGTTGACTCGATACCTCCGTCACCATCGTCGGGTATTTTAGCAAACCCAGCCACTGTAGCCTCAAAAGACCGACGCAGATGCCGCGATTCATCCAGAGAGTGGCGCTGACGAGGATGGGCTCGATTGGCAGCTTCTTTATTTCGTTCGTTGAAATGTATTTTATTTGCCATTTGTAGCATGGAACCGCCCATTGAACTGGTTTCCGTCATATCATCAGCGGCTGAGGATGCTTTGCTTCTAGGCACTGATTCGGTCTCGTTCTGCATCTTTCGTAGATCTCCACCCCGTCGTCGACGAAGCGTGGGGCCACGGGGCTTGAGGCTGGATTTCTGCGAAATGTCGGACCGATTCACGCTCTCAATATCGGAACCAGGTTTATGTCTATTCATCACACTTTCATGAGATGCGTACTTTCGAATATTGTGGAATATCTTGTTGACTCCGCGATTGCTTTCGCCGCAAGTTACCAAGGATTCCCGTCCCGATTCGGGAGCCTTTGATCCAAACATGGTTGTAAAGGACTCCCCATAGCACGGACTGTGTCTAATCGTGCCTGAAGGTATGAAGGGCTTCGAACCTACATCGCGCGATGGTGAATAGCTCCTAGCGGGTTTAGACGGATCATATCTTGTCGGAGGTAAAGATATCTGCAGCCTACTTGGCATTATCGGTGTTCCAGTACGAGTATCGTCCACTATCACGATGGATTTGCTTCCCGTTGTCAATTGACTAGGAATGCTATCACGTCGTGAGGCTGCAAGATAGTTCGGATTAGCAGGCATATCACCAGAAAGATGACGCTCCTTTTGTGTATCGGATGGCGCAGAGCGTGCAGTTCCCTGGTCCATTGATGGCCGTGAAAGCTCCGACTCCTTTAACAGTTTTCGGTAAGATAAATATGCCTCCTCGCAAAGCAGATCCACACGTGTATTGCTCTGCGAATGCGTTCCTCCCTTGCCCCTATAACCGTCAGGACGGAAGGACACATTTTTAGGCAAGGGTGACGTTTTTCCTCGTGATTCGCTCGGGCTTATTCCGCGAGAAGGGCCTTGTCCAGACGGCCTGGTTTGCAGAGCACGCCGCAGCGTTCCAATAAACGCTTTCACAGCCGGGCCCGACTGCTTTGGCCGATCCGATCGGGTAGTTGTATCTTGTCTTCCAAATCCCGTCGGTGGAACCTCAAAATTAGGAGATGGAGGGCCGAAAGAGACCAAGAGAGGCTCGGGAGGGCCGTATACGTTCCCTCTGATCATGTTCTCTGTGTGAGGCAGCATCTGGAACGGAGGCTGTCCGTGAGAGTCGACGCTGGACAGCGGCAGCGGCGCTCGATCATCGCGGACGGAATCTGAGAAGCTGCCACTGCGCTTGTGAGAGTGCATTGGTCGACGCCAGATCGGAGGCATGGGAGGAAACGCAAATTGTCCAGGGGAAATAGGAGAACCAAATTTCGGCGACGCTAAAACCACAGGGTGGGGAGCTTCAGCTTGGTTAGATTGAAAGGAATTTCGTTTTGGGATAATGTGCGGGAACGAGCAAGAGTCCGGCTGAATGGTGCTGGGGCTCAAAGGCGATGTTCGGCGTTCAACGACAGGTTCAGGCGATGCTTGCTGATTTCGAGAATCCAAGTTTCCCGCCGCTGGCGAGAAGGGCCGGGCAGAAACCGGTGGTTGCACACGCATCCCTAGCACATTTTCAAAATTATGGCCAATCTCCTCCAGATCTCTGGAACTGAGCTCTCCATCATTGCTACCTTCGATGCCGCCGGGAACGACAGGTTCATCAGGATCTTTCCTATCTGCGGATTCTTGTGCGTCCCAGTAAAGGGAGCATCTGCCGTTCCAACACTTCTTCAAATCTATCAGAATTTTGAGGTCGCTGTGACTATTCTTACTCCTATGCTTTATCTCCTCGTACATGTGGTTAAGCCGGCCACAGAACTGAATTCGCAAATCGCGATTAGACACAAAATCGTCAACGAAATAATTCAAGATCCAGTGTCTTAAGGCCGCGAATACGCGAATTCGGATGATTCTACCGTCGTCTTCGAGGCGGTTGATTGCCCACTGGAGCCTTGCTAGCAGTAGCGAGAGCAGATTACTCGGTGATAGATAGGAGCGAAACGTCAAGAAGAAGTCAGACACGAGCTCATAGTCCATGAACGATTCTGACGAGATTTGGGCGACAATACGGGCCGGGGTTGCAGCGGTGACTTGCTTGGTTTCCTTTGCATATCGTACCACCGAAACATCGTCCATAATCAGCATCAAGTGGTCGAAGACTGACGGGTCTATTGGCTCCTTCAGCTTGTAGAAGACGCTGGACTGGGCTGGAGATGTATTGATCCCGCTCAAAGCACGAGGGGAGGGAAAGAGCGGCGGGGTATAAGATGACAGGCCGCTGGACGGGATTTCGCTAGGAATAGAGGGCACTTCAGGATCGTCAGCTCTCATAAATGTAGATGACCGGAAATTATCTGAGACAGAAGTTCGAGTATATGCTGAACTGCGGAGCATTGGTGTACCTCCAGGTGTAAACCTGAAGCCTCCAAGCCTATAATGGGGGATAGACATCTCCAACGAAGGAACTTCGACTTTACCGTGTGGTTTAAATTCTTCGGTATCAGGTCGCTCAATCACAATCCTCAACTCCCCACGGTTCCTCGAAGGCGACGGATGATATTCATCCCCGATTGTGGAAAGGGAATGCCGTCTGCTTAACTGAGAGCCGTGGTGGTATGAACCAGCCATGCCATCCCGGACTGTTCTGCCGCCCAGACTGCTTTCTTGAATATGCTGAGGTCGTAAATCGGACATCTGTGAATTAGACCAAAAGCTGTGTCGAACATCTTCGCTCTGCGGCATCGGTTGTAAGCTTTTTACGTGCTTGGTGTGTCCGTGTCCCGGGGGTTGAGAGCGTCCTCGAGTATGGAAAGCCTGCTTCGAAATAGGCACGGGCCTGTGGGATGACAATGAGGGATAATAGTTTAGTAGAATATCCACAAGCCGCGTTCGTCAGTTAATAATCGCACTAGAAGCGCATACCTGAGGTATATTTTTCCATTTTGACCCACGTTTCCAACAGTAAAATGTCTTCCTTCCCGACTTCCCGATGCAGTTGAAATGTCAGAGGTGATGCCTTTGCTCTGCGATCTCTTCGATAGTCTTGGGCCCAAAAAGCGGCCGCCCCGGTCCCCGCGCCATACTGGACGTGCGGGCTCCTCGCCGGCGGACGAGTGAATTTTTGAAATACTTTTGCTTTCAGCGACAGAGTGAGACCGCCACAGACCGAATTTGCCCATGCATGCAGGGTTCTGGCCCGGGGAACTGGGCTCGCGGATGCCAGTCTCAGGGGGAGCGGGAGGTAGGCACCCATCGGATCTGGGGGAGATCATCGGCCTCTCCCCTGGTTCAGACAATCCGCCTCCTTCTTCCATTTTTATTGCCAGTGCATAACGCCAGTATAACGGCAATTGGTTGGATCTCAGTACTTAAGAACTGCTGCGTCAAAACTCGCGGTACGCGGCCGATTGTCAGGCCCCGGAAAAACATGCAGAGGACGGACAGGGTGGGACGAAACGTAAAAAAAACGGGCGATTATATCACATAGTCGAATGCCTCGTACGACCTGTCTCTCTTTCTTCACGCGCAATATGTCAGCGTCACTGCGAGAAGCTCCATTGTCTCAGAGATAAACAAAAAGACAAATGCTGGGCATCAGATAGAGTTTTTACCCACAGGGCTTACCAGAAATTGGAACGGCTGTAAGCGATTATCATCGTCAGAAATATTTGTTTCTATTTTTCCCGCGCCTGAGTCTCATATAGCTCTCAAGCGGGCAAAGAAAAAGTCTTTCAGAGGCAACCGTCTTCCCCGAATCGTACTACTGAATCGCCCAAGTTCCCGTTTGTCTTCGTGGGTCGGGACTAACTTATGGGACGTACCAAAGAAAAAATAAGGGGGGAGAGTGTTTCTAGTTCGACACAGGAGGGCGAAACAAGCAGGCTGAAGCAGCAGACGTGAAGGAGCTCGCGGGCGTCACGTCTGAAAAGAAACAATAATATATGTAGCAAGACCGGACGAGCAACATCGCTTGCGGCTCACAGTCAGCACTTCCGCCATGGCTCGCCTCAAGAGCGTGGACGCGACTGGGATCGCCTTTCCCGTCCAACCACACACATGCATTTTGGGTTGTCGGTGTCTGTAAGGTTGCCCAGCCCCGGGTTAACTCAATCACCAACGAGCTTATCCAAGCCCAATCGGATCTAGCCCCTCTGAAGTCTGGTTGGACCAACCACCGCCTGACTCGGCCTCTGTTCTCCGCCGGTAATTGGCCATGTCGCCCAGGCGAGGCCCGGATGGCGGGAGAGGAGAGTTGTGTTGGTTCCGGTGGCTGACTCTGTTTTTTGATATGCCGGTAGGGAACAGGCGCGGGAAGAAAACGCCTCCAAGGCGAGTTTCCATCCAGAGTCCCGACTCCCCCAGATTTTGGCCTTCCGGGAAAGCGGTCAGGTGCCTTTTTTTTTTTTAAATCGCCATCGATCAAGAATTCCTCTTGGCGCCCGTGGCGATCCACCGCGTTTTTGTGGGTGGCTAACATCTCGCGTGTGCTTTGGAAGGTTTGATGATGACGCTTTGAATATGCAGGTAGAATGTGATCTTCACTCTTAAATTCGACACCACATATGCGAAAACCCGAAGGATTGCCCACAAAAAAAAAATAAAAAAAGAAAGAAAGAAAAAGAAAAAGAAAAAGAAAAAATAAATAAATAAAAGGGATACTCTGGGCAAACTACTCCGTACTCCGTACCAGTTGAGGAACGACGAAACGCCAATGGCGCGGCCCGGAACCTCAGCTAAAGAAGCAGAGACGAATAATCTCGAGGTGAAAAGCGGCCGTTGATTCATAGATTGCCGTGCCGCCTTCGTGTCCAGACGTTGCTATTGGGATAACCACATCAAGATAACTCCTCCTTTACAATACGCAAGTGCACCAGAACAGGTGTCGTCGTTTGGAGGCGAGTCGGTCTCTGAGAGTCCTGCGCCGGTATCATTACGGTAGCATGTCTTTCTGGACAGTGGTTTCTCGCTGACCTCGTTGCGAGTTCTAACGACAAGACGTGTATGGTGAATTTGTCAACTAGTCAACCAAGTTTATATGGTTGAGAAGTACGGAGTACTCCGTAGCCGCTGAGAGACAGGATACATTTTCCGGGTATAGACCCAACTATAGATGGCTCATGACGATCGAACACAGATGACGTCCCCCGGACATTAGGCGAAAAGAGTGTTTAGAACAGGCAGCCCTTTAAACCGTGTAGGGTTCTTTTACATGTTTAGAGCAATGAGAAATGCGGATGGTGTAGATGCAGTCATGTAGTCCTCTATTTGAAAGGGAATAAGAGGACCAAACTACCTCTTTTTTCTTTTTTTTTTTTTTTTTTTTTTGTTTTTTTTTGGTTGAAAGGATTCACCAAGCTTCAACGCCAGCGGAATTGCGCACCGGAATGGACAGCCAGTTTGGCAAATGATATTACTACTTTCGAGCCCGTGCACCGTCGCCTCCTCGCATCTCGGCTGTATCCGGGCAGTTGGAAAGTCGCTCTCAGAAGATGGAATCGCCGCAAAGACCCGAACCAACATACATACTCCGGCTCCATCCTTCCAAGCCGAGAAATATTGGAATGGTTTGCTGCGTAGACTCAATCGAGATGAGATTTCGGGCTGTAGTCACCGGCGTCCTCGGAACCTAACCGGCGCAGGTGCCCTATACTCCGTAGAGCCCCTCCAAAAGCAGTGAGGGGGCCCCTGGTATTCGCGCTCTACAATGAGATCTCTCCGTAAGAGGGCTTTTATCGGCTCTACGAGTATTGCAGACGTGCATGCAGTGGAGAAGGATTGCGGAACGAGCTGCCGGGTGGATAATATCTCCTAATCAAAATAGAGGATCAGAAAAAGTGTGCTCATTAGCCAAAGCTTACCGTCGAACAATGAGTCCAATTCCCCCGGTGGAACTGTTCGCCCTGCAAAGCGACCTGCTGTGCGAGCAATGACAAGTGCGGGGGATCTCTGTTTCGGGACTTTGAAGATTCGACACCAGGCGCTGCGTTGAAATAACCCCCCCCCTTTTTTTTTCCCACTTGGATTCAAAAAGAGCAGGGGAGCAAAGAAACAAGACATGGAGCAACATGGGCCCGCTGCCTAGCCCTAGGACGCACGAGGACCGATCCTGGTCGTACTGACAAGGTGTGTGAGCACCCTGGGTTGAACCTTGTCCATGCAGGTTGGAGCTTTGATCCCATTATCTTCTCTTTTTTATACTCCTCGTCGGCGATGGAGAGGTGCTTCCTGTGCAATACTCACCATTGGGGAAGACGCAAATAGCCAACCATTCTGATAGCGGTCCCTGAACTGCATGTACGAACTAGTTAGTGGGAAATGTCGCTCAACCGGGCAATGGGTTATGTATTGTAGTTAGTTAGCTGGCTTCGAAGGTCCGAGACTTGGGCTCAACGGCGGCCAAGGCCCCCATCCACCGTCCCCAGGCGGAGTCCACGTCCCCAACGCTCGCTCCCCCAGTCTGGCTGATCCTTCGACGAGGAGCAAAAAGCAAAAGCAAAAGCGGCCGGCGGTGAAAGCGGATCCGCCCGCCAATGACGGCTGCGGACTCCAACCCTAAGCCCTACTCTTTCCGCTTCCGGCGGCGGGTGACTCACGCCTGGTCCCCGCCGCTGATTGGCCGCTGCTCTTCCCCGCTGCGAGTTTTCGTCGACGTGCTTTTGTTGGGCGTTTTAAAGAGTCTACTTTATCTGTCGTCCGTTCCTCTGTGAGCATCCAGCAGGCCATTGTTCACTCCCCACGCAACCAATTACGCCTTCAATTGAGAAAAGAGGAATAGTGCACATATATCTTTTGTCTCTCGCAAACAACATGGCCAACAAGGAAAAGGTTCTTCTTGCCTACTCTGGTGGTTTGGACACCAGCTGCATCCTCGCCTGGCTCATCGAGCAGGGCCATGAGGTCGTCTGCTTCCTCGCCGACGTAGGCCAGGCTGAGGATTTCAAGGAAGCTGAGCGCAAGGCCCTTGCGGTCGGCGCGAAGAAGCTCGTTGTCGAGGACCTGAAGCGTGAGTTCGTCGAGGATCTCTGCTTCCGTGCCATCCAGTGCAATGTGAGTCACATCGAAGATGCGACGCGCGCCAATTGTGCTCTACTGACAAAACCCCCGGTTAGGCTATCTGGGAGGACAGATATCTCCTTGGGTAAGCTTCCAATTGAGTTCCTAACGTTTCTTCCCCCCCAAAAAAAAAAAAACCACCAAAACCACCAAGACAACCCAAAAAGACCACTGTGCTAACCCTGGAGTAGAACTAGCCTGTAAGAACTGGAAGAATTCCCGGTCGCGCGGAGGCCAAGCTTACAGTTGTGGAAGTGCCCGTCCCGTTATTGCTAGAGCTATGATGCGTGTTGCTAAGCAAGAAGGCTGCACGGCCGTCAGCCACGGTTAGTAGTGATATTTTCCCCAGTTCACGATGCGCCCGCGTTACCCTGGTTCTGACCGTCTCACTCCATAGGCTGCACCGGCAAAGGGTAATTCACCCAGATCCTGTACCAAAATCAAGCGCATACTTATTCATCGAAATACCAGAAACGATCAAGTCAGATTTGAACTCGCATTCTACGCCATCCAGGTGGGATTCCCCCTTTGCCATTGCTATGCAATTTTAGAAGAAGCCTGCAATGCTGACCAGCGTAGCCATCTATCAACGTCATCGCCCCATGGCGTCTTCCTGAATTCTATGAACGTTTCGCTGGTCGTAATGACCTCCTCGACTACGCTGCCAAGCACAATATCCCCGTCACATCTACAAAGGCAAAGCCATGGTGGGTTCGGCCGCGTTTTGTTTTGTTTCCTACAGACAGCACTAACGTATACATGTGTTGATAGGTCCATGGATGAGAAGTGAGATTCACACTCTGCTTACGGCACTTCCCCCCCGCAAATCCCTGCTGACTTTTCGTCCCAGCCTCGCCCATTGCTCCTATGAAGCCGGCATCCTGGAAGAAGCCGACGTCTCTCCACCAGATGACATGTGGAAGCTGACTGACGATCCCCGAACCGCCCCCAACACACCCGAAGATGTCACCATCTTCTTCGAGAAGGGTCTGCCTGTTGGCGTCGTTCTGGGATCCGACCCTAAGGCAGGAAACAAGATCACCGACTCCTTGGAGCTATTCACCACTCTCAATGAACTTGGCCGTAAACATGGTGGGTTTGAATGATGCTTCCGTTTCTCGATCATTTCACAGAGTACGACAATAGCCAGATGGTTGTGGTAGCTGACTACGGCTTCGATAGGAATCGGTCGTATCGATATTGTGGAAAACCGTTACATTGGTCTTAAATCTGTGAGTTAACCTGGTCAACTTCTTCTGTCCTTTACCCCAGATGACTAACCTCTTGTCTGCAGCGCGGATGCTAGTAAGGAGCCCGATGATTCCCCCCAACGCTCGAGTTGCACTGGATGGAGAGCACGGTACTAACTACCCTGTTTTCTAGTGACTCCCCTGCTATGAGCATTCTCCGCCTTGCACATCTTGACCTTGAAGGCCTCGTCCTTGACCGCGAAGTTCGCCTTCTCCGTGATCAATTCGTCACTATTACCTGGTCTAAGCTTCTCTACAATGGTCTCTACTTCTCCCCCGAACGTAAATTCATCGAGAAGAGCGTTATTGCCAGCCAGGACGACGTCAACGGCCAGGTCAGACTTCGCTGCTACAAGGGCTCCGTGAGCGTCTTGGGACGAAGCTCCGACACAAGCAAGCTCTACAGCCCAGAGCAGAGCAGCATGGACAGTCTCGAGGACTTCCAACCCACAGACACCACCGGCTTTATCGCTACCCAGGCCATCCGCCTGAAGGCATACGGCGAGGCTGAAGCCGCTGCCGGTATTGATCTCAGCGAATCTTAAAAGACAGAATAAGAAAGTGTTTTGGTTTCGGATGTTTTTGGAAAATATCAAAGGAAAAAGTCTCGGACTGCATGATTTGGAGTTCTAGCAGGACTGGCTTTCGGTTACTACAGAAATACAAAGTTTATCTTTATTGGAGGCTCCTTGTGAACAAGTCTTTGATTTTGTTTTCCCAGTATTGCTTCACGATCCTACGTATGAACATGTACTTCCGGTTTTCGTGGCTGTTCCCTGCGACAGCCTCTGTCCGAGCCACTAGAACGACAAGACCTTTTCATTCAAGGGTAGCATCGCGTCCTCTCGCGCTTCATGCTCGAAGTAGGATCAATTGCACTTCTGCCGGTGCTCCATAATAAGGTGTGGAGATTATTTTCCTTGGCAGGATGCGGTCCTCAAGCATGGGCCCAGGATCCTGGGAAGTTCTGAGTACGACGGAGTTTTGAAAACGAGCAAGGGTTCGTCCCTCGCTTTGTCCAGCATGCAGCCTATTGAAGCCGTATGGTCGCCTTACGCCGAGCTCCGAAATAAAAGTGGGCTTCGGAACAGAATGTCCATGCGCCCACCAGTCGTTAGAGGATCCTCGCGGTGGGTGACTTGCATCGACAACGATCCTGGGTACATACATATATGTACTCCGTACCAAGAGAAGTCGCGAAAACTCTATTCACGTCCTTCACACGTCTTTTTCTCCAACGCTCAAGGGTAATCAAGCGTGCGTTTCTTTGTCGAGGCGCTCGGGATCCTACCCTTAAGGCGGGCCTGACTTCTGTGGTAATAACCGTGAATTTCACCAGGCTATAATGGCGTCGATAAGCTACCTTGAGAATGCAACGGCTGCTAACGGTTACTTTCCGACTGTTCATGACAAATGACGACGACCCTCTACGACCTTGCTAAGCGCTGAGAAAGGTATCAAAAAGATAGCTCTTGCGCGCTCTATCCCATCCATATTGGCGAGTTGCTTGAACAGAGATACTATATACGACATAAACTTGGCTGGTGCCTTCTTGTCTATCCGTTAGGCTAAGATCCTGGGGGCTAAAAGTGATGTGGCTCTCAAGAACATTGCTTCAGGAGATTCAGAAGAGCAAAAAATATCATTATACAGAGGGAAAATCCTTCAGCGTATGGGTAGCAAAAATTGAACAATTAAGATCTCAGGAAAACAGCAACAAACAAAATGACTAGATTTCCGAGAGGAGCCTCAGTAAAACTCGGCTCCATGTTCAGCTTTGGCCTTTTTTATCTTTCTTTGCATCCTCAAACTATTCAGTCGATGATCCACCCCCGATATCATCCTCTCGAGTGCGTTCCCCCCGCGGCTTTGATTCGCGCATTTCCAATATTGAGAATCTAAATTAAAGACTTAGCGAGTGAGTAGAGGTTTCGAAAAATAATGATAATCATAATCATAATAATCACCACACGTTCCTTGCTGTAGGATATTATTTGATAGAATCACCAAATCCGCTGAAGGACATGGCTGCCAATGGGCTGTATTGGCTTTGTGTTCAGCGCTGGCCATACTGCTGGTTACTGTACAATCTAGAGAATACCTCTATACTGTGGTTACATTCACGCCTGCTACCTCTGCCATGATATGGTTTGTTTTTCCTTCACAAGAATGCGATTAACCTCCAAGGTAGCCCATAGTTACACCAGCTACACTGTTTGACAGTTTCGCAAAGTTTTCATCATGTAGCTGGATAGGATAACTCATCAGTTCCCGCCATTGCTATTCTGTCTAGCCAACAACATAGAGGTATTTTAAATCCATGGTAGCAAAGCTAGCACCGAATGTGTAGTTTTGTCTTGAGGGCCATGGTGATAAAGTAGACACAAAACTCATTGCTTCAGTGGAGAAATATGATCATAGAACATGTTGATGTCAATGTTGGTTGTCCGAAAAACAAACGCGGGAGTGTAGAATCCTGACTAAGCAGCTTCATCGTGTCTCTCTCCGTCTCGACGAACGAACTTTCGACAAGCTGAACAGCTCCGGTTGCTGGCAGCAGAGGGTGCTGAAAGCCAACAGGCCGTTCCCTCGGCTTGAATTTGCCTATTTCCTTCAAGGTGTGCAGTTTGTGTCTCTTGTCAACACGTCAATTGATGGGGCTGGATTAGACTGACCGATTTTCTTCCCTTCCAGATGAACAACAGCCGGCTTGCGCAGACGCAACCTTCCTACGACTTTTTGTCCGGCGCGTCGTCTTCTCCCCAGCAATCTTCCAGAAGTCCGTTCCGGAGGAGTATCCTTCCTCAAGAGCCACCGATCAAACCCGGTCAGTACATGATTCCCTTGGAGCCTAAGGTACAATAATATGGAATGGAATTTCTGACGCAAGTCGCGAGGTCTATAGATGCCGGGAATGAAGAACTACGAATACAGATTAGTACTTTGAAGTATGAGCTCGAGAATATAAAGCAGGATAGGGACCTAGAATCCTTACAACACGAGAAAGAATTACGGGAGCTGCAGGCCAGAGCAGACGCGGACTTTCGAAAAGCGCAGGTGAGCCTTATCCATAGGATTTTCGTTTTACCCCCACCAAAAAAAAAGTAAAAAATAAGAAATAAAAAAAGGGACACTCGACCGAGTATTCTGACGACTGGGTTGCAACTATCTAGGCCGCAGAGAGTAGCTCAGCCAAGGCCCAACGTAAGATCGAATCGCTTGCCGCAGAGTTAAAGCAAGTGCAGGAAACGTCGGAGACCGAGCGAGCCTCCTGTGAAAGGAAGATACGGGCGTTGCAGGAAGAGAGCCGAGCTTTGCAGGAGGAATGTGACGATTCAAGGTCCCAACTAGCCGACCAAGAACGTCAGTACAAAAACCAAGTCCGCGAACTGGAAACGATCCGTTCGTCGCTCCAACAGACGTTGGATGAATTGAGAAATGAGCTCCAAGAAACCAAAGCGTGCTTGCAAACGACCCAGGAGCGGTTATCGCAACGTGAAGCTGAAGTGGACCAACTAGAGGCAGAGAACATACAGTTAAAATCTGAAGGATCCGAGCCGGAAGCCCTGACTGTGCTCAAGCGGGAGCTTTCAGAACAGCTATCGCAAGTAAAGAGATTAGAATCCGAATTGCGGCCGCTACGAAAGTCTCAAAAGAAAGTCGAAGTCGTCGAAGAGCAAAAGCTTGCCCTTGAGAACAAGCTGCATTTAATGAGTGGCTTGGAAGCTGAACTTAGAAATGAGCGAATCCAGAATCAGGTTTTACAAGACGAGCGACGATCCTGGACAGGTCTATTGCAACTAGATGGGCACGAACCTGAATTTGACTCTCCAGAAGCTGTTGTTAGAGCCTTGGTTGAGTCAAGAATTGAAAACGCCTCCCTGGTTGATAAAATCGGGAATATCCAGGCCCAAGCTGCGGAAAAGACAGAAATTATAAACAACCTGGAGATGGAAAAGCAAAGAATACATAAAGAAATGGAAAGTCTCCGTTCGAACGGAGCGGGCGTAGTCGCTGCTGATTCTCGTGCCAAAACACGGTTGGAGCGGCAAAGGGTCCTAGCTATCAAGGAAGTGGAGTATTTACGAGCACAGCTCAAGACATTTGATGCTGAGGAAACCATGGTGAATCCGGACGAGAATCGAATCGACACTCAGAAATCCGAACATATTGCACAGCTTGAGGGTCTTCTGAGCGAACATCGGGAAGAGCTTCACAAGTTGCATGAAGAACTGTCAAAAAAGGAAGAAAACGCAACACCAAGTGATTCCCAGGCCTTGCGTGGAACTAAACGACCTCTTTCCCCAGCGGAGAGCGATGCGGATAGTGAACGACTTGCTGGCTTGGTTCGCAAAAATCGAACCCTGCAGGACTCTTTATCCAAATCTGAACAGTCGGTTGAGCTGTTACGCCGGGAGCTTGAAGCAGCAAAGTCTCATCTTTCCTCGTTGCAAGCCCAGTCGCGAACCCGCATCTTAGAGCTTCGATCGAACCCAACTGCTGATTTTGAAAACGTTAAGCTTTCCACCCTGAAGACTTTACGGGCCGAGAATCGGGACCTTTTGAAGCAACTACGAGGAGCGAATGAAAATATTCGGATGGTTCCTGCTAGCACGCTTGACAGCTTGCAGCTAGATCTTCAAGAGATGGAGAAACAGGTTGCCGATAAAGAAAAGCGGATACGCCGTCTAAAAGAGATTTGGACTGCGAAATCATCTGAATTCCGTGAAGCGGTGGCGTCCATTCTCGGTTATAAGCTTGATTTCATGCCCAATGGGCGTGTACGAGTGACTTCTATGTTCCACCTTTCGCCAGCATACAGGCACGGAGACCCGGGTGCTGCGGCCGACTCTAGTGGCCCGGGAAGTATGGGTGACGGCGAAGAAAACTCGATCATTTTTGACGGAGAAAATGGGACCATGAAGATATCCGGTGGACCGAATAGTTTGTTCGCTCTAGAAATTCGAGATCTTATCAAATTTTGGGTAGAGGAGCGGAAGGATATTCCCTGTTTCTTAGCTGCCATGACGCTTGAATTTTACGACAAGACGACAAGGGCCGCTCGAATGTGACGAGAGGAACTTTCTTTCGAACGTTTTCATTGCTGTTGATTTCTTTTCCCGCCCGTTCCTGACAGGACTCGTCCCTGTTTGGGGAGTGTTTATTGTTGGCGGCTTTTCGTGAGGAGATGCGCTTTGGAGAGATATAATATCTTACAATCTGATTGAGTGGGCTTCAATGGCCCCTGGGTACCTACATATATCTATATATATACGGAGTAGAGCGGCCGTTTCCCTACACATCGAGCACAGTCTCAAGATACCCGAAGCGTGCCGAGTGATGATTGCCTTCAACAACCTTTTAAAAAGTCGTAGGCCATCAAAGTGTGGGCCTGGGCGACTTGAACGAGCTCTTTCACCTCCACATATTCATCTGCTCCGCCCATATTTCCTCCAGAGCAGCCGACGACAACGGTTGGAATGCCAGCGGCACGATACCACCGGGTATCAGATGCTCCAACGCGTATACTAGCGACGGACTTGCCGCCGGTGACTTCTTTCGACACTTTCAGACCCAGCTGGACAATATCGTGGGTGGGAGAGGTATAGTTAGGATCGCATTTACGTATTATTCTCCATCTGATGCCCTCCATCGGGTCAAGTAACGTTCGTAGCTTCGCTAGAATCTCCTCGGTCGTAACGCCTAGAGGGAGTCGAAGATCACACTCCGCTTTCGCGTGGGCGGGAATTAAATTCGGTGACACGCCGCCATGTACCGTTCCAATGTTGACTGTAACATGGCGTAGCGTGTCCAACTCACCCATGCCCGACGATGCTTGTGACACGTCTGCCGCCGCATCGATCGCATCCTCCACCTCCGCGGGCATATCCACCGCCATCTCTTCCAACGTCTCGATCGCATCCAACGCCTTTCGTAGACGATTAACCGCATTCAAGCCCCTATGCACATGCGCGCCATGCGCTGCAACCCCTTTAGCCTCAACATCAATCCACACAAACCCCTTTTCCCCGAACCTCACCACCTGCGGCGACCCGGCATCCCCGCATATCATCGCATCGCCCTTGGCCGCCTCGACATTGTCCAGCAACCACTTCGCCCCACGACTGCCCATACACTCCTCATCGCCCGCGAGCGTGACCACGATCTCCCCGCGCCATAAATCGCGATGCTCAGCGAGCAACTTCGCCGCCGTGATCGATGCCGCGATGCCGCCTTTCATGTCGCACACCCCGCGACCATATAATCTCCCATCCTTGAGGACGCCGCCCAGCGGTGGCACCGTCCAGTTGAGATCCTCGCAAAGAGGGTAGGTGTCTAGGTGGCCGTTGAAGACAAGTCGCTTGCCCGGTCTGCCGCTGGGGATGCGAGCCACGACATTGACCAGTCCCGGAGCGGTCTCATGGCGCGAGACGTGTGCGTGTGGAATGCTCTGCAGCAATTTGATAGCCGCGTCGGCAACGAGGACCGTGTTTCCCGCGGGATTGGGGGACGGTGTCTTGACAAGCGTTCTTGTGATTGCTATCAGCGCATCCTGTTGCTTGGTGATGATGTTTCGGAGGAAGGTTCGGGCTTTCTTGTCTTCTTGCGTCATGATGGAGTCGAATTCCTCTTCTTCTCCTCTCTTTTTTTTCTTTTTTCTGTTTCTAATACCCAGACGTTGCTTTGCGATTTCAAAGTTGGCAATTGATTTTCGGTTAGATTATCATACGCAATTATGATATTTTACAGAGAAGCTAGATTGAGCCGGGCAGTTAGGAGCTGAGGTATGAAATGTCAGGCAAACTTCTCCACGCCGGCCAGACCATCACAGACGCACTCGGCTCGTTTCCAGACTCGGTCATGCGACGGGACTGTGCATCCAATGAACACGATGTGTGTAACTAGCTCAGCAAAAAGCGCGAAGCCAGCGCGAGAGTTAGAAGCTGAGCTATTAAACTCAAGCAAATACGGTTCCCGAAGCTAGCCGTTCATGTTTCCAGGGTTGTTCTGGAAAACGGTTGAAAGACACATCGAAACAACACTAAGTTCTCAGCGAGTGCAGCAGCAGACTTATGTGGAATTAGTTAAGAGAGTATGCATGTATGTACATATAAAAAGAAAAAAAAAAAGGTACGGTCGCGGAACGAATGACAAGAGCAAGCCCAATACATGCCGGACGTCATCGCAAACCGAGCGGAGGCCGTCATCGAGATGCTTGGCATTTGAAGCTTCGCTGCGACTGGAGAATCGCTGCAAATTGCGTCCAACGCTCAGACAGTCGGTCGGCTGAGGCGTGCTCAGCAGAAGATGAGCTACGTCCAAAAAAAAAAAAAAAAAAAAAAAAAAAAAAAAAAGGCGTTACAGGGCGAAGACGGGAAGATAAAAAAAAAAAAAAGAAAAGATCCTAGCCTTAAAATTATCCCATCCCAAATTGATCCCATGATAGTCACTTGTATCCAACTCCACACAAATATGACCGCGTCCAGATAGCTGCTCCATTCCTGAATGTGCGTGATGAAATATGCGCAGGGCCCAATGCAATAATCTGCTGCAAGCAACGAGGGGGGGGTGTTGACGTAGTCTAAAAATGCGAGACGCAGAACGGATATCGGATCAAACAGCAACATATCTCGAAACGGATAGTTTGTTCTGAGTTAGTAGTTGAGTCCACAATTCAGAGGGATGCGCGGTTTTGGCGTCGGCTTCCCCGGTCTTATCCGCCGAAGGACCCAAGCTCTCGGCTTGACCCTGAGTGATGGGGGAGCGTGAACTGATACCAAGTCGCAAGCTGGTATCTTTGGTGGCTACATCGAACCTTGCTTCCAATTTTCCTTTGCGGGGCCAGCTGGTTGTGGTGGAAAACCGCGCAAGGAACCTGTTCTCCCCATCGGCTTTGACTTCAAGTTCAGGAATTCGCCACACGATCGAGGATGTTTTTCGTTTGAACGAGGCGCCGATATTTGGATGCATGGCAGCAGCCGTCGCGCGGGCTACTTCACGGGGCTGCTTGGTCTCTTCGTCAACGGGAGAGAGGTCTAGACTTACTGTCAAGACAACATTTTGGAGGGTGATGGATGTTAGTGGGCCAGATGAAACGAATCGCGGATTGAGAGAATAATTGATGATAACGCTGGCTTGAAACTCTTGTTCATTCCACACTGGCGAGAAAATCACCGGACAGTAAGCCGATAAGTTTGAAGGGTCAAGGTGAATCTGGTATTTAAAAGCAACCGTTGGCGCTGGGCCTCTTAGAGAAGAGAGAGCGACGTTGTATTCTCCTTTTCGGTCTTCGGTGGATTCGAGAGGTTGTGCGCCATTGACCGGGATGGTGGAGACTTCGGTGACAAATTGAGGGTTAGCTGCAACCCGTTCTAAAATCTGGAAATTATCCAGGCGGACAGTTTGGCTATCCATGGATGAACTCTCTGTCGGGTTGTATGCGAGAGCAAGTTCCCCAACAACGAAACATTTGGTAACCACTCCTCCAGAGACGTAGGCGTTAAGCTTTTCGACAATGGAGGCATTGAGTCCGGGACCAGTCAACTCTGGGTGGGAGATTGGGCCTGACAGGCTATGTAGTGTGTGAGATGAGTGGACAGATGTGACATCTGATATAGTGTGGTCATCCTGGTGTGTACCAGGAGGCGGTGGGCTTTGTTGAACCTGCGATGGTGATGCCGGGGATGACACAATCTCTGGGATAGCCTTTGAAAGGGGGTCGATATGCATTTCAGCGCCAGGAGCGGGAGGATTCGGGATAAAAATAGTATTCCGAACGTCTCGGCGGCCACGTACAGTTCCCGGGCCCCGTGAAAGACCTGAATGCTTCGCTTGCTAAACGGTGAGGTGAGCATCGCATCTCCCAAGAACAAGCAAACAACCATTATGGATTACATACCCGCCGCAAAGTACTTGCCATTTCATTCATTGCCTGCTGAGCTTCTCCCTCATCTTCTTGGATCGGTTTATCGCGGATTGTCAGATTGATCCCGGGGTCTTCGCTCCTAGAAGACAATTATTATTAGTATGTCGATTACTAGGACTTTTTATCGAACTTACTGGGCAGCTTCTTGCTGTATTCTTGATATCTCATCGATAGTATTCGGTTTGGCAGAGAATCCCTCTACATCCGTTGATATCTGTCGAGACCATGTTAGATAAAGCGGATGAAAGGAGAGCTGGTGGGCGAACAAACCTTTGGAGACGCTGGTCGATCTTCATGAGATTCCACCGCTGGCGCAGGAGTGTCTTGAGACGTGGATTCTTCGGGTATAGTATTCCCGTTGAGTACAGTGTCAATGTGAGGTTCGGGCTGGGTAACACTTCCCGTCGCAGAAGAACCTGGCCGATGTTGTGAAGATCCATCCCGGGATCGAACCGGAGCCAAGCCGTTGGGTGGTGTAGGCTGATTTTCGACCTGATGGAAGCTGCGAGAAGATTCGGTGCGACGGAAGGGCATAAATGGAGATCTAAACTTTTTCTCTGGGGATGTATACCCAGAATTTGGCTGTACAATACTTCGTCTCCGGCCCATCACTGTTCCAAGTCGTTTAAGCCCTCCCAATGGCGTGTGTCGCTGTTGAGGATTTGGCTGCTGGTCGGTGGCTAAACACATGGGAGTCGTGAGTGTCTAACCTAGCATCAAAAATTTTTTTGGGGGGAGGGGGGGAAATTACCGAAGCTGGGTCGTCGCTGGTTGGAATGGCTGGAACGCCGGCTAGCAATGTCGTCGTTGATTCTTGGAGGTGGTTGTAGGGGGTCCATCGGCGGGTTCTCAGCTTGAGTGGAAGCGGTTGTAGGAGGTTCCTGGGTTGCTAGACCTGCGGTGCGGCCGCCGCTTGCCCTGAGCGCAAAGGTCCTGATTTCCTCGGCAGTGTCCACAGTGAGCAATGAGTCAAGGCAAGTTTCGGTCGACTGGCGATTGCGCTCAACCTGATCCGCTTCGTGGGTCTGAAACTGCGTGAGGACGTCTCTCAGTTGGTTCAGACGATCCTCGTCGACGGCCTGTAATTTTTCAAAAACAAACGGCGCCCTAGATTCCCACTGAGTTCGCGCCTCCTGAACGGCAGCCATGGCCGCGGACGATTTCCCTGCCGCCTTTGGCCCTTTGTCCTTTAGCTTGTCGGCTTTCTTTTGGGCAGCCTCCAATGACCTGGCGAGGTGCGCAAGATCTTGCTGGGCGCCAGACATCGACTTAATATCCTTGTTTTTGATCGGATATTCCTTCAATGGTTTCTCGACGTCCGCCTCGATTCTCTGTGCGAGCAGTTCATGGGATTGAGCCAACGACTCGGTTGCAGATACTATACCCTGCCATGGCACCTCAAAAACCCTAAAAGCCATTAGTATCCTGACAGGACAATCGCTTCATATATCCCTACCCCAATGCGGCCCCCACCTCCGGCTGAGGACGTCGCGCGAGTCTCCGAAGCCCGAGGCAGTATGTTTCTTCGAGCCGGCGCCGTTCCTAAGTGCATCGATGAGCAACTATGAGTTGGATAAAAGGACGATGTGGCGACATGCCTGGAGCCAGTCTGCAATATCTTGATGGGTTTTGGTGATCGACCTCAGCCGCTCGCTGATGACGGCGACCGTTTGGCTTGGGTGTAAAAGGGTCTGCAAAAAGTAGCACATAAATCAGCATACACCACCTCCCACGAACGGTTGGCCCGGATAGTCCCCACCCTGGGGTCCGGAATCACATATGACTCTTTCAAACACCTACCGCAAGAGCAGGGTACTCTTGTCGTGAAAACTCCATGGTGAGATAAATGATCGCACTCCGATTCTCAGGATCTGGACATATTTACAAATCCGCGACTGGGATTACAAAGAGTGGAAAGGCAATGGCCAGCTGGGGAGGGTCTGGAGAATTGAAGACCGGTGCCAGACTTAAAGTGACTTATTGAGAATGGTTTGACTGCCGCACATCGACAGACCTGCTCAATTGGCGATGGCGATGGTGGTGATGACGATGAAAGGGAGGAGTCAACATGACACTAACGGAGCTGAACCAAGCGCGCCAAGCCTCGGGCAAACTTACGTCCCGAGCGTGAAGAGTTCGTTCGTAGTCACGTGTGGAGGAACGGCCGTCCAACTTTCTGCTTGTCTGGCTGCGGTTCCGACCGTCATCATCTCAGGAGATGGGCGACGAGCAGGGCAGAAGAAGTGAAATGGCATTGCCCCCCCATGATACACTAGATTACGTGAACAGAGACAACAGATGCACTCCCCTCTTTGGTGGAGGAACGGGCCTCACATCCCAGTAGAACTGCTCGCATTGCAGCTCCGCCCAGCAGCCCACTACCCCACAGTGGTTTCCATTGAGAGTGGTCCCGATGTTGTCAACGTCCAACTTTGATTGACAGATGATGTGTTTCTAGAATACTGGCTAAAGGAAGATAGAGCTATCACATCATGGCTTGGAAGTCAGAGCTCAGTTTCTCCGAACGGCTGGCGGTAATAACGTCTATGTAAGTAGACTCCTATAGACCCAGCGCTGAGAGAGAAAACCACCCGGTCGATATTAACAGCAGTCATGTCAAGAACCAATGCTTGTCGCCGTGCCTCGCCATCAACCGAATTTGCCATGGCTCATTCGGAGGCGACTAGAATCGAAGGGGAAGCCTACGCAAATGCTTCCTCAAAGGTTGGTGGCCCAGCCCCATGTCTTTCGCTGTGCGGGCTATGCGTCAGTGCTTGCTGCTCATTTACGTTCAGGATGAGTACCATGTCACATGCCAGAAGGCAATTGATGGATATGACAATCAAGATGTGGCCCTTGGAGACGAAGAAAGTTTGACGGAATGGTCCACCAGGGTAAAGGCAGAAATTGAGTCGAGGCGAGGTGAGAAAGTCGGGCTTTATGAGAAGGCCGTCCATGACAAAGATGGGCTGTTTTCTAGCATTTATAAAAGCACGACCAGTGAAGGTCTGCTCGTGGCCCTCAAGGTCACGACTCCTCATCTCACCGAGCCACCACATGACTCAGAGCGCGAAGCCAGACTCTTGAAGCAGGTGTCAAGCGAGACTATCATCCCGCTGCTGGAGTCCTTCCACGAGGGAGGGAGCCACTTTGTCTTGGTTTTCCCATACATGAGATACCAGCTTGATGAGCTGTTTCATGGGAATCAACTCACACCACGGCAGATTCGATCTCATCTCAGGGACCTGTTTCGTGCTTTGGCACATATTCACTCAATGGGTATCATCCATCGCGATGTCAAACCGTCAAACGTGCTCCTGCGAGGCTTGGGGGGACCTGCTTACCTGGCAGACTTTGGAATTGCATGGTCGCCTGACGACAAGTCTTCAGAGGCGCCTGATGAGAAGATAACGGACGTCGGCACCACGTGCTATCGTCCTCCTGAGATCCTGTTCGGAAATAAGACTTACGACACAAGCCTGGATATGTGGGCTGCGGGCTGTGTCGTTGCGGAGGCGATCGAGCCAGATCACCCTCAGCTATTCGATGCCGGGCCTGTGGGCAGCGAACTTGCATTAGTGCACTCAATTTTCACTACTTTGGGAACTCCTACCGCGGAGTCGTGGCCGGTATGTGATTCGTTTTGTATATGCTATTCTGGCGTAAATTTGGGAAGCGATAGGTTCTAACTGGTTTAATCGACAGTCGAGAAAGAATATGCCGGACTGGGGAAAGATTGAATTCCGGGAATACTCACCGCGAACATGGGATAAGGTTCTGGGCAAGGCGCCTTCTCTTGGTCGAGATTTGGTGGCAAATCTGGTCAAATACGAAGGCAGTGAGAGATTGACCGCGGAAAAGGTCAGTTATAATCTTATGGGCAAACTGTTTCGCAAGCCCGTGGGCCATTCCCCCTGCACCCTTCATGGACTAATGCAGCTGCTTTCTACGACTCAGGTACTTGAGGACCCTTTCCTCACTTTTTGAGAACTTCCATCAGAATGGCTGCAGACGAAAGAGCCTGTCATTACTTCGTACTGCGTGGGAAAGAGAGAAGGGGAAAAAAAAAAAAAAGAAAAGAAAAGAAAAGGGAAGTTGAAAGGGATAGGGCAGGGAGGCGGAAAGCGAAAACGAGGAGAGAGACATAATGTCACCCCCTAATAGTCTTTGTCGCGAAAATAGCAATTTAGATTACAATCTTGGTTCTACAATGCGAAACAAGTGTTGCATTTCCGCTTCGTCAGGCCGTTTTTCTTTTTGGCCATTAATCATCTTCGACAAGGCTCGGCTTCGTCGTTTCCGTGGAATATTTTCGAAAAGTATTGTAGGCATGTGGTATCATATGCATGGCTTCTGTGGTATGTATTTCGGGATGATCATTCTTGAAACCGATGGGGGTTTATTTCGTCCTGCGATGATCAAGCTGCTTGCATCGAGACTTATTTTAAGGTTTTCGATTGTGGCTTGTTGATGCAGCTGAAGAGCCACACACTTTCTATTTGCATAAGTTCCTATGTATTGCAAAAGGCGCGCTCTCTGTGTCTGTCCTGGGCCGGGGACGTCAGTGCGCACAACCTGTGAGAGCGCAAGCGAGGAACCACTCACCCCCGATATGCAGCAACATGTTTGTTCACCGTTCCAGCATCCATTCGACGTCGGCCCCTGACAGGTGCCACGGAACGGGCAGACATGGTACCTGACGCCTGTCCCGATGCGGACTAGCTGAAGCCACGCGATTGGCCCGCTGCCAGATTGAGGGGACGGCGTTTCTCCGCATCACACGCTAAGCAAGCCACGCGGTTGTTTGAAAGACAAACAGCGACAGCGCAGAGCCGGCCTCTGTTTCAGCGGGTCGCGAGCTTGCCTGTTGTTCATCCTGGTGCTGGGATGCTGCGTTGTTGTGAATCCTAGGTTCTTCCCAGCACCGTGTCATGTGAAGCCTGCCCGGTCATTCTGTGCTGTGTGTAAGTGAGTGAGTGAGAGAGAGAGTGAGAGAGAGTGTGTGATGGCCGGCTACGGGCGGAAGGCAGATCGAGGCCTATTTTTATCCATACCGCAACGGGACAGAAACAGCGCGTAACTGGGGACCGTTTGCACGGCCATTGGCCAATAGGCGGTGTGCACGCGCTGTTTTGCTTCGTACAGGAAACAAAACAGATCGGGTAATTTACGCATATGATACCACGAGGCTAATCTCCCGCCTGCGCCTTCCCTTTTCCAATCTTGCAGAGCACGCCTTCTCCTCTTTCCCTTTCTCGCTTCCCGCCCGCTTTTTGTCTTTCTCTTTCTTTCTCTCTTTTCTTTCTCTCTTCTTCTTCTCTTCTTCTTCTCTTTCTCGTCTGCATGGGCTGACCTCTGCCGTTCTTTTACCAACCCCACGACATTCATTTTCATCGCAGTCTTCAGGCCCAATCGCTCCTTGATCATGGCCTGATCACTGCCAGTCACTCCTTTCTGACAGTCAACTCACAATTCCCTCCTTTTGCAGCTTCCCCAAAACCTAATCATAATCCCTGCAAACCATCCCCCCCCGGAGTGCTTTTCGGGAGACAGATGTCGACGGATATCTGGGCCTCCAATTGCTGACAACAAAGCCCTAATAACTACTCAGACTACAAGCAAGACGGGTGCCTTCACCGTCGCCTCAAGCGCACTGGTTTGCCGTATTTCGTCTGAGATCTCGTCGCCATGCCTCACCGTCACAACCACCATGGGCGGCGACACGGGGGCGTCGAGAAACGCGGGAACATCAGGGATCAGATTCTTGATATAATAGGAGATATCGCACCCAATAAACGGGAGACCGTGTCGGTAATCTACATCACTGCAGACCCAACCTTTGACGGCCCGATCGGTGGTTATTCGACTGAAGGCAGGCCGGCGAAGACTCAGGATCATGGGGAGGTCGGGACTCCGCTGGAGCACACACGCACTGTCAGCCGCACTACAGTCAGGCCAACCCCCACAAGGAAGCCCACGCCCAAGTCGACGCCTACGACGACCGAGAACACGACCGACACCCCAAGCTCAAGGCCCAAAACAACCCCCTCGACTCTTATCACGTCGACTCCAAGCTCACCAGACGTGGTCCCGACATCCACGCTCGACAACGATGCTTCTGGGATGTCCTCCGCCACGTCCACGCCTTCGTCCACCGCCGCCCCAGCTTCGGGTGGCTTATCGTCTGGTGGAAAAGCCGGTCTCGCAATAGGGATCATTGCGCTACTTGGACTACTGGCTGGTGCAGCGCTATTGTTTGTTCGCAAGAAAAAAAAGAAGAATGAGGAGATGGAAACGATCAATACTGAGAAGCCAATGCCTCCACTCCCAAGTCCACAGGTCGTTGCGCCTTCTCCGCCACCGCAGCAGCACCAGATGACCCCCTCGGCTCCTCCCCAGTTGAATATTCGGCCCATCACCCAGTTTTCTCCAGATCTTACTTCACCTTCGCAAAGTAGCTCGACAATGGTGAACGTTGCTGGTGTTGTCGCGGCGCGCAATCTCACTGGACAGCATAACGATTCCCAGAGCACATTTTCACCCCCCAAGACAGCGGACAGCACGTCCAATCCTTTCAATGATCCGGTAAATCCGTTCGAGCCCCGATCCGGCGCTTCGTCTCCTACGTCTGCCTTGGGTTCTGGACCATCGCAACCTTTGAATGGGCATCCGTCCTCCCCAGAAACCTCTAGTGTGCGAGCACCTACCCCAGACGGCATGAGCACTGGAGCCGCCGTTGCTGTCGGCGCTGCGACTGCTATCACTGCTGGTGCCGCTGCCAATAGCCACAGTGGCAAGCCGCCAACCCTTCAACACGTCCCCGGCCCCCCCGCGGGATGGATGAAAGACATGCCTCCCCCAAGTCCAGCTATGAGCATTGATTCCGTTTCTGTCACGTCTACCACAGCTGCAGCAGTCGCCACAGGTGGCCCTGCTCCAAACAACGTTCACCGTGTGCAACTTGATTTCTCCCCTTCCATGGACGATGAACTCGAACTGCGAGCTGGACAACTCGTTCGCCTGCTTCACGAATATGACGATGGATGGGTAAGTACTCGATATCTCCAACACCGAGTAGGAAACAAAAATGCTAATTTTGTAGGCTCTCTGTATTCGCCTCGACCGCTCTCAGCAAGGTGTTGCCCCGAGAACATGTCTCTCCGCTAGGCCGGTTAAACCACGTCCTCGTAATGGTCCACCTGGTCCAGGCCCTCGTGGTCCTCCACCAATGGGCGGCTCACATGGTCGTCCAATGACTCCGGCTAGTGGGCGTAATTCTCCTGCTCCTGGGCCTCCTCCGAGCGGTCCCCCTCCGCCAGGTCCACCTCGATTTGCACCCGAGCAGGGTAGTCGACCTGCCTCTCCTAGCTCGGGATATCGCCCATATCATGCTCCAAACCAGCCGATGGCACCTGTTCGGTTCCCAGATGTCCCACGCTCGTTGTCTCCCGGTCCCGGTTCGCGGATTCCCCAGCAGCGATCGATGAGCCCCGGACCGTATGGGGCTGGGGGGATGGAAAAGCCGAATATGCCGGAAGCTCAGCGAAAACGAAGCAATAGTGCCGCTGGTGCAGTGGGGCGTATCCATGCACCGAATCCAGGACCAAGCGCTCTCAGTGCCTCCGTGCAGAACGCCAATTCGGGCGATAAACCAACAGAGAAGCCCGCCGACAATCCAGCAGACAAGTTGACAGACAAGCCAGCAGAGATTCCAGCAGATAAGCCAACAGAGAAGCCAGTAGACAAACCTGCGGAGAACCCAGAACCACAGGCAGCGGAACAAACGCCTCCAGAATCAACGCCTCAGCCCCCAGCGGAGCAAGGAGTGCGGAGGCCTCCTCCCTCATTGGGCCCTGTGGAAAGAAAACCTGTGCCTGGACAAGCACAGTAATTTGAACATACCTTTCAGTGCACATATTGGCAACCATCCCGGTCGTCCGGGCGGAATATATCACCGTAAATATTGGACGATTGTATTTAGCAATATGTTCTTGCTCCCTGGACGGGACGAGCTTCAGACGATGAGCTACGATGTGACTGGCGATACCCAAGCGAATCTATTTTCCCTTTTTTACGGCATTTTACTTTTCCTTTTCTACCTTTTTTTTTTTTTTTTTTTTTTTTTTTTTTTTGGTTTTTCTTTGCTTTCCTTCCTCTTTTCCCCCAAGAGTCTGTGACCGCGGCATAATTCTTGGATATTGGCTCGTCGGCTAGCTCTCCGCACCGGCACAATTCCTTGGAAGTAACAGGTCCTCGACTCTCCCAACACAATCAATTTGCACTCCAAAGTTGCGTCCGTTGTTGATGTTTTCGTCTTCTTGGTTTACGTGAAAACACGCGCCATTGCAACAAGACGTGGCATATTCCTGGCTGTTTACTCCGATGTAAATCGGCCATGTGATAAAAGCCCCTTTCATTTCTTCACTATCCTCATTTCGACATGAGCTTCTATCAATCCCTGGGAAACCGTGGAAAGCTGGGTTTCATATTGTTAGCTCTTCGATCAGTGTATCACCTGTCTTTTGTTACCCCATAACAATTCCTCGAGTGAAGCCAGCTGTCAAAGCAAATCCAGGTTTCGAATTTGTAAATTTATCTTTCCATTGGCTTTTGTGGCCCTTTCACAATCGCCACACTCCCACCTTTTCTGACCTCTTTGGATATTTGCGGCTGCTGCATATAATTTGAGATGGAGATAATCAAAACACCCATGTGGAGAAAAGGTGTGGAAATTTTGGGGATCCAAGAGCGTTTATTTTCCTTTTTGTATTGACATTTACATTATAAGTGCATGTATCTAAATGAATGAATCGGATAGTCAAGAGAAGTTGGATATTTACCAGCTGCTTGTCATCTTGGATTTTTGTGCATCGAAGAAGCTTGTCACTATTCATTGTGGGCATGGCTATATCAGGGTCTATTTTCTAGGTCGTGTCGAAAGGGCGTAAAGGAAACAATATTCAAAAATATTCAAAATCATAGTTTTAACGCAATAGCGAGTGGTTTCCTCGGATCCGGGTCAAAGATGTGGCACTCCAGCACTTGCAAGAGCTAGGTTGACGATGCTCACCACTCCCTCCCCAAGGATCAGCCCTGAGGCTAATATAACAATGGTCGAATGCGTGCCGTTTGCTCCTTGGTTATCGCCTTGCTCGTCCTGCAAACGACTAAGGCTGCCGTCGCCTCCACCATCATCCTCGCCGTGCAACGCGCTGGCAGCGACAGCTCGTTGTCCCTTTTGCCTCTTCTTCTGGCGCCAGCGCCACCAAAGGTCGATGAGCCCCCCGATGGCTCTTGCAAGCGTAAATGACGGGACATTATACATACCCACAGCGACAGCGATGCCGCCCGGGATCCACGCCCTCCAAGACGGAGCAGACCCACCTTTCCTCAGTCCTGCCGCGCCAAAGATTCTCACAATAGTGGTGACGGTAAAGATGACCGCCGCAATACCAGAAACCTGCCATGCCATATCGGGAAGACCCTGGCCCGTGACAAGTCGTGCGGTGAATATCCACACGTATGCGGTGGGGATCTGGAACATGTCGCCTGGGACTTCGTATACGTTTATATATAATCGGTACACGGCGACCGAGATCACGGCGCCGAAGAGGCTGCCGATCAGCTGGCCGTAGAACTGCGCTTTGGGACTCGCGCGCAGAATATGGCCTGTTTTCAGGTCTTGCATCATGTCTCCTGCCTGAAGGGCGCCGGATTCGGAAACAGCGCCGGCAAGGAGGTTAGTGACGATCGCTGAGCGACGAGTGTGGCTCGACGAAGGTGTGGCGAGCGCGAAGATGAGTTGGGTGACTTTGCTGATTCCGGAGACCGGGTTGAGGTCTGTCTCACCTAACGCACGGACACCCATGACTGAGAGGACAAGAGCGAGGAGGGTGGCAAGACTGGATAGGAAGGGTGTGATGATGCTTCCGAATGCAATGTGCATACACACAACGTTGAGGATCAAGGTTAATGGGAGGAGGATAGCAACGGTTCGCATTGAGACGAGTTCCGAAGGAGGAGCATCCTTTTCATCATAATCTTTATTGGAAATGTCGGGGGCAGGGTCTTGCTCTTCTGTGTCATGCCCATGACCAATGGGGATATAACCCTCCCTTGAGTTTGAAGATTTGCTGAAAAGGCGCTGCCAGAACCCCCTCTGACCAGTCCGGCGCCGGAGTACACGGAACACATCGGGCGCATAATGGACCACAGGTCTCAAGATTAACCAACCCAGGTTCATGACCGAATCAGCAAGCATAATCGCCAATGATACCCAAACAATCCAGCCTTTGCTACCATTCTCCCAGTTATCCACAGGTCCTGGCGCCCATCCCCTACTTTTTGCCAAGGGGGACAGGATTCCCCATCCAACAATGGCCCCAACCAGCATATGCAGCGAGGTAGCGGAACCCATAATGATACCTTGCCCAACGTATGCTGGTGATGGATTCAAGGTCCAGAGCCATTTGCTTGCGAGTGTAAACCCGAACACTGGCAGGTTCCGAAATATTGGGACGAAATACGAAAGAAGTGTCTATTTGGCAAGTCAATACCAATGGCTTCCTCAGGAGGGAAAAAAAAGGAATCATCAGCTGTGGCCAGCTGAATATAGGTGCATCCTTACATAAAATGCAGATACCCCAAAGGCCAAAATCAGTAATCTTATCTTTCCTTTCCAATCTTGCCGACGATCACGGCTACTTGGTGGCCTTGATATCTCAGAAGGGTTAGGTCCACTGGCAAGCAACCTTTCCGTTTCCTGATATTCTGCGTTAGGGCTACCCCTAGCAGTCTTTGGCTTCTCAGCTTCTTGTCCACTACCATGTAGCACTCGAATCATCAGCGCCGTGGCCGTCCCGCTCGGAAACTTCAGCTTCTCCCTCACTATAACCTCTTTCCTCAACGGCACCGCAAAAACCACACCAAAAAGACACACACCCAAACTCCAGACGACCAATTTCCAGAACCCCAACCTGAGCGGTCCGCCTTCACCTTGTCCATCATCCCCACCTCTCTCTCCATCCGGACCATCTCGAAGTAAAAACTCGAGCGCGGGAATCACGCCGACAAAGCCACAGCCGAGCGGCATAGTGCCCACGGCGCCCGCAACGGTCTGAATGAGTACGTTCTCGATGGGACTAAATGGGAATGAAAGGCATGGGGCGATAGCCTTAAAGACCGCGAAGCCGATAAGGGACGAAGGCATAGCCATGCTGCTTATCCAGCCAGTCTGGAGACCGAAATAAGTATTCGAGAAGGTGATGAGGGTTCCGATACCGAGACCGACGAGGAGGGAGCGCGGCGTGAAGCTTTGCGCCGACGTTTTACGAGAGCAGGACAGGCCGGGCGTATCACTGTCGTGGCCATCATGATCATGGGTTTCTTGACCGGCTAGATAAGCGCTCCTTGAGGGTTCTGGTGCCGGTTGAGAGAAGCCCGCTGTGCTGGCAGCATGCTGCACATCGGGGCTCTGATCCGATAATGCTTGATTCGAAGCCATCGTCCGTCGTTGTTTTGGGGGGGGGAATGACTTGGCCTCCCCTCTCAGCGCATCGGACCGAAATGACCTGACCAGGTTATGAGGAAGAGTACCATCGTCCACCCGCCGATACGCACGCCAACGGAGCTGAAAGGCGCCATTTCCGGCTGCTTTGGCAATCGGCGAAATCGATCAATGACTAATCGACGCATCAAGCATCGGAAGGCGCGTTCAACCGGCTAAATCACATGACACTTTCTGACGTCATCGGTGTTTTTTTGACTAACCAAATCTGGCACTCCGATCCGGCTTACCTAATTTTATAGAACTGATCTGTCCAAAAAAGCGGCGGGCTTCTCAATTGATTGAACTCTGGCCATGAATCGGCGAATCGCCAAGTTGCAAACAGATACCAAGGGCGAGAACGTAGAGCAGTGAGGGGTGGACCCCCTATACATACATGTATGCCACCAGACCGAGGCAGGGCGCTAAACCGGAACAGGGAGTTGATTAAGGGACCCAGGACTACGGGAGTGCATAGGGAGATTTCAATGATAGGAAGTGATATAGTTACAAGGTCAACTCGCAAGCGGATAACCGTAAAACTCCATCCGTCTAAACACCGACGACATGATGCAGCCATCCAAAAATAACAAAAGAAAGCGCCAGAAGCGATCCCACCTAAAATCCAAAACTATCAAGCAAAGAACTCGCGTCTGGTTCTTCGAACGTGGTAGGCCGAGGGTGTGCGCCATAGATACCGGCAGGAGCCTGCTGATCAGCAGCGTTCACCACCGCCTTTCTCATCTCATCCGACACGCTCAGAGACAACGGCATGTCCGCGACCACCAAACTGCTTCGTCGCCGAAGCAGCTTACTAGGATCAGGAATGTTCTCCGCCAGGCCCATCGATAAGCGTGATGGAAGCTTTTCGACTGGAGGTGGTGTCAAAAACTCCCAGTCGCGGACAAGGTTCAAGGCCAGTATATCGCAACCCATTCTGTCATATAGACGAGCATTGCGGAGAACAAATTCCCATTCGTCTCGAGCTGCGACCCTGGAAGCTCCCTTAAGGGTTTGGAGGGTCTTTTCACGGAGCTGTTTGTAGAGGACGACGAGAGCCGGGTCGTTGGATAAATAGGACTTTGCGTGTAATGTGACTCCGGTGGAGCTACCAGGAGAGGCAGGTGTGGGAGGTAGAAGTGCTTCAACAGGTGACTAGACAACGTTAGTTGCTGGCCACATTCTAAAGTATCTTGGGGTGATACAGCTCTAAACTTACAATTAACGCCTGTACCGCCATGTCTCGTCTATTTAGCATCCAGAAGGCCCATGTTGCCATCCATCGATTGCCTTGGGTTGCAGCGTCCACGAGGACTTTCTCTTCAAGAATCTCCTTAAGCACTGGGCCAGAATCGCCTTCATATGCACGCGCAATAGTAATTGCAAGTTGGACATCCTTAAGCTGATTTATGCACACGTATACAGTATCTCGTAGATGATCTGCAAGTAGGAAAAAAGCGGCTGCGTACTCTGCATAACAATCAGCAACGCAATATCCACAATACTAAGCACGAGGTACAAACCGAATCTTCGCTTTCCGAGTAGCGCATAAGCATTCTTTAAAGCCGCCGACTGCCAGCGCGGGTCTTTGAAGTTATTTGACAACAGCTTATATGTAGCCGCTTGCTCGCTGTGCCAGCTTGCCATGCGCCAGAGTCCTTGCAGAACATTTTTCTTTCTCAGCGCCAGATAAAACAGACTGCAGTCAATGGGATTCTTCTCGTCTGTCTTTCTGTATTCATTACGTGCAACAACCTCGAGTTGCGCTCGCTTGATAAAATTAGTAAACCCGATTCAAACTCTAGGGCACTTCGCCAGAACTTGCATACGTACCAATGCATTGATGTCAGTAATCCACATGAAAAGACCGCTTTCTCTGGCATTTTCCCAGAGCATCCTCCCATGGAACTGCCTAGACACCAAATCGGTAAGGATTTCATGGCTATCACTATGAAATGCCCAGACGATTTCTCGCCAGGAAATAGTCGAAAGCTCTGGCAGGTGCTGGCTTCTTCGGAGCATATGCTGTCGGAAGAAGACAAAATATCGTGCTGCATTATCGTCCATTGAACGACGGTGTTTCTCAACAGTGGCCACGCATTCCACAATATTTACCAGACGGAACTGCTCCGTACTTGAGAGCTGGGGAAGGGCAATTCGGGCCAGGTATTCATTCATTGAAGTGGCAGCCGTTTCGTCCAATACATGAGAGTCGTCTTCAAACGAGTAGTCCGTACTAGAAGAGCGCATGTCCTTCCAGGTTATCTGGTACAAGGTCTATGTCAAATGTCAGCTCGAAATAAGAAAAGAAAAAGTAAAGTATGCCGGGGAACGAGTTAGAGTGTCCATACATCTGAATCCTTGTAAATGCGATCAAGTGGTATATCCAAAAAGTTGTCAATATCATCTCCTTCGGTAAAAAATTTCAACTTTCGATGAAGACTGGTGAGTATTAAATGTACCAGGGTAGCCTTCCCGCAAAGAATGCACTGGGCGAGGAACTGCGGGTGGAATACAGGCAGTGGGCCATTCAGCCTGCTGACAACATGGAACAAATCGACGTAGGCAGATTTATGAGGCCGAATTCGAAGCCCAGTGACCATTGAATGACTTGCTTCGATGAACTTGTCAAATACAAATAATTGATTTCCGGCCCCAACGACAAGATTTCCATTGCCCAACCAACAAGAATCTCCGATCGGATGTGGTGTAAGATCTTGGATTCGGATCTCTCTAATCTGGGCCCAAGAAGGACCTGCATCAAGATAATCATACCGCAATTGCGAAAGAAGTACCACTTTTCGCGGGAACCCGACAGCAAGTATAAACTGCACATCTGGAGTAGATGTCCAGTCTAGGTCTCGGATAATATCTTGCTGCGAAAAGTGCTCTTCGAATTCCAACTGTGCACCGTTTGTATCCCAGATACTTAGATGTGTCCGATCTTGGTCGACAAGTACAGCCTTACGCATTGACGTCGCACTTGCGAGTGAAGGATTGACGATCCCTGTTTCAACAGTGGATGTTAATAGCCAGTCAATTTTCTGATTTTGTTTGTCGACTTTGGCCGTCCACGTCCTGACTGTTCCGCCGTGAGTGTATGAAAGAGCGATATCGGTAGCAAAGAGATCTAGAAACCCAGATATTTTCACTCGACTGCCTGCAGGGTCAACGGGAATGATGTACGAAACATCTTCTTCCACTCCGAGATTGAAGGTGCAGAATTGTCGTAAGTATCTGCGGTTTCCATTGACTCCATCGGTCCCATTAACATAACCGTCATCGGGAGGAAGATCGATTTCCCAGGCAATTCCGGCCATATCAACCCCGATTGCCGCTATATACACCGTCGAGGATTTGGCATCTGTTGTGGGTATCAGCAAAACGCATAACGGCTTGCTACTTAGTTGAAAATCGCATTTCTCAAGCATTGTTCCGTGGAATGGACGGACATCCCAGAACGAGACGGCATTATGATGTAGATTCACGAGAAATTTTCCATCATCTAATAGCAGAGTTCGGTGGATGTGCAGGTCAGACAGAAGAGAACTCTGCTGGACGAGAACGGGACCGGCGCTGGCAGATCGTTGGCGCCAAATCGTTGCCTTATTATCGTCCGTACGAGATATTAACATCTTTCCAACCGGTGTGCGGACAATTTTCTTTATCGCGCCTCCATGACCCGACCAGATAGCTCTTGAAATCAACCTCCGCTTTCTTGGAGTTGGGTCAAAGAGTATATGTATTTTGGAATCCAACCACTCGATCCGCCCATCGAAATAATGAGCAAGAATTGTAAAGGAGTCGTCAAATACCCCGCCGGAAAACGGATAGAATTGAGCATAGTCTTCATGAGGAAGAGCTTCTGAGGGGAGAGACAAATGCAAGCCTTCTACATGAGCAATATTGAAAATGTTCGCGGACGATCGGACCTTAGAGCCAACATTCTCAAGCCCCCAGGCGCACATATGACCTTTACCGTCCAATACAACACAAATCTCGGGGTTCTTTGATGCAACTTCGAGGAGGTGTTCGAGGGCTTGATGATTCTTATCGTGCAGGTTTTCACACTGCACGACACGCTCCATAGCTAAAGCAAAGTCCCGGCTATCGATAATGAATCCATATCGCCTCGTAGCCTGTTCTGTCTGGACGAGATGCCTCGGCTGAATCGACGCGGCCATGTCAATTTCATTCCAGAGTTGAAGGACCGAAGGACCGTGGCGTTCCATGGGAGCCCATATCCGTATTTTATTGTCCGCACAGATTGTGTAGAGTACATTTTCCATAGACTGTTCTCGGTGATGCGGTCGCCTCCAATGCATTCCGGTCACGGTCGTAGGATGGTGAAGGTAAGATACGTCAAAGCGAACATCGTCAGCTGCGAAGGAGAGCCGTCTCCATATCTTCACTAGTCTATCGTACCAGCCAGTGGATGCTATTAGCGCTGCATCATGGGAGAATAGTGATAATTTGACTGGGCTTCCAAGCTCGGTTGTCCAAATGGTGCGCGGCGAATCCGTAAGTAGCCATAACTTGAGTCGGCCGCTGCCCACAAGGAGCTCATCGGAGGAACCCCACGACAGGGTTTTCACAGGGTCTTCGTCACGGTCAGAGGCTCGAAAGCTGCACGCTAAGCTCCACTGTATAATGTATTAGACATTGCTTTCCATGGGATTCCGAGGAAAAGACGCTTCCGAACCTTTGGCCTATCTGCTCCAACTCTATATGGCTCGTATATGAATACATTTTGCCAACTGCACACTGCAATCTTCCCGGAAGACTCTTCAACTACCACAGCCTCAAGGGAATCGGCATCATCCAAGTAGATTGTCTGTAGGATCCGGTGAGGGCCTTCGAGGATCACGAGCGCGCAGCCCGAAACATAAGCCTAGGCGGAAGCGCAAAATCAGTAAAAAGGCATCAATACAAAGGGGAGCTAGCTCGAAGGGCATGAGCTTGACTAGCTTACAACAATGCGACTGCCATCCCACAGCGCGGTGCTGAGAGCTTGGAGCTTCGCTGGAGGTCGCCCCGGTAGTACGGTCCGCATAGGCACGCTTCCGAGACGCCAGGATGGAATGCCGGCGTCAGATCATTGCCGTACCCGGATCAATTAGTGTGGATTTATAGATTGGGACGCTGGGATGTAACTGGAAGCTTCGAGAATGTAGGAGTGTCGTGGTTGTTGCAATCGCATCGCAGTGCCTTGTATGCAGACGCTCACAAACTATTATTGAAACGTTGCGGGTTTCTTGCCGATGACGTCCATGGGCCCCGAGAGGCGACGCGTGACAAAGAAATGGTACTGCTCCACACGCCAACACGCCGCCTATTACAATGAATATCGCACTGGCGATGCATTCTACTAATTGATTGACGCGAGGTTTGGCACTTGGCTTGAGCCCTTGTGACCTTTCACGTCGGTATCTCGCTGTTCCGTCTCCTAAATCTCTATGAATACATCGATTTTTCGTTTAACGCCTGTCTCGGGATCCAACCAGACATCGAGATAAATCCCAGTACTATCGCAATAAATATGCTACTCCCAAACACCAGACGTACAAATCTCATCAGTTCATCCAGCCCAAGAAAGGATCCAATGAAAGAGAAATAACCCCATGGTCAGTCATTCGAACCCAATCCGCCAACAACCTAAAATACCAAATCAGGATAATAAAACGCTCAACGAAGAATACAGCAGGAGAAGTAATAATCACAAGAAAGAAAATCATTTTTGATGATCAGCTCGGTTTGCGGCTGTTCGTTGATCTGCCTTCAGTGGGCGACTCTGGCTCTGAACTCTTCATCGATTGCAAAACGCACGCTCGTTGCCAGTGGGCTCCGTGCGTAGAGGATCTTCCGTCCAGGAAGCGAACGTGGAGCTTCCCTTGCTGCCATCAATCTGACAGCGAACGGAGTTATCGCAGGTGTCGCCGGCGTAGTTGATATCTCATACAAAGACCGTGCTCGCGCGGCTCGTTTCGATGGGCTAGCCAGGTACCCTGGTGTCGCCGGTGTGTGTGATGTGAGATCAGCTTCTGGACCCAGATCACTTATTCGAAGCGTTGACTCAGGGTTGTGCCAATCATCCGCTCCATCATAGAATTGAGAGCCGTAATGGGGGGCGGGAGTGGTGACATGTCGTGTGGCATTTTGCCTGATTGTACCCAGACCCCTTGCTCTCTGGCTCCAATGGTACAACATATTCCGGAGGTGTTTTCGCAGAATGCGATCGTTTGCTGCGTCAGCCTTTTCATAATCTGTCCTGATCTGGAATACTCGCAGGCTAAGCTTTTTGAGATGCGCAAGCGCTACGGACGAGACATGTATCTCCAAAAATCGAGCGGCCTTTTCTTCTTGAGCCTGGTATGATCGACAAGATCCAACCCAGTGACTTAAGTGGTTGTATGTCAGCTGGCGATTATAGAACACATCTGCGTCGGATATCTGTTTTAGGCGGCTCATTGTCTCTGAATGCCATCGATCGAAATGATCAGCTGCCTTCTTGGAGAGCTTTTGTTGGTAGACCTCCGTTGCTCGCGAGTCCAAATCCGCAGCAGCACTAAGACGTGATCGCCAAGTAGCGAGCGCCTCTGAGACCAAATTAATTTTCACCCTTCGTCTGATTGCTGCGTACGCGTCTTGTTTCCTCTTCTTAGACGCCTGCTGTGCGATTGCCCGCCATCGCTTGAGGGATGTTGTCGTCAAAAAGAAATAGCGGGCGTTCTTGGCCCAAGTTTCCAATTTGACAAGATGATCCCGACGGCTATTCCAGTGGATTAAGGCCTCATGCTCCACACGAGGCGCATAAAAAGCCAACGCAATACGCTCTCGCTGTCTTTGTAGGGCAAGTTTCTCCCGCCAATGGTGAAATATGGTCCGGGAAAGATCCCTCTTTCGATGATCGCGCAATTCGCCTTCTCGTCGTAAAAGTTCCGTATACAAAACACTAGAATTATCCATTAATTTCGTTAACATCGTACTTTTCAGTCGCCGCTCCCTAACCCGAGACATAAACCGAAGTCGTTCCATCAGAACCCATTTATAAAGCGCTTGGATCATTATACGCGCATCAATACGCATGGATAGGGCGCGACAGCGCAATTTATCGTTCCAGATCGTCCAAGCATTGTACATGACTCTTTGGCGGTCCGAATCTCGTGCGAGCCGCTCCATATAGGCTTTGTAGGCCCATATATCAAATGAAAAACGCACAATTCTCGTATTTATCATCTTGGTCACCCGAGCGGTGGCTGCTCCAAGGTTGTGCTGGATACGCCATTCGATGAAACTGTCTCTCACGAGGCGATCCAGACGCCAATTGTCCGCACTTTGCTGAGCTGCGGCAACGGAACGAGCCTTCAGTGACCATTTTTGTAAAGCTGAATGAAGCAGCTCGTGCTTGCGTTTGAAGTCTATCTCGTTGTCGCGTTCTCTATGGGTTCTGAACGCCCGAAGCCAAGATATTAGTGATCGCTTTTTTAAGCGCTGCTCGGCCCGTTGTGGTGCCCGCCGGTAACAAAACGACCAAAACCAGCGCCAATACGTCCGCTTAATCAAGCTTGCATGGTAAAATTGATCGGCAATAGCTTCGTTCTTTTGGATTTGCTCAAGCCTTGAGCTCCAGGAGACAAACGGCCTTTTCACAGTCAGGCGCTGAATCTTAAGCTCATTCACCGCAGTCACTTCCTTCCAGGCATTGAAGTATTTAATACCAAGGATATGTCGACGTGCAGCGTTAGTTTTCTCGATCTCATCGGAAGTAACCTTTGCCCAATGAGTAAATGCTTTGGTCAATAAGTATAGATCTCGGGCCCGCACAGCACGCGCTTCTAGGTGTTTAAAAAAGCGCTCTGTGTTAGCTTCTCGACGTTTCTGCTCTAAACCCGACCGCCATTCATCGAAGGCTTGACGAAGGAGGGTTCCCCGATCTCGATTTACAGCAACCTGAAGCATTGCTTCAACAAACTGCTGTCTTTGCCTTGTTTGCTCTAGCCATTGTATGAGCAGATGTCGCGCGATTTTTCTTTCACGGTACCAATTGAACACAGATGCATCCTGAAGCAAACTGGTGAGCGAAGGATGATAAAACAACTCCGAAGGTAGTGGAGCTTTTGGGATATGATGGTCGGAGATATCGGACTCAACCGCAAACTCCTCGTCATAATCCGGCACTCGTTGCTGATGATGTGCGAGTTGTTCGTACTCATTAAAGCGATGTCCGGCATCCCCTGGCAGATATTGTTCACGATGCGCGTTGTGAGATCCGTTGACCCTGGGTAGTTCGGAATTTGGATAAAATGAATTTATGTCTTCAGCTCCACTTAGCGATACCCTTCTTCTGCGTGGGTGTGCAGCAACGCCGCCAGTTTCTAGATCCAACCTCGACACCGATGAACGAGATGGTGGTCTAGGGATGCTGTGGTGAGTTGTTTCCGTCGGGGCATCGTACATCGAATTGAAAGAGGCTCTCCTCTGCCTTCTCTTGTGGACATTTGTGCCATTTGGCAGCTGCTGTGGTTCGTACGGTTCAAAATCGGCCTCCGTCTTGCTCTCAGGCTCGATGTATGATAGTCCGTTTCCATGAATCGTCGGATCAGTAGAAATTTGGATCCCCATGTGAAGTAGAAGCGATTCGAATCGTGCGTACAGGCTCTCGCCGCGCAAGTGTTTGCCCAGCAGGAAGAGGAACCGGAGGCATATCTGATCGAGCTCCGGTTCAATCCCATTTTCCGATAGTACCGCATGGTATTCGCGGAAGAGGGCTCGAAACGTATGTGTGTCCACGCCGGGGTGCCGCTCGGCTCGCGTGACAATTTGGTAGAGGAGATGGACATCTACAATATAGCTATCAATATCGGCGCGATTTAAACAAGATAGATTTCGCAAACAGGCTGACCTTGGTCGCTGAGAGCCAGTTGCTCAGCTGGTGTAATTTGGTGGTTTACGGGAAGTGGAGGCATCGAAATCTCCGCGACATGAGGCGCGTTGTCTGCAGATTGCGACAGGAAGTCATTGCGAGAGGGAAAGGGATAGAGGAGGACGGAGATAATGAAGGGAGACCGTCATTCCCTGACGAGGGTCAAAGATAATAATCCACTAACATGAAATAATTTCTCTTTTCTACAATGCCTTCGTGGATAGATAGCCTGCCCGGCGCCCGGTTCTCTGGGAAGTTTTCGTTATGTACAATGTTTTGGTGTTGCGTTGCAGTTCTTGTCTCCCCAGCACCAACCAACCGGCTGGACAGCAATCGTCTGATTATATAATCAATTGGGTGTCGCGGCGTCGCCGATCGCAAGTAGCAGAGCGAAGGGCCATACCTAGTTGTAGAAGCCAAAGTTGAGAAATCCCCGAGCGGAGTGACCGGCAGCATGCCTCCAAGAACGAGGCCGATTGAAAAGTTCGCCCAGGCCGCAGCGCAGTGCTCAACTGAGGTACGCGACTCCCCAGATCTCTCCCTTGTCTCTGAGGTCCAGCGAATTAATTTTGACCCGAAGGCCACTGTGTATGGGAAATGCGTTCTCGCCGACTATAACTCGATCACAAAAGATATGTGCAAGAAAGAGTTTATAAAGCTAAAGGACTGTTACTTGGTAGCGATAACCTCCCGTGGCTCGACTGGAGAAACCACTAACATCCTTGACACAGGCTGCGATGAAAAAGCTAAAGTAAAAAAAAATCCTCCGTCGGCTGAAAGTATATCGGATTGTTGGGTCTTTGGCATTTTCTAGAGATGAGAATAGGCAAAATGGTGGCTAGGTGGTTTAACGGCGAAATATGGGCGAGACATTTCATTCATATCTAAAACATAACCATAAGACATAGGTTCTCTACAGATTCAATAGTCTAAGCAAAAAGGTTGCTTTTTGGACTTCCTGCACTTCTTCCAGGATGATTCCCTCTTCTGGAGCATCAGGGACTTGGCCTTCGACTTCGGTCACGACATGCTTGTCCACTGGTCTTCGGAGTGCCTTCTCGATGTTGCTTGCCTGCGTCTCGAAGACTTCATTAATTCCAATGTTTTCGGGGTCGGAAAGAACGCGATATTCCATTTTAACATCGTCTGTGGGCACGAGCCCGGCCTTCTTTCGCAGTCTCTGGATGCGGTTAACGATCTCTCTGGTGAGACCCTCATGAGCAAGTTCAGGGTATAAAGCCGCATCTAAGATGATGAGAACATCGTCGTCTGTGTTGGTTTCGAAGTTTGCGGAGGTACCATCCTCCTTTAAGCCTCGTTTAACTACTAAATCCCCTTGAACGAGCTCGATTCCATCCACTAGCATCTTTCCGTTAAGGACGAAATTCTTTACATCGTCGCTTGAAAGGGATGGCAGTGCCTTCTTTACTTTTTGTACATCTTTCTTCAGCTTTTTCCCAAGGACCGGCCAATCAGCCGAGGCACTGTACTGAACATTGTATCTCGCTTCATCGGACGATAGGACAAGGTCGCGGACATTAAGCTCTTCCACAATGTACTGCTCAAGGGAGCGAACATCGTCGAGGTATTGTTGATCCTGATGAACAACTACAAGAGTTTTCAAAGGTGTCTTCAGCCCAATCGATCGACGTTCGCGGGAAACGCGAGCAAGTTCAATCACCCGTTGCATGCGAGAGACCTGCCTCTCTACAACTTCGTCAAAAAGCTCCTCTCTGACTTCTGGGAAGGGCAGGAAGTGAACAGAGCGGTTATCGACTCCTTGAAGCGACTTGGGGATATGAGGGAGCAGGCGAAGGTAGATAGTGTCAGTGATGAATGGAGTGAAGGGTGCGAGGCCGCGGACCAAAGTGTACAAAACCTCAAACAGAGTGTTCAGCGCATGTTTGGTATCTTCTAGTCCAAGTTCACCCTTTAGTCGTTTCCGGTTAAACCTAATATACCAATTCGTCGTGTTGTCAATCAGTTCTAGGAGTCGCGGGACAACAGTGTAAAGACGATAGCCGGCCATCTCCTCGTTGACAAACTTGAGAAGACTCTGGCAGCTTGCTAGAATCCACCGGTCCATAACGTTGGTATTGGTTGCTTCCATAGTCGGGTCGAAGACGTAATCGAGATTTTCGACCTTTTTTAGGAGGACAACTTGGCCGTCAAAGAACTTGTAACTGTTCCAGAGCGGAAGGAGAACCTTGGCGACTACTTCTTTAACGCCTGATTCTTTGAATCTCAAAGGCTCAGCGCGAACCACCGGAGAATTGATGAGATACAGTCGAAGAGCGTCAGACCCATAGCGTTCCATGATCAAGGTAGGATCGGGATAATTTTTCAATCTCTTGGACATTTTCTTCCCATCCTCTGCAAGTACAATCCCGTTGACAACACAGTTCTTGAATGGAAGCTTTCCAAAAAGATGCATACCCAAGACAGTGAGGGTATAGAACCAACCACGTGTTTGATCGAGACCCTCAGCAATGAAGTCACCCGGGAAAGAGTTCTGAAACTCCTCTTTATTCTCGAAAGGATAGTGCTTCGATGCATAAGGCATGCTGCCAGACTCAAACCAGCAGTCGAAAATTTCTTCAACGCGGCGCAGGACACCTTTTCCTTTTCGACTTGGGATAGTAATGTGATCGATGTTGTCACGGTGAAGATCCGTCAATTCTCCAGTGTAACCGCTGAGCTCCTTTAATTCTTCCACACTACCAACAGCCACAATTTCCTCGTAATCTTCACTGACCCAGAGGGGGATCGGTGTTCCCCAATACCGGTTTCTTGAAATATTCCAATCTCTGGCATTAGCGATCCAGCTAGCAAAGCGTCTATCTTTCACAAAAGATGGTACCCAGTACGATCCTTCTATGCCTTTGAGCATATCTGGGATGATGGGTTCAATTTTAACGAACCACGCTGGAACGGCTTTATAGATCAACGGGGTATCGGATCGCCAGCAAAATGGATAGCTGTGAGTAATCTGGCTCTCCACCACCAGGCGACCAGCCTCCTTCAAGTGTTTAATGATTCCCTTGTCCGCTGCCTTGACATGCAGTCCCGCGAAATCCGGAACTTCCGATGTAAAACATCCGCGGTTATCGACTGGATTTGGTGGTAGCCTGTGGTCATTGATAATCCCTGCTTTCAAGGCAACATTGTAGTCGTCCTCACCAAAGGCAGGTGCTTGATGGACGACACCAACACCACTATCGGCTGTGACGTATGTCGCCATTAACACGCGGAATGCAACGTCCTTAAACTCCTCGTAGAAATAGTTAAACGGCGGCGTATACTTCCATCCCTCCATTGTGGAGCCCTTGAACCTATCGATAATCTTAAACTTCGCCTTCTTGGGGTTTTTATAGAGGGTACCCAGAAGTGCCTCCAGCAAGATGTAGTCCTTTCCTGACTGTTCATCGTGAATCTTAACATATTCAAAGTCGGGGTGGGCTGCAAGCCCAAGATGCGATGGAAGTGTCCACGGCGTGGTTGTCCAAGCAAGTAAGTTGGTCTGTGGGTCATCGACGAGTGGGAAAGAGACAACGATGGCCGGGTCTTGGACATCTTGATAATTCTGCGAGGCTTCGAAATTACTCAGGGGCGTATTTAAAGCAGTAGAATATGGCATGACTCTATATCCGCGATACACTACTCCTTTATCATAAAGCTGCTTGAAAACCCACCACAAAGACTCCATGTACGTGGGGTTCATTGTCTTATGCGCATTAGTCCTGAGGCTTGCGATCGGAAAATGCGACTTTGAAAAACTCACCTTATAATCGTTATCAAAATCGATCCAACGACCAAGTCTATCCACAGTCTGTCTCCATTCTGAAGCGAATCTCATAACAATTGCCTTGCATTTAGCGTTATATTCCGCGAGACCGAGCTTCTCAACCGCTTCGGATCCAGACATTCCCAAAGATTTGTCAATCTCATATTCGATCGGTACACCGTGTGTATCCCAGCCAAATCTCCTCTCGACATAGTGACCTTTCATAGACCAATATCTAGGAATGATATCTTTGATCGTAGACGCCAGAAGGTGGCCGTAGTGGGGTAAACCTGTCGCGAAAGGAGGTCCATCGAAGAATGTGTACGGTTTTCTGCCGCGAGACAGCTCAACTTGTCGCTCAAAAGCCCCAATTTCTTTCCAGCGTTTGAGGACTGCCTCCTCTTCTCTCGGGAAATCGATAGACATGGTCGTGAACTCCCTGAAGAACCTCTATCTGGTGTGCTGTGTTCGGAGTCTCAAATCGAGGGGCTGAAAATACCGACTGGCGGGGATGACTCAAAAGTCTTTCGCGACATCGTTTTTCCGAGTTGACCTCCGCATTTCGGGCAACCACCCTCCCTTGTGCGAAATCTCCCCGTCTGATTGTCCATTAACTACAACAGCATGGCAGTAGTATCTCAGTTTTGTCAACGCGACTTGGAGGATAGTGCTGGGTGAATTTCTGAAAGGAACATGGGCCGGCTCTATCCTGCCTAACCAAACGAACGTGCCCGGAATCGTCGATTGACTACAATACTTGAGGTGAGACTACAGCGAACACTTTACGGAGTAGATAAAACGGATTACTGCAAAGCCTGCTCAAAACAGCGGGTATCGCGGATTGAATAAAGTAAGGGTATTTGGTTATTGTAGAGCCTTCCGAACGGGAACACACAATCCTGTCTTATCCCAGCTAAGATTCCCCATCGTTGTCATCGTCTTCATCGTCATCGTCATCGTCTCCGTCGTCTTCGTCGTCTTCCACGTCGGAAACTTCTTGACCCAGGGCTTTAAGGCGTTTCTGAATCAAAGTTAACATTATGAAGCATTATAAAGTACCGATTTGCAACCTTACCTTGTCTTCATTCCTCTTTGCCTCCAAATCTGCAAACACAATTAACAAATCCTCAAGTTCGCTTTGGGCGGTGCTTCGGGCGTTTTCACTCTCATCAAAATCGGCCTTGAACCTTTTCAAGTCATCTCTGGCTTTTTCTAGGTCGGCTTCAAGTTTATTGGCACGTTCGCGATCGTCTTCTTCCCGTTCCTCTGCTCGCTTACAGCGACCTTCCAACGAGGATAGTTTCGAGGAATATTCTTCGTGCGCAGTCTGTAGATCCTGGATGTGGTCCTTGTTCGCCTTTTCAAGGTTCGTTTCAAGGGTCCGGATGGTCTCTTTAAGGTCTGCAATCTCTGCATCATTCCGTTCCCGAACTTTTGTTGCTCGTGTCTCATATTCGGCTGATATCTCCTTCAGTCGGGATTCCATAGCACGTAGCTCCTCGCCATGCCGCTTAATCAACTCCATTTTAGTTCGCTCATGATTTTCTTCAAGCTTATGCAGCTCCTCCGTGTGAGTCTTCTGGAGGATATTATTTTCATGTCTAACCCGGTTAAGTTCGACATCGTAAGACTCTTTCGTCTTTCGATGGTCAAGATGTTCTTGTTCCAGTTTTCTTTGAAGAGATACGATATCTGTCTCCATTGTTTGGATCGTCTTGGTTTTATCTTCAACTTGGGCTCGGAGAGAATCCACAAGCTCACGGGATATGCCTTTTTGGATACCATTTGCTATTACTGGGACTTCAAATCCCGGCTCACGATCGATTGCTCGAATGAGGCGGCTGAAATTGTCCTTTAGAAAGTCTATAAAGACTTTATCAAAGAAGATCTTTGGGAAGCCACCATCGTAATGACCTTGCGATGACTGGGGCAATACTTCGAAGTCGCGAACCAACGGGTTCTCCCGAAGCTTGGTAATCTTGTCAATATATACCTCTCTCCCGAGCCGACCTATAAGTAGCTGGTGCAGAGTAGTTCTGGGGATAGGGGAATCTTTGGACGAGAATTCATATATTATTCCAAGCAAAACAGCGCAGAGTCCCGGAAGTAGTGTTTTCGACGAAACGCAGTGCTTGGTCTCTTGAATAAGGCTCTGAATACTACTCCCCTCACCAAGAAAATCATTGACGACATCTGGGTCTTCAAAGAGCCAACCGCAGAGAAGCATCAAATAGCCGACAGATATCCTTTTGTCATCGGTTCGTTGCATCCCTGTGAGTAGATTGCCTGTTATGGCCTGCACACAGGTAATTACTTCTTCTCCTTTCGACTCGTCGCCTTCTGAGACCTTCATTGCCAGGCTTTTTGTTTCTGGGTCGTCATGTATTAAATGAAAAAGTAAAACAGACGCCAGCCAAATTTGATAGGGATCAGCATTTCCCCTGTGCTCCGGTGGGTTCACAAGAATGGTGAGTATGTTGGGGATTTGATCTTCGCCACTTGTATGCCCATCTATTGCCCTACGTAGGAAATGCGATCTGATGCCTGGATGGTTTTCGGTAAATGCTCGAAGGCACTCACAAGCTGCGAGTCGAGCATCCAATAATTCAGCAGGGGCTTGCAAAAGTGTTAGCCTAAGAAGAGCTTCAATGACATTAAGCTGATGCTCTTCAGGGGTCCCGTTCGGAGTTTCTTTTTCCGGATGATGTACAACTACGACAACATCTAGGTCGGCGAATTTTTCTTGCAATTCAGAGTTGGCGCTGATTAAACCAGCGCACGTTGCTAGTGCCTATTGGGCGTCAGTGGAACTCATGATCATTGGAAGCGAAACGCCGACCTTAGCCTTGATAGGCACATTGAAATCTTCGCTAAATGCAATGCGGAGGATATGTTGCATAATGCCATGTTGCCAAAATGCCGTCTGGTTGGTAGGTGTACTCATTCCACCCCTCACAAGGAAAAGCTGAACAATGGCTAAAGCCCCCCACACATTTTTATCCCGTTGCTCCAAGGTCCACTCCGGTACATCTTCACCTGACTTTTGTTCTTCGACAGCACCAGCTAAAAGCGACACCAACCTTTTGATGCATCCAGTCTCGCGAAAATAAGATTGATTCGAGAGATTAAGGCCCAGCAGGTTTCCTAGAAGAGAAAGGCAGTCCTCGACAACGGCCGTACCGTGGGTCAGCGAGCCATCGCTTTCGATAAGCGAAAATATTCGGTCAAAGGCATTTTCAAAAGCGACTACTTTTTGTAGTTCGGCAGAAGACGGGGTCAACGCTATTAGGAGGAGTAACGCTTCTGTAGATGATGATGCCCGTATTAGTCACATAATTGCAGTATGATCGCTCGGCTAGACACACCGTTGCGTATAGGCTCCCGTGCATCTTCGAGGACGCTGACAAGTCTTGATATACCCAGTGGAGCTGTGAAGATACATTCTTGGGTACGCTCCGGCCGGGCAGCAGAGATCTGGGAAATTAACTGAAGAGAGTAAAGCCTAGAGTAAAAGTCTCTAGAGTCTAAGAGATCAAGAAGTACGGTTATATTGTCTTGTCGCTGTCTCGTATTAGAACTGTTATCCTTGGATGTATGCGGAGCGACGAAACGTACCTGCGTGAATTCGTCGGCGAGCCACAATGCGAGCTCGTCGGATGCCTCCGGCTAAATAAATGACAATTATTAGCATTCCCACTCGGACTGTGGCACAAATTACAGTCGGGCACGAACACTACTCTCTTCCGGAGCAAACAGCATCAACAAGGTCTCAAGGACCACCTTTGTGGTATCAACGTCTTCTGCATCGTTTCGAAGAGAGGTGATGAGGGCTCTTAGGGCGCCAGAGGCCACTGACGCAGGATATTCTTTGGCAAAACTTCGTAGGCCGAGAATTGCAGCTCTACGGTCTTCTAATAAAGTGGCACTTTGTAATCGGCTGCTCAGCGTATTGATTGTATCCGTGGCCGTTTGACGTGCCGGGGCTTGGGATTCAAGGATTCGAAACATTGCAGTGTATTAATATGCATACCACCATGGTCATCGCAGACCAAGGACTTCGCTCTTATATATATGCATCGAGGCAATTGACCCGCCTTTCGCGAAGGATCACCGCTCCGCAGCTTGTTGTTCTGGCCTTTCGGACTTGAATCGCCAGCGGGATCACGTGAAATGGGCGCTGGTCGGCACGGAGTAACATTCCCCCGGTGAGTTTGGCCAGATCCGCTTTGGGTAAGCGTTGATCTCGAACTTATCTCGCTCTCGAGCTTGCCTGGATTTTCGCAGTCTCCATTCCTGAGATTACCGTCGCTCTAGCTGGCTCTTTGGGTTCTGGGAATCTTATGGGGTGATCTTTTGGCATTGTACAGGCTTCCGGTTGCTACATTTCGGCGCGTCCTGACGGGCGTTTAGAACCGGTGCGATGGGTGTCCCAGCACTTTTCCGGTGGCTCTCCACCAAGTACCCAAAAATCATTTCGGCTGTCGTGGAGGAGCTTCCTCAGGAAATCGATGGCGAGGAGTTTCCGGTGGATACCACCAAGCCTAACCCAAATGGCGAAGAAATGGACAATCTCTATCTCGATATGAACGGCATCGTACACCCTTGTACCCATCCCGAGGGTAAACCAGCACCAGCAAACGAAGGCGAGATGATGCTTGAGATCTTCAAGTATACCGACAGAGTTGTGAACATGGTTAGGCCGAGAAAACTTTTGATGATCGCTGTTGGTACGTTAGGATTCATGACGCGGGAGCTTGGTCGGCTCCCCTCGGACGGCTACATTATTTTATCATGATGTTTTGCAAAGTCGCCAAGGGGGGTAGAGCTTTCTCTTCTCCTTGATATTTGGATTTGGTATCTGCATTTATGCTCTCATTGATACTAATTTAATTGGGTTTACAGATGGTGTGGCTCCTCGCGCAAAAATGAATCAGCAGCGCTCTCGCCGTTTCCGCTCTGCGCAAGAAGCAAAGGAAGCTGATGAAAAGAAAGCTGAATTTGCAAAATTACTCAGGCAACAAAACAGAGGAAAGGGTGACATGGAAATTGCTGAGGAGGTAGTTCAAAAGACGTGGGATAGCAACGTCATTACTCCTGGCACGCCGTTCATGGACATTCTTTCGGCTGCCCTACGTTACTGGGTTGCATACAAACTGAACACCGACCCCGCTTGGGAAAAGGTCCGTCCCATATTTTACGTGCCATGACGATTGCTCACCTAAAGTTTAGGTCAAAATTATTATTTCCGACGCCACCGTCCCTGGGGAAGGTGAGCATAAAATTATGGAATTTATTCGATCCCAGAGATCGTGTCCTGAACATGATGCGAATACACGCCATGTTATATATGGTTTGGTATGATATATTACCAGCGTGTTCTAGCTTCCGCTAATTTACGCTTAGGACGCTGATTTAATCATGCTTGGGCTCGCAACGCATGAACCCCACTTTCGAGTGCTGCGTGAGGATGTCTTCTTTCAAGAATCAAAAGCTCGGACCTGTCATCTCTGCGGCCAACAAGGGCACGTTGCTGAAGCGTGTACAGGCAAGGCAAAGGAAAAGAATGGAGAGTTTGATGAAAAGCAAAGAGGTACCCCTCTCAAGCCGTTTATATGGCTTCATGTGTCTGTTCTTCGGGAGTATTTAGCTGCCGAAATGTATGTTCCTAACCAACCATTCCCGTTTGACCTTGAAAGAGCTCTTGACGACTGGGTTTTCATGTGCTTCTTCGTTGGAAACGATTTCTTACCTCATCTACCTTCGTTGGAAATAAGGGAGAATGGGATTGATACCTTGATCGCAATATGGCGCGACAATATTCCATTGATGGGGGGCTACCTAACACAGGATGGGAATGTTGATTTAAAACGTGCACAGCTGATTCTACAAGGATTAGCCAAGCAAGAAGACGCCATCTTCCGTCGACGGCGACAAACTGAAGAAAGGAGAAATGCCAATGCGAAAAGACGCAAAGAGCAAGAAAGGCAAAGAGAAGAGGAGAACGCCCGGAAGAGACCGAGGCACTCCTTGGAAAACGAACCTGCCGGGCCTAGTCCACGTCGAGGTAAAGATATGGATGGTATTGCTCCTGCGAATATGCCTCTTTTTATCCCAAGTAAGGGAGAGCTACCCAGAGCAGAGCGGGAATTGACTCATGCTATGGTCGTGAACCGGGGGGCTATCTATAAAGCAAACATGGCGAACAAAAGTGCTGCTGCTGCTCTGAAAAGTCAATTAATTTCTGGGGCTTCCGAAATGAGCGTCGAAGTTTCTACGTCAACCTCAGCCAACGATGTGTCGCCTTCGGCTCTAGGTAAAAGAAAAGCCGACGCACTTGAAACGGACAATACGACGGAGCAAGAAGATTCTGAAAGGCCTCCTCAGGAGCAAGATGAATTGCCTGCAGATTCGGTACGACTTTGGGAGCAAGGTTACGCCGACCGATATTACGAGCAAAAGTTCCATGTGGATCCAAAAGATATCGAATTCCGCCATAAGGTAGCACGAGCATATGTGGAAGGGCTCTGCTGGGTCCTCTTGTATTATTTCCAAGGCTGTCCTTCATGGACATGGTATTATCCTTACCACTATGCCCCTTTCGCAGCCGACTTTGTAGACCTCGAACATATGGACATTCAATTCCATAAAGGTGCACCTTTCAGACCATTCGAGCAGTTGATGGGCGTGTTGCCTGCGGCATCCAACCATGCGATTCCAGAAATTTTTCGAGACCTCATGTCTAATCCCGAGAGCGAAATCATTGATTTCTATCCTGAAGAGTTCCCTATCGACCTTAATGGAAAGAAATTCGCATGGCAAGGAGTTGCTTTGCTTCCATTTATTGATGAAAGCCGTCTCTTGGAAGCGATGGCCAAGCGGTATCCCCGTTTAAGCGAAGAAGAGAAAGCTCGCAATGAGATGGGCCGGGACATTCTTTTTATCTCAGATCGGCATCCCTTGTATAAAGAACTGGTCGCCAATTTTTACTCCAAAAAGCAGACTGTTCCCAAATTCAAACTCAACATGCGGGTCAGTGAAGGACTTGGAGGCAAGGTCGAGCGTGACGAAGCATATATCCCTCATAGCTCCCTGGTAGCATCGATAGATGGAATAGAGCTTCCTGCTCTAGATGAAGATCGTTCGATTAGGTATGTCCTCCCTTTATTGTCAGCCTTTTCCATCATGTGACTAACAAACTGCGACAGTGTCCTCTACGATATACCTAAATCTATGTATACCCACAAGTCCATGCTCCTACCAGGAGTGAAGTTCAATCCGCCAGTTCTCGACAAGACGGATATCGAGGTTACAAAGGCGAAGGCGCAGCGATCCGGAAGATCATTCGGGGGTGCACCTTTACATTCGGGCAACGGAAGGGGTAGAGGCCGAATATCGTATGCGAGCGACCGCCCAAATCCATTTGCTGCTCACCTTGATCCAAGTTTCAAACCCCCACCCCATATGAACGCTCCACCTGGACGCGGTGGCCCACATCAATTTGATAGACATCGGTCTCAGAACCCACCCTCGCAACAGTCACGCGGAAGGGGATACGGAGGCTACGGAGGTTATGGCGGCTCCTATGGACAGCGGGACTCATATCACCCACCGGCACCTCGCGGCAGGGATTCATATCAGGACAGGCAAGATAGGCAGTATCAGCATCAAGATAGACCGTATCCCCCGTCAGGTGCGGGTGGGCGCGGTGGTAGTAATTATTACCGGGGCCGTGGAGGTGGTCAACAGCGTTCTTCTCAATCTGGATACTACGGGCGTAATGATGGGTATGGTAGGTATTGATGGATCGATCATGTTTCTGAACATGTACGGCGCTAAAATGTTAAAATATAACTTTTCTATGGTGACTATGTATTCATTTTTGATTAAAATGGGGTGCCTTATCCGACGCTTGCATGGCTTTTCATGCTTTAACTTGGAGATAGAACTATAAAATCTCACACCACTCGCGGAGAATTCCCAGTGTTTCGTGGCTTTCTAAATTTAGATTGGTTGTAGCTGATGTCCATAAGTGTCCGATACCGGATGAATTCAAGTGAATGGGTGTGTCCTGGCAGTGACAGGGAATATGAAATATGACCTTCAGCTCATAGCAGTAGTCCCTGTATTGTATTAAAAGCCAGCAAGAAAAGGTCCGGAGTGTTCTCCCTTCTCCGTCTTCTTCAGCGTGCGATCGACAGTGCGCTGTGGGACAAGCGACTTCGGAAGCGGTGACTCGAGGCAGAATCGAGAGCGCTTTTGACTCATGCGGCGGGCAATTCCCCAGCTAAACTGAAAGGTTTCTGGGGATTGACTCTGGGTGAATCTCTCACTCTGCTCTCAGTCGAACCTTTCCTACTGGTGAATTAAAACCAATTGGCCTTCTTGGGAGCTTAAGTTAATTGCCCCACCCTTTCTGGTTTGCTTTCCAGCTTTAAACTACATAGTTGCTGCGGCACTATGAAAGCTTGAGCGAGCTATCTGGAAAAGCTGATATTGAGGTTTGCTCAGGCTTCACAAAAAGCTCGAAGTTCATTAATTGGCTAAATTATTATTATTTTTTGTAATTTCAGAAATAGATACGCATCGAAAGGTCCGTCGACTCCAGTGTTCTACATCGTTGGTCATCTCACAATGGCCGCTCCTACAACCATCAAAATCCTCGGTCGCGATAGCATCGTCGCCGACTTTGGCATTTGGAAGCGTCATGTGGCCGATGACTTGCTCACCAATTGCTCCTCTTCGACATATATTCTCATCTCCGATACCACCCTGACTCCTTTATACGTTCCAAGCTTTCAAGCAGCTTTTGAAAATGCAGCGTCGGGTCTAACCCCCAAACCACGCCTTCTCACTTACGCTATTCCTCCCGGAGAGTTGTCAAAGTCTCGTCAGACAAAGGCAGACATCGAAGACTGGATGCTGAGTCGCCAGCCACCATGTGGTCGCGACACTGTCATAATTGCTCTTGGTGGGGGAGTGATTGGCGATCTGATCGGCTACGTAGCAGCGACATACATGCGTGGAGTCCGCTTCGTCCAAGTGCCTACAACATTGCTGGCCATGGTGGATTCGTCAATCGGTGGCAAGACTGCGATTGATACACCTCACGGAAAAAACTTGATTGGTGCGATTTGGCAGCCACAAAAAATTTATCTAGATATGGAATTTTTGAACACACTGCCAGAGAGAGAATTCATCAATGGGATGGCTGAAGTGATCAAGGCATGTTGCGCGACCTTTTATTTCAAGCAATATCGCATGCACTAACCGATTGATAGACTGCTGCCATATCCAGCGAAGAAGACTTTGCGGCTTTAGAAAAGAATGCGGATGCTATCCTTTCAGCAGTGAAGTCGGAAAACACTCCCGAGCGTCCACGGTTTGGTGGGATTCAAGAGATTTTGAAGTTAACAATTTTAGCATCTGCAAGATTCAAAGCCGATGTCGTGTCTAAAGACGAAAGAGAGGGCGGTCTGCGCAACCTTCTCAACTTTGGCCATTCCATTGGACATGCTATCGAAGGCATACTCGCGCCACAGATCCTTCATGGGGAATGTGTCGCTATAGGCATGGTCAAAGAGGCCGAATTGGCTCGACATCTCGGACTTTTGAAGAACGTTGCAGTGCCTCGTCTTGTTAAATGTTTGGCAAATTACGGACTACCAACATCTCTAAAGGATTCACGAATAAGGCGACTAAGTGCCGGAAAACATTGTAGCGTTGACCAGCTCCTCGCATTTATGGCTGTGGATAAGAAAAACGCTGGCCCAAAGAAAAAAGTTGTTCTCTTATCCGCCATTGGTCGTACTCATGAGCAGCAAGCGAGTGTTGTATCGAATGAAGATATCAAAATCGTGCTCGCACCAAGCATTGAGGTCTCCCCCGGTGTTCCCAAATCCCTGCAAGTCACTTGCACCCCTCCAGGATCGAAAAGTATTTCAAACAGAGCTCTTGTTTTGGCCGCTCTCGGTTCTGGTACCTGTCGCATCAAGAACCTTCTGCATTCAGATGACACGGAAGTCATGCTCAATGCGCTAGAGCGTCTGGGAGCCGCAACATTCTCCTGGGAGGAAGAAGGTGAGGTCCTTGTTGTTCATGGTAATGGGGGTGCTTTAAAAGCTAGCCCTGAAGAGCTATACTTGGGCAATGCTGGGACGGCGTCGAGATTCCTCACCACGGTTGCAACTCTTGCCAACAACGGCACTGTTAGTTCCACCGTTCTTACAGGAAATGCACGAATGAAGCAACGGCCAATTGGTGCCCTTGTTGATTCCTTGAGGGCAAATGGTGCAGGCGTCGAATACTTGGAGACCAATGGATGCCTTCCCCTGAAAATCGACGCTTCAGGGGGGTTTGCAGGAGGAGAAATCAGTCTCGCTGCTAAAATATCCTCTCAGTACGTGTCGTCTTTGCTGATGTGCGCCCCTTATGCGAAAGAACCGGTAACTCTGAAGCTTGTCGGCGGTAAGCCAATTTCACAACAATACATCGACATGACAACCGCTATGATGCGATCATTTGGAATCGATGTAAAGCGTTCAACCACTGAAGAACATACATATCACATTCCTCAAGGCAAATATATGAATCCAGCAGAATATATTATCGAAAGTGATGCAAGTTCGGCAACATATCCCCTCGCCGTCGCTGCAATTACTGGTACTACATGTACGATTCCCAACATTGGATCCAAGTCCTTACAGGGAGATGCGCGGTTTGCAGTAGATGTTTTGAGACCTATGGGGTGTGAGGTCAGTCAATCTGAATATTCGACTACCGTTACTGGGCCCAAGGATGGAGTCCTAAAGCCATTGCCAAACGTCGATATGGAGCCTATGACGGATGCTTTCCTGACCGCCTCAGTACTTGCTGCCGTTGCAACGGGAAGTCCAAATCGTACAACCAGAATTTTCGGCATTGCAAATCAACGGGTTAAGGAATGCAACCGAATTAGAGCGATGAAGGATGAGCTGGCAAAATTTGGAGTTATTTGTCGAGAGCACGATGACGGCCTAGAAATTGATGGTATTGATCGCTCTACGTTGTTGCAGCCTCCGCACGGAGTCCATTGCTACGATGACCACCGTGTAGCAATGAGCTTCAGTGTTCTCGCTTTAACAGCGCCCAAACCCACCCTCATCCTTGAAAAAGAATGTGTAGGAAAAACTTGGCCTGGCTGGTGGGATACCTTGGCACAGCTTTTCAAAGCCAAACTCGAAGGTGTTGAATTAAAATCCTCTACGAAACAAAAAGCTGAAAAGCCCGCAGCATCAATTTTCATTATTGGAATGCGAGGTGCCGGGAAGACAACAAGCGGACTTTGGGCAGCTAAGGCTTTGAAGCGCCCATTCATTGACCTCGATGTGGAACTTGAAAGCACCATTGGCAAGACAATCCCGGAAATTATCAAAGAGCGAGGCTGGGAAGGTTTCAGGGAAGCAGAACTGGCACTCTTGCAGAAAGTCATACGCGAGAAACCAACAGGATATGTGTTCGCTTGCGGAGGTGGGATTGTCGAAACTCAAGAGGGCCGTGACGTTCTCGTGCAATATCATAAAGCCAATGGAAACGTTCTTCTGCTTATGCGAGATATTAAAGAGGTCATGGATTTCTTAAAGATCGACAAGACACGACCAGCCTATGTTGAGGATATGATGGGCGTGTGGCTTCGTCGAAAGCCTTGGTACCAGCAATGCAGCAACTTCCAGTTTTACAGCCAGCAAAGCACTCAAGACGAGATGGGTAGGGCTCTAGAAAGCTTCTCACGTTTCTTAAGGGTCATTACTGGGGAGGTTGACCACCTTTCTCTTTTGAAGAAGAAGCCACAGTCTTTTTTCGTTTCCTTGACGCTTCCTGATCTGCGCCCTTCTGCGGATATACTGGGCGATGTTACCCTGGGTTCGGATGCTGTAGAGTTACGTGTCGATTTGCTTGTGGACCCATCTTCTGCCAACGATATTCCGTCTGTCGACTACGTTGCTGAACAGATATCAATGCTTCGTAGTCGCGTATCACTTCCGCTTGTGTTTACTATCCGAACCAAAAGCCAAGGTGGCCGTTTCCCTGATGATGCACATGATGCAGCTCTGGATCTCTATCGGCTTGCTGTGCGTATGGGATCAGAGTTTGTTGACCTCGAAGTTACATTCCCCGAGCACATGCTCCGCGCTGTGACTGAGATGAAGGGCTTTTCCAAGATTATTGCTTCCCACCATGACGTTTCTGGCAGTCTATCCTGGGCTAACGGATCCTGGGGTCAATTCTACAACAAGGCATTGCAATATGGAGATATCATAAAGCTGGTTGGAGTCGCCAAATGTTTAGACGACAATATTGCTCTCAGAAAATTTAAGACCTGGGCACAAGATGCGCGTGAAATACCTGTGATTGCTATCAATATGGGCGAAAAGGGTAGGCTCAGTCGTATCCTGAACGGTTTTATGACACCCGTGTCTCATCCAAAACTTCCTTTCAAAGCAGCACCCGGCCAGCTTTCCGCACAAGATATCAGAAAAGGGTTGTCGTTAATGGGTGAAATTGAACCAAGGAAGTTTGCGATCTTTGGAAAACCCGTTTCCGCATCCAGGTCGCCCACAATGCACAACGCCTTGTTTGCACAAGTCGGCCTGCCCCATGCCTATAGCCGTCTGGAAACAGACAATGTGGAAGATGTCAGGGAATTTATCCACGCCCCTGATTTTGGGGGTGCTTCCGTCACGATCCCTCTTAAGCTCGACATCATGCCATTACTTGATGAAATTTCGCCAGAAGCCCAAGTGATCGGAGCCGTTAACACCATCGTGCCTATCCCACGTGGCCCAGGTGATATGACGGGTCATCCACGCCTTATTGGCTATAATACCGATTGGCAGGGTATGGTCCGATGCCTACGTCGCGGCAAAGCAATCTCACCATCGTTCGCTGATACTGCTGTGCCTGGCCTCGTAATTGGTGGTGGCGGCACTGCCCGGGCAGCTATCCACGCTCTCTACAGTATGGGTTACTCTCCCATCTACCTCATTGGCCGCTCAGAAGCCAAAGTGGCTGAAATGGCGTCGACTTTCCCCGAGAAATATAGTGTCCAGGTTCTCAAGGACGCAACATCCTTAGAAAATCTCCCTATGGTGGCAATTGGCACTATCCCAGGAGATCGGCCGATTGACCCCAGCATGAGAGAAGTTTTGTGTCGCCTATTTGAAAATGCAGCTCGCGTTGATTCTGAGCTGTCTGCGAAAGGAGAGGTGCCAGCAAAAAGAGTTTTATTGGAGATGGCCTATAAACCCGATATTACGCCCTTGAGCCAATTGGCTAGCGACTCTGGTTGGTCGACAATTCCTGGCTTGGAGGCATTGGTTGGACAAGGAGTACATCAGGTAAATTAATGTCCCGAAGCTCCAAATTGGATCTGAGCAAAATGTCTGACGTTTATCATTCAGTTCGAGCTCTGGACCGGAATTACGCCTGTCTACCAAGACGCAAGAGTAAGCCTTCACCTCGTCATCTGCTATTCTTCGCAAAATTCTTCTAGATTTACTAGCATTATTTGGAACTAACGCCTTATTCTTCAGGCTGCAGTCATGAATCCGGACACCGATAACCGAGGCTGACAGCCGTAATTCTTGTTTTTCCTTGGATTTATAAAGCTTCAAGACACTCGGGATTTGGATAAATATATCCTCTCTATAATATTAGTTTAGACCAAAAATTTTTACGTATTGTTCCCAAAATGCTTGAACGCTTGCATTTCATGCGGCTACCGATCATTTCAAAGACCCTTTTGAATAATGAACAAACTACAAGAAATAGTAAACTAAATACTCCACGTAGGTCTTTCCTTTATATATGTGCTTGAAAGGTCGTTTAAACCAAGATCTAAGTCCACTAATTTCCAAGCGACATTCAATAAATCTTTCCAAGGCATAACAAAAACCCAACTTATTGGTCTTGATCATTTATTTCCTCGACTTCATCTTTTTCTTTCGCTTGCTTTTTTCCCTTTCCTTTTCCTATAATTTCCTTCTCCTTCGCTTCTCTCCACTCGCATTCGTCCCTAAACTCACAGATCCGACACTTCCACGCTTCTACCATGCCAACACCTTTCGCTGATCTACCTCCTCGCCAGAAACGCATACCGTCAGCTAGATAAGGATATAAGTCGTTGGCGTCGAAGAAGAACGATCTGCTACCAATGTATTCCATGGGTTTCGATGGATCGGACGTCGAAGAGATGTACTCTGCTGTTAGAAGGGGCGATAGGAGGGTAGGTGGGGAGATTTTATTGTCGTTGGCGTTATCTTCACCCGGGACATTGGGTATTTCAGGTATTTGTGGTTTGGGCAGGAATGTAAGGTGGAAGTGCTCTTTCATAAGGGACCAGAGACTCGAGAGCGAATTGTGTTTTAGAAGGATGGAGACGGAATCTTGCTCATTCGACGAGGGAGCCGTTTGATCGCTGTCTGGATTTGATTGTGGCGACGAGTTGATGTCCAGAAAGCCATCGTTGAGACTGCCAACCTGAGCAATAAAAACATCGGAAAAAGGTTGGTCAGTTTTCAAGCGGTGTCGCGAAGCTATCGCATCGATTGTGATATCGTCGCTAGTTATGAGTCTGGTGAGCATATGATAATATAGATGAAGCTGTATAAGGGTAGGTCGAAACGCTATGCTTGATACAGTTGGCGGTTTTGCAGAAGAGCGCCTCGTTTTGATATCTGTGATGTATATCTTTTTCCCTGTTGTCGACGGCGCAGGGACTACTCCTCCAGTCCAACTAGTCTTTGTTGATGCGAACTCTGAGAGTGTTTTACCACCTCCAGCAGCAGACAGCAAATAATTCGATAAAGACTTTCCTTCAGGGGTTAAAGATGTTGCCGATCGTACTTCTATCGATCCTGGATCCGAAGCTGCTTCGAGCTCAGGATCAGGGCATTCGTAGGAAAGCTCGTCAATGATGCCAGTTACTATTTCGCCATCAATAACACCCCATACTTGCAGTTCTCTTGTCATTCCAGTTGTTCTCAGCGTCTGCAAGCCGTGTATCACATTCCATATTCTCAAAGCCCACCCATCTTCCCTCGTTAGTACCTCTACTGGAACGGTGACATGGACCTCTTCCTCCAGTTTTTTATGCATTGCACTCCCTTGCTTCATTGCCGGTGTCTGGATCTTGCGTCCATGTTTTGTCAGGGTATACCAGTACTGTAGCTCACACCAGGCCGGGGAGACCAGGTCTGTGACGGAGAGGCCTTTCATAGGTGCCTTGCGGAATCGCTCTAAAGGTGACCTATTGTCTATTTTGGTGGTATTCGGCGTCGGCTTCGAATCTTCATTCGTGATCGCTTCAGCAGCCTGCTGATGGCTTGTTTGTTCATCTTGTAGGCGCTCTTTCTCCGGGCGATGCGCGGAATCTGGATGCTCGACTAGACGCTTAAAAGTCAGATGTCAGCCAGTGTCACAAAATAGTAGCATAATTTGTCCACAATTTATAAAGCAATGGGCGATCTCCTGATGTAAGTGCATCTACAAGAACAAAGGTAGGAACTCACCACCCTTGCAGCCAGCGATGTCTTCGATCCCGTAGTCAGACAATGTCTCCCAAACTTCCAAGATCGCCTGGAGAGTCGGACTGAGCTCCCCTCCACCCTGATCCTCGCTGATCTGCAAACCAGAGACATAGACATGGTCTTCTATATCCGGTATCGCTGCAGATGCCGACTCAAACGCTGTCGCGCTCTGGAGTATTAAACCGCTAGTCGCGGCACCACCCGGGTCGCTGCCCTGTGTCTCCACGAATTTATCCACTAGTCCGATCAAAATTTCTTCTTCTTCTGACGTGAAATCAGTGCCGTAATCACTGTGATACGCGCCGTACTTCGCGTCGTCGCCAGATACCTCGGAACCATGGGCGGCTTCGCGTGGCGAACAGCAGGACATGCCTGCGACGATTTTGGAGGGGTGTGAAGAGCCGTGGTCACCTCATATGGCAGTTATTTGATGGGTTAAGACCTAGAAAAGGTCGAGGGGTGTCCAAAGGGAAGAAATGAGTTGAAGCTAGTTGACGTTTCTGGGAGCCGCTTGCTTGCCTTTCGGCCCGCGCCATGACATAAAGCTCGTTTAACGAAAATCGTAGATTTCAACTAGTTAATGCTAGCACGGGATTGCCCGAAAGGAGCACACGAGTAGTAGAACCGTTGATAAATCTTAGATAGCGACCATTTATAAAATCAATGCGGTCTTAAGCTATATAGAGTAAACCAAAGAAATCTAGACATCTATATGGTGAGAGATCACCAGGGTATCAACAATAAAAGTCGGCTCTATCAGGCCCAGCCTAGGCTACCAACCGACAGAATCTATGACAGAAAACAAAGCCCAAATATGCATACGAAGCGAAAAGTCAAAATCTCTTCGACGGACACTTCTCCACAAGGTTTAAAGGATTGCGCTTTTCCGAGTGCTGGTGCCTTCAAGGAGTTCCACTTTCTCCAAAGAAGCAGCCTGTCTAACTTCTTTCGCAGCCTTTTGGTTCAGCCAGCTCAGATAAGTTTGCCAACCGACAGCGACGACACCAGAGACGATGCTGCGGAACTGTGGCTCCACGTAAAGGAACAAGAAAGCGGTGACGCCAGGCCATAGTTTGACACTATTCATGACGCTGTTCGGTACAGCTTTCTTAACTCGCTCCCAGGTATCTTCGAGAGTCGCCCCGGAGAGGAGCGATTGCATGGTGAAGAAATATGTATTGAAAGTAGGTGTGAAAACAGTTTGCGACACGGCGACTTTGGCGAGGATTGAGAGGGCTTTGGAGGAATAATTGAAATTGCGGTGGAGGAACATGAACCTGCAAATCATTGACTGTTAGCTCTCTCAATGTCCAGATTTGATACTACAAACACGTCGAAGACCATACCATCTATAGACAGGTATAGCTGCAACAGCGCCAACTGTCAGATGTCTCGCAGTTCTCAGAGGATCGTATCCCGACCAGAGACCCGTGATCTCGTCTCGTGCATCCTGACTCGAAGGCACGGCTCCCTTGTCATCCTCCTTTTCATTAGTCTCTGAAGCCTCTCCACCAGACACCACCAACTGTGCGCAGAGATCGGCGCAGAGGTATATAACAAGAGTACTCCACATCTGCGTCCAGTACGGCCGCTTATACTGCTCACGGCTATACCATCCCGCCGCCTTCCCAAGCGGACTAGCCTTTATAATCTGATGCAACGAACGCGAAGGCGATTCCGGTACTGAGGGGACTGGCCCTCCAGCAGATGCGGTCGCAGAAGGGTGATGATGCGGCTGTGAAGCCGGACTGCCCGGCGAAGGCTTTACGGTGCCCGCGCCTTTAGCCGGTGACGTTGGTTGGGACAAGGGAGGTTCATTGTCAGCAGCGGTCGATTTGTTCCGACGTAATAGTGCTGATCGACGAGTCGTCTGTCGTCTAACCGCGGCCGAGACGGACAATCCGCCTGTAGCGATGAGTTTCATGCTGGCATATACGGCGTGGTCGGATTGTGTCTACCCTATTTCCCTGGGCCCTCCGGCTGACTGCGCCGACAGGGAAGGAAAATATAAACGTAGCAGGGTCCTCTTGAGTCACAACGCACACAGTCAAATTCTCACAAGTATATAAAACTGGAGCACAAGAATGAGTCAACGAAGCGTCACCATCGGGTGAGTAACAGAAGGAAAGTCGCGAAGACGGCCTACAAATTGCCGAAGGAAAAATAAAAGTGTGAATCAGACACGAGAGTGACAAGGTGGGGCACAGGGCGACAGGCCGAAAATGGTTAGGGGACTGAAGAGATAACCAGATGCTAAGGAAACGAATATAGACAAGCAAGAAGGATACGGGAAGCCTACCCCGTTAAAGGATGCTGTCATGTTCTCAGAATATCGATAAAGGACTCCGGATCGCGGAGATGTTCGCCATCTCGCCGTCTCGGTTCTCGGCGGTGGGTTGACTTTTATCTCGGTGATAAATAATCCTTATCGCCAACCCCCCAGACAAAACGGCCACCTTACCATCCCTCAACCAAATCGCGTTCTCCGGAGCACACGCAAATGACTATGAAAGTTATTCTCATACGGAGTAATTGTGTAAAATGATACAACCTGCATCTTAATACAAGTATGGAGTATCGTCTATAGTTTCCAGGACAAGTTACAATTGATAGTGAGTCACAGCATAGAAGATAGTAAGACGTTAAGAGACCTAGAAGTATTAATTGATAGTTCTAAGTCTGTCCCATGATAGAAGGGATAGAGCCGGAGCAATTTTGCAATCGAGATGATAATGTACAACAAAGACGCCTCAGACCATCCCAGTCCCCATGTCCACGAGATTAAAAAGCAAACCCAAATTGAAAACCCCCAGTTGAAAAACCATCATGTCTCGCCAGTCGTAAACAGTTATGAACATGCAAAGAAAAAGATAAGCCAAACCGGCTAAAGCAGTTTACGAACGTTCACCGCGCAGACGACGAGCAAGTTGGATGTCCTTAGACTGGATGGTGACACGCTTGGCGTGGATGGCGCAAAGGTTGGTATCTTCGAAGAGGGAGACGAGGTAAGCTTCAACTGATTCCTGAAGGGCACCGATGGCAGAAGACTGGAAGCGAAGGTCGGACTTGAAGTCTTGAGCAATTTCACGGACCAATCGCTGGAAGGGAAGCTTGCGGATCAAGAGCTCGGTAGACTTCTGGTAGCGACGGATTTCACGGAGAGCGACGGTACCTATTGATGGATTTGTAAGTTATCGATCGATAGTTAAAAAAGAGAAAGTTGAGGTCAGGTACATACCAGGCTTGTAGCGGTGAGGCTTCTTGACACCACCGGTAGATGGGGCAGCCTTACGAGCAGCCTTGGCTGCGATTTGCTTACGCGGGGCCTTGCCACCGGTAGATTTACCTATTCGAAGAGTGTAAGCGAATGTTTGAAAGGTACGATGCGACTTTTGTGTGTGTGTTTTCTGGTGAAGTGGGTGTGGGACGCGTAGGAACGCGAGACCCGAGCGACGGCGAGGTGAAGCGACGGTGAGGTAGGATACTTACGGGCAGTCTGCTTGGTTCTCGCCATTGTAATGAGCTTTAGATAGTTGAAAGGAAGTTGATGAGTAATAAAATGTCGATGGAAATATGGTGTGTTGATGGAAATCGACGGTTGGTTGAGAGTGGTGGATGTTGGAGAGTGGAAGGTTGTAAGAAAGAGAGAGGAAATTGGGTGGGGGGAAGGTATTTGTAGTGGCGAGCCAGAGGGGCGGGTGATCCTGGTGTGTGCGTTGAAACCAAAAAAAGAGTGAAAGCTGGCAGACGCTAAGATTAGCCTATTAGCGCCGTATTCTTCTGATCAGAAAAAAGTGCTGGAAAGCAGCGTGCGATAAGCCTGGTTCTGCCGGCCCGGTTTTCGCTGGGGAAACATCAGACTCTACGCTCACCGCCTTCCGCACCACAACCGCCCAAAGGCCATACATCTGATCCTTTGCCCTCGCACACCACACAACGCGGATCAGGAAAATTTCACTGGCCTTCAAGACCGTACCTGCCCCAGAGAATCAACTGATTCGCAAAGATCTCACTTGAAAACCGCTGTTCGTCGAGATCAGTTGCGGTGTTCTGGCTGATCTATGTACCGTGATCCGAGGTTCTGATTGGCTGGATCGCACCAAGCCGGTTAGCGTCCCTGCCGAGCAGTCTCAGCCCGCTGATTGGCTGGGATCCTGATGCAGCAGTCGTGATCGCCGACATCAGCTGTTCGGCTTCACCAGCATTGAAATATCGCTCTTCCCGACTTCTCCTGCTGCATTTCCCTCCCTCTTTTTTCCCCACACGGTTATCTACGCCATCTCCCAAAACAGTTTCAACCTGATCTTTTGATCTCGAAACCAAATTACTCTTTTAAGAACAAACTCAATTCTTCACACGTCTCAAAATGACTGGACGTAAGTTCTACATTGCTCCGCGCCTAATCCCTCGATATGGCCAAAGTGACTTACCCGTTTCTCAACAGGCGGAAAAGGTGGCAAGGGTCTTGGCAAGGGTGGTGCCAAGCGTCACAGAAAGATTCTTCGTGACAACATTCAAGGAATCACAAAGCCTGCTATCCGTCGTCTTGCCCGCCGTGGCGGTGTCAAGCGTATCTCAGCCAGTATGTCTTGTCCTCGAAACCACCGAGCATGCTCACATAAAATGCTAACCACTCTCCAACAGTGATCTATGAAGAGACTCGATCTGTCCTGAAGACCTTCCTCGAGGGAGTCATTCGCGATGCCGTCACATACACTGAGCACGCCAAGAGAAAGACCGTCACATCTTTGGACGTTGTCTATGCCTTGAAACGTCAAGGACGTGAGTCTTCCCGAGAGCAACATTCTCGCTGGCTTAGGTTGCCTGCCGCTAACTCGATGTTTTCTAGGCACTCTCTATGGTTTCGGTGGTTAAACGCTTCCTTTTCTTACGACAATGACTGGGGCTTTTGTGGTGTTCTTCGCTTTTCTTTAACGGGCATATTACTGGGTTTCTACTTTATTCTTTGGGAGGTCGGAAGGTCGAGGAGTCATGTGTATCATAATGTGTCTTCCGTTCATGTAACTGGTGAATTCTCACCTGGAGTCTACAGCTCCGCTGACAAATGATTCTGTCAAAGCACAGGTTTTTTTTAAAAAAAAAAAAAGAATATGATATGCTTTGAAATTCAACTCATCTCTGGTATTATAAACTTTACGCAGAGTATACCTTCTCGACATTCCAAGTAGCGCTGTCGCGTTAATGAATGTGCTTCGCGTGGCCGAATCAATGGCTGTGTTATCGGCAACTCCAACTCAGCTGCTGACTAAGGTCTGACGTGACACCAAAACCGTGGTCATCCAAGCTGACGAGGGCAAACCCACATGCACCACCCAACAGCACCCCCTTTTATATCTGTCAAAAATAGGTCTTACAGCCACTTATTATGATGGATGCTTGATGATGTCCTCTGATTTCCGATGCTTCATGCATTTTGATAACAATGAAAGCCTCTTATGCTACAGACTTTGAGGTGGTCAGTACCTCCAATGCGAGTTGCCGTGCCGTCGGGGGCACAGATAGAGAACCGTGCATTAGAGATCACGAACTCTTGCTGTGAAACACACAAAGAAAGGGATCTTCCACTGCTCTCAGCCGTGCATCCTCTGCGCAGCCGCATTTCAAAATGTGCATCCTCCAACCATGAGTCAATGGGATTTGTCTTCCCATTCATTCATTAATATTTTTTTCTTCTTCCTGGTTTCGGGTTTCTTTCTATCAAAGGGTTCCAAATACATACGTACACAGTCTTATGTCAATGCTGCCATCTGACAATGAACAAGGGCCGAGATGTCCATAACAGCCTAAGGTACCAGAGCAGGTATGCATTCAGTGCGACGTTCGCATTGCACGGGGATCTCTTTTGAGCCCTCCAGCTACTGTCAACCTTGACTGTTCTGTGCCCAACTTTATTTATAGGCTTTTGGAGCCCCCTTTTCCTTCTTGATAAGATTTGTGATTAGTTCTGTGTGCTTTTTCTTTCGCTTTCGGGAGTTGATTTGTTCCTTTGAGGCTTGTGCCCCCTTCCAACTGTTTACAATGGCCCAGTTTACCCCTGAACAAAGCCTTTATATTAGCACCATAGAGGTGCTAAGCAAGGCAAACAGCGCGGATCCTTCTGGTCTTGATCCATATGTTCGTGATGAATCACCAGTGTCGCCGCTTGGGGAACCGTTCGCTTGGCCCTCCACGTCGACAGGCCCGGATGACACGCCGAACGAAAACAAAAATCGTGGGAGCCCATCGGATTCGAATCGAAGAAACTCATTTATCTGTCGCAACTGTGGTTTCTACAACGGCAGATCCAACAGATCGAGCCCTATTTCTTCCCCACCACCGAGCCCGCCTCCCCCTCCGCCGCCGCCCAAGTCACCGCCTCGACAGCTACGATACTCGTACCTACATCAACAGCTGCCACAACAATACCAAGTGCAAGAAGGTCCCAGTCCACAGCAGTTACCGCCAGAGCCGCAACCACAGACGCAGCCACAAAGGCAGTCAAGGTTTTACGCGAACCTGGCTCCCCGCACAGAACCGGCGCGGCATTCCACATACATCCCCACCTACTCGGGAAGCACATCGTATCCCAACATAAACGGCGATGACCTGGCTTTGTTTTCGCAGTCAATGCTACACCTGTTTCCTGGTGCGCAAAGCACTTCTGGGCGACCTGCCACAACGTCATTTGAAACGTGCAATCAGAGCCTTTGCAGCCCGCGAAAATTGGTAAAACGTCGAAAGAATGAGCGAGATGGGGTTCCTCCTCAAGAAAAAAGGCATTCGACTAGCTTTTTGGGTAGCTTCGCAAAAATTTTCGGGACGCGGAGAAACACAGAGAACGGCAAGGAAGGTTGATCATTGGTCGAAGGCGAACATAGTCACAGTATCTAGAGAGAAGACTCTCATTTCTCAGAAGGATTGAGTTTGGGTGGTGGTGTCAATTCTTTCTAATGTCGCTTGCGTGTCCCGGAGTGAGCAATTTTTCCATACTTTCCTTCCTTGAAGCCACTTTGCTGTTCTGTTTCCCAATGGATTATACAGGTTGCTATTTTAGTTGTTGCAGGTGAATCACCCAGTTACAACATACATGCCATAGCTACGCCGCTTCCAAACCCCCACTCTCCACGGCATTGAAATGTTGCTTTAGCCGCATTTTCCAGATCCTCAATAAAAATGTGTTGTGACTCACAATATCGCACCACCGGCTGAACGTCGGCATTTAGGTTGTCGACTCAACCCGGTCACATGAACAGTGACGCTCGTATGACCCAACTATCCTAGGCAATTCAGCAACAAAAAAGTCAGCCCACGAAGTTTCGGAGAACGACTTATACTGGTGGTCGCGTATTTTATCTGTATTAGGCTGGATATGTGTTTTTGGGCGCTGGACCGACTCGTCAGCCATTGAAGGGCCTCAAAATACAGAAAAGCAAACGCCGGCTCCCAGCGGAACAACTACATAGGGACGGATGACAGATCTGGTGACGGAAGTACCTCATAAGGAAACTCAAAAATAAAAAAATAAATAAATAAATAAATAAAATAAATCTAGTTTATTTCAAAGCATGCTACGGAGAGTACACAACCAGCTACTGCTCACCTGACTGTCTTTTTGTCGGCCACGACATTAAGTGGGAGCGATGATCAGTTACTAAAAAGAAAAAGGAGGAGACGGGAAGTCTTTCTTCGAACCTGTTCTAGATGTCAAGATGAAAGGGAGGAACGGTGGTGTGGTAGCCTTGGAAGGCTCTACCGGCGAAGAGCTAGACCGCGATAAACTCCTTCCAGAAGAGCTGCCTCGAAACCAAGCCTGAAACTCTAAATTAATGTCAGCCTCAGGGTGTCTAGGACCGGGCGTCGGGATGGGAGAGAAGCTCCCCAGGGTTAGCTTGAGAAATGTGGTTCGAGTTTGGAGCAAGAAATCCTCTTTGTGTCGATTCGATGAGAAAATACGGAGTGATTGGTCTAAATGAAGAGTTTTTCCTCAGAAACTATCCAGGAATGCATCCGCAACTAACCAGTAGCCCCGCCAGAATTCTCCCGGGTGATAGGGGAAAATAACGTACATATGGAAAAAAAAAATTTTCTTGGAAGCCTGGGTTATGCAGATGCCTGCAGAGTACATAGAGGGTGGGCATGAGCATGACCTATAACCATGTCATGACTCGCTGCCATTTGTTTCTAAGAGGAGATAAACTGAGTGTTTATTTCAAGGATAAAATTGACCATATTTTTGAACAAGGAAAAGATATCATTGATATGTGGGTCAGAGGAATGGGAGAGTGGGCATGTTCTATCTGTATGTCTCTTCTCTGTACAGGGGTTTACATAAATATACACATGCAGCGAACGCACCAACAAGAGCTAACCCCGACCGGGAAGCAAGGCACCTGCAGATATCAACGCAACCAGATGTGAATGACTCGAATGGAATATGCTCTTTAATTTCGAAAACAATCATTCGCGGTTCCGAGAACGGAATATATGCTCGAAGCTGCCTTCTGGACTCCGTATTTTTGGAGCCCCGAGCACGTACAGCAAATTAAAGCAGGTCAATGCCAACCAATAGAGATGGGAAGAGCTTCCAAGACCCAACAAGAGGGGATCTCTTCCTTTGAGGAATCCCGATTCCACCCAGCCGGCTGACATCTAATGTAAGGATGGGATCAAGCCGCGGTGCCACTCGAGAGAGGACTGAAGACCTTGTTCCTCAACAAATCAACATCCTTTCAGGCCGCGAGGGCGTCGGACGCGTAATGTCTGCTCCGAAGATGAGCCAATCTTTTTATATATAGCAGGCCTCCTGGAATATTGCCACGTCGAGCCCAGCTGATGGATCACAGGGGACTGGTACGTTCTCGTCGAGCGGTGTCGAAGCGGACGTGGGTATTGGCTAAAAAAATTTCTGCCACGCTCCCCAACGTGTGATACATTCGAACAGGAAGGTGCTTTTAGCTCACACAGACTGTCCAGGCCCCAGGTTGCTGGGTGCGGTGGTTATTGGTTGAGAGAAAGAGATTGTTGTGGCGCAACCTGGAAGATAAGGCGAGGATTAAAAAAAAAAAAAAAAAAAGAAAAAAGGAAATACATGAATCAGATCAAGATATCCACCCTCGCTTGCCGATCGAATACAACAGCATCAATGGAGACCAATGCATCCCAGGATGCAAGCCAGACATGATTTCAAAAGTGATCGGAGGCGAGAGTGCCTGCGATCTTAAGACTTGGCAAAAGATGCGGGATCGTATCTTTCCTATCCGACGCGGCAGACTGAAAGACATGCCGTTTCTATTATGTACGTTGAACTGGCAAGATAGGGAAGAATTAGACGAATGGACGAAAATCGCCGATCCCTTACCGCCCGGGGAATAACCAGGTGGCTAGAACCCACCCCTATCATATATATGAAAGTCGAGAGAAGGGCAAAAAGACGTCGGCGCCGGCCTCCGCCGACGGCGTTGCTGTTGGTATCTCTTTACAGTAATTATTTGTCACAGGGACTCTATCATACCTTCGGAAAAATTTTCATCTTGGGAGCCCCAGAATGACCGTAGTCCAAATAAAAATTAGAAGATCTTCAAAGAGGTTGATGAATGAACTCCGTGGAGTCTCAACAAAAAAAAAAAAAAATATCCGGATGGCATTCTAAGAATAGCAAAGAAGAAAAAAACCTTTCATCCAAGCCCCACCGTTCTCCGAAGCTGGGGTTCAGTGGAGCCTTTTAAAAGAATTTAAGGTTGTCCAGAATCCCCTTCAGAGTCTTCAACAAATTGGGGAAAGATATTCACCACAGCTGCGCAGCAAGCAGAAAATTTTTCTTTCCCACCCATGTGGTTTTGGATGCATGTCGCACCTGCAGTTCCAGAAGTGGATGCTTCAGGGATTGCCGTGGTCAACCCGGAGATCTGACGGAAAGAGTCGAGAAGCAGGAGAAAAAAAAAAAAAAAAAAAAAAAATTTTGGCCGGGATGAGACTGCGCTAGTCATGCATGTAAGGCGCACGGGTCGCAGCCAATTCAACTGCACTAGCCTGGCTAGGAAGTAGGCTAGAAGGGGGTTGAGCGTTCCAGGACGTTCGAGATGGCTTCCTGGTCGATAATTACGGACTTATGGCCACCATCGCATGTATACTGTATGACATTGTTTTCGAGGATCCGGAGTACTCTGTACACGGTCTGTCCCCCAGAAGGAAGTCTTTGCAGCTTGACAAAGGACTTACACTATTAATACTAGACAATTAATGGCAATACATCCTGTCAACCAACGTATTTCGCTTAACGAAGCAATCGTCCTACCAGCCCGCGGTGGGCGGAAGACGGTTGAACTCACCCCTTCCCCCCCAAAGCAGTCATCGGCCGGGAGAATTATTGCTCCCTGTCAATGGAATAGAATCCGGAACGCCGATCGGATCTCCCGCCCTCCGGTTGGCTTCCAGCCCCTTGAGTAAAGCTTAGCGTCTGCCCTGTCGCTTCGAAGTTCCGAAGCCAGCGAAAGACCCTTGTAATTGTGGCTGCAACGGCAGCATCGAGTTGGACGGAGTAATGCGCCAAGGATGTTAATCTGACATGCGCTTCAAAATACGCACTAGTGTCACATCGCCATGGATGCTTTCCTGCATAAAACCACTAACTAAACGTGCATGGCAGGGCTGTGGCTGTGCTGGGGAAGAAAAAAAAAAAAAATTAATTTCGGATCCCTGGCGAAAAATTCATCCATTCGGGCATGGATGGTTTCTTTCGCCCTATGCAACACGTTTACATTTGTTCTGTAGTTGCTTCTCTCGGTCGCCATTGCAGCCACAGCGAAGACGCAAGCGCGAGGAGCAGGCGATGAGGCGATGACGATAATAAAGCGGAACTGCCGAGATGGTTTTGATTATCTAGCCTCCTGTACAAAATAAAAATCTGCATACGGAGGGATGGCCTCGCTTCGAGGATACAGCTAAACGCGCCCTGTTCGCATGAGGCCACAGTTCGTTTCCAGAAATGTGGGCCAATTTCATTGCTCAAAGTATCTATCGCTCAATATCGTGAAAAATACATCAAGGAGACAAAAAACAACGTAGAAAGTGGGGGATCGAATATCAAGCAAATTCTCTTTGGGCTTTAGGCGGTATCCGTTTTACATCAATCCGATCGTAACGTCACCCTTGACCCGCGCATACAGATCAACTTCCACTTCCAGATCGAGCTCAATTCTTACGCTCATGCTGCTATCGCGTGCCTCTTTGGAGTATGGTCGGTCCTTGATCCGTGATTCACGGATCACAGGAGGTCTGTAACCCTCGGCTCTCGGAGGGAGGTTGTGGTAATAATGATATGGTTGGGCCGGTTGCTGCTGGACGACGGGCTGCTTTTGGCGGGTTGGGAAGCTATTGTTTTGTGCCTGCTTTCGCCCAGACTCGGGTTTATTTCCCGGCCTCGCTGGCGGCCGAGGCTTCTCCTGTGGTTGTTGTTCAAGCTCTGGCTGCTCAATATCGGACTCGTGCTCGGATTGGACTTCGTCGTTTTCGTAGTGATTTCTAGAAACTCGGTTTTCGGTTAGTTACATTTCGGAATTACCCTTATATTCAAGAGGCCGCAGTGAATGCATTGCATAAACGTACGAATCGGCCATCTTTGGGGATCTTCTTGAGTTGCGGCGTCGGGAGGAAGCCCAGAGTTTAGTTTAAAAAGTCTCGGGCTGTTTTTTGACCGAAGTCAGAACCGCCAAACGGGATTTTGCGCACGAATACAGAATTTGCAGAGTTCTCCGAGCTTCGTTATATTCTCGTAATAATCCATCCAGAAGGTAGAGACGAAATCCAGAAGACAAAAAAAAAAACTTGGAACTTGCAACGACCCATGACCTAGCTTGACGTCACGGGCCCCTTGGTTTTCCATCCCCTGGTCAACTGTGCCTATTCACTTCCTGTCAGATATCCTCTGGGAATTGGTGGCCTCGCGAAGCTATCTTCGTGCATAGTGCATTGCATCGATCCTCTCTCGTAGTTAGAGACAGCAATTCCAATGCTCTGTAAGCCTGCCTACGAAAACACGTCCGTCCACAAAAGCTCGATATTCGATGTTGGCCGGTGACGTCACACCCACATGCTGGTTTACTCGGTTAGTTAAGGTTGGAATGGGGCGTTGGTCCTCCATACTCCACATCACGCCAACTCTCGATAGGGCTGAAGCATGATTGTTGGGCAGTTGGGTGATTTTTCTGCAGAGCAGGGAAGTGGTCGAAATCAAAGGAGATTTTTCATGTTTGCGCCCTTTTGAAGGCTTAAGGTTAGAATACTGATTCAAGAAATGTGCGTTCCGAGGTTATAGATGTCTGTATATTGTTAGAGATACTCCGTAGAGAATATAGAAATACCTCGTTGTGCGGTTCCGACCGAGTAGTTTCTCGACCGAGGACTTATATTCCGAATCGCCTGACCCGTTCTTTTTGTTCGGTTTAAACCCTTCCTATGTACACACATGCATGTACAGATTTTGATTTTCGGAAAAGGTATTTGGAACGTAGTTTCCGGAGTACACATAATTTCGTAATATGCTACTACAGAAATGATGATAACGACCGTATATAGTGATAGGGTGTCGACAACTCTTTCATCTAATATCACTAATGGTACTCCGTACTATGCATATGTAATTTCTTTCAGCTGCCAGCAGGTGTGGGTCCTGAAAACCATGGAGAATGATCCGGGATCCCGAGAAACGCCCTCGGCAGACTCTCCGATTCGGGGCGGCTGTCCCGATGGAGATTTCAAATCCTCAACCGCAAGAAAACAGGTCAGGATGTTCATATTATTGGGTTATGCTCCATCCACAAGAAAAGCTTACTCAATTGAAAGCTGCTGTGGCTTGCCTGCTGAAGAAAGCCAAAAGGGAACCGTTTACGGAATGCTTCTCAGATAAACAATATACTTTGGACGATTTGAAAATATCTCGTGGACCTTCGTTGTCTTAGTCACCATATTAGCTAGTTACTTCCGTCTAACGATGAGTCGGAAGGGTTGGGATTTTCCTATTCCACAACCATCCGATTTTAATCCTGATCACGGGACCGCGATATCGTTACCTCTTTAAGAGTCCATGTGTCGTGGGGGCTCGGCGGTATGGGGTTGTCGCCGGAGCCGAAAAGACCCGCATTAACCTGAGTACGGGGAAAAATACCGGCAAATTTCCCATTATACTCTGTAACGCCGTGCCTAAAAGTGAACGCAGGTACATCACACATCACAAGCAGGTACCCGTCGCTTATGGAACGAGTATCGCGTACCTCAGAGATCCGGAGGTCACGCTTAGCGAACGGAGAACTCCGGGCTCAAGTAATGAGGCACGCCATGGCATTGCCGGCTGTATGTATTATCCGGGCCGCATGATCTCCCTTTTCCATAGCGATTATGTCTTTTATAACGCATGGGATCATGACTTGCCGACGGAAGCGATATTGATAACCTCGTGTCTGCGGGAAGTAGTCTCCGATTAAAGTCCGAGCAGGTTGCCGGGAGGGTTTGCCACATGAGTGTTGGCCAAAGTTGATTCGAGCCTCGAGTTTGCTCTCTTATCAGACAAAACTAGGACGGGACGGGGAATGGTGCTTGTTGGGGAGGGGGGGGAAGGAAGGAAATAGGCGACTCTTACTTGGTGTGTTCTTTGGGTCACGAAGCTGTAGTGAGGGAGAGAGTTTAGTGGCCTGACGCAGAGTCCCCATTATTCAATGCTGAATAATGGCGATCGCAAGCCACGCGTTAAAGCCGAGCAGCTGTGTACCAAAAAAAAATAGGCGCCTAGCCTTGATGAAAAGGATCGCCTGGAGATCTTTGGCGCGGGACTGGAGCTTCGCACAGAGGAGAGGTAGCCTCTTTCCGCTCTGTGGGCGTGCAAACTCGATCTTGCAGAGAAATTTGACCGCGAGCTGCAGAAAGTGTGGCTGAGCAAAAGAGGCGATTGGTGGACGACACCCGCCCGAGGCGGTGGAAAGTGAAAGAAAGCAGCAGATCTCGCGTAGTGAAGCGATGCACTAGCCACAGCAGAGATTGACGCGATAATTCCCGAAAATATGTTGTGTTCTGATTGGGTACCAGGTTCAGAAATTCGACGTTGGTCCGCGGAATACAGTGGCGGTGCTGAATGATTTCGGAAATACCGACGCCAAGGCTGGTTTGTTGGGTGAAATTATTCCTGCTCTGCTGCTGTAATTTATGACGTGTCAAGCCACAAATTCTGTTCAAAGCAGACAAAGAATTCTGCATTTGTGACTGGTTGCACCAGCCACAGATTGTTGGGTTTGAGGAAGCTTTCGTCGGCACCCACCCAAAAGTCCGATCTGCTCTGAAGATCTCCCTCGTGGCATTGCTCTTTGATTCCTATGTCGTCCTATGTTTTGGTGGCATGACTTCGAAACCATGGCTCGTCTTGTCTGGGGTAAAGTCTAGATCCAAAAGTCACAGGATACCTACATAGTGAGTTGTAAAGTTTGAGGTCAAAAGTTTTTTTTCGAGTATCATCGTGAAGCTTCTGCTGCGTTTTTGTTACGGAATATTTCCGAACAGCAGTCACGGCCAAGAACATGACTAATGTCATTATCCAGTTCTCGTTCGAGGAGCTCTTGTCACGGATCGCAGGTATATCGATGTACGGAGTACAGCATCTCGTTATGTTTGAGTGGTGGGGGGGGGGGGGTGCGAAGCCAGAGAGGCCGGTAGGGGGGTTCATACTCCAGAGCTTGGGAAGCTTTTCATTCGAAGCCCTACCATGGAAAGCGAAAAGGCTACTGGACCAAAGTGACTGGATAAAAAGCCACTGTGCATAACTCCGTGTGAAGAGTGTGTGGGCTATTGATAGCAGATCGGCCCCGTTCGTAGGGCAGGGGGCCTGGGTCTCGCTGCACTGCCTGCCCCCCGTCAGAACATGTAACAAAAGGCGTGGAACTACGCCGCGATTGCCTGACTGGAAATAAGGCTTTCACACAGCGGACCTGGCCGTCACCCCTCACCCGGGCCCTCCCGACACGCACGTAATGCCAAGATCCACGGCGAGCTGCTACGTCATTCTTGGCCAAATTCTTTCGTTTCGCCGAGGAAGATGCGATGAAAACTTCGTCCCGCTTGTCCCTTGACGATAGTGCGCTCAACTAACGATGGGGATCACAACAAGGTTCCTCTAGGCCGTGCATGCATGGTTTCCGCGCAAGACCCATGGTGATCTTTTGGGCTTGATCTTGGAAGATTTTTCGCAGGTGTCCTTGCGCTGTAACAAGCAGGTATTTTTCTGTACTCCGGAAAAAGCATGATGTATTCTTGTCCTCCTGGCCGAACGGAAGTTGAAGTGAATTGTCGGCCTTAGCGTCCTTATGTAAAATTTCCATGACGTACTTTGGGAAGTCAAAGCTGGGATGTAATTTTTCATTTTTCATTTTAATATTTTTTTTTTCTTCCTCGAATGGGACTGCATCTCTCAGAAGATCACCAGTAATGTCGGGTTTTCATCGGGCGGAGATAGGCACCGTGTCCGGAGTATAGCTGTCATTGTGTTGGTGGTGCGTCGACTTCGGCGTTGCAGGGGTCAGTGGACACACCACCCTTCTCGTCGCTTTTTTTTTTTTTTTTTTTCACTCTTTTCCTTTCCTTTCTTTTTTTTTTCCTTGGCGGAAGTATATTTGCTTTTTTTCCATGATGCCATACAAGCGCATACGGGGATAATACAAAGCAGGGGTGGTTGGGTAGCGTCATAACAAAAATTCTATTTTGCATCAATCCACCTTACAAGGGCCTGCATAAACGGGTCCCGGGACTTTTTACATTATTATATATACACACATCCGGCAATACATGAATCGAAGACGGGGCTTGAAAAGCAAGGGAACAAGATAAGAAAGAGTAAAGGAAAAAAAAGGGCCCAAAGCACATCGCCATTGGAAAAAAATATTCCTCCTCCGCCCGAAACCTTCCCTCCGATATCTGAAGACAACAAAACGGAACTGGGAAGCCAATTCGAATCCTGGTTTTCGCAGGTGAATACATAATAATACTGATATCTGTCCCTCCTTCGACCTCATTTTCTTTTCCCTGCAGCAAACAGAAAGTCAACTCTATATATACACTTTTGCACCCACGTTGTCAGTTCTACCACATGCGATAACTCTACTTTGCGGCGTAACCTTGGTCGAGCTACACGCAAAATTCGCCACTCTGGGCACACGGACCAATTCCCACGCATATATACTCTGCGCGATTTGCCTTCCGTCCTCCTGCGCCCATCATGCTAAATCGCCATTACCATCAACAACACCCGCTCTCTCCTTCGACCTATCCATCATCCCGCTCGCAATCTTATCGCCACCACAACCTTGCCCTTTCAGACCCAGCCACGACTGGATCACAGCATCAACAGCAGCAACAACAACAGCAGCAACAGCAACAGCAGCTCTTCTTCCCACAGCAGTACCAGGAGGGAATTTTGGATCCCACCCAGCAACCCGGATTCCACTCACCGTCCACCACCTCGTCATCTCAGCCCTTCGCAGCCGTTCCTCTTACTCCAGCTCAGTCGCAACGGTCGAATTTACCGTACCTCTCAACGCCACCGTCCTCCTCAGCTGCTGCCTCCCCAACGTACTCTTCTCCCGCCTTCTCCACCCAGAACTCCCCGTCCACGGAATTTGACTCGTCCTTTTGGCCCGAGACCGGCAGCTTTTCTATGCAAGATAACACCTACTCTTCACTGGGAGGTCTGCCGCACACGCCACCGATCAAGGTCTTTCAGCCAGCCCCTCTATTTGGGGACGACGGCTTCGATCAGCAGGACGTCGCTGGTGCGTCCATGCTGTTGCAGAGCGGCCTGCCCCTGGATAACACGGAGTTCAATAACCTGCTCAGCCCGGTGAAATTCTGTCAAAACTCGCGACACTCCCAGCAGCAGCAGTTCTATCCTGGCATCAGCCACAAGAGAGCCTCATCTGGGTCTTCGGTTCTCTCTCTTCCATCGGCATCGGCAGTACCCCCACTGGAATCCTCATTTTCTTCTGTCTCATCCCCTGCGAATACTACCCACCAAGGCTACTCTGTATCAAGCCCGTCAAGGCCTCTCCCTACTCCACAGCGCACTCCCGTTCAGACTTCCTTCCTCGCGCCTCCTGCCTACAACTCTGGCGCCGGAGATGCTTGTAACACGGAGACTGAGATGGCAATGAGAAGAGCTATCCTTGAGCAGCAAAGACATCCTCATCAAGAACACCAGCATCGTCGCACCAACCAGCAGCAAGGAGAGGACGAGGCGACCTTTCCTTACTCCTTAGCTCAGTCCGTCTCCAGTCTGAGCCATAACTCTCCTGCCACACCCCAGACGAGCTATCCAGACGATCTTGACGAAAGCAACAAGTCGCTATCACATGGTGAGACAAATCTTCCTGACATTGATCGCTGGATGGATGAATACTTACAGGCCGACGCCTTTGCAGACCTCGGATCTCAGTCTAATCCTCAGATTGGAATGCCAAAATTGAATCGAACTATATCAGACGTCTACCAAGACGAGTTGTACAATCCACTCATGGCGGCACCTCAGCAGGAAACGAAACCAGTACAACCGCGAGTCAACAAACCTTACGCCCCTTATCTCAATGTTATGGCAGACCGTCTCCAAGCTGCGCAGCAAGGCCATATCTCCGCTCGTTCCCACTCACCCAACTCAAACATCGCTCGGCAGCGCTCTCCATTCCGCCACGGTTCCCCCTACGCTCAAATGCCTTCTGCTTACACTTCAGCACACCTACAGCAGCCAACGCACCCTACCTCCGGCCTGAGAGGAATGGAGCTTATGGGCGCTGGCTCAGCGGCACAGGATGAACCCAAGACGATATCACCAAAGGATGCGTTGCTGGAATATCACGAACCCGAAGAGGGCAACGTCCCCTTGTTTCCATCGCAGACAGACTCCTCCCAGTACAATGTTCCTACGACCATGACCACTTCCCCTGAATTCCAGCTCTCCGCGAACTTCACTCCTCTCAGCCAATATCCCAACCAGTTTGGCCAGGGTGGAGACCAAAACGGCCAATTTTACCTACCGCAGCCACAGCAACACCCTCAAATGCCCAGGCAGCCACAGCAAGGAACTATGCGAAGCCATCAGCCTCAACAGCAGCAACCGGATCGCACGTTGATTCAGCACACGCCTGAATTCCCAGCGCACGTTCCATCTATGGAGTCTACGAATAGCGAGAGGAATAATTCGGGAGTTTCATCAACTCCAACACGTCCGCAGCCACAGTCTCCGATCAAGAGGCCGCTGGATACTTCTTCTGATGCTGGGACCTACAGCTGCACCTACCATGGATGCACTTTACGGTTTGAAACACCGGCAAAGCTCCAAAAGCACAAGCGCGAAGCACATCGCCAGACTACACCTGGGTCCCACGGCCTTGCGCGGGACGGATCATCTCTTGCCATGCGAAATTCCCAGGCTGGGCCCCATAAGTGTGAGCGGATCAACCCGTCGACGGGAAAGCCATGCAACTCTATCTTTTCCCGCCCTTACGATCTCACTCGCCACGAGGATACCATCCACAATGCTCGCAAGCAGAAGGTACGATGCCACCTCTGCACAGAGGAGAAGACATTCTCTCGCAACGACGCTCTGACCCGACACATGCGGGTGGTCCATCCTGACGTCAACTGGCCAGGCAAGCAGAGACGGAGAGGCAGAGAGTGAGCTGCGATCCTGGACCCACAGGCGTTGTTTCCGCGCCATTTGGATCTGCAGAATATGGTTTACCCATAATCCCAGACATGAGATCTTCACTCGTCTTGTCATGACGCTTGAGACCAAGGAAATGACATCCCGCCAAGATGACCTGTGTCTGAGCCCGCGGTGTGCTCAGCAGTGATCGGCTTTTCTTGGTTGCTGCCCTGTCAACCAGTCCCTGCTCGGGAGGCGCCGGATGACGTCATTTGAGACGCCAAGCGTCCCAACTTCGCTTGTAGCCGACCATCCGGCCAACGCTCGGCTGCAGTGCTGCCCATAGAAATGCCCTGACGCCGGCTCTCTCTCTCTTTTTTGTTTTCTCGTTCTCGACTCTTGGAATATATTTTGATTACGATGCAAGTTATGGATTTGTTGGATAATTACGTTGATGACTAACAGTACTGTTATTTATGGTTTGATATCATATTTGATTCATTTTTTTTTATTTATTTACTTTTAGCGTGTCAAGGCGTTGGCATGAGTGCGAAAACAAAAATAAGTTCAATATGTATGGCTCTGCATTTTTGTTCTTTTTTTTGCTCTTTTTTCCATGGGAGGATCGGATGCCATCATATGTCATACAAGCGCAACATCTGCAGCAGTGTGCGAATTTGATGATCTTGTATCATCAATCCCTTCTCATTGGGATTCGCTATTTTCAATCGTTCGCATTTTCAGTTCTATACTCCCCCGAACCAGGGGCCTATTCTCCTCTACTTATACTTTTGTAATCGCCCGCCTTTTTTTTTTTTCGTTTCATTTTTTTGTGGTTTTCTTTGGGGCAGGGAACTCTGTATACGTGCCTTGTATATTTTGACATACGGGCACAACGAAGCGTGGCATCTTTTTTTTTTTTTTTTTTTGCATGTTGTGGCGTATATTTTTATTACTGTTGCATCATGTCGCATGACGCCGGGGCACGGGTGGTTTGTTGTTACTTTTGGCATTTTATTTTTGGTGTCCTCGTTACAGCATTTCTATAGATGATAAGCCCCGATATTCTATCTTTTGGACTTGCTTTTCGTGTTGCTTCATGGAATGGATATTCTGGATTTCTGGCACTATATATGTATGTATTATCTCACGTGCTGTACAATATGAGAACCTTGAAAGGTGATCCTTATTTGCCAAATATTTAAACTCGGTGTCTTGGGAGAGCGAGTGACCTATTGGTGATGACGAAAGTTAAAAGATTAAGAGTGCGTAATTGAATGGTGATAATACGTTGTTTGTCATGGAGCATGTTTCTGCTCGGGGCTGAGGAAGCTTAACAATGGCCCCGTTTGTAGTCAATGGCCAGGCGATCCGGTGATAATCTTTTTACTTTCTACAATTTTCGAAAAGGAGTGAGACAGTTAATGGGTATTCGTGAAATTTACTATGACCAATTGCCTATTTACATATAGCTCCCACCTGGAAAAAAAGACAGCCAAGAAAAAATGGGAGCAAAAAAAGAGAGACTTCAGAGACGGGGAAGCCCGCTGCCGGACATAGCCTAATACGGATAACTCCGAATCTCATCCTCTTTCTCCAAGTCTAACCCCGCAGCAAGCTGCTCCTCATGTTTTTTATCTAGATAGTCTAGCAGCACTTCTCCGTACTTCTCTCTCCCCTTGTAGCGCGACACATCGTCCCCCCAGCTACGAATCGCCGACGCCAGTCGCCCGGGCACATACGGCTCCTTGACGATTTCTGTAATCGGCTCAAAGTATGTCCGGATCGTGAACACGACGGCTCCAGAACGCGGCAAGCGGCGCAGCGATTGTCGCTCCGAGCGGAAGTAATGATGCTGGATGGCCTTATTCTTGGCCGCCGTGTTCCAGCTAACCGACTTACTATCCTCGGGCCCGATGCTATACGACCACGCCAGGTCCTCGTCGACCTGGATGAAGTAGTTATTCCGCAAGACCGGATCCGAGGGCTTGATACGCCGGAAGAAATTCATCATGCCCTTCTCAAGCTTGGTTTGATACCCGGGGACGTCGCCTGAGGTGTGGATTTCGGAGAGCCGCATGCCGAATTTATCTTCGATGCGCCAGAATCCTGCGAGGAGGATGGCGCCCGCGAGGAGGTAGTATTGGCCGTCGGGCTTTTCGAACATGAGCGCTAGATCGTCCTGGATGAGGCGGGCGCATGTGGTCATGGGGTTCTCGGCGAACGGACGCTGCGTGATGTTGAAAGATTCTCCGGTGAGGAGGTTGTCGATGCCCACGGGGGTTTTGCGGAAGAGGGATGGGTAGCGCATGGGGAGATAGGAGCAGCTGGCGATTGGCTGGAGGTGAGCAAAGTGGATTTCAATTGGTGTCTGCTATGATTTGTAGTCACATACAGCTCTTCTAGCAGTTCGATCACTCCGTCCATCGCTTCAGGAGCGACCATGACGCACTTTTTCTCTCGTTCTTTGATACGGCGGGCCTTGTCGGCGTGGTATCTTGGATAGTGATTATCCAACTCTGAATACTTTGTTAGTTTTATATGGACGATATGACTCCCAACTCTAAGTGGTTCCGACATACCAATCCATTCATCCCACTTCATGGATCTCAATCCCATGGTAATGAAATATTTCCTTTGACCCATTAAAATCTTACCCCGCGAGACATCAATCGTTAAGGTAATTGGCAAACTTACGGGCCATATCTAAAAGGCCGATATGGCTTCGGCTGAGACGTATGCACATCCCAATTAGGGTACGCCACGGGGTCGGGCCGCTTGAAGTCTTGCGGTATCCATTCTTTGTGAAAGATAACGTCAACAAAACTTATTCCCATATAGATTTATGAAAAGTAAGAGGATGTCTACCTCCTTGTTTTCTGTCAATTTGCTTCGTCCTTTGTGCCTGTATACTTGGTTTCTCCAAATCAGGCGTGCGTGGTCGCTTTATAGAACGCGCACCGAATATCCTCAGGAGGGTATTGATTACCCATGATGTAGTAGAGGCAAAGAGAAGAATCCCAACTAGTTCTCTTACGTAGAATTGGTTGGCAAGCTGTGTAAGAGTTTCCATTATGTCTGAGCATTTAACAGAACAACACTGGATATCATTCAGTCATCAAGGGAATGTTGTACATCTGGCTCAGCCAGGGAACAAGCAATATTAATACATGTACACACAAGTAGGCGTGTTAATAAGGGTTTTTTTCAATGAGATAGCACAGCAGCAGCCATCGCACTGTATATTCTCTTTCTCCGCTGTTTGATCAGCATCTTCCACCAAGTCCCGCCAGCCAAAGTAGGGAGGGGAGAGGGGTGCTGATATCACGTTTGACAAACTGGACTGGCTCGATTCATTCTACTTCCGTATGTGGTTTGGTTGTGCCGCCCGGATCCTGGCGGTTGACTTTGCCGCGGATTTCTTCTCCCGTTTGGGTAAAGCGTCGCCAGCAACCAAATTGGATGACTTGTGCAGAACAACACAAATCAGGAATACAAATGCAGCCGTCTGCCTGAGTTCTGAAGATAACACTTTTCGTCGTCGCTCAATACCGGGATGGCCACGCTTGTCGAGCTGAAGTCAATTGGCGACAGGCGGGTTCGCCTTTTTCCCGCGACTCGTGATACATCGTCGACGGGAGGGAGTTGGCATCTCCTTGCTCTTCCTTCAGACGTTGGCAGCCCTCCGTTTAAGTAGACAGTATTGTCCATATTTGCGTTGCATGTTCTTGGGAATAAATGGCAAATCAGGAACCCAGAGGATGCGACCCAAAGTGCCTGTACGGCCGCTGTCGAGGAACGGTTTGCAAGAAACTTTCTCCCACATTTTATCATCGAGGATGTAATGAGGTTGGAGGTCAGATTCTCTATCTCCGAGAAAATAAGAATCCACCAAAAAGTCGCATTGCGAGATATCGGTCTGCCGAACATTAGTCCACGCGTATTTCGGGGGCCTATCAACGCACGATCTGAAAATTCACTCACGTATTTGGAGACATCCTCCTGATTCATATCATTCATCCCCGATGGAACCATCCAAGTCCCTGCGAATGGTCCGCTTTTCTTCGATTCCACGAACTCTCCGGGCAGTAAGCCCTTAAATTCACTTCTGACGAACTTAGCCCGCAAATTATCGGGCAAGAAGAATGACGAAGGAAAGCGATACCATTCCTTCCCGACGCAAACAAAATCTCCGGTACTAGTTATATTCGGTTGTTCCAGGTCCCCGAAAACCTTGAGTGGAGCATTATATGCGGTCGTCGTGCCCACGATCCTCAAAAGGCCGAGGTTGAGCGCAAAAAGCGCGGCGCTTATGATCACGGCAAATTTCAGTTTCACGGGAATACGACCAACCAGTTCTTGACGGTTGTTCGATCCTAGATAGGCAAGCAGTATATGCAGGCCAATTGCGGCGTTCAACGCGAGAAACGGATATGCAGGGTACATGAATCGCTCTTCTTTGTGAGGCTGAAAGGTGAAAATCCCAAGCCAGAGATAAAATGGAAAGAGGTATGTTATAGACCTCAGTAATGTCTGCTTGGATGTCTTGTGGGGGCGGAATAATGCTTGTAGTGCGAGCAGCGGACCGCTAGACAACGCCAGCACGAACCATATATTGAAGTTGAGTAGCAAGTTCCGCGCGTAAAAGGTCCACGGCTCGGTGCCGAAGATGTCGGGGCCTTTTCCAGCACCACCAAAGACGTTGTAGGCCACTATGTTCCAGGGAACAACCACGAGCTTACGGTAGAAGAAACTATCAACAGCCACCTCAAGAAGCTACCTCAAGATCAGTAGGCATTTAAAACAATCAGGAGTATTTTACCCACCAAAACTCCTAGACATCTGGCAATACCACTGAAAATCCTCGAAAAGACCGGTTGAGCTTCCTGAAATATAATTCCAAGGACAAGCTCTTCAAGAACGAACGGTATCACCAAAGCTCCGGCAAACGGCCATCCAACCAGAGCACCAATTCCGAACCACATAATACCCCTGGCTGTTTGGAGACCACGACGCGAATCTAGGAACGCCGATAAACCCAACATGGATGTGTACATTGCAAAGCTAGACGGCAAAAGGGCAGTAGAAGCATGGAACATGCCGGGACTAAATAGCATTATCATAAGGAAGAGCACTCCGATCCGCGGGTTCAATGTGCGCGAGATCACCGAGTAAAGCCGCGTTTCGCACATCGTGCAGGTGAAGGCTAACGCCATACGGACAAAGTAGAACTGAGCTGACTTGGTACGCGTAAAAAAGGTAGATATCTTCGCGACAAAGGCATGGAGGGTGATGTATAACCAGCTTCGGATAGAATATTCCGGAGAGTACTCCCAAGTTTGAAGGCCATAACCGTGCGAGAGGTAATGGGTTGGTTCCCAGTAGTTGAAGACTTCATCGCAATCTTGGATAGGCGCCAACACGGCAGCTAGGACATTAGAGAAAAGGCAAAGGTAGAAAACGACATTCAACGGGAGGAAGAAGGGCTGGGGAACCGGTCTGTATTCAGTGTGTTAGCTTGGATGTTCTCGTTCTTCAATCCTTTCAGCCAAAAGGGACTGGCTCACTTTGCGTTCGTCTGCGGAGCTGCGGAAGATTTGCTACTTGACTCTGGAGCTTTGGGAGCCATTTTGGGGCTATGAAAGTAAGCAGCTGATGGCCCTTTGAAAAGTACGCGTCCTTATCGACTCAATGCATCGGTACCTGGCGTGGGTGTCCGTGTTGTTTTTGTTGGGATTGGAGGCACTAGAAGGTGGTTAAAGCGAGCTGACGAGCTGGTGACCTCATCCCAAAGTTTTCGGCGGAAGCTTCTAACATTTTTTTTCCTCCAGTCTCTCATGCTACTCCACCATCTGCGCTCTTGTCAACAACTAAGGAAAATGAAGCTTTAAATTACAGCCGGTTCCTACTACTTCCTCAGTATTTTTGACTTTGTGAATTAATTTCTTTTTTTGAAATGGCGGAGGGAAACCATACGGGCCCCGAGCCTTCAGACGGTAGCCCTAATCACTCTACAAAATTACCATACCTCGACGATGTTAACTCTTCTGCAGAGACCACCGATACTCCTATGGACGATGGTAGCAATTTCTATAACACTCCCCTTAATGGAGGCACCCCTCTCCCGTCGTCTCATGTCGCGAACCCAACCAAAATCGAGCGCCCTCCGACACCAGAGAAGCCTCGTCCGCAAATACCGGGATTGAGTCTTTGCAACCAGCCTAACAGACAAGAGCCGCAGTCGCATTCTGAGCAAGATAGTGGGCCTACGATAGCCGACTCTCTGGACCTAGTTATTACGGCAATAGAAGCTGCGGCGAAGGTGGAGTCAGAAGGCATCACAGGCGGCACAACAGGGGCGGGTGTTGGGGCTGGGGGTATAGAAAAGGGAGTGGCGGCATCGATTGAGACGGAAGTTAAGCAAGAGACGGAAACCCCTGCTTGTGTGAAGAATGAAGCTCAAGAACAGATACAAGAGCGAGACATTACGATACTTGCTGCTGAGGGCGTGATATCCGACAATGTTCCTGCTGCTACTAACGAAATCACGATGACTGAAGCTGCGCCGGAAGAGAATGGAGAGAGGGAGTGGGAGACGGATTCCTCACCCTATGAATCGTCGTCTGATTCATCCTCCGATTCATCGTCAGATTCAAGCGATGAGGATGAAGATTATGAGTTACTCGATCCCGAAGAACAAGCTCGCATCTTGATGGCCGCTGCAGGATCTGACGACGAAGATGGCAAGGACGAAAGATCAGCCGCGAGAGACGTGAGAACCGCTAATGAGAAACCAGAAGAGGTTGTCCCTAAGCCAGATATCACTATCACGCCCGATATGAAAGTTGAGATGCTTGGGAGTGTAGAATCGGTTGTTGATACTATTGTTTTGATTAAGGCGAATATATCTGGGGAATACCAGGTGCTCGAGACCGGTTCGGTTCTCTGTCTAGCAAACCTGGAAGTCATTGGGGTTGTGTCCGATACCTTTGGGAAGGTTGAACAGCCACTCTACACGGTTCAATTTACGAATCAGGAGGAAATTCAGAAAGCGGGCATAGAAAAAGGTATTCCGGTCTTTTACGTTGTTGATCACTCGACATTTGTTTTCACACAACCTCTCAAGGGACTGAAAGGGAGTGACGCGTCAAACTTACACGACGAGGAAATCGGAGAAGACGAAGTGGAGTTCTCCGATGATGAAGCTGAAGCGGAATACAAGCGGCAGCTCAAGTTGAAGCGTCAGCAGAAACGTGAAGGCCGACCCGAGGCTGGTAGGAAAGGCAAACGTCGGGGTGTGCCTTTACGTCCCTCTGGCCTGAAAAATATGGAGCTTAACTACGATGATGAGCCTCAGGATGATGGTTATAATACCTTGCAGCGGCCAAAAGATCTGCATGAGCAGATGATGACTCGTGACGCGACGGCTCAAGAAGGCTCCTATCGTCGTTTTGATGGAAGTCCGCATGGCGGTAGAGGAAGAGGCAGAGGTAGAGGCAGAGGACACGACCGAGGTAGAGGAGGTCGCGATAGGGGCGGTGGGAACAGGTATCAGCCTCATAGGGACGAGTTTCAACAGCAGCCTTCTTCCGAGCAACCACCCGTTAACCCCCATCGTCATTCTTCGAATGGATACGTTCCACCACCACCACCGCCACCATATAATCCAAATTCTGCCACCTACACACAGCCGCCTGCAGCTCCTCAAGGTTATCCTGCAATCTCTCCGCAAGCGTCCCAATTTCCTTTTCCCAACCTTCCTTTCCCTCCCCAGCAAGCTCCTTTTGCTTTCCCGCCACCAGGCTCTCACATTAACCCGGCATTCTTCCCGATCCTTATGCAACAACACCAGCAACACCAGCACCAGCCATCTATATCCCCCTCAGTGCCACCATCTCAAACGTCTACCGATGCATTTGCTGCTGCCCAGGCGCAGATAGATTTACTTAGACGATTGAGTGGCGGAGGGTCATGACGAGTTTGATGACTATCAAGTATGCACCGAACAGTCCAATTTTTTTTTTTTTTTTTTTTTTTTAATAAATATTTGAATTTTGACCTAGTTCATTTTCCTTGAAAGCTTATTGCTTGACGTTATCTGGTCAACTTGTTGGTTTAATGGGAATTTTATAGTCCCGAAAAGTTTTGGCTAGTTGATTCGCGGCGAAGTGGTTTAATGGGATGGAGTCGATTGGTGGAACGTACAGTGCTTTTCGCGCTGTTTTCCCAGCTACAAATGCTACAAGATCGAATCATATTCAGGTAGTTGGATTTCGGTCCCTAAGAAAAGTGTCATGGAAGTATATATACACGGCTGATATGATACCCAACTTCTGCGGACGTTGCTTACACCCAACCCGGACACACGAGGCGATAAATGCTATCAAAAAGATGTCAAAGGCTCTATTTGCCGCGGAAACTCCTTTATGTCAAGTTGGACTTCATGCTTTTAGCCAATGTCCAGAAATTCTCCATCTTAGCTCGTGACAGCGCATCTTTAGCTGCGGCATCGGACTCACAGACCCTAGCGCCAAGCCACTTACGAAAAGCCCTCGTCTTCACTTCTCCTTCCCAGACCAGGGTACATGTGTTTAGACTTAAGTCCTTCAGTTCACCGGTTTTCTCATCTTCTGCCGCTAGCCATGACGCTAACGCCTCTCGATTTCCATCTCTGACCGCATTCGGTCCTGCATTTTCAGTCCAATCAATGCGATTGAGCATAAGTTTTTTGAAAGCATTGATGGAATGGGATCCACCCTCAACGATCACGAGATTGAATTTCGGATTCATAACGCAGATACCAGAGAGCGCATGCTGCTCTGCGTTTCGGCTGATCTTGAAACGATTCCGACCATTGGCAAGGCTATCCACACGGTAGACGGTCATATGTATGCCCTTCAAGGCATCTTTTTCTTGCTGTTTCGCTAGTTTTTCGTGTCGTTCTTCTTTTGTTAGCTTGCGGGCTTCATTATCCGCTATGTGCTTTTCTGCGCGCTCAGCTATCTCCCGATTGACACGAGCTTCGACAGCTGTGGGGTCTTTAACTGCCTCTTCTCCAAGAACACGCATCAAATTAGATTTCTTAACTTTTGGTGGAGGAGCTGGCTCCAACCCCAATCTGATTTTGGCTTGTTGTTCTTTAAGATCGGCCATTCGTCTTTGGCGTCGGATTTTGGCTTGTTCTTTGGGTGTAAGATACATCGGCTTGGGCGGTGGGATATTCTTGTCTTGAGGAGGCTCTAAAAGGACAGGATGTTGTATGTAGATGGTGACGACCGAGTCAGGAGAATCTATTTTATAATTGTTAGGGTCGTCAAGAGCAGTATAGTCACTTCCATTGACAAGACCCTCATCCCACCACTCAATTGCAGGAGGGGCCGGGACCAGAAATGCCTTTTCGACATCCAGATCTTCATCTATACCAGCCTGGCGGGCGCGTTCAGCGATCCGTTTCTTCATAGCCTCTAGCTGGGCCTGCCGTCGTAAAGCAGCGGCCTGCTGAATATATTTCCCTTTCTGATTGAAAACAAGCTGCCGAGAATACCGAGGACGAGCCAAGGCCGTTTTCGCTCCCAGATTAGGGTCAAAGTAGGGATTGTTCCTAGTTTCTTCAATTGAGGGACCAGAGAGATCGAGTCGTTTCCCCCTAGCTTTAAACGAGGGCACCGGGGATTCTGTTCGGCGATTTTCCATTGTAGTAGCAAACTTAGACTGCAGGGCCTGTTTGTTTTTGGCAGAGCGCCCATCTAACCCTGCATCTCCAAGAAGGGCAGGATGCAAACCGACATCAAGACCTCCCCGGGCTCTAGACATCCCTTCGTCCATAGGCGGGGGTACAAACGATGGTGGAGCTTGTGTCTTCTGCTGCGCAGCGGCATTTGCCCTCCCTGTAGCTGCCGCAACTCTGGCCTTCATCTGTTCTAGTCTGGAGAGGGACGCACTCGCCGCAGGCGGCGCGGGAGAAGGAGAAGGAGACATGGACATCGGAGCTAGACTTGCTCCTGTTTGTGCTTGAAGTCTAGCTCGAACAGCTTCTGCTTTTGCCCTCGCCTCTGCGATAGCCTTCTGAATATCGACTCTAGGAGGTGCGCCATTGCTGCTGGGGGGTGCCGGCGACCCTTGCTGAGATCGAGTTCGTTTAGTATTGTTTTCTTCATCGCCGGGATGCGGCCGCTTCAACGAGCTCCCTGATATGTCCGCCATGATCAAACCGTGATAGGGAGCAGAATCCTTCGCTCCTCTTAAGCAAGGATGTGTCGCAGTCGATCTCGTTCGCGCTGTGAAGCTTTTGTTGGCGCCGCAGCACGCCAATGCTGAGTCATCAATACCTTGGCGCTTGAGCTTTGGAGCGGAGATATGCGGCAGAAAAAAAAGTTCCTCGCGAGAGAATGCGAGAGCTGGCGACGAAAAGCTCACTACTAGCAGCCGGGGAGAGAGGGTCACGATTGAGAGCTAATCCCATTCATAGAAGAAATGGCGAGCTTTACTCGACCCGTATCTTCCACAATCAGTGGAGTGGATTTCGAAGTCCTTTCCGATAACGAAATCAAATCGGTATCAGTGAAGCGCATACACAATACGCCCACTCTCGATTCGTTCAATAACCCCGTCCCTGGAGGTCTATATGAC